TGCGTGCTGGCATGAGACCGGCACCAGGCAACCGTTCAGAAACTGCTGTCGGGGATGACGTGCCTGCAGGTGAAGGGGAAAGAAACGATGCGAGGTGTGGCCACTGCAGCCCCTAACTCTATACGTACTGAAAAAACCGTGAGGCGCTGTAGATTGTTAAAGCCCTGCTCCGGACTCTTTCCAAGTGCCTGCACAGGGTGGAGCACCTCAAGTGACTCAAGTGCATTCAGCAGAAGCAGGAGCTGCATGGTGCTGCGGGTAATAAGATGCGAACCCCATCCACATCAAGGAATAGGACCTGAAAGCATGGCAGGCACAGCAATGATCAGCTCACAGCCTGGAGACTAGAGCCTGGCAGAACCTGGGGCTGCGGCTGCGGGAAGGCCCCCTGTGTGAGGGGGACCCGCCTTGTGTTGAGCAACTTCGGAATGAAGTGGTCGCGTTCCAAGCCTGCAAAAAGCTTTTGCAATGCTTTTTGTATCATGCTGCAGTAGAATGGAAGGTTTTTTCTCTAAGCTGATTTGGGTCTGAGAGCCACGCGGTCGCTCGGGACCAGGAGGCCCGTGAAGTGCTTGCAGGATTTGTGCCTCGACGCAGTCCGGGTCTGTGAACTCTCTGCCGTGAGCTCTGTCAAAACAGACTTCTTGACCTTCGCCCAGGCAGGCTTAGCGGCTTACCCTGCCACGGCTGCCAGCATTGGAGCTGCGAGGCCGTGCTTGACCGAGCAGGTTGGGAAGAGCAGCGCCTTCACTACGGCCGCGGGCAGATGCCTCCGACATCCACAATAAGCATCATGGACGCTTATCTGACATGACTCATTAGGTGCGAGCATCCTGCAGTGCAACAGCTGAGCTTAGGCCTGCGACACTGAACGTTTCCGCTCCCCCGAGCTGGCGGCAAGAATCGTCATATGTTCATGTACAGAAACAGTCGTAGTCGTAATCACAAATCCAGAACACGCGTGTAGATCGACTCAGGAGTTTTCGTTTAAACAGCTTATGTTCTTGGTCAACATGCATACATGTAGGTGGGTTCAAGCTTTGATTCCATTCCTCCACAATCATAATGTCGGCTCTAAACCTGCTTCGCAGCGCGAGCCAGTAAGCTGCAAGCTCACGCCATCCGCATGCCAGCAAGAAGCTATGGAGACTTTCTCTCTCTTGCTCCCTCCAGAAGGCACCCGATGCTCACCTTCGATTCTTTTTGCCACGCGCCGAGGCGCATTGCAGCCTCACAAGAACCTTATGGCAGACTCTGAGTAAAATCCGAACGTAGTAAGAACAAGAGCTGTAGAACAACAGGAAGGCGAAAGCCTACTTGGATCTAAGCTGCAGGCCGCGGGTTGGGATTCCACCAGGGAAGGAGTGTGAGAAAGAACATGACCTGCAGAGGTGATGAACAATCATTTTCTGAGCTCTGTGTTGTCGCAACCTCCGAAACCTTGAAGCACTGGGTCTCTGGCGAACAGTTGGTAGATAAACCGCTGCCAGTAAGGCCTTGAGCATGCTTCCCTGTGCCGCCCACTGTAACTGTACTGTAAAACATCGGAAGACCCCATTTTTTGTTAATTTTTGTTCTGCCCCCGAGCGTGCAGCGGCTGCGGTCGTGCTGGTGCTTCTGGTGGCACCTAGCAGCGGAGTTGTTGAGTACTTGTGTGTCCAGGCCACGTCCTACCAAAAGGATGAAGCGGCTAAGGCAAGCCGAGGAACCTCCTGCGCTGTACTGGCATCACCATTGCCAGCTGACCGTGCAGCTTCTCCGTCTTCCCCTTGCCTCCGTGGCCGCGGATTTGAGGCGACGATTGCTTGGGACAGCTACATGTGGATCGGCCTTTGGCTCTGGTCGGGCTCGGGCGTCTCTACCCGTGCTTGGCTGCCTTGGCTGCTTAAGGCTTCACTTGAATCATTTGTCAAGGGATCGCAAGGAGCCCGGCCTCCTGGCTCTTCGCCAGCCGCTTCACCAGCGGCTTCGCCAGCCGCTTCGCCAGCGACACCAGCCATGGCCGCTTCATTGGCTGCCTCAAGTGCTGACCCCGAGGCCACCGCGGTGTACCGCGATTTGCTTTCGCTGTGAATCTCGAAAGCGCCTGCTGTTCCCGCCGTAAAGCATTGAGCTGGTGCTCGAGTGTGACCTGCGTTGCGATTAGCTCCACTCCTGAAACGAGGGCAGCCCAGAATCTTGTTCTCTGGGAACGTGACTTGAGCGTTTGCCAAGTTCTGGCACCATTCGATCCAAGAATCGAAGACTCCACCTCGCTGCTTCAGAACAGAAAAGATCAAGGCTTGCCATGGCTTTGCACGGGAAGCTCCGGCCTAGATAGAGGAGCGCCTCAGCAACGGCTTCACAATGGCAGGTCCAACTGTCGTAGTTTGCCAACTTCAGCCAAAGAACGAGCAGAAGGTACAAGAAGTACCATCCGAGCCTAACCTCCAAAAGAATCATGACCATGCCAACCTCCAAACGGGGGCACCAGAAATGCGTGATGCTCTGAGAATCCTGTGGCCTTGAAAAGGAGTGAGAGCCGCCGTCTATGCAGTGGTCTCTGTGCCTGCAGTTTGCAGAGGCACGGGGAATAGATTCTCAATCGTTGTTTCCAGAAACTCGCGTTCCGAGCTCTTGCGCAGCCCTAGTTAGCTACACATGTTCGCAATGGCTTCTTCTACAAACACTAAACCCTGGGATACGGCTCGTCCTTGCGCCTTGCCCTTGCGCACTTGCGCTGTGCAGGACTTTGGGGGGGGGTCCTGAGCCTACATCTGAACAATCAAGCGCCCTTATCATCTTGGTCAAGAGGCGAGGGATTAGAACGACCCTCATATGCAGAGGATACAGAGCTGAGGCAGGTGCAGCTGCTTCCTGCGCCGCTGCATCCGGCGCTGCGGCTGGGTCTTGAGGTTGCCCTGCATTCTTGACTGCGAGTCTGGTGAGACGTACCCGACAGAGGATGCCAGTTGCAGTGTTCATTGGCTTGTTGCCGCTTTCGAGTTGAGAATTGTGGCTCGCCTAGGCTGGCATCGTGGAAGCCGTGGCAGCGGAAACCGCAGAGCTTTGCAGAAAGTGTGTGTGTGTGTGTGTGTGTGTTAGGATCAAGTGCAATCACAGAACAACAACATGTCAAATTGGAATGTCACAGCGTCGCTGCGTGCCCCAAATGGAGTGGGCCTGCAGGGGCCTGGTCTTCTGGACGCGCGCCCTGCTCTCCCATGGGCCAACCCTGCAAAATGCACCACCATGGGAAAAGAGTCTGTGAGTACTCAGCATCAGGCCTCCGCATATGCGGTCAAAGCATTGGCCGCCTCATGGTCATGCCAAGTCGATACAGGTGCATGTTCTGTTGCGGGATTCCAGTGCGGCTGAAACACGGCGACAACTGCCTGCAAAGTGCATGGCACAGAGCCGGTGCAAAAAGGTACACAGTTAAATTAAGTAAATGCACCAAACGAAGCAATGACGTGCGACCTCTGCCTCACCGCTGAAACCGAAACGTCCACGCTGGACATCCTTGTCACAAGCCTCTTCGAATCGCCTGTCGCATCGATGGGAGTTGTGGCAATTCGGCAAACGATGGCAGATTCTGCCTATGCTCCTGGACATACTCGCGGAGCCGTGAAATTTGGAGCTCAACCCTTGGATGCAAGGAGCTTCAACACTTGCAAAACAGCTGGCGAAGTTGCACAAGACTCTCATCATCCTTCTTCTGCAAGCGTCGAGATTCTTCGCAGTAGGACAAGCATGCTTCCGTAGTCTTCAAAACTAGACTGGCAGGAGTTCTGCCGCAAGCACGCTTGCTCTCATTAAGGGCGAACGTGCATGATGAATTGGAGGAGATGGCGCAGCTGTCGATGCAACATCACTGGAATTCTGCATCCCTGTCTGAACCTCTCTCTCCTTGCAGCTTGTCCTTGCCAGCCATGCTGAGACGTCGGCTGCTGCAGCTGGAGCAACGTGGTGTTCAACATGCCCTGCCAAGGGGGGCTCCATACCCTGTGCCTCTGTGAACCAACCTGTTTCTTGCACGCAGCGCATGGAAAAGCTGAATTCAACCTCATGGAACTTTGCCTGACACGGAATGTATGGGAAGCTGTAGAAAGTTCAGAGACGCTGTAGCTAACCGGGCCCGGTTCATTAAAAGAGGTCTGGGACACAACGGGCTCCGACTATGTCCAGGTTCAGGCGGCGCAAGGCATTTGCCAGTCAGACCGATGTTGAGCTACAGCTACACCACTGAATATGGAAACATTTGCTTCAGAAAATGAGGGGCCGGGCGCTTGGGTTACATTTTCGGAATCCAGTGCCCAAGAAATGAAGAGTTTGGCCCCAAAACCCCAAATTTGGGCTTAAATTTAGTTTCGCCTTAAGCCTAAAGGGTCATGCCTTACCATACAGGATCCAAGTAACCTCGGGTGTAGGGTCATATTTCTAGCTTCTTTTTTTACATTGGGGGGGGGTTCAACCTCAAGAAACTCAGGGTTCTCTGACCTGGAGTTGTCGCTTTCTTATACAGTGCTGTCGCTGCAGACATTCGTCTCTCTTAAAAGTTCCAGTCCAGTGCATGAAGTTCTAGTAGTCTACTGAGCATCATTGCGCAGATTCATGTGGTGCCTGGGCAAACAGCAGATTGGCTGGGTAGTGTGAAACCAAAGCCAGGTCGTCGGTCTGGCACCTGCCGTTTGCCGTGTGGCACACAAGTGTCCTTCCTTTTATTTGGCTGCATCTTTCTGCGCTTAGGCTCAAGGCGATTGAGTCTTGAGAGCCTCGGGCACCTGATGCCAAGAACTCAGTAGCGTCTGAGAAGCTTCTTTCTGACTTTGCACTGAGAAGAACAGCTTGCTGGTTTGGCGAAGTTGTGCTACTGGTAAAAGGCTGCAGTGCAGCCCTTCCGGCCTCCGCCATCGCAGTCTAGCCAATCTCTAAGGCTGTATTACACACGTAACATGCTTGAGGTGGCAGACACCTCGGATCAGACGCAAAGCAGGCATGTGCAGTTCCAGCATCAAGGCAGGAACTCAGGAAAAAGTACGCCAAGCGCAATCGCAACTTTTCATAACGATGCAGGTTGAAACTCTAAGCCGCAGAAAGTGGCCGCGAACGATTTGTACAGATTTGTACACTGCCCTTCAGCGTTGCGATGCAATTGATTGCATCACTTTTGCCGATGCTGTTATTGAATACGGTGGGCACACCGTTGATGATCTAGTGCAATTTCGCCACGACCGCAAAGCCGAAGTGCTGTCTCTGTGCCACTGCGGAGTTGCCAATTCTCAAACATAGCTGCGCGACTGTGGTTCAATCTACGGCGTAGGCATGTGTTGCAACAGCAGGGAAAGCACTTTTCCCGGGCACAGACTTGCTTGGACCCTACACATTTCCCAGTTTGGACATATTTGCTTTCAGCGAGGTGATCATGTCTTGATACTTCTCCTGGCATGCCCAAATTGCCTAAGGTTGCTGGCTGACCCATGACGATACCGTCACACTACATATCCTTCTCTCATTCTTTCTCATTATCGGTCTGAGCTTACCCTCCCTGTCAGCTACAGCGCACTTCTGCCGATGCAGCAGCTCCTTCGCATTGTCGTCCAAATCTGGATTCCTTCCAAAGCGTTTGCAATGTTCTTCACGTCGACATGCTGCTTCCAAGTGGCACTCTACCACATCACAAATCACACGTGTCAGGTCAAGACAAGGTACTGCAGCTTGGCCAAGCAGAGCTGCATCTGCTTTGTCAGCTTCGCAAGCATATGCCTGATACGATTGAATAATATCGGACATGGGATTTCTTCCATCCGAAACCATGACGCTTGAAACCCATTGTTGCTGCGGTGCTCGCGCTGGGGACTGTACAAGCCCGAAAATAGCTACGCGTGCTGAGGGCAGCTCGTGCAACAGATCATGCAAGGCCGCCTAACCTCTCTCACGGAAGGGCCAGTCAGTATGCCATTGCATGTCATAAGTGTAAGTAATTGGAACCTCAATTTGCACATGTACATACGGGACAGCATACAGCGAGCGATCTGCTTTGCAGATCTGGCTCCAAAAAGTCCTAAAGCTACTGTTGATGATGCATCTCTTCAAGAGATGCAAGCCTACCTCTACGACTTTACGAGAATCAATCATCGTTGAGCTAAGGGGAGCTGTGGAGACGCGAGTATGTTGATGTTGGGCATCTTCGTTCGGCACATGGGGCAGTTCGGTGTTCGGCCGCACTTCGTCGTGAACAGATACCAGTCTTCCTACAGCTGCGCACGCCCATGTCAATGTCTCACGGCCTCTCTCAACCTTCTAACTCCGAATGCCTAGTGCTAAGACATAGAAGGCTCCTACACCTGGGTTTGAGATGAGAACTTTTCTGATGTTTGCTCCGAGGCTCCATGCATCGGCGGTGGAATACATGGCCGCACGGCAAAGCCTCGGGGCCGCCGTCCAAGTGAAGTGCCTCTTGACAGATTACGCAAGCCTGCTCAGGGACAAGAGACTGAGTGCGACTCGACATGGCACAGACATCACGATTAAGCTTTCAATGGCTTTCAATCTCGGAATATCGCTACCACAGGAGCTCACGAAGCCTCAGTGTCCTGTGAGAGGTAGAACACTGACAAAAGGATCGTCTGCACTTCTCCAGTTGCACTTCCTGCCCACCTGCCGCATGCGGCACAAGCTGAATCTGAATACATTGTACTGCATGCGGAACCTCAGAAAGCATGTCAACATCCCAACACAGATCTCAGGCAAACGCCTCTGCAGCCGCTTGACTAATGCAGGATAGCGATTGCGCCTTGGCTCAAATAAAGCATTTTCGGTCGATTTGCTGTGGGACCCAACAGTGGGACCACAGCCCAGATCAGTGATACCAGTGTCTATAGCGGAAGGGGGTGGGGCCCTATACGGTGATTCTCTGACACCTAAGCCAAAACCCTATTGACCGCAAACCGCATAGCAACTCCATCCCCACACGGCACTTGGATAGTCATTGAGACGCGGAGCTTCTCGTGTGCACTCTCCCCACTGATCTCGGCTTCAGGCAAGCACCGCAGTGCATCAGCGGCCGCCAACCGGACATCGGCGTCTGGGTCGTCTAAGGAGAGCAGTGCCAGCATCTCGAAGAGGCTTACCTAGAGGCTGCCAGGTGACGCGAATGCTATCGTACATGTCAGAGCCTACTGGGCCGGCTGCATTGTCCGTATTGCAACTGCATCTTAGGGGGGTGGGGTGGTGGGGGAAATATCGTTCCTGCCGACCTTCACCCTGAACCCAAACCTGAAACCCAGAACCTTTCGTATGTTGTACAAAGAGGCAAACACGCTGTTCATGCCAGTGTTTTGTGGCATGCTCTCCACATGAATGGACGTTGCTACCCCCTCCCCTCCGACACAAGGACAAAAACAAAGAACGAAAGAATGAGGAGAGAAAGAAAGACAGAAAGAAGGAGGCCTGGCAAAGTTTCGTTTGGGGTCTGCGCCAAAACGCTGCTGCCGCCTGTGCGTTGGCACGTTAATCCCCTGAAACTATAGAGGCGCACTACGGGCGCCGTGGCCCAGCTTCTGGCTCAATGCCACGGAACCCCCGAGATGCACGACTCCGCGATCTCGGCGTCGATGAGACCCAGATGACCCAGCAGCTCCTTGGCCCCTCCTCGAGCGATAGCTGCCAGGGTCTTGCATGTGGTCGCACGGATCTTCGCACGACCGTCTCGCAGGGCAGCCAACAAGCGTTCCACCACTCGGGCCACAGCCCGACCCTCGCCAGCAGAGGCAATAGCTGTGAGCGCATCCAGCGGTGCCATTAAGGAGGCGTTGACGGCCTGAGTGGCCTCGAAGCAATGCATGATGCTGGCCACATCCCTTGCGATCATAGCAGCTTGGCCCTCCTCAGCCAGCACCCGGTACAAAGACGACACCTTTCGCTGCACCAAAATGTCCTCATCCCTCAGGCACGGGAGCAAAGCGTAGGAGTGCTGCGCGACGGCCATCGCCTGATTGTTCTCGGTCAGCACCCGGAGTGTTCCGAGGACTGCCAGCTTCAGCTGCGGAGCTTCTTTGGCTTTCAGACCTTCGTCGAAGAGCAAAAGGGAGAAACACGGAAACACACAACAAGCGCACACACACACACACACACACAGACAAAGAACAAACAGCAACGAACGCGACTCACCAGTGACTTCATGAACCATTGGTTTCTCTTGACAACCGTAGGTCCAGTTTGAGCCGAGTGTCATTGTAAGAGCGGTCCGAGGTTCTCGCAGATAGCCCAAGCCTAGAGACGCTGAAGCTGCCTAGTGACTTAGTACTGACTTAGTGACTTAGTGTCGCCTGGGAATTCGTGGGACATGGTGGGACACGGTTGGACATGGTGTGCTGCAATGGTGGCACGTGCACTTCTCGGGGCCCGAGCCATGCGCTCGCCCCGTGCCAGAGATGTCAGTGACTCGGCGGCCTTGACCCGGGCATCCAGGTCACCCTTGCTGGCCAGCACCTTAAGGCAATCTTCGCATCTCTGTATGGCAGCGTTCGCAACATCTCGCAGCATCAACACCAAGCATGAACATCGTTTCGCCTCACACTGTCTTGGCAGCCACTGTTTCAGCCTAGAGTCCGCGTGGAAACTCTGCAATTGTTTTTCCTCTGCCGGCGTTTGGTAGAAATCCTGCATTGCATGCTTTTATGACGCTTTTCTGCTTGTCGCTCGTCTCACATCTGCTCAAACCGCACCTTGGCCAGGTACTTCACCTTGCTTCGGACACGGAGCCAGCGGCTGGGTGCCCCCGAGGCGGCCAGGGCTTCCATAGGGCCAGCGCCCAAGCCAGCCATGGTGAAAGCGGCTCAGAAATGCCGAGCAGTATCTCGAAGCTCGAGGCTTATTGAGAAAAAGCAAAGACCCCTATGTCTCACCCTTTCCCTTTCCATGATCCCCGCTTCCAACATCCCTCCCCACTCGCGTGCCATCATGTGTGAGATGCTGATACGAATGGCTCACCCCCCCCCCGCCCCCCCCAGTTCAGGTCATGGCACCAATGGGCCAATGTCTGGAAACGCGGCGTTGATCAAGCACACACTATATGACTTGACTGCACGTTGTACCACCTCTGCTCCGCATGTTGGCAACATGTTCCACAAACTGCTGCACATGTTGACTGAATGCTTGACATGCAACGGACGACATCACTAGCAGGTACAGTGCACAGTCAGGCGTCCCTGACCGCATCACTGAAGCATGCCGCTGTTTTCATCAGGCAGCAAACAACATGCTCCACGCTCCCCGCCCTGCTATAGCGAACTTGTTGGCACTGGTGTTTTGATTGTTTTTCTTTCTTTCTTTCTTTGGGGCATGGGGGTGGCCCCCCGCGCGTTTTTCTCTCTTTCTCTTTCTTTCTTTCTTGGGGGCATGGGGGCAGGCCCCCTGGCTTCGCGCCAGCCCCGGTATTCGGGACCCTCGGTTTTGCTCGGAGGAGGGTTGGTCGGGCGAGCCCGGAGCTTTCATCTTCCTGCTAACCTACCCCCAAACAACCGGACCTATCACCTAAGCTCTCTTTCTCTCTCTATCTCTCTCACATGTCGGCGATGCCCTCCCTTCAGGGGTTGTCGCGCACTCTGCTCGAAAAGCAGGTACTAGTACATATCTGAGCGTCTCCAGATGCTTGCACTGAGTTAACATAGCTTCCTGGGACTGGCCGAGCAAATCAGCTCCAACCCTTCTGCTGACTTGAAATCCCCACGCACACACACACAAACCCAAACAGCCGATGCTGAAATCATGAAACCCCGTGTCTGTGGCCTCTTTCCTTCTTCCATGGCCTTGCGCTTCTCTGCCAGCTCACGTTGAGCCTTGTACGAGTACCCATCTCACGAACCCAACTCGCTTGCAACATGACCGATGCCCAAGGCCAAGGGATGCGTTTTGCCTTGTCAGCTTCTTTGGCATCCTCCGACACCACCAACCTATATGAAAACAGCTGATTTTGGCATGCTTGATAGCCGCTAAAGCAGAGCTACTTGTGGTGCAGGTTCAAGAGCTTGCAAGAGCTTGGGGACTGTGGCTCAGGCGTCATGTTTCCTCGCGCGCTTGCTGGAGGCGTTGCAAAGGACCTCGCTCGCACAACAGACAGCGCCCAGCAAAGCATCGATGCTCCTGTACATTACTTCGAATGATCCCCACCTTCCCAATGGATAATGGGATGATACCCACCATCCTGCCCCCCAATGCTTTTGCCTTGCTTCGTACATCATTAGAGGTCAGATGAGTGGGTCAGACGTAGCCACCGTAGTAGGAAGCGATTGACCGCGACGACGACGCTGGTGATGACGACGACGACGACGTCGACGACGATGATGATGATGGTGGTGCTGATGAGGGTGGATGATGATGCCGGTTCGCATCAGTGATGGTACAGCTTGACAGAAAGGTTCGAAACTTGACTCTCGAAACTGGCATACATCAAAACAGGACATCGCAGATATGCTGAATTGATCAGTCCCAATATCCTGACGTTGGGCAGACCTCTATGAGCTTCGTCTACTTCCTGCTGAAAGAATGAACGGAATGCCAAAAACACGACCTTTGCAATTTGGCCTGCGCGCATAAACACAGATGCAGACTCAATTTTTTTGTAGAGACGCTGAAAACACGACAGTCCTCCATCAATATACAAGAAAACGAGCAGCTGCCGTCTTGTGCTACACTTCCTTGTGCTCCTCCCAAAACCTCTACCCTTCCGGGCGAGGCAAGACAATGCCATGTCGTAGGCAAGATCGGCTGCAGAGAGCCGTGCACACTGCACCCAAAAGTTTCCAGACTGTTGGGAAGCGCAGGCATTCACAACAAGCTCGACATCATTGCAGCTGCTGGGGCAACAGCTTGCTGGTCGTTGGCGACTGTGGCACCTGCAGATGGGCAGCGTCGCGTGTGTGTGTGCTTTGAGACTGCGCCTGCGCCGTCGAGTGCTTAGGTTCAGGCAGATGGCGTTCGTGCAAGGCCTCTTGGTGGGGCAGCGGGCCTGGGAGTTTCTCTTGTGCTGCTTAGGATGAGATGTGCTGCTCAGGATGAGTCTGGCCGAAGCTCGTTTACTCAGTTGCAGGGGTCGTCTTGCAAGACCTCCATGCTCCCTCCAAGAAAACTATGCCTGCGGCATTCTGCAGACAGGTTCAGGGTCCTTCGTTGCCTGCGAAATGCCAGGGATTTGCAGAGGTTGATCTCTATCTCCGCACGCGAGGCCTTGGAAGCCTCGCATGCCTTTGCAACATGACTCATTCGGCTGCTTCATTTGAACCCTGCCTTTAGTCTCGGAGAGTCGAAGGGTCCAGCTCCTTCCGAGCAGACAGTGCACACAAAGATTATACGAGGACCCTGGCCGCGTATGCTGTAACATGGATGTCGCGCAAAGTCGGCACAAAGGTATCTCCGGTCTCTCCTTGCGAGAGCGAGCGGTTGTCCTGGTGTGCAATGCAGCATGATTGTGCATGCATGCTCTCTTGTGTTGGCTTTTCAGTTTGTTGGCCTGGACAGACTTGCGAGTCTGAACAACTCCGGGAGTTCCCACATCCTGCCCAAAATCAGACCAGAGCGTGGAAAGAATGTGTGGAGGTTCGTCAAGGTGGCAAGTACAAAGCAACTGCCGCGCTTCGTGCTGAAGCAGTCTCTGAAGCTCTCTCAGCCTCATCGTCCGAATCCTCTTCGATGGGCCGCTTATTCCGACGAGGATCGATCACCGTCTTGGCATGTCAAGAGATGACACAGCTGTGCTCCGCCTTACCCCATGAATGTCACGTCGCAGGTCAGCACAGACCACCAAGCTGCGATCCACTTTACGGCTGGGCACTTGGGTTTTCTCCTGGCCGATATTGATTGATCCAATGTCTCTGCACAAACTCCTTTGCCGTGTGTAGGGCAGATGTTTGACATGCTCTTGCAATCTCTAGCCAAGCTTGGTTTGCATGTGGGTCTCATTGCTGCTTCTGAGTTTCCTCGGCTGGCACGAAATTGATGGGCTCGCGCTTCGGAGGCTCCTCAGCAACCTGAAAGCAAGTCGCATCAGCGATGGTCGACTCTAACCCGCATCCTCTGTCGATTCAGCAAGCGCCTAAGACCCTCAGACCCTAGCCCTGAAACACTACGAACTAAAGCCCTTGAGTCCTAAGAAGCCCTAGCAGAACCCGGACCTTAAAAACCCGAAATATTAAGAACCTCTGATTTTCCGAGACTCCTTTAAATCAAACACCCAAAGAAGGGCCACGCATCGTCTAAACGCCCCAAGTGCTCCGGGTTCAGGGTTTCTGGTGGCTCCCAGAATAGCTAACATTTACCGACAGCCCTCATAATCGGCATCTCGATCTACGAGTTGTTTTTGCTTCAGCCACACAAGAGGAAGAACAAAACCCTGCAAAACCGACACTAAACCCTACGATACAAAAAGAGAAACCTACTAGTAGAAGCCTAGCCTAGCAAACCCTGCAAACATCTGCAAAGCCTATGCCCCATACCAAGACATCCCAACTTTACAGGGTGACTCCCAAGCCTCGGTCTGAGATGCCTTGGGCTCCGTCGCCTCCGTGCCCATGACCAGCTCCCTCCTGCAAGGGATCTCTTAAAGTGGACTGCACGTCTTCAGGTTTTGGAGCCTTTTAGGGCCTCTGGAAAGCTTTGCTTAGGGCAGGCAGCGGCTTCAGCAGTTCAGCAAGCAACTCAAAGGAATTCCAAAGAAGCCTGGCTTGGCCGGCCGGCTGGGAGCTCCCAATCTGGTCGAGCCGACAATCTCCAAGAGGGGAGGCACGATCCCCGTGCAAAGCTGAGGGCTGCACCCCGCCACGTGTGTCCAAATCGTTCTTGGCCTTCTTTCTCCGATCCCTGCACATGCTTTACAGGTGGCTCACGCGTTTCGGGCTGTTCTTTTTTTCGTCACGAGTTACCCCAAAATGAGCGCCGTGCGATGGAAGCTCGCCGCGGGCCTCTGCCTGCGCATGCTTCGAAGAAAGGATAGAAAGGTGGAGGTTGACAACATACGCGAGTGCTCCAGGGGCCTCAGCCTTCGCCTTCAGTCTCTCAAAGGCTGAACCGAAGACTTTGCTGGCAGACGGGTCTGGGCCTCCACTACCATGCACTGTGTGAATGAGATCGCAACCAAGAAGCGAAGATCCAAAAACTTGTGAGTTGTGAGTGATTCGGGACTCGGCCTGAAAAGCTTGAGCTCCCAGAGTTGGTGCTTCTGGCATTGTTCGGCCGAACCTCGCGAGCTGACTTGAGCACTCCGTTGTCTTCGTCACCCCCAGACTGTGGAAAGCTGGCCTCGTCCTCGGTGGACTGTGCATTGGACTTTTCGCTTGTTGGCACGCTTATGGTGCGCTGCAGCCGCTGCAGATTCTGCGGGCGGATTGCTATTTGACCTGTGCCCAGGAACCCTTCGCCAGTCGCTGCCAGACATCACACGGTGCACTCTGAGCACTCTCTTCATTTGTTGCTCAGACGAGCGCTTCCGCTTTCCAGCTTCAGCACGATTCGTCCAGGCCTAGGAGTAGCTCAAATTTGTACCTCAAACGCTTTCAAAGGCATACCAATATGATACTACTTACGATTTGATATCTGTTGAGATTTGCATCTCAGGGGGCTCGGCTGCGCGGGATCCGCAACTCTGAGCACCTCTGCCGTGCACCCATTTAGGTCAGGCCTGGGCATTGAGCATACAAACACTTGCTAGAACTCTAGAACTCAACTCCTGTGTTCTCATGTCAATCATCCACAGTAAATACCGAAGAAGGATGACAGACAACTGCCTTGAAACGAGCATCTAGGCATGCCACAACAATATCAATGTAAGCTGGATTGCCTCTTCTCCAAACCATGCAGGGTGACCGTGTCGCCGTCCTAGCACAACAAAAAAGGTACGGTCATACATGCAGAGCTGTGCACATGACGTGCTGCGATGAGAGCAAGGGGCCGGGAGTTCTCAACTGACTGCTCCTGAAAAGACGGAGTCTGATTGATACTTGGATCAGGCCTGAGGACAATGCCAAGGTTCGCACGAAGCAAAGTCGTACTCGCAAAAGAAGGATGTTGCAACAGAAACATTCTTCGGCCACTGATCAGTCACTTCAGCGACTCGAGCCCAGTATTCGATCTTGGTCTCCAACTTCTCCCCTTTTGAAGCCTGAAGCAACAATCCGAGAGCACTGCAGAAGCCACAAGAACAGGAGGAGTTACCAAGGCGAAGGCCTCTTCCAGCCAGGCAAGCAGGTCCTCCGATGTCCCCATCAGTGTTTGGGAGTGCCCGCAAAATCTCTAGACCGTCCTGGAGGATGCCCTGCTTCAGTAGATGAGGTGCAAGTTGTTCGCCTAACTTTCCGTCGGAGTGATCGAGGCGTGAGAATGTGAGATGTGGGCAACGAAATAAGCTCCTTGGGCTGACCGGGTGTGCTGCATGCAGAAGTCGAAAACTGTCCCAGTGCTGTGAACACATGCACGAGACCCCCTTCTTGCAGCTTTGGAAGGCGAAGCGCGTAGTGGAGACATACAGTCTGAATGTCGTCGCGAGAGCTACGAGCAAGACTCAGCAATGGGGCGCGGTGTCTGACAGGAGGAGGAAACCAAGAACGGAGCTTGAGCCAGTGAGAAGCCGTAGTGCTGACACGCGAAGAACGCATGGGGCCGGTGGTAATGGTAGAACACATAGCTGACCGAGACCTTGGACGGTTCGCATTGTATAGCGCTGTAGGACACAGGCTAAGAGATGTACACGTCACAGCACCGCAGACCCGAAGGCTGGGTCAGGTATGCGGCGTCATCAGATCCCCGCATAGTTGCTCTCAAGTCTCCAAAGCTGAAGCCTCGAGGGCTTGATACTCTTGCAAGTGGCGCTGCATTCGCAGGAAAATCTGGTAGCGGGCATTGTGAAATCGCTGGAGCTGGGGGTCTTCCTGCGGTTTGGTTGTCAAGCCTTGCTGCTGCATTGCCGACATGGCTTCAGGAACGCTTGCAAACTCCCCAGCAGCCGTGGCTGCCACCATGGCGCTGCCTCGAATCACGTCGGCGCTGGGGCACTTAGTACAATGCAAAGGTAAGTTGAGAATGTCGGCATGCTCCTGCAAGTACAGGGCGTTTTGTGCCAAGCCGCCGCAAATGTGAATTGATGAAATACTGACGACTCCCGCTTCTGCTCGGGCGCTGTTCATTGTTTCAATAATTGAGCGCGACGAGTACGCAAGAGCTTGTATCGTGGCAAGATAAAGCACTGCCAGTGCATCGAGAGATGCAGCTTGCTTTGGGTCTCCGGCCGGCCCGAGACCAATAACACTCCCCCTCAGGTTGGGATCGGCGAGGGGTGATCGATTCCCGCTGAAGTCGGGTCCCACAAAGATACCTCGTGTGAGATATGCGTGTTGAAGACCATGCGACTCTGCCAGTTTTCGCACGAGGTGATTTAAAACTTCCGAAGGGCTGCATGAAGCCGCATCGGCTTGAGCTTGCAGTTCTGGATAAGCAGCATGCGACTCGATGATGAAGTCCAACGCAGCCCCTGCCGCAGTCTGCCCTGCCTCAGCGAGGTAAAGTCCTGGAATCATGGCGGACTCATAGGGACCCCAGATACCGGGAATATTGACCGCCACTGTGCTTGATGCCATATGGCAAGCAGACGTTCCTGCGATTAATGCCAAACGGCCTTCCAGCGGCACTGTGCCGGCTGAAACCCCAAGACAGCCGATCCCACCTGCGTGGGCATCAATGGCACCAACACCCAGTACGGTGCCTTCAGGCAGTCCCAAATCTTGTGCCGCCTTGGGTCCCAAACCTTCCGGCACGGCACTGCCCACATCCTGCACATCTGCAGGCGAGCCGATCTTCTCGTACGGCAGGTCTGCTAGCTGAGCTGACTCGAAGAAACCCGCATCCCAGCTCCGTGCTGCAGCGTTGAAGTTCCACTTGCACACAACAGTGCACAGGCTCCTGATGCCTGCAGCGCTGCCCCTTGTGCTCTTAAAGTCGGCAGCTCTGTGCAGCAGATAGTCATGCAAATCGTAAAAGCGAGCAGCGCCAGCATATGTCTTCGGCTTGAACTTTTTCAGCCATGCGAGCTTTGGCATCTCCATCTCCGGTGAGACCTGGCCACCCACAAACTGCAAGAGCTGGTGTCCGGAATCATTTATCGTCTGTGCCTCGTGTACGGCCCGATGGTCGCACCACAAGATGATGTCATATGTTTGATTCGTAGAGTTCGTTATACCATGAGGCGCGTCGTCCGGCGTGTCTGGCAGATCAGCGCCAACAGCCAGAGGATGTCTGGTGCCTGCAACCACCAGCGAGCAGGTCGCGTCAAAAGCGATTCCCTCAACTTGGGGTTTCCCGGCCTTGGAAAGGGCCTCTCGGACGGAGATGCAGCACGCCCTCCAGATTTCGTCTGAGCTCTGTTCGAAATGACCAGGAGCAGGCTGGCGGGTAGAGATCCCGGAGGTTGCCATCCCCAACAGCCTGCCCTCCACATCAAAAACACCTGCGCGAGCGCTTCCTGTACCGACATCAACGCCCACGAAGCATTTGCGAGCCTGGGTATGCATGGCGGGGGCTGCACGAGCAGAATGTCAGATGCGATTGAGCCGATACTTGCAGGATGTCCGACAGTTCTAAATCGGAGCAATCACCCTGCTCACAAACTCGCTCATTTCACACGAGGCTTCATGTTTATGTTAGGCGCCGTTAGGCCTTCCCCAAAACAAGAATCTTGATTTCTGGGGTACGAGCTCAATGCTTGTCGATCCCAGGCCTGCTTTGAAGCCAGTTGGGCGCAAACAATGCCGACAATCACCTGCCATGGGCTGCAGAAAGCCAATGGACTGTTGGAACTCATATAGAGCTGGGCTTCGTGCCGGCAAGGACTCGCACTCCTCGCCCAAGACCTGCTGTGCCATCTCAAGTTACATACAGCAGATCTATGAGAACGCGGTGCTCATGCGGCAGGGGCCTTGCGCACTTGTTCAGTTATCTTCGCCTCTCGGATCGCAGTTGAGGTTGTTAAGAAAGTGGCACTTGCACACTACATCAGAATGCCATTCAATTACAAGACGAAGCATGGGCTGCCCTGTGTTGATACACGTCAGCTACTCCTAATGCTGCTTCGACTACCGCTTTCACCAACTTTTTCTCTACACAACTCTTATTACTTCTACTGCTTCTTGTACTGCTCGTGTCAGGGCTGCTATCTCCCCAGCAAGAGGCACGCACTTGCAGTCAAAATGCCGGCTCCAGCGCAGACGAAGGAAGACTTGAATGGCTTGCATCTCCTTAGGAAAACCGAAGCGTTCTTTGCAGAGTTCAGACATATCAGGTGATAGGAACACAAGTGCGCACCCTATTCCGCCAGTGTGGCAAAGTAACCACGTACTGAGTAGAAGGCATAGGATGTGCACAGCAACTCTCCGGCGCAGACACGACTCTGAACGGCATCACTGTACACACGTGCGATACCATGCGACTTTCAGATTTGGGCGGTATGCGGGAGAGTGGCCATTTCCAGTGACAGAAACGGAGACCTGCCAACATTCGAACGAAGCTCAGCGATGCTTTGGCAAGCAATGGCGCCTGTCGCTGAACGTCGGCGCCTCCATTGCGGTTTAAACGCACCCGCAAAACTTCAGAAGGCCAGATGCCAAAATGCTCAGTACATCAATGTGGTGTGCGCCTTTACCCCTGTCTGGGCTCCGGCTGCGATCTCGCAGATTCTCCTTGACCGGACTCCCACTCCTGCGTATCAAACATCAGCCGGTTAGCTGTTCAACGCTGTCCACATCTCCGTCCACATCTGGTCCTGCTGCCGTTTTGCTGGGCTGGCTCTACCATGACGGAGCACCTGGAACTCGAGGATGTGAGAGAGTGTTGGACGAAACATCCACGATTCAGACGCGGGTGGGTCATCCAGACGGCCTACTGAATTACAGTCTGAAAGCAAAACAGCTAACGTTGAAGTCTTGGATCCAATGTTTTCCCACATTGGTATCGCCACGCTTCCTCTTCCAGGAATCCTGCATCAAGACATTTAGGATATCGTTGCAGCTGTTTCCTATTCGCCGGATGAGGGGCTGCTAGATTGTAAAACCCTCGCCCATCACCCGTATCCAGTATCCCCAAGAGTCCCTGGAGTGCCCTGAGTGTCCAACTCCCTGGAGTGCCCAACCCCAGATTACCCCCTGGAGTCCCCAAATTGCTCAACGCAGTGCAGGCTCTGGAGATCCACAGCAAGCCAAGCTGGGTATACTCCGGTAAAAACTGAAATTTCTGCCCTGTTGGCATTGTTTCCCTGCACATCCGCCGAAACCCTCAGGTCTTGTGTTACTGAGGAGCATCATCTGTCATAAAGTGTTTCATCTGTCATAAAGTGTTTCAAGCATCTGCCACCTCATCCTCCCGGCGGGCACTAGGCCGATGAACTCGCACGATGCAATCGGGGTCATGTCTAGGGGTCATGTCTAGGGACCTGCGTGGGGTGAAGAAACAACCCTTCCTGGAGAATTCGTTGACGTTCCAGGGACTGCGCAAACGTTGCAAGCCCCTATAGAGCTCTCGGAAAAAGATGGTGAGAGTAAGACCTCTGCTGCTCCCTTTTTGGACGAAGGCCTCCTGGGAACCCCACGACCTCAGGGGATTCAACCTTCTTTTCTTTACTCACATCAAACCACGCTTCCGGTGTTACTGTGCAAGCACAATGCTCCTCTGCCTTTCAGGCGAATCACACTTGAGAGTAGGGCGGACGAGAGCTAGTACTCCGGAACTGCAGATGCCGCTAGTTCTGAGGAAAACTTGTGGAGGATAAAGCTTGGTAGGGTGGGTTTTGGGCTTACAAGTCTACAGTTCTTGTGGATCCCTACGTCGAAGCAAAATCTGCAGGCACAAAATGCCCAAAGGTAGGGAGGGGGTGTCGTCAGGTCATGGGGAGAAGGAAGGGGCCCACCCCTCCCCCCAACCCCTCCCCGTGACCCAAAATCTTTGGGAAACCAGGAACAAGGTCACCTCACGTCGCTTTCGCCCCAAGACAGAAGCTCGTGACTTGTTAGCATGATGACAAACTCTGCCCGTGCTTTACTGGGACCCTCAAGCCTGCACGCGCCATCTCTTTATGGCATAGGCCGCCGCAGGAGTCGGCTGCGGCGTTGGGAAGTTTCAGCTAAACTGATGCTGAATGCAGGAGACGAGTGGAACAGATACGAATTTCCTGACACTATTTCTGGCAACCAGCAGAAACTTTGGAGGTTCTCACGGCTGTGATGTTTTTCACGGAACCCTCTGTAACATCTCACATCTTCTAACACAATCTGGCCAGCTTCAGGGAGCAGCAGATGAAGGTTTGCGAACGCTGTGTAGCGAAAACTCCACACTTGAACTCGCTGGCCGAGTTGGAGGGTTCAAAGAGCTCCAGAAATGTGGCCCTGATCGCTCTGCCCGTTTCATCGCGGAACTCGGCGGCGCAACGAAAATTGGTCTGTACTGGTGGCTGCAGCTAGCGCCACTTGGCAGGGTCTCGCCTGCCAGGGAGTTGCTTAAACATTCGAGAAAGAGCTGCTCTTTCTGCAGCCCTTTTGGGCGCTCAGACGCCCGTAGCAGCAGGCTTCGACTCTTTGTTCACAAATCGGTCTTCCATTCCGTCCTCGAGGCCCGGCTCTCCAGGCAGCCCACTGCTTTAGAACCCCAGTGTGGCCACTAAAGATCACTAAAGCCTTGGTTGCTTTAGCACATTGCAGTACTCTATAGTACTCTAACATCTCCCGTGAGCAGTGTCAGGGTGAATTATCCGAGGCAATTGGTCAACTTGTGGGAGTCTCCTGGCCCAGCCTAAGCTCTTTTCGGCGGCCGAGGACTCGATAGCGGTTCTGCAGGCAAGTTCGTGGATGCGCCACAATGGTTCGCCCTTCAAACTACGAAGCTGTTGCCGATATCCTACGACTGGGGGTCGTGTTCGTGGGCAAGGTGTCCTTTGCAACCACATTGTATGCACCATCTCGCAGTGGCTTCGGCACCAGTGCCTGCGCCGCCTGACAGGTTGATACTTGCAAGGCTTGCGAAGCTTCCTTCCGGTTCTCTCTGCTCCCAAATGCAGGCATGGGCCACCTTGCTCAAGCCTTGCAGCACGCTGCTGCCTTCCAACTGCTGTCCTACCTGTGGCATCGCTCGACTGTCAGGCTTGTGCACGTCAGAGTGGCAAGATTAATCAGGTTTTCATCATTCTCGTCTCGGGAAGCGGCAAAGACAACAGCATCCGACTGAGAGAGGCATTCGCCATCGGGTTTCACAACCATCATGGAGCTAAGATCCTGCAACATGTAGACTCGTTCATGAGTGCAGTGGCATACAAGACCTGCAGCGTCATAAGTTCTGCTATCTGTCCTCAGCACGCCGACCGCAAAAGACCAGCATCTGCTGCCCTACTTCTGACTGCAATGCAGAGAAGCGCAGCCGGCGCCCATCTGGATCCTGCGTAAGAAAGGACGGCATTCTCTGCCGCAACGCCGCAAACGAGTGTGTAGTCGTGATTTTAAAATCCAGTCTTGAGTCTCAGAGTGGGCTAGAGCTTAGCCAGGCCGAGCCGATGCAATAATGTTGTACATACGCAAGCAGCGCAAGCCCATGCAACGCGAATTGGCTGCGAGTTGGCAAGTGGCAAATAGAACAAAGTTGACGCTTAAACCATCCCGTGAGGACATGTCAACGTGAGGACCAGAAGGGCCGAACCAAGATTGCCCGTCCTTCTGTAAAGCCACATCCACGGCGCTGTTGCACATGTTGCACACGCCTGTCTCACAGCTTAACAGTAACCTGCTCTCAAGCAGGTGTGTGCAGGTTACGGGCGGCACCGTCATAAAGCACAATTGGTCGGCTGTCATCTTGGAAGAGCTCGCCGAAAGCTGTCGTAGCCTCAGGTTCGTCTCATGAAGGGGCCAAAGGCAGGCAACGCCGGCTGCGCAGCTAGCAGCTACTGTGCATGTCGCGAGTTTTTCAAAATTCTGTGAGCCATGAAGCAGTGTCCGTTGTCACGGCAGAACGCAGCAGGAGGCTGTTTCGAGTTGTGAGCGGCATGCCCACAAAGGCTACAAAGCCCCTCCCACAAAGTGCCAGGATCGAAAACGCGACCGGGCCAAGACGACATTGCCTCCCCGGAGCCATTGCGGCGGGATCCGACGGAGCTTGTTGTAGGACAGTGAACCGTCACAAGCTGAGCTAAACCAGACTTCCCTTTCTTGGAGAGATATGGCAAACATCCTGCATTTGGCAGGCATCATGCTGCTAGACTCCAAGCCAAAGCAGCTTGCTTGATGTGCGGCTGTAAATAAGCGAGCCCTGCGCAGTGCAAACAGTCTGCAACTGGGTGTGAGTGGGAGGTCGTTTTTCTCGCAGCCTAAACGAACTGCAAGATTGCTTGAAACACCCGAGCCCACTTTGAAGTCTCTGGTCTTTGGTGCCTAACGACCTAACATGGCCTAACCTAATCCATGAACTTCCAAGCCCACTTTGGGCTTGAGTTCAAGGATCGGATGCCTCTTAGGCTGGCAGTCAATCCACGTCGACACGGCCTGTCCCAATAGCTGTTGAGCAGGTTGATCAACAATGAATAAAAGGAGAGCTGTACCTCCAACGCCCTCCACGCCGAAGAGCTTGGGGCAGTGCATGCCCTAGGCCAGTCGCTTTTTTTGGCTAGTGTCTGAAAGGGGGCCCGCTTTCGAGACTCTCAAATCTTCCTCTGGCCTTCTCAGGCATCTCGAAAACGGCAATTTCAACAGCTGCCTGAATGCAACTTTCGAGATCGTGGAGAGGAGTACAATCGCATTCAAGTTTTTTTGCACTCCGAGCTGACCGTCTCCTCATCGAGGAACTTGGCCAACGCCTATCACGAGCATGAGACGCTGCGCAGGTCCCTTCCGTTCCTGCGAGCTGAGCCAGTCCGACCTCGGGGGCATCGTCCAGTGCCAGCCTTAGCTGCGACTTCGCCACTAAGTTTTTAAAGGCACAGGCTGAAGATGGCTGAGGTTGGAGCAGGGACATCAGGGAGCCTCTCTTGGCGTCGAAGTAAGCCTGTCACTTGGACGACTCGATCATCTTCGGCTACACTATCTCATCGTACTTCCAGAGCCCATGTATCACTTCACCTTGGTCACATGCCATGACATGCCGTGCAGCCTGGGCCTTTTCCTTGTACCAGGTCTTCACCTGGCACCGCCAGGACCCCGGCTACTGCAAGCTGGAATTTGTGGTGTGTGCGAGCATGTCAGTGTGTTTCTTCGACAAGCGGAGGCGTTTCATGAGCGTTTATGGAATGCAGAATCTGGATGACAAGCTCAAGCCTTCGCAGTGAGGTGCAGGTACTTGAACAAACGCTGGCGGTTGTCAGCACTCTCCAGCCTCTGTGCTGGCCCCGAACTGGGTTTCTATTCGGAGGTGTTGCAAAGGCTCCCAGCCAGCTCATCATTTTTTCGGTAATGGCCCAAACCAGATCCTGCAAGTCTGCAGAGCTCACTCGGGTGCCTTCTTATACACGCGCTGTTTTCGAAGCACACCGCACTTGCCTTTGAAACGATCCCTAAACGAGTTTTTCATTCTCGCGGAGCATGTGCGTATAGCAGCAAGGAGAAGTCTGGCAAAGGGAGCTGTGTAGTGTCGTCCACTGTGAAGCGAAGGTTGGAGGGCAAACTCCAGTCATCTTCCCGTCTTGGCAGAACTGGATCGCGACCAAATATAACATGCCAAAGGAATTCCTCGGCTGCTCAGGCTACGATCCTGAATTGCAACTGACAGCTACTGAAGTGAACTCTAGAGACTCTAGAGACTCTAGTGATACTTAATGATGTTCTGACTTAAAGAACCTGGAATCGGAACGGGCCTGAGGCTCTTGTCGGCCAAGCTGCATAGAGGTGACAGAGACGGATCTGAAACGCCGATCGCGGCCCAGTCGGAGGCTCCGGCGTCGGTGTCCCGTGGGGCCCAAGACGGGCTGGGACACGCAAGCAACCCTCGAGCGCTGTTAGCCTTTTGGTAAGGAGCCCTTGCGCTGTCTGGTAGAAGGCCAAGCTGCGATTAAGAAGCCGGCTCTTATGTACCAGGAACTGAGAGCAGCAGTAGGAGGAAAAAATGCGGCTAGCAGGCAGCCCGAGCAGTTCAGTGATTTCTGCCAGGCATGGGGTCCAGTACATCAGGTGCCGGTCATTGTTGAGGTGCAAGAAGAGTTGCGGGGCCAGTGCGGACAGCGTGCCAGATGAAATCATTTTCAAGAGCAAGTTCAAGTATCCCAAATGCAAATGGCGTGGAGCGTCATCCTGCAGGAAAATGGTCCACTCGGCAAAATCATGATACTGACGAAGTATGTGGTACAGATATCCCCCGCATTCATCGCTATGCACTGCACCTTCGACAGGATCCTCAGCATCTAAATGCCAGGCAGGAATGCACTCGGATCTTTGGCATATGGGGCTTTCAGCTGCTTGGATGCACTTCGCATAAATCAGCACTTGCAGGCCTGGTGTCGAAGAGAGAGCATCGATCCATGTGAGGTCGCTCTTGCATGCAACAACGATGATATCAACTCGCCTTGCCTCATCTGAGCCTTCGCGCCCGCTCAACCGTCGCACTTGTTGAGATTGTGCTTTCGCGGCAGACACCGGCCAAGTCTGCATCATGACGTGATAGTGATCGTGCTCGTAAGTGCCATTCCCTGCCTTCATTTGGCGTAGAATGCTGACAGCGCGGCTTCTGTAGTGCTTCCCAAGAATGTCATTCGGGTTTACACTGAAGCGGAACTCAGAGTGGAGGAAAAGGGATGTGATCAACATACCCGGGCATACTTCCAGCATTTCTTGCTGCTCCTCATCTGCCAATGATGTGATCCAAAGGACTTCTTCTACTGGCGGTGTAGGACTGGACCTTGGCACTCCTGTGTAGAAACTCAGGAACTTTTCCTGCAAGTCGTGCGCCAAAATCCACGCCTGGAAACACTGGATGCCCGTCGAAACCTGATTCTCTGGTGAGTTTAACGCTTTCTTACTCGTAGCATTCGCATAGCGATTGCCCTTTCGCCAGGGATTGTCGAAGCTGCTCGGACACAGCGTGATTGCTGTTCGAAAGTTCCACAAACATCCCAGGTAGTGCTCTCTTGATACGTGGCCGGAACCTTTGTCGGACTGAAAAGGTAGAGCTGCGTGGGACGTATGCCGGCAAAAACAGCACAGAATAGTAACACTTTGCCAGACGCGCCAGCACATTCACCAGTATTCTGTTGCGAGGCATCTTAGTGTCCCGCCAATTGCACGTGTGTCATGCAATTGGGCTCACGAGATCTCGAAGGCGGCTCGGCACGATGCGCACGGCATGTACAAGCAAAACCATCGAGAGACTCACATGCTGGTATGGTCATTCAGAAATTTCCAATTTCCTGGTTCTGATGTGATGTCTGTTTGCTCTGAAGGTCCCATGGCATCCTTTGGTTCAAACATCATAGGGGGTGCTACTGAGACACTGCAGCTGTAAGCCTGTACAGCCTTACAGCCTGTAAACGCGAATGAGACCTCGTTTAGCACTCCCGAGCCATCTGCGTGTGCAAGAGCGCCTCATCCAGGTTCTCGAGCGGCTCGATACTCCTCTGCCATAGAACTCATGGATGCTCATGTCGAATGAAGACCGTGCTCGTGGCATTCGTGGCTAAGACATTGCAGCTTCCAAGCTTCCCCATTGTTGAAGCTTGATGCAAGTCGCCCCAGTCTGTTGGCTTCCTTTTCGGTCGCTTTGTTCCCTTTGTCCCGATGCCATATGAATCTTACGTGGTAAACTTCCACCAGTGTCGAGATCAAATCCAGGCAAATCTGAAATCTTCGGCAAGGCTACGCGATGCGACTCGAAGAACTCGCCGAGGCCTGGGGCCTCTAGCCCAATTATTTGCGAGATTCCCCGACGTTCCATGACGTTCTGCTGCCTTGGGATCCCTTCCATTGACAGACCAGCAACCAGCGGACGCACAACACATTGCAAAGCAGTTGGCCAAAGCAGTCTTCCAACAGTCTTATCCCCATCTTGCCGGAGGTACAAGAGTGCCCCAATTGGTCCTATAACTCTAAACTCAACTCACTTTCCCAAACATGTCAGGCAGGCCCCTGCAGCAAGAGGCTTCGCTCGTTGTCCTCTCGGCACTTTCGCTCCGACTCTTTGGCCCTCAGCGAAGCACCGATACACATGGGTAACAGAGGACTGGGACTGGGTCACTAGGTATCTTGCGCGTAGGACAAAAGCTGCGCTTCTTCGAGTTGCGCCTTCGCCTGCTTCACACAGCTCTAAGCTCCAATACGCAGACCAACACCGTAGCAGATGAATCGAGAGTTGAATCGGGGAGGCAAGCTGTGCTGACACCCCAGCTGAAGCCCATTGTTTGAGCACACTGCGCAGCATGTGCGGAACTGTTCGGTCACATTGATCTTAAAATCAACTCACGGCGAACAGGACTGTAAGTTTGAGCCACGGCTTGCCACAGCGATCTAGCTGCGGCACTGGCACAAAACTATGGTGAGACGTGAACAAGCTTTCTTGGGTCATTTCCAATCCTTGCTGTCCAGTGCAGCGAGATCTGAATTATGCCGCTTGCAAGCTTGCCCTTATGATGGCTGTACTGCAGGCTGCCAGGATTTGCCAAGCAACCTCCAAAATGCAAGAGGTTCACGTGTTGGGGTACTGATCGGCATCGAGACATGATGAGCTAAGCAGTTCCACCGAGTGTATTGAGCTCCAGGCCTATGCCGAGCTACTTCACCACGCGCACATGCACTTCACCTTGGCTCTGGAAGATGCACAGAAACAACTCACGTCAGACGGCAGCCAATTGCCTGCACGTGGACAATTCGGAAACTGCTGAAGGAGCCTCCGAGACAGACTTACCATGAGTTTCCATGGCTCACCCATGAATGTCCGTTGGTACAGACAGAGCTTGCATGATGCATGGCCTTGCCCTTGCTTGCACCGTCCGGCGTGAACATTCGCTGCCTCAGCAGTAAACACAATGCAACCAGCCAGTCGAGTCTGATGCGTTTGACGCGTGCGGCTTAAGCAGCCACTGTAGAAGACGTGGTTGGATTCATGCGGCGAATGTGGCTCGTGGAATCGCTGGTGCACACAAGCATCATCAAGCATCGCTTACAAGCAGGACATAAGGCAGCTGAGCGCAGCTGCCGTGGCTACCACACTACTGCGGGCACCTACGCACCCAGCCTAAGGCCCGCGCAAGAGCAGTGTGTTCAGCAGGCAAGGCAGCCTTTCCTCCTCCAAACCACCTGTGCCCGCCCCCATCTCAAGCAGATAAGAGCAGACGTCGTGCTTGCCCGCACGTGCAGCCACGACCAAGGGTGTTTCGTCATCCGCATTGCGCGCATTGATGCTCGCGCCATGAATAGCCAGGAGCGTTACAATTTCCAAGTGTCCAGCTCGGGAAGCCATGTGAAGTGGAGTCTCATCCCACGCCTCTTGGGCGTTCGGATTAGAGCCACCCTTCAGCAAGCAACGAGCCTCCTCCAGCAAACCTGCATGTGCGGCTGCATGAAGCTGCGTGCAACCGAAGGCATCAATGCTTTCCACTGGAACCTGTTGTGCCCGGTGAAAGCCCTTCAAGAAACGTCGCACTCGGCAGGAAATCGCAAAAGATGCGAACGCAACAAGCACGACGAGCAGATCTGGCAGTGGGGTCGGTAGCTCAGTGAGGTTGGGAATCTTGAAGCTCACCGTGGCCACAGCTGCGCTGAAGCTGGAAAGGCCCGAAGGAGGAGGAGCCTGAAATTGGTCGTCCAAGCTGGTGACCTCCTCTTGCAGCAGCCACTCATCTGTTACTTCTTGCAGCGATGGTGGTGCCAATGGGGCTGAGGTCTTTACCCCGCCGTTGTGGCAGGTTGACTTGTCAGCTGTGGTAAACTGAGTGACGGCAACCAGCGTGAAAAGGGATGTCAGAAGGACCGCCATGAAAAGCGCAGTATGTTTCACCTGCCTCTCGCGTCTACTTTTCAAAGGTAGACCTGGAAGCCAGCAATGCAAGAACCACTGAGGGGCTGCAGCCAGTTCTCGCCCTTGCCGGCAGAATTTACGAAGGGAGTGCACGGTAAGCAGAAGGGGTGTCTGCTTGAATACGCCCCACTCGCTTGCTTCGAGCCAAAGGATTCAAAGCAGTCAATCCGAGCACTGTGACCCGGTGCAACAATGTCTTGAGCCCCTCTTTCATGCCATGTCTCGCACTTCCGGTGTTCAATTTGCCTCTGATGCCAACTCTTCATCCTCCCCTTCGTTGGGATTGTCGCCGTCTTGCGACCTGGCCAATGATGCCAGGGGAGGCGTGTTGTTTCAGCTACTCTGCTCAGGCGGACTGAGTTGGTGGCCGTTCACGCTGCTCTTGAAACAGCTGACATAAATCCTTTGCGGTCGAGGATGATGCGTGTGCCTGAGTGTAGCACAGCACAGCTGCTCACCACGCTCATCCTCGCCAGGTTTGTGAGCTGCATGCCTTGTCACATGGAATCTGCAGGTCTGGATCTTCATCCGGCTCCTGTGTGTGACTGCAAGCAATTGCTAAGCGGCCAGCCTCACACCTTAGCCCGGCCTCCTTGACGGACACGAACCCAAATTGACATCGCAGGATGATTTCCTCGGGGGGCAAGGGATGTGCGCAAAAAGCCACAGGTTGTGCGACTGGTGGCCATATGTCTACTACGTTCATGATTTGCACTTGCGCAAGCGGTTGCCATCCCCAAGCGGTGTCTGTTTTGCCTACAAGTGGAGGACTCTTTGGTCTCCGGGCCCTGGGGCTCGTCCAATACTTTAATCCAAAAGAATGCAACACAGGCCTGTGCTGTAACACGTATCACCTCAGCTTTCCGAAGGAAGCAGGGAGGCTGGAAACCTGTCTGGCTCTGGTCTGCCAGGCAAAGTGTATTTATAGCATGTGCCATCTTTTACCACAATGCGAACACGATCCCGCTTGAGGCAGGTGATGTCCTCCAACGGGTTACCATCCACCACTATAATGTCTGCATAGGCATCCTTTTGAATTATCCCCAAGGGGCCATCCTTGTAAGGATTCATTCCTCCACTCCACGCAAGGACCTTCCCTGCATTACCTGTGGCACTTTGCAAGGCTTCTGCTGCAGAAAAACCCCCCAGCGTTACCAGGGTGATGATGTTGTCCGCCTGCCTAGGCTGAGCAGCGGCACCAAACATGTCACCTCCTGAGATAGTCAGCGGCTTGTACTTTCGCACAAACTCCATCATCTGCTTGGCTCCCGCAGCCACTTTGGCAGCCTTCTTCTTCTGGTCCTTGGAGAAGAAAGTGATCTTCTCTGGGTCAGCAAAAGCCTCCAAAGACATACAGGACTGGAGGCACATCGCTGCCCCTTCGTCTGCAATACGTTTCATGGTAGGCTCGGACATCAGGAAGCCATGCTCGATGCAGCGCACCCCAGCATCAAGGCACCTGTTGATCGAGTCATCATGGTAAGCATGGGCCATAACATATGTCCCGTAGTCCCTGGCCACATCAACAGCTGCCCGCATTTCGTCTTCTGTAAACTGTGTTACATGGATAGGGTCGAAGGCGCTCGCGCACCCTCCGCCAGCCATGATTTTCAACTGTGTCGACCCATTGCGGAGATTGTTCCTCGCAGCCTTCAGAATTTCCGGTCTTCCGTCAACGATGTGGGAGAAGCCAGACCTTTCTAGTGCATCAGTATCTCCCGGCTGGTCGAAGCAGCAGCCAGTGTCACCATGCCCTCCTGTCTGGCTGAGGAAGGCACCACAGGCAAAAATGCGCGGACCTGGAATCCTTCCTGCATTGATGGCCCGGGCTATGCCCAGCACATTTCCGCCGGCATCACGACATGTAGTGAAACCTTGCAAAAGATAGTCGATGCAGTCCTGCCCACACATAGCTCCCATGGACATTTGATCAAACACATCACGACCCTCGAGCATGCCCTCCTGAATGGCAAGGTGGCTGTGCATGTCAATCAATCCAGGCATGAGGGTAAGACCGGTGCAGTCAACGCTATGTGCATCCCAGTTTTCTGCACTGATGCCTTCGCCGATCTCTTGGATAAGGTTGCCAACCACTAGCACATCTTGAGGCTTAGTCAGCGACTCTGAGATGCCATCATAGATCTGGGCGTTCTTGAAGAGAATGGGCTTCTTTCGTTTCTCGGGTCTGAAGGCTGGGAAGAACTCGGGCATGGTGGCTCCAAGAGCGCGCGCTGTTTTGGCGATCCGCCCTACTTGAGCCCCTCAAAAGCTGATTGGGCCACGGTCAAGAGGCAGCCCTGCACTTGGAGCACTATTAACAGCTCTTGAACATGAGCTTTCGCATGTTCAAGCCTGTCTTGAGCTGCTTCCACCTCTTGGCCCCCGGCATCCTCGCCCACTTCCTACAAGAGCTTGGGCTCTCTTCACAGGCGCAGCGTACAGGAAACACAGAAGCCGCCTGACTATATAAGTGGTGTTTTTTGCAGCGTGTTCTTATAGTGAGTTGCAGTCGACTTACCTGAGATTAAGCGAGTCCTCCTGCGAGTTCGCAATGCGGCACTCATCCTGCGGGGATGCCCACTGCGCGGCTACAACTTCGACTTGAGTTCTGGATTCGAACCCGAGAGCTGGATTAGAAGTGCTGTCAGAAGCGAATATTATGTATGTATGTATATGTATACATATATTTAATTATTTGTTTGTTTAGTTATACATATATATATATATACATGTATACATATATGTATGTGTAGATGTATCTATGCACATACCTTGACTAGCCAGTTGTTGCATCATTATTCGTATGCTACCTGCCCCCGTTTGTTCGCCATCCCTCAGTTGGTCGCAAAATCACCTCGGCATGAAACCACACGACATCTCTGCTGCATTCAATGAAGCCACACCTCTGTCTGCTGCAAGAAAAGCACGACCAGGCTCGAAAGCTATTTTTCCAATGCATTCAACTAAACATCTCAAGCTGAAGATTGAAGATTCCTGGGAATGTTTTCGTCAAGGATTCAGATTTGCTTAACTTCAATTACATAGCTGTTTAGGGTGGGTATTCGGCTTATTGCGATGCTGGCCCCGAATGCCAGTATAGGGCAGCAGCCGGAGCACAAACGCTGTGCCTTGAAGGGAACATCGGTTGCTCCAGTGGCTGTTCGCATCGTTTTGTGCCTTTAGTGCTCACCGACCTTTCCTTAAAGCTTATAACCGGCACATGCACTTTCCACGTTCAGCACATTCTTTGTTCAGGGCTTCGCGAAAACTCTTATTAATTGCACAGGCGTTCGTTAGTAGTCCGGGACACGAATTTTGGGATTCCAGGAATGAATGTCGTGCCTTGCTCGAATGTCCTAACACTTGTAAATACTTTAGGGTGTTAGGCAACACTTCGGCAGTTAGGTCTACAGATTGGAGCTTCTGTCTCTTCTAGGAGTGTAGAATCGGTTTAGATCGCCGTTCGAGAAACCCACCAAAAACACAATAACTCCGAAGACTGGAAACCCCGAAAGACAGCCACATTCTGCGACTCTCCAGCCGGACGTATATATATATATATATATATATATGTATGAAGTACATACATGTATATCAGACATGTATTCATACTACAGATAGCAGCAGCACCCTAAGCTAGCACATCGAAGTCACCACCCCAGAAACTTTTCTGTGCACGTGGAAGGCGAGGCGAGGCATCAGTGAGTCAGTGAGTGTTCCAGAACTGCTTCCACAAGGAGCCCTGCGTCGCTTCTGCATCAGGGTCCACAACAGGATCGCCCTGCTTGACGTCTGGGATGAACTGGAAGAGCGCCAGAACAGTGATCAGCGGCAATATCGAAGCGATTAAAGATGCTTTCCAGAGGTTGTCAAACTGGCTCGACTCGCCCATGGACCCTGTCGGATTCACACCCATACTTTCCAGAAGCAGGGCCCCCCAACTGCTGGCAATTGTGTTGCCCAGATTGTGGCACCCGGCCAAAAGAGCGTACATCGTTGCCTCCATGCCCCTGGGGCAGAAGTAGGACAGAATAATGACCTGAGGCATCCATTGCCATTGCTCCAGGATGTGCTGCATACAGCTGGTACCTCATGGGACGCGGGACGGAAGAGACATGCCAATTTTCGTCTGCACCTTTCAGCTACACATCCGTATCCAATATATCAGAATCAGCTAGAAACATCAACAAACACTAGATGGCTCACAAGCTTGAGCACACCACCTAAGAACTACACCTCCCAAATCCGAATGGAAAGGAATCATGTACAAGGTTGCCCCACCCTTCGACTCTCACCGAACTGGATTCCACGTTCATGGCGAAAGCGGCCCTGATGCGTTGCTTCATGCCAAGGCTCCGAGCACGAACGCGTGGTCTGGAATGCCCCAACTCAGATTCAGGCGCTTGAACCTGGGCCGCGTGCAATTTTACCTACTTTGACGTGTCGGGACACCACATAAGCCCCTCAAGGAAAACACCGCTTCCTTGGACCAGCTTACCTTCAGACATCCGAAGCCACTCAACATGTAACCCCATCGCCAACTCAAAAACCAATTCGCTTAGTTCGCCTCGGCTTAATGGCTTAATCGGCGGCTCGAACGATTACGCCGTTGGAAGGACTCGCAGCTGGCTCCGGCCCACACCTGCGACATCTGCCCTGCACAACTTACCGGGCGTACAAACCAACACTACACATGCTGAAGCCCTGAAGATGCTGATTCGCCTACCGTACACCTCGCGCGCGTCGAGTGCAACCTGCCGGAATCGGGGCCTTGAGTGCCACCTCATACAGAAGATGAAAAAGACTGCCCTCTGATCGAGTTCAGGAAGTTCCGGCCGGTTTATCTACAACTCCACACGTACTTTCAACATTGCCCAAATGTTTCCACATGGCTTCGTCGCCTCCGCTCCGCTTCTATTGGCCTCAGCCCTGAGTCTTTTGCTGTCTGACGTCCCGCCATAAGCAACACCCGGGCCAGAGCCTGTCGCTCTTGTGGCGGACGTTTCGCTGTTCAAACCGTCAGGCATCTTACTTGATCTCCGACGTTTTCCGGGCCTAAATCGGCTCAAGAGCAAAGACAAACGTGCTTCCGCAAAAAAATGCGCATCCGCGAAGACTCCCGCACATTTCTGTCACCACAGTGCAGAGCAAGATTCTGGAGCAAACCACCGATGTTCTTCCAATAGTAAAGAGGTCAAGAGCTCTGTTCACACATTATGCGTCCAGGTAGCAGGATTGTGTCAAGGGCATTCATGTTGCAAAGAACGATATTGGTGACCACCAGCAAGTTCCTCAACAGCGCACGTCACCCAGGCCGTAAGGCCTGTGAGGCTCTTGAGACCCAAGGTACCTATAGAACGAGTACTCGTTCTTACCGTTGCAGTACCAATTTTACCTCAGAATGCAAAGCACAGAGGCCACGCTGCTACTTCTGACTCCTTTTGCTCCTTTTGACATGTGTGGGTGGAGCGTGGTCCTGGCCCCTCAGCATCCCCCAAGCAACCAGTTAAAGACGTTAACAGATAATCTTCTGGATTGGGGCATGTAGTAAGTAGCTTTAAACAAAAAGGGAGACACAACCCAGCATCCGGTAGCGATAGCTGCTGAAGTAGCGCTGAAATGTGACGATTCCCACCTTACGACTCAGAGCCGTGAAATGCTTGAAGGGGCTTGACCAACTGTAACGATCTGAGAAGCTGAGCCTACTGTGCAACATGCTTCGACTCGCTACTTGAGTAGTGGCCAAGGAGCCAAGGACATGACAGCCCCAACCTTAGCTGAAGACTTCAACCATTCGCACTCCATCCCACTCCGCACGGGGCGGGGCAAGAATCCTGGAAAGCTGCTCCTTGTGGACGCGGAGCTGTTCCAATCACCGAGTTGTAGTAGAGAGGTGTAAAATGAGGACCCTCCGGAACAAACTGCAGTTGCTGGCAGCTCACATCGATGTACAGCCCGCTGAGGGAAGACTGGCCTCTTTGTACTGCTGCTCAGTATCTGTCATGAAATAGAACGAAGCTCCACCTTGGTGCAGGTTGGCGTTGATGGACGATGGACACTTCTCTCTTGGCATCTTCCTTGCGAATCGCAGCTTGCATCTCAGGCACTTGTTGACAGAGACAGTGACGTCTGCAACAAAGAGAACAAGTTGAATTTTGCGATGGTCGGAGACAGGAACACCTGAAGCGGAGCATAAATATAGGGAGTCCGGCAGCTTGGCAGCAAGACACTCAAGTCGCCGAGCAACGCTGAAGAAGAAGCCAACCACAAAGAACGCCACGGTGGCAGCGATGGCGTTGGTACGGGTGCTTGAAGACAGCAGCCCACAAGCCGTTAAGCCAAGGCAAACCACACAAATTAGCCTTGGTGATCGTTCAAGCGGATATGCTTCTGTTGGCAGGGGAATGGGGCCTTGGGCGGTTGGTCTATTGCTTGCTTGAAAACGCTGTTTTCTGAAATTGTAGGGCTGTGCTGACAAGGCACAGGCTTAAGAAGGCAGCTTCTTTCTGCCTCGTAGCCCGAAGCACACGTGAAATCAGATTCTTCCAATAAGCAATAGACTTTCATACACCCAAGAGCTGCCCAGCTGCGCATAAAACTTTTTCCTTTTGTCAGCCTCAATGACAATGCGTGGGTGCTTGATCACAGACTTGAGCAGGATTATGCAGCCTATTGTTCAGAATCTGGAAGACCAATATGCTTGTAAGTTGGGAGCCGTCTCCTCTGGCCGCACCACTTTTTCTTCAAGACAGCCGCAGAACAGGGGAATGAGCACCTGGCACAGTAAACCAACTGTCGTCCCAATCTCTCGCTTTTGGGGGGTGACTCAGCAACATGCAGTAAAACGGCTGCTTCGTAGTAAGGCAGTTGCCAATCCCGCTGGAAGAACCTCGGTACGGCCACTGCATCCTGCTACCCAGACGTCCATGTTTCAGGATGTCAGCATGGCGTCCGTGCCAAGAGCCTCACAGAAAGCAAATAGGGCAACTTCGGCGATGAATGTGCCAGCAGAAGGCCGGAGAACAGGATGCCCAGAACAGACCTCACGATGCAGTGTTCTACATATTCCTACATGTTTCGACATATGTCCACCCTACAGTAGTTAGTGTCATGAAGGGATGTACACTTACAAACACATGTAAATGTTTAAGGAGTTTGTGCTTCGGGGAGGTGCTTGAATCAGCTTGCAGGTGAGGCCTCCAAATCCTTCCTGTGTGGTGCAACTGTCTTACTCATCTAAGCAAGTGGCCCGGCATTCATACCAAACCACACGAAGCCTCAGCACACACATGAAGGACTTCTCTGTGTTCTTTGAAACTTCTTGATATCATGAGAAATCAATGCATCGCGAAATGCAATCAGAAGGCTCAAGATATGGCTCCCGAAGGCTGGCACGTCCTGGATTTTCTGGGCATACCTTGCCTCGGGTTCTGCAGCAGGCTGTTGTGTACGAAGCATGCCTGCCGCATGCCGCAAGCTGGATAACCGCCAAGTGGCTTCAGTCAAGATGTCGCACACCGACAACTGGGACTGTTGCAGGAAGAAGCAAGTCACCAGCCTCGGTTTAGCTGGGGGGTCGGAATGTTGTATTTGCATTGCTACGATGTAAGTGGAGCGACTCTGTGTTGCAACAAGCGAGAGAATGTCTCAACAGTGCTCAAAGCAAAGATGTTCACAACTGTGAGCTCCAACCGCTTGGCTTGCCATTTTTTAGAGCCCTGTAGCTTGTAGAGTGCATCCTCTATTGAGGCCTTTCTGCAGCCAACCAAACTTGTTGATGCCTATTGCAGGTTTGGGCTAGGGCCCCCAACCCCGGATGCAAGTCAATCCAAGAGGCAATGACACTGGAAGCATTTCGTGCGGAACGACTCCCACGGCAAGGAAGGCCACAGTGCCAAGGATCACGGAACCGACCATGTAGGGCGCCTTGTGGTATCCACCTGAGCTGTACTTCCTGGGCAACTTGTCACAACAAGCCAAGCGGCAACGCATGCTTCAAAGACGCCTATTGGCATGATGTCGCTGATGAGGCCCACGACCGGCTTCAAAGCCCATGGAAGAGAAGCAATTCCTCCAAAGGTAACTCGACGCTTCCCTGGTGTCAGGTTCGCAACTTAGGAAAAGCAGAAAAGCCTGAGAAGATCTGAACTTGAGGAGCTGGGACCGCATACCTTGCTCCAGACGGCCACTCGCACAAAAACCGTTACGACATCGGCATATCTACGCTCTTGCGACAAAGCTTCGTCTTGTACACGTAGGAATCCTTGGCTAAAAACGCCAGTAGGGCAATCGCAGAATTCAGGAGTTTAATTAGGGGTTGGCACAAAACTTTGTTGAGAACATTGAGAAGGACATGGAAAGATTTCCGAGAAGTGCCAAGGTGCTGCTTGCCCCGCAAAGTCGGAGACAAAACCTCTGTTGACCTCAAAGGTTTGTAGGGTTTGAGACTCGGCAGAAAGAGAATCAGAGAACAACATGAGAGCAAGGAGCATGCGCTCACCTCGCCAATGCAAGTTTTAGCGGCATGCTCCACGAAAAACAGCAAGACGATGAGCTTGTACCCGATGGCCCCTATCATTTCGGCACAGACAGAATGAACCGCATGTGTAATGACATCATAAAAATGCATCATCATATCGGCAGCTTGGGAAAAATCTTTGGATGAACTTTCGAAGGCTAAAAGCAAGATTCGCCTGACAGGTCATCGATGAACTCCGCAGCGCCGCAGCTCCACGAGCACTCGCCTGCAGCGCAAAGGGGTTCGAAGCTGAAGGCCACTGAAGGCCTTTAAGTGACCTGGCTGCATGGTGCAGTTACTGGTGCCTGGCGCGAACATGCGATCGAGCCACGCCGCGGCTTCCCGCTAAGCAGTGTCACCTTCTCGTCACCATCTTCGAGACTGTCCTCATTCTTCTTGTTCTGCCCGTCATCCATGAATAGTCGCCACAGCGCGGTCCGATGAGATTACCGGATGGGAAGTCCTCAGCCTAAGATGTCCATGAAAGTTCAGCACCTGACATTCGAGCCATTTGGCTAGGCAACAAGCATCTCACGTGAGGGGAGGGGAAGTGCCACAGTTTTCCACAGCCGAGCAGGGTCAGGGCAGGTCCTGGCCATCTTCGAGCTCCGGCATCAAGGTACCTACCAGTAGAAATCCAAGAAACACATGGCACAGGGCTTCGCATGGCCCAAAGCCTGTGCCTGGCCGCGATGAGTGCCGTTCCTGCCGCTCTATTGTCTGCGCAGGGTGGAACTATGTGAGACATGTTTACGTCACCCCTCCCCCCTTCCCGGCAGTCCGAAGCCAGGTGCTCTATCATGGCACTGACTTCACCTGGCGCTGCCTCAGGGGGTGTTGCGTGTGTTAGGGTTTCGGGCGGCAAGGGCTTGGAGTTGAGGAGTTGTGGGTCGGGTTTAGGGTTTAGGGTTGGAGGCTTCGTTGACAGGTGGGAACTCGACCCTCCCCCCTTCCCACCAGTCTCCTGCGTTTGCGAAGCCAGGTGCTCTATCATGGCACTGACATCACCTGGCGCCGCCTCAGGGGGTGTTGCGTGTGTTAGGGTTTCGGGCGGCAAGGGCTTGGAGTTGAGGGGTTGTGGGTCGGGTTTAGGGTTTAGGGTTGGAGGCTTCGTTGACAGGTGGGAACTCGACCCTCCCCCCTTCCCACCAGTCTCCTGCGTTTGCGAAGCCAGGTGCCCTATCATGGCACTGACATCACCTGGCGCCGCCTCAGGGGGTGTTGCGTGTGTTAGGGTTTCGGGCGGCAAGGGCTTGGAGTTGAGGGGTTGTGGGTCGGGTTTAGGGTTTGGGGTTGGAGGCTTCGTTGACAGGTGGGAACTCGACCCTCCCCCCTTCCCACCAGTCTCCTGCGTTTGCGAAGCCAGGTGCCCTATCATGGCACTGACATCACCTGGCGCCGCCTCAAGGGGGTGTTGCGTGTGTTAGGGTTTCGGGCGGCAAGGGCTTGGAGTTGAGGGGTTGTGGGTCGGGTTTAGGGTTTAGGGTTGGAGGCTTCGTTGACAGGTAGGAACTCGACCCTCCCCCCTTCCCACCAGTCTCCTGCGTTTGCGAAGCCAGGTGCCCTATCATGGCACTGACATCACCTGGCGCCGCCTCAGGGGGTGTTGCGTGTGTTAGGGTTTCGGGCGGCAAGGGCTTGGAGTTGAGGGGTTGTGGGTCGGGTTTAGGGTTTAGGGTTGGAGGCTTCGTTGACAGGTGGGAACTCGACCCTCCCCCCTTCCCACCAGTCTCCTGCGTTTGCGAAGCCAGGTGCCCTATCATGGCACTGACATCACCTGGCGCCGCCTCAGGGGGTGTTGCGTGTGTTAGTTTCGGGCGGCAAGGGCTTGGAGTTGAGGGGTTGTGGGTCGGGTTTAGGGTTTAGGGTTGGAGGGTTGACAGGTGGGAACTCGACCCTCCCCCCTTCCCACCAGTCTCCTGCGTTTGCGAAGCCAGGTTATCATGGCACGGGCCGCCTCAGGGGGTGTTGTCGGGCGGCAAGGGCTTGGAGTTGAGGGTTGTGGGTCGGGTTTAGGGTTTAGGGTTGGAGGCTTCGTTGACAGGTGGAACTCGACCCTCCCCCCTTCCCACCAGTCTCCTGCGTTTGCGAAGCCAGGTGCCTATCATGGCACTGACATCACCTGGCGCCGCCTCAGGGGGTGTTGCGTGTGTTAGGGTTTCGGGCGGCAAGGGCTTGGAGTTGAGGGGTTGTGGGTCGGGTTTAGGGTTTAGGGTTGGAGGCTTCGTTGACAGGTGGAACTCGACCCTCCCCCCTTCCCACCAGTCTCCTGCGTTTGCGAAGCCAGGTGCCCTATCATGGCACTGACATCACCTGGCGCCGCCTCAGGGGGTGTTGCGTGTGTTAGGGTTTCGGGCGGCAAGGGCTTGGAGTTGAGGGGTTGTGGGTCGGGTTTAGGGTTTAGGGTTGGAGGCTTCGTTGACAGGTAGGAACTCGACCCTCCCCCCTTCCCACCAGTCTCCTGCGTTTGCGAAGCCAGGTGTCATGGCACTGACATCACCTGGCCGCCTCAGGGGGTGTTGCGTGTGTTAGGGTTTCGGGCGGCAAGGGCTTGGAGTTGAGGGGTTGTGGGTCGGGTTTAGGGTTTAGGGTTGGAGGCTTCGTTGACAGGTGGGAACTCGACCCTCCCCCCTTCCCACCAGTCTCCTGCGTTTGCGAAGCCAGGTGCCCTATCATGGCACGGACATCACCTGGTGCCGCCTCAGGGGGTGTTGCGTGTGTTAGGGTTTCGGGCGGCAAGGGCTTGGAGTTGAGGGGTTGTGGGTCGGGTTTAGGGTTTAGGGTTGGAGGCTTCGTTGACAGGTGGGAACTCGACCCTCCCCCCTTCCCACCAGTCTCCTGCGTTCGCGAAGCCAGGTGCCCTATCATGGCACGGACATCACCTGGTGCCGCCTCAGGGGGTGTTGCGTGTGTTAGGGTTTCGGGCGGCAAGGGCTTGGAGTTGAGGGGTTGTGGGTCGGGTTTAGGGTTTAGGGTTGGAGGCTTCGTTGGTGGGAACTCGCCCCTCCCCCCTTGCCAGCAGTCTCCTGCGTCTGTGAAGCCAGGTGCTCTATCATCATGGCATCGACATGGGTTTCGGGCGGCAAAGGCTTAGGTCATAGATTAGGGTTGAGGAGTTTTCGGGTCGTGTTTAGGGTTTGGTTGGAGGCTTCGTTGACAGGTGGGAACTCGCCCCTCCGCCCTTCCCAGCAGTCTCCTGAGTCTGCGAAGCCAGGTGCCCTATCATGGCATCGACATCACCTGGCGCCGCCTCAGGGGGTTTTGCATGTGTTAGGGTTTCGGGTGGCAAGGGGTTAGACTCGAGGAGTTGCGTACGCGGCGGGCGCGGTGGGCGCGGTTGGCGCTCTGGGCGTGGTTGGCGCGGCTGCGCGGCTGGCGCGGCGGGTGTACAGGGCGCGGCTAGTTCCAGACATTTGGAACCTGACAATCCTCTCCACTCTGTTGCCTTGCGCCCCCCAAACTAGAGAACTGTTGTCCCGAAAGCATCTTCAAGCCACGATTAAAACCTCGCATCGCGCCATCCATCCTCATGGCGGGGGGAAGTGGGTTGTTATTTGGGTCAAGCCTCTAAGCCTCTTTCCCCCGGAAGCCTCTGTAAGCCTCTAAGCCTCTATAAGCCTCTATAAGCCTCTAAGCCTCTATCCCGGTGAAGCCTCTATTTTTTCTGAAATTTGTCCAGCCTCTTTAAGCCTCTAAGCCTCTATCCGCCTGAGCCTTGGAATTTCCGACCAAGTCTCTTTAAGCCTCTAAGCCTCTATAAGCCTCTATAAGCCTCTATAAGCCTCTTTAAGCCTCGAAAAGCCTCTCGTCCCGCGGGCCTAAAGGGGCTCTCAGAGGCGCTCAGAGGCGCTTAGAGGCGCTTAAAGGCGCTTAAACGCGCTTAAAGGCGCTTAAAGGCGCCTCAAGGCGCCTAAAGGCGCTTAAAGGCGCTCAAAGGCGCTCAAAGGCGCTTAAAGGCGCCTAAAGGCGCTTAAAGGCGCTTAAAGGCGCTTAGAGGCGCTTCAAGGCGCTTCAAGGCGCTTACATCAAATTTCTCAAACTTGGAAAGGCGCTTGTCCGCATAGGCGCTTAAAGGCGCCTGAAGGCGCTTAGGCGCTTGAGAAAATGATAGGCGCTTGTGGCTATAGGCGCTTAAAGGCGCTTAGGCGCTTGGGCCAAATATGTGCGCCCGCCTCCCCGCAATGTCCATCCTTGCATCATCGAACTGCGACATCCATCGCGACATCTAACGAAGACCCCTCACGAAGACCACCCGCCATCCAGGTCCATCACGACATCCATCCACGCGTCAACGATAACGAAGAACCTTCAAGAAGACCACCCGCCATCCATCACGACATCGACAACGAAGCACCTTCATGAAGACACCCGCCTTCCATCACGACGTCAATCACGACATCCATCCATGCATCAACGATAACGAAGCACCTTCACGAAGACCACCCACGCACCATCCATCACGACATCAATCACGACATCCATCCTTGCATCAAGAGTAACGAAGAACCTTCACGAAGACCGCCCGCCATCCATCACGACATTTTTCCATGCATCAACCACCCACCATCCACCACGGCATCCATCACGACATCCATCCATGCATCAACGATAACGAAGAAGCTTCACGACACCCCAAGAACACGTAGAGGGTCGTCGTTCGCGATCGAACATGTGAACGCCTCCCACGCGCCAGCAGCACGACACCCCGCGAACACGCAGAGGGTTGGCGTTCACGCGATCACGACACGCCGGGAACACGCAGAGGGTTGGCGTTCACGCGATCACGACACGCCGGGAGCATGCAGAGGATCGTCGCTTTTGCGTCTCGACAACGCAAAAACACGTACGGCGTTTTTGCACTTTTTTTAACCAGGTGCGGCGGCTCCCGCCAACCCTCCCCCGTGCTTCACATATTAATTTTAAGAGGAAGACCCACGAAATCCATCACGCCATCCATTCAGGCAGCATCACGCCATCCATATATAACGACGACATATAATTGAAAACCACCTCCGCTGAAAAACCCTCCGCCATGCTTTCGGGACGAAAAGCACGCCGGCAACTGCTTCGCTGCTTTTCTGGGCTTCTACGGCATCACTTATTCTGAGTGTTCCTCCAACACAGGGCTGTTACGAGCAGTTTCGATTAGACTTGTTTTCTTGGGCGGAGGGCCAGGCAGCGAAAGCTCAGCGGTTGGAAGCGCTTCAGGAGGAACGAGGCAACCCCCTGCGAGCGCGCGCTATGCCACTGCGTTGACGGGATGAACTGTTAGACTCAGTTAGACGTCTCAGGCATGGTTCGATGATAGCTCGGGTAAGTGTGCATGGGGTCGATGTTGCACAGAATGTATTGTTAGATAGGGTCTTTCTTTGACCGGTGCAGGTGAGACAAGTGTTTTCGAAGAGTTCTGCTTGTTGAGTTGGTTTAAGGCCCGGTTTAGCTTGGTCTAGCTTGGCTCAAGCCATGCTCAGAATCTCAAACTGTTGTCAGATTCGTCAGTGCATCAGGGGAGAGGGCAGCTCAGCAGTTTTCAAAGCAGCTGAAGCGTCCGGTCATGCCATCCGATCATCCGACTGATCTGTTTTCGGGCCCTGGAAATCAAGAGGCCAGGTGTTTGAAATCCAAAGCTGAAATCCCAGGCCCACAGGCCTTGGATTTCAAAAGCCCTTTACGATCAGAGGCCAGGCATTCGAAGTAAAAAGGCTCCCCTCGGATTAAGATTTGGGTAGCCTTTGGGTGCAAACATTGGGCTGGCAAGCGGAGGGGACGATCTCTCAATCATTAAGATTTGGACCCTCCCTTCTGCAAGGCAGGGTATGAGCGGAAGCTAGGTTGCGCTGCGCAGGGGTTGCTGAGGCGGGTTGGGCCGTGACGGATGGGCATTTGGAATCTTCAGGGATCACACTTAGCACAAGCATGTGGAATCCAGAATGCAAACCGCAACCATCCGCCGCAGCAGCAGTTGTTTGTCGGATGTGTGCATGGCTCTGTGCTGGACATCAAAAGCACCAACTGTGTGAGATTGGAGTTTGCTCGTTGAATTCATGCAAAAGTTGCTAAACTGTAGTACCATCCTAGGTCCCGGGTTGACTCGGCAACACGGCTTCATGCGGCTTCTATAGTCTCCGCATGTCTCCGCCTCTGCGTCTCTTTCGGCGGGTTCTTGTGCTCTCTGTTGCTGCCTCCAGCCACTTCATTGGCCATGCTGCTCACAGATCATTGGCAATGGTATCTGTATTGACGGTGCAGCCGCGAAGCTGCTTCTGATCAGGCTGCGGCTCATGCTCCTCCGCAAGAGGACACGTGAGGATGACTCCGCAAACGAAACATAACGAAACGTACAAGTGGAGTCCTCAGATTCGTCCAGGACTGTGGAGGCCACCTCTCGGCAGGCTTAAAGCCTACACGGCCTACGCAACATCACAAGATAGCCTAACGACTCTGACGGTTTGGATGGGCCCAGCTTCTCCAGCTTTTCGTAATACGGATGAAGATACAGCAACTTGGTGAGCGATCTTGGCGGCGGTCCTCGTCTGGGCAGTCCTCCTGCTTCCTGAACTCCTGGGCACTTTTGACCTCAAAATCCGGAGCTCGACGGCGGCGCTGGTCCTAAACCTCTCGAAGCCCTTATCCGAACACGACTCGAAACAAGGTCCGGGCTACCCGGGCAACGATGTCTTCGAAGTTCCCGGGAGCTTGCAAATCCGCTTTGAGCCTCTTTTGTGGCTCAGCCATTGCGACTTCTGCAGGTCTCTTCGACTGCTGCGGCGAAGCTGGCTGACGAAGGTCAGAAGTGCCTGTTCGGACATGAGATGCTGGGATAAAAGAGGTTCACAAGTTGGACTCCATCGCTGGCGTCTGCTCGTGCATCTCAGACTTCCGGGACTTCAGGTTGAGCATCCAGGGCGGATTTATGTACCGGAGCCGGGCATTGAGGCTTTCAGGCTTTGCGTGTTGCATTGTTTATCACTCAAAGAGTCGAAGAGGTTGAGGGTTTCCATGGGTTTCGATGTCGATGCCGTCGATCAGTCTCGGATAGTCTTGGGGCGCAAGAGCCGGAGATTGAAGGTTCCACTCTTACCAGGTATGGTTGGTATTGAGTGATTTAGAGGGGTTCACAGAGAAGTGCAAAACTTGCCTGGAGCTTCACTCCGAAGTACGGGTGCTCCCGGTACCGGTACCGCCGGTACCACCGGTACCGCCGGCACCGCCTAAGCAGTTCTGAATTTGGAATGTGCGGAATTGAAGGGCATTGTCGCCCTGCTGTGAAGGGGATCATAATTTCCATATATTTCCATGACGGAGGCAGTGTCACGCCTCTCGGTTGCCGCCCCTCCCGAACAAGTTCACACTCTTGGCAGGGGTGCCTGCACGCTGCTCTGCGCGTTCAGTTCGACAGAAGATGAGCATGAAACCTGTGCCTGTGGCAAGTTGGCTGGAGCTGCTCCTCGATGAGGATGTCTCACACCCTTCGGGAATGGGTGCGAGATGGTGCAAGCATGCGCAAACACCTGGAACATCCTCGGTGCAACCATGCCACGTGGAGGCTCGAGAGGCTCGACGCTATCAGCCTTGGGAGCGCAACTTGCGCAACCCCAGTCCTTGTGCCCGACGCCTTCAACTCAGAGTACCTCAGAGTCGCGGACGGCGATGACTAAGTAGCCCTTGCCGTGATCGAAGACGATGTCACCCTTCACAGCGCCCAGGTGAAGTGCCTGCCCGGATCCACACGGAATCTCTTGTCTGCCATGTCTTCACAATTCTCAGCCTCTCCCACCGTCTTGGCCTTCTTGTAGCCTTCGTACCTCCCCGAGAATGGGGGTTCGGGGGGCCACCCCAGGAGCTACAGCTGCTGTCCACCTCTTCCAGCTGCCGGTTCCGGGCCTTTTGGGGTTCTGCTGGGAAAACCTGGGAGAAAGTTGAGAAGTGTTTGTTGTTCCGAAACGATGTGGCTGAAGACTCTGGCCGAATTTGCGTTGCAGCATTCTGCAAACTTGCATTGCCACTCCGCTTGGACATGTCAGCATGCGGTCGTTTCTGTGTTTGGGGACGGATGAGCTCGAGCGCTTTCCCGAATAGCTACTCTCAGTATTTCGACGAAGTAAAACTGGAGATCGACCATTGCCTTCTAGGACTCATGCCGCACATGGTGACGGTGGGGTTGCATGTTGCTCACTTCGAGTCAGTGTATGCACCTCATGAGAGGCTGGTGATTAACAGAACAGGAAACGAGCCACAGGCACATGGAGAAGCAGATGAGTTTCCACAAGCTTCCACAACATGCCCGAATGGTCAGTCATTGCTTGCCAGCACATCGCTGGCTCCTGGCTGCACCATGCGGCACCACAGAAGCAAGCTTTTGCTTGAAGGACACCTTTGGTGCACCTACGAAGCCAATCTACTGATGTGAGACTGGGAGGTCTCGCCGTGCCGACCTGCATCTAGCCGCTAACCAGCATGTGACCATCATGCTATCCGTGCTATCCCTCAAGCTGCAGGCACTGCAGGAAGACAGCAGCACACCCTTGGCAGCCTTGTGCCTCCAAAGGGGCCGAACATTAAACTAGCAGCACTAGCACTTCTGCTTCCAAAAGATCGGATCTCTATTGCCAGCTACTTCTATCGGAGGCGCGAAAAGTCAAAGGCGCAACAGATTCGGCCAATGCATCTGTGCGCTTTACAATGATTCACGCTAGGTTTCAATGTGACCTGGGGCCTTTTCCTCCAAAGCTCTTGAATCTGTAAGTCTGTACACAACAGAAGATGACGCGAGCCATCCTCGAAAAGTGAGCTTCATGTACGGCTCTGGCAGCAGCACCTTGGGACAGACCGACATCACTGCTTGAGGCTGTATAGGCGCGAGCAACATGCCCTTCATAATACTGGAGGGGCAAGCCGCGGACAAGGAAAGCTAGCCTAGGCTTTATGAGCGATTGCACAACCCTAGCCCAAGACAAGGCCCGGCAGTCGCCCGCTTTAAACAGTCTACCCAGTAGCCCTGAAGCTTGAAACCTGAAGTCTCAAGCTTTAACCCCCCCACAGTCACCCACAATCTTACACTTAAGACTTGATCAAAGCCCACAAGCTTGACCCTTGACAACCTCAAGCCCTAAACCCTCAACCCCTGAACCCTAAACAAAGACGGGCTGTTTGTTCTCTCGAAGGATAAGAACCCCCCTAATACTTAAAGTCTTTTCGGGGTTGTTGTTTGGGGGTGGGGGGGTGGGGGGGGGAAGGGGGCGTCTAACATTAGGGGAAGGGGTTAGCGGGTTAGCGTTCACTCGCGCTTCGGACTCTACCTTTTCTGCCACAGCTCAAGGGCCCTTCGAGAGGTAACAGCAACAGCACAGAAACTGTACAACATGCAAGCTGTCACTGTTCTTGAAACTACACATGAAAAGGCACGCACTCAAGCTATACATGCAAGAATCGAGGTGATATTCACACCCGTCTTACTTATTGATGCGTGCCTGGGGCTCATTCGCTGTTCGGTTGAGTTCGAGAGTAAACTGTACAGCGTCTATACAGGTGTGCCTCTACCAGACTGATTCCACGGTAATTTCGAGCTCACTATTTCGGACGATCACATCTGTACATCTCTGCTCCCGTCACTCATTTGTCGTCATCATCTTGACTTCACTCTTGGTGAGCTTGCGATCGGGATCTGATAGTTCTCCGGTCTTGCGATCCGAAGCCAGCTGCCCGTTGCGGTGCAGCCCCAGACATCTCGCCAGGCGACGCTCTGACGGATGCTTGTGACTACCACTGCTGCTTGCCAAAAAACATTGCCTCGATCTTACGATTCGGGGACTTTCTCTTCTCACACTCCTCTCAAATACAACCAGTCCAAAGGCCAGCTGGAAGTACCCCCTGCACAATGAGGGGAGCAGCTCCGCTACCAGTTAGCGTTCACTCGCGCTTCGGACTCTACCTTTTCTGCCACAGCTCAAGGGCCCTTCGAGAGGTAACAGCAACAGCACAGAAATTGTACAACATGCAAGCTGTCACTGTTCTTGAAACTACACATGAAAAGGCACGCACTCAAGCTATACATGCAAGAATCGAGGTGATATTCACAGCGGGTAAGACCCCATCTCACACCTCATCCCCCCTTTCTTCTTTTTGACGATCCCACCCCCTCTTCTTCCTTACCTTCTTCTCTTCTCAAACAGCTCGCAACCCCATCGGCACGCACCCGAAAGCGCACACCGCAGGCAGCGAGTCCAAATTTCTCTGGTCCAAAAGCTAAAGCGAAGTGGGTCTGCACGAACACCAGCTGTACATGGTGGAGTGGCCCTCGCTGAAAAGCCGAACTTAAATGAGATGCGACTAGATGCAACTCAACACCTACGACGGTCAGCCCTGAAAAGTCAACTGTACATCGAAATACAAAGACGTGGGCGACTGCATACGAATAATAGCTCACAAGCACAGAGCATGAGCCGCGTAAAAATGAGCAACCTTCTTCCATACCCTCTTCATCTTTCTCCCTCCCCCAGTCCTCTTCTTCTTTTCCAGCCGACCTTCTTGTTGATTTGCTCATGCAATATACACTATATACCTTGCCTTGCCTTTTTCCTGGCTTGTCCTCTCCCCGTTTCTCCCTATCCCATTCCTCTTCGTTTTGTTCCATCAGACCTTCTTGTTGATGTTCACACGCAATTTACATAGCACATATGCATATATATATACATATATATATGTAGGCATAGGCATAGGCATAGGAATAGGCATAGGCATAGACATAGATATAGATGCGTAATAAATGTTGATAAATCATATCGGCGCGGTTGTTCTGCTTATTGGCGTGTCTTCGCTTATTGTGCGGTTGTTCACTGTGCGGTTGTTTTGCTTTTTGAAGTCGCCCTACACGCGTAATGTCACGACAGGCACTACGACTGCCATTGGACACGCTCGATCCAGTTGAAGTCCTGACATCTGAGAAAAAACCCACACGGCATGGAACGCGTGTGTCAAAAGGAACTAACTCTCAGGGAAATAACTGGTGATTGATATGTGATCTGGTGCTGAGCCACCAGGAAAACCAACAGACCAGGATAACCACAGATCCCAACAAATTGACTTCTAGAGACAGAGGTTAACAATCCCAGCCTGACAGTAAACATGACTCCCTTTATGATTGTAAACAAACCCCTGGATGAATGAGGTTGTCATGGGCATCTCACGTATGTCACCCCTTGATTGGCTGACCTTGTGCAAAAAAACAATGTGAACCACTCCACAACCTGAGCAGTCGACAAGTCTCACTCTTCCTTCCAGAGCTTTTGACACAGTTGTCACCTTGCAAGCACCAAGATTGAAGGGTTCATCGAAGCACGGCATCCAGACTCTGTGGAAACATGGCCAGGCTGGCAATGATGTGCGCGAGGAGGATTTGGACTCTTGCGCAGCTCCTCGCCAGGAATGTCTCTCTCTCCCTCTCTCTCTCTCTCTCCCATGGGCTTCATGAAGCCTTGGTGTAAAACTTGTGGACCCTCGCCGGGAGCCACAGGACCTGAGTAGGACACAGCAGGACACACAGGAACAGCTTGGAGTGGCATCCCTGGGCATCATGCTACCCCAACTTGCCCAGCCAGCGTATCCAGCCAAGCCTTGTCAGGAGAGGGCAGAGCTGACCTGAAGGTGACCTGAGGGCCTATCTGATCAGCGGCCTCTATTTTTCTCTCCTGGTTGGCACAGCAAACGCCTCGGTACTTTCAGCATCATGATCCGAACACCTGAATGAATCTACTCGTCTTCGCCGTCATGAGGATGCCACCCTTTCGGCTTTCCCGCCGCCTCACACGCAACTACATAATCTACATGGTACAAGGAAGCAGTTCGAGGATGCTGCTGGGTTTTTGGTTTCCAGGCACTTCGTGGCTCGTTTGTGGATATGCCTCCCAGGCTTCTGCAAGTCGTCGTGCCCCTTTGGCACCGACGGGATTCTCGAGTAGGCGAAGCCTGGAAATGTCAAGATTAGTCAAAAAAATCTCCTTCCTCACAGGATGCCACGCTTGCAATCTGAGATCTGCGCCAGTCGAGATGGCCACATTGGGGCACTGCCTAGAGGGAAGCAGAGGGAAGCAGAGGGAAGCAGAGGGAAGCCCAGCTCTTAGTTCTCCAGGTGATCCAAACGTTTTTGGACACTTTTCGGATTGTTTCAGCCTGCCTCTGCAAGCCTCCCGACGCCCGGGTCAGCAATGCAGTTCCGGTAGAGGTCAAGCCTTGGAACAACTTGGAACAGTGAAGCCGTGCCTAGACGAACATACCCCTCTGCCGGTAGGCATAAGGGCCAGGATGGGTAATACCGATTCACGAACGACGATGATCCTGGAGGATGGGTGGGGGCCGGCAGGGGTGGGGATTGGTAGAGGGGTTCGGTGATGCCTGGAAAATTCTAATCCCAGCACATCACCGTGCCTGAAAGGGGGGGAGGGGGGCTGCTCTTCCATCTGCTCCTCTTAATTACTATAAACCAACCTTCTAAGAACCACAACTACTACAGATTCCCCCGGACCAGTGCCTGTTCCTGGCCCATTTGCAACTGCACTGTTTAGAAGCCGAAGGAAGCCAGAAGAATCGAACAGCCAGAACAATGGAACAAGAAGCCTATATAGTTCACCAAGCAGTTCTCCTTGAATCGCATCACCTGCTTCTTGCCCGCACCAACTCTACCAGAACAAGAGCCAAAGAGTAGCCAGTACCGTTTCGAGGGGGTCATCCTGAAAGCAAGCCTAGGTTCTTGGAGTGCTGAGCGTATTCGTGATCCAAAGAGTTCTTGGCTTCCCAAAAATGCGAAAGTTTCGCAGATCCTGAAGCCGAGAACGTGCTGTTGGAGCATGAACAAGCAGAGGATTGTTGAGTGTTATCCACAATATGCAACACACTGTGCATTAGGAGGATCTCATGGACGTAAGGGTACGCATACTCATCGGCTGAAGCTGCAAAGCCGTCTGTTTGCCTGTGATTGTGCGGGTGTGTGTGTGTGTGTGTATTTGGAAGCTCTCGGTTTGGAACATTCCAACAGACAAACACTCTGACATAAATGATCTTCAGAAGATGCAAGGATGAGATCTGCCCACGCTTGTCGTGTTCTTGCACGTTCATGTCATCAAGTCCACAACTTTATTAAAGAGATTTTGACGAGTGCGAGAACTGCCTTCGGTTTCTGGGAGTCTCTGGCAACAACAGCCCCTGCCAGCAGACTTACAAACATGCACAAACACGGACCATCAAAGTCCGTGCCTAGCAGCTTACCAATGTGCTGTTAAGACATGTGAGTACCTCTCCAGCTTCTTGTAGATTCGATGCCCGATGATGCCAAAGCAGCTTCAGAGTCTTAAAGAAAGGGCTCAGCGGGATCTGCCAGTTTCGCACAAAAAAAACCTGCTGCAATCAGATTCAAATTGCAACTCTGGAGAAGGAAAGAGGCCTAGTAAGAAGGCCCCAATGCAATGCCAGCCCTTTGAGCCCAGGTACTCAGCAAGCTGACCGCAGTGTGGCATCGCCTCAGAGAGCTTTTAAGGAGCTCAATCAGAAGAACGGAGACTCGGACATATATGTAATAATATATTGTTGGCTTGTACAACAGCACAGAAAAGAATTGAACAAACCAGACTAGAGTAGAACAGAAATACAGTATACATGCAATACATATAAAAATAAGTATGAATATAAATATAAATAGAAATATGAATATAAATATGAATATAAATATAAATATAAATAAATATATATATGTTTATATGTATATATACATATTTATATTTATTGATGTCATACAAAATCGAATCAACAGCACAAGTATAAGGTTGGGAAATAAGTATACTGTATACTCATTTCTACATGTAATGTGATAAAGTATACTACAATATTGTAAATACAGTAAGTGTATTTTTCTCATAAGTATCTTATAGTATCTTGGCAGAGCCGGCCAAAGGCGGATTCACCAAGCACCCCGCAGCAGCTAACTGCGCCGTGCCACCATCGCCGATTTGATTCTCGCCTCAGATCGGTGCGTACATGGGTTAATGGTTGCACTCTGGCTGGGATACTGAGAGGTGGGCTCAAATCCAGCTTGCAAAGCCGTTCGCAACGCAGCAAAGCTGATGCTAGCAGCCCTGCACCCCCGTCACCTGTCCAGAGTCACACCAAGTCCATGCAGCTGGACGACACTGGCTTGTGATTTTGGAACCGCAATTCAATGAGGTCGCGACCGATGCGCCCTCCACCGAGGATTTCGCCGACTTCGTGCCCGCCCAAGCCGAAAGCCTTTCCGGCCATCAACGGTGCGTGGAGTGAAGGATTCATGGTGAGCTGGTCTGGCTGGGCTCTTGATCTGACGCAGGAACGCCTCATCCATAGTCTAAGAGTCTAAGAGTCCAAGAGGCTAAGAGTCCAAGAGTCTCAGAGTCTGGGTGGAAACACGATTACAGAAGGGACACGTGAAGCAGGAGTCACACCATGCCTCAAGCTTGCACTTGGGCAGTGCTGTGGCAAGGCTCAATGCTCCACGATCTCCGACACGATTCCGGGCAAGGTCAAACCTGACAGCACGTGCAAGCACGTTCTTGCACCGCCGCTCCTGTGTGCGAAGGGTGTTGACTATCGCATTATCGCATGCTGTCCTCATCGCCCTGCCTCTGCAGCTTATCACACTTTGGTAAAGCAGCAGCAAAGCGCTCGGCGCCAATGTCACTGACCTCGGACATGTCGGGCTGCTGAACGCTGTGTCGAAGTGGGGTTCGGAATGATTAGGAAAGGGATCTGGCTAAACCTGAGAGGTGGATCGGACTTGACATGTGACATCAGCTCTAGACTCCAGACATTCTGAATAAGTCAGATCCGTTGAGAAGCACAGAAAGCAAAGAGAGGCAGGCAAAAGTCATTTGGAACCAGTAACCAATGATTCTTGATTTTGCTCTCTGTGCGGCCCGGACAAGTCCTGATGGCAAGGGTTCTGAGATGGATGGAGTTTAGGTCGATGACCGAGGAACTTGTGGCATGTGCATCTCTTGCTTTGATACGCATCGGCTCTCAAGGCAGGATTCCCCAAGTCCTATGTAAAAGACGCCTCCCGGGACCACTCATCATAGGCACCAAGAAGAAAAGTACTCCGATCTCAAACTTGGGCAGGATGTTGTCACAGCAAGAAACAACTCATTTTCAGGAAGCACGAAAGCTGGAACTGTGTGGGAATCTAAATTTCAATGATGCTTCCATTTTCCACCCATAGCATGGCATAGTGCTGGCGACATCAGCACGCGCAGGCATGTAGAGGGTAACCAGGACCAGAGATGTATCAAAGCAAAGCAAAAGGCGCACACCCTAAACACTAACCCCTCACACCTTAAACAAGCCTCATGCTTCCGTGTACAGAACGTTGAGAGCACCAGACTAGACCGAACAAAAAAAACAGATTCAACGAGGGCAGATTTGAGAAGCCTCGTTTTCGCTCAAGTCCACCAGCTGCAGGTTGCTGCAGCGAGGCATGGCAAGCGCCTTGGTTGTGCTTGAGGTGGAGACCGTAGAGCCATGGGAGTCGATTACCTGCACACGATGGCTCCGGACCAACTCTCCAGCACCACCGTCACCAATCTCATTCCTGAGCGGACATGGTTGCAGTGGGACACGGCAGGGTTGGGCGTTTTGAGCGCTCCATGTACTGGGCACAGGTCTCTAAAGATACCGTCCGAGGTCCCCACCCGCGAAGGACGAGCCGCCTCAAACCTGCGACACAAATCTGTGCCTTTCAGATCTTTCAACAACGGTATAAGCATGGCTGCAACTCCGCATGTTACTAAGTTACTGAGGTACATCCAAGTACCACTACGTACCAGTAAAGGCATGTGACGTGCAGTGTCTAAGCCAGCCCCAGTCCTTTAATCCGCAAGATGGGTAGAAAATATGATAAGATACAGCTGTTTGCTGAAAGTTGATGCTGCTTGCAAGATTGTAGCAAGAGAGCCGTGGTGACAATGCGAGAAGCTGGGCTACGCTTCATGGTGCTAAGCACTGCTCTCCCCTTCGGTCTAGGTTCGGCAGGTGACACTGCACAGCGGGATCTACCAAACCAGAAACCATGATCCTGAAACTCGCCAGCAACTACTGTGTTCTCGCGCATTCTGCAACTCGTTATGGGATTCGCAGAAAGGACTCCCATGGACTTCCCATCCGTCATATGGCAGGCTTGCCTGCCGCCTCGTCGGCACGAGTTTGCTGTCCAACCCGTACGTTAGACTGGCATATCGTTTCTGTGCTGAAGAAGTGTACGCTGCTTGCACGGTATTGCCCCTCTTCATCTCTTTTCTATATTCAGCAACTGTGGCTGCAGCACTTGAGACAAATGGACCTGGCCTGTGCGGGGGAGTGCAGTGGCCAGGCCGCAAACACCCAGATCTCCAATGAAGTTACCTTAAAGATGTCCCCAGCTTCCAGAATTGAAGCACCGCATGTCAGCTCCAGGGTTTTCAGGGTTTTGGGCTTACAGAGCTCATAAAGGGGCAGTGAAATGCAGTTTCAATCCAGGTTTCCATAACCACCCTGAGATGGCGGCGGTCCAGATCCAGCGACTGTATGTCTGCCAGGCTGGGGAGTGCTCCAGCCAGGCCTGCAGTGCATCGACATGTGCAAAGATTTTGAGGGAACTTTCTCGGCCACAGACAGATATGAATATGTACATACGAACATGCATAAAAATGCACATGCATACCTGTATAAGGGCGGTATGGGTCAGACGTCGCTCCAGTTGCATGCAAGCCCTTTCTTGATCTTTCTTGCCTACAACGTCTTAGCGAACTGGCCTAATGTACTTTGGCGCCTTCAGACTTGGGAACCAACCCCACACCATCCTGCGGGCAAGCGCTTCTTTTGCGATGCAGTGTTGTTGACGTAGTGGATTAGACCCAACTTCTTGCATCCCACGATTCCATCGCGGAGCTTCAAGCTAGTGCCTGGGCCGAAGATCGGGGCTGGGCCCAAAAGTGTCGGTGAAAGCAGGTACACAGGGTGCACAAGAAACGCAAGAGACAAGACTAACACAGAATTCCTGCACTTTCGGCAGCAGCTCAGGAACTGGACACACAAACCGGCGTCCACGCCCCTGGGCCCATGCAGCGAAACCCAAGCCCCACAGCGTGGGATCCTCACTTGGCCTCGATCTTGGAGGCTGCCAGGAAGGCTTCTAGTGTGGTGATGCCCATGCCCTGAGGAGCACGAGTCTTGTTCAAGTCCTTGCCGGTCATCTTCCCATCCACCATGATCTCCAACTCAATTTTCTCCTGGCCCCACTTCATGACCTTGTCGATTGTGGGGGTCTCCACGCCCACGATCTCGGCCAAGCCTTTGGCAAAGCAGAGCCCGGTGGGAATGTCCTCGGAGAGGTAGCGGTACTTCAGATCTGGCATGAACTTGCCGTCCGCCTCCTTGCACGGATGCTTCAAGCCATCGTAGGCCGCATTCGTGTTCATGCACGCCTTCAGCGAGGAGGTGTCCTTCATCTGCCCATCATAGCAATCCAGATACCACTGCTTCCTTAGCTGTTCTCGGAACCCGTCAAGAGCAAGAGCAAGAGCTATGATCTATGATGGCCCCCTGTAAATAGAAGCACCTATAGAAAATCCAAACCTCCGACTCCAAAGCCAAAAAAACTACCTGCCAGGATTTCTCAAAAGCTTCAGGGTGCAGGCATCCTTCATGTCCAGGTCCTTGCAGACCTCCTCCATCTTGCGGCACACGAGCTGCACCTCATCCGTCATCCCTGTCAGGACTGTCTCCGTGAACTCATCCACGCCCTGGTAGAAAAGTGGCGCCTCGTCCTGGGACTTGGGGACGTGGGGCTTCTAAAAGGGGCCTAAAGACCAGGAAAGCCCTCTACGGGGTGTCCTTGGGATTGCCATCCCAGCTTTCTGGGCTCCAGCGCCCATACATCACCTGAGCTGTGCTTCACAAAAGAATCATGCAGACAAGCCCCTTAAACCCCACTTTAAACCCCACTTAAACCCCTAGATGAAAGCTTACCCTCAAGCAGACAGCCCAGTGACACCCGGGTGGACGATCATTCCAGGGTTCCGCAGGCTGATGCCGAGGTTGTTGGGGCTCTCCTGCGCGTTCAGGAGGTGTAGGAGCTTAGCTCAGGAGGGGGGGCCGGGGGCCGGGGGCCGGGGGCCGGGGGGGGGGTTGCAGATGTTGTTTGGTTTGCACCAGAAAGAGTTGAAGGTTACCCGACACATCTCAGAGGTTAGGAAGCCTAGGGTGGGTGCTTCAAGGCTTTTGGTTTCTACCTCGGCTTTGGGGCGGCTAGGGCAGTGGGGGAGACTATGGTGTTGGGGCTCAGGGTTTACTGCCCCTAATGAAAGCCCTAACCCTAAACCCTTCCGTAAACTCTGAGCGTTCAACCCCTAAACCCCCCAAATCTAAGACCCATACCTGAAAATTCCCTCCTACCCCCAAAAAAGGTAAAGCACAACACGACAGGCATCAACAAACTCCACGCCAAAAGCCCTTTAACAGCCCAGCGCGAAACACTGAGGCCTTAACCAAACAGCCACACCCTCCCAACAACAACTCCACAAAAAAACAGCCGAAACCCTAAACCCTATAAGCCCTATAGGCCCTATAAGCCCCATAAGCCCTATAAGCCCTATAAGCCCCCTAAACCCTGAACCCTGAACCCTAAACCCTAAACCCAAAACCCTCAAGCCTAAACCCTAAGCCCTATAAGCCTGAACCCTCGTGTGTCTCCTGCACGAAGGGGTTCACTCCAAGCAAGCCCTGAAGCTTGGCCAAGGCCTTCTTTGCGGAGGTTTAGCGTTTAGGGTTCAGGGTTTAGGGTTTGGGGTTTAGGGTTTAGGGTACTTGCAGGGCTCTTTGGTAGGGTTTGGGGCTTAGGGTTCAGCATCTCAGGTCCGTGCGGGGTAGAGTTTTTAAATCCAGGCAACACACGACACATCACCAGCCGCCCCAAAGCCCCAACATCATGAGATTCAAAACACCCTTGTCCAAATCCAAAACTCTTGGGGGCGAAACCTCTCTCTTTGCATTCGTGAAAGCCAGCGGTCCAAATCCAGAATTAAAAGGACCAAACATCAGATTCACACTTTGTCCGCCTCACCGATTACCGTATTTCGTTGGCATCTCCGTGCGGGTCTTCCAAACCCCGATCGAACACGACGTGCTTAACCGGTTGGCCTTACTTGCTTAACCGTGCTTGTTTCTGTACATGTTGTCGTCTGTTGTCTATTGGGGTTTGTTTTTGCGGCGTCAATGACATCTGTCTGTTTTCGTTGCTTTTTGCTTGCCGTCCGCCCTTCGGCGGATCCCTGCTCGACGCGAAGAGGGAGAGAGATGCAGGGGTTGGTTGCGTAGATGTGTTTTGGGATGTATATAGGGCAGTGGAGGCCGGATTTAGGGGCACAGCTTGGTCGCGCAGATGTGTTTGGGCTGCGGAACGCCGGGTCGGGGTGTTCTAAACATTCTCGGCTGTTTGCGTTGGAGTATCCATTGAATAAAGCAGAATATGTGCTTTACCACTATTCTGATTTTTGCCGGCGCATGCTCTGTCTCTCAGCAACGTGAAATGGTGAAACGAAAACAGCCCCATGGTCTTAAACGTTGTGTTTTGGAGCTCGGCGTTTTGCGGTAAGTCAGCTTTGTGCATGGCGTCACGTCTTCGGTGGACACTACATTGCACAGTTCTAAAGTCACACAAATCTTCAAATACTGCAACATGTTTGAAATTATTACAGTTAATACAGAAGCAAAGTGAGTCGAAGATTGAGAACCATGGGAAAGTTTGGCAAGGACCAGCGATGAATAAAATCATCTTGAAGCGTACAGGACCGATGTTGCTCGCGGGATACCTAAGGAAAATCTGACATATGAGGTGCCGAATGCCGAAAACAGTTAAATATCAGGCGCCAGAAACAATTAATACAAGAACCAAGACGATTTCTCAAGTCTAAGCTGATCCTGACGGAAGATTGCCAGAAATCGTCAACATTTATTGCTTTCTTTAAAGCATGCAGCGTGCATCAAAAGTCACGTACATCACGGTGTGAATGTTACTGAAGCAGACGAGTGCACCGGTAAAGTAAAATGATGACCTGCTCCCATGACATGGCCGTCTTGCTGAGGTCCACTCCGTTTGAGGGCTTTAATGTTGTTCAGGCTTCTTAAGGTTCAGGTTTGGGAGGTTGAAGATTGCCTTCTTCGTGGCGGACACGGGCGTCACGGCCGCAAGAATGTTGTTCCTGGGCTTTCTAGGGCTCGAAACCCTAAACCCTGAAACCTAATCCCCACCATCTTTGGCAATTAGCGCCGGGGCCGGGCTTCGTCAGGGTTTTGGGCTGATGTAAGCTGTAGGCTTGAAGCTGATCTTCCGGAGTCTTTGTTCCTTTGTGGGGTTTGCAAGGTTCAGAGCTTTAAGGCCTTCCGGGATGTTCAGGGTGTCCTTGGCGCTTCAAGGGTTCATAAATCAAACAAATCAACTAAATCTAAGGCTCTTTGTGCCGAGGACGGTGGCCTTCTTGCCCCACTCGGTGAAGCGGCAGGCCCATGGAAGCGTCTCGAACCCACAGAAGATCATGTCCTGGTACGGTTCAAGAACATCCTAACCCTTCGAGCCCGAAAAGCGCCAAAGCCTAAACCTCCTACGCCGCTAAGCCCTCTAAACGCCAAACAAGGCTATGCTCACAGCCTCAAAGACCTAAACCCCTCAGTCCAAGCCCCGCAACTTACACCCCAGACCTTAAACTGCAGACCCTAAACCGTCCTTAGCTTTGTCCCCCAGCTTGGAGGCAAAGAGGATGTCGCCCCCGGACCGCGCCGGCATCGTGGCGACGATGGTCCCGGGCTTCATGTAGGGTGCAAACCTGTGGGGCTTGTGGGGGTTGGCGCTTAGGCTTCTCTAAGTCTTTAAGCCCTTAAACCGATTAAACCCTGCAGGACGAGAAACACAGAAAGCTCAAAAGCTCTACTTGTGTCGAGGGAAGAAGCTTCTCGAAGTACTCGCCGTGGGCAAAGGACGGTACCACCAAGAGGATTACGTCGGCATCCTAGGTTGCGCAGCCACCCCGTATCAAGAAAAGGAACATGCGTTTCTTTGAAAGCGTATAGTAAGGATCCTGAACCTGAAAAAAAGAGGCACTACTGGGCATCCGAGCATCCTTGGCAACAGAGGGGTCGTTGGTGATGTCCTTGGGCTTGGACTTCATCACTCCGCCCCCCGGGAGCGTGAGCTCGAAGTCCGACTCCCCCAAGGCCTCCTTCCACTTGGCGGCCTCATCGGCAAAGAAGGACACGGCGATGGTCTTGTACCTGCAGTCTCAGCAGAACCTATGGAACAGAAATGCAGGAGATGGTTCTAGATCCTTCTGGCCATTTTAGGGTTTCTAAAACCCCAACGTCCTAAAAATCCGAACCACGAAAAACAACGCAGGGGCGGGGTGAGAGGGGGGGGGGGGGGCATATTGGAAGTCCCAAGCTGCCGGGCAGCGAAGAGGCCCGTGGCGACCTGTGCCGCATTCCTGGGTACGGGCCCAGGGTTCCGGGATCTTTGGCATATATGGCTTGGGATGTTCCCCCCTTGTACTAACAAGCCTTAGTAGGGATCATAATAGGGGGTCCTATAATCCCCATTAGGGACTATTAGTATCACTAAGGGGGAACATCCCAGTCCTTTTCACAGTAACTGAACTTGAGTTCCTTGACAGCAACCCAGATTCCCGCCACCGCAGCACAAGACGGTGAACTCTGCGTCGCTGCTCATGGCTTCTCAAGAAGTCGAAGGGAGCTGAGGGCACTTAGCACTTCGGGCCGCGAGACGGCTTCAGGGCGCGCCGTAGGCGAGAGAGAGAGAGAGAGAGCGAGGGAGAGAAAAACGAGAGAGAGCGAGAGAGATAGGAAGAGAGAAACAAAAAGGAGAGAGAGAGAGAGTGAGAGAGAAAGAGAGGGGAAACAAAAACCCTATGTCTTTTAAGTGTATATATATATACACATATACAGATGTATGTATACACACACATTCTATGAGTGTACGTGTTTGACTGGAGCACTGCGTGCATGTGTACGACACATACACATTCATGCACACTGCACATGTTTCAACTGCCGCGGAGGGCTCAGATCCAAGCCCAGTTTAGGAAGAGGTCATGCTCAGCACAAGGCTACAAAGGCCCAGATCGCCGATCTCATTGTCCGACAGGTCCAAGAAAACCAGCGACCTTGCAACCACTGCGGAGCGTTGAGTACCTACCTACCTACCTACCCACCCACCCAACCACCACCACCACCACCACGACCACTACTGCTACTGCTGCTGCTGCTACTACTGCTACTACTACTACTACTACTACTACTACTACTACTACTACTACTACTACTACTACTACTACTACTACTACTACTACTACTACTACTACTACTACTACTACTACTACTACTACGACTACGCCCCAACCGGGTGGTTTGCCCACACACAGTGGTCAAGCATGGGTTTGGACAAGCATGCTTGAATCAGCTCTTGCCGCAGCATGTCAGCATGAACCATGTGGCACCCAACAGCCCAAAGCCTAAACCTTAAACTCCAGAAGTTCTTGGTCCTATTTCATAGCTCAGGATTTCGCAGACGACTCGTCTTGTGGCCACTACACTACTGACGCAGTCCCGTGCTTGTTGGGTCGCGCGGCCACAGGTCCGCGGTCTGCAGAGACGGACACGGCCCTGGCATACGGGAAGCGGGGCGCAGACGCTGGGCAGCTCGCTGAGGAGGCTTTCTTTCTGCCTCCGAAGCAGGTGGCCAGCGTCTGCGCCGCTTCCCGTATGCCAGGGCCGTGTCCGCCTCTGCAGACCGCGGACCTGTGGCCGCGCGACCCAACAAGCACGGGACTGCGTCAGTAGTGTAGTGGCCACAAGACGAGTCGTCTGCGAAATCCTGAGCTATGAAATAGGACCAAGAACTTCTGGAGTTTAAGGTTTAGGCTTTGGCTGTTCGTTGCCCACAAGCAGAAGACGCGGGCAAACCGTAAACTGTCTTCCGCCTCAACCCTGAACCCACGCCCGAAAGCAGTGTTATTTCTTGAAGCCCAGGACGACAAAACACCGAAGCCCTCGTGCTGGACTCGTGCCTGAAACACTCCAAAGCCCAAACCGTAAGACGCGCGCGCGGGCAAACCATAGGGTTCTGCGAAGTCCGGAACGCAGGGAAACCCGCAGAGGGTCGTCGTTTATGAAGAAAAAACCGAAAAAAAGAACACTGTTGAAAGGCCGGCAAAGGCCAGAAACGCTGCGCCTGCGCATGTTTTATGTACCTTCCAAAAACAAGCGCGGGCAAACCATAGGGTTGCACCGTACTACTACTACCACTACCACTACTACCACTACTACCACTACTACCACTACTACCACTGCTACCACTGCTACCACGACTACCACGACTACCACGACTACCACGACCACTACCAGTGCAGCTGCTGCAACAAACTGTTATTGCTACTATTGATATTGCAAGACCCCTCGCGTCTCAGGTAGAAGCTGAAGGAGGCGCGGGCTGTTCAACATGGTCTCCGCCTCAGATGCCGGAGAGCCCAATATCTCTGAATAAATTTAGGGTGTGGGGGACAAGTCGGTTCTTTAGGGTGCTATGGTGGGGTTTGGGGTTGGGTTTTTTCGGGGGGGGGGCCTTGGTTCGGGAATGGCTCTTAAACCTTAAACTTTTCTTTCAAGTTATGAATTTGCTTGGGCAACTTGGCATGGGTTCGGGTGTTGTGGGATCTTTCGCCGAGCTAACGGTTTCCTGCAGTAAGGCGTGAGGGTCTAGTGTTTTTGCAGTCTATGGTTTTGGGGTTCGGGGCTAGTTCTAGGGTTTGGGGACATTATTTGTGGTTTGGGACTCTGGGACGAGGTGCTACAGAAAAAGTGCCTGCGACTCTCAGGCAAGCTGATTCGAATATAGTTGTATAATCCGGACATCAAGTTCATTGGTTTTGTTGGTGAAGGTCTCCAGTCTCTGGCATTGTACGGAGGTTCCAGCGGCTGTGAAAGTTCTCGAAGAGGTTTGAAAAGGTTTGGAGGGTTGTTCAATTCTGCTGGTTCCGAACCAGCTGGAGGGGCTCGCGAGCGATAACTGATGTTTTGTTTCTGCTGATGGATGTTCAACAATCATTAACCTGCGAAGTGCATTTACAATACTTAAGACTTAACGCCTGCGTGTGGTGTACTTTTCAGGGCCTTCTGGCTGTGGGGGTTGGGGATGGAGGGGCGGTAGAGGTTGGTTGCGACCCTGTTGCTCTAAACATGCCCAAAACTCTGGTCTTTACAGCATTTTGGCCTCTTTATATACATGCTTGGTAGCTTGGCAGGGCCTGACAAAGTTTCACAAGAGTCCGGGCAGAAACAATGCTGCTGCCCCAGTTCTGACAAGTTTTCCTTCGAACCTCGAAACTATAGAAAGGGGTTGCTGCATTGCCGCCTGATAGGTCCTACCGTGAAACAAGCTTTTTCTCGCGTTTTCGACTGTGTGCACCGGCAAGCTATGCACACACAACCAAGGCGCACTACAGGCACTACTTTGACAATTCGAGTTTGAGTGTTGGACCAGCTTCTCGGCGCCAGCATCTCCGATATGATTCCGGGCCAGGTCTAAGCCTGAACACCGACTGCATCCCCGAAATTTGCCACGAATACGAAGCCCAGCACGATCCCGGTTCTCAGGGCAGAGCGTTGCAGCTGGGTACAGCTGGAGAGCGTGCCGTACAGCCTCGAGCGGCTGGAGAGCAGAAGCATGCAGAAGCCACTGCGGTGAAATGGTGGAAACATCTCGCTCCGGTTTTGGCTTCAGCTCGGTGGCAAGTCTCTGATGTGAATACGTTACGTACAGCTCCTCCACCACTGCGTTTGTTCTTTTGCTTCCGCTTCGAATGGACACTTGGCGACTCTGAATTCGCGTTTTACATTGATGTTCGAGTTTACTGACGTTGCTCCAGGAATCCTTTTCGAGCATAACACGTCGCATATTGTTGACATGCGCGTTTATTGACGAAGCTTATCACCAAGATGTTACTTGGGCAGCATGCCCTCTCTTTGCATACTATATTTACTCACACACCCTAAACACACAAAACCCAAGACAAGCGCTACGTCACCAAGCCCGATAAACCGAAACCAATTCTGCCCCCTCATAGGTGGATGTTTGACATGTTCTTGAGGGCAGGTTGACAAAGGTGCAGTGGTGGGAGGCTCTAGACTCTAAACCCTAAACGCCTTTCGACCTCATGAGGTGCTGGGAGCCCAATGCTGTAGGACATCGCCAGCTCTGAGGAACTCAACACAACTTCCCACAACTTCCCAGTGAACGCTAAGTACGATTCGAATACATGCGCTAAGTGGGAGACTGGCCCATCTCCACGTCTCCCCAATCCAGGCGTGCCAAAGGCATCTCAACCTGGACTCGTTGGCCAACATGGTGGAATTTCTAGCTTGCCCGTAGACAGTGCGACAATCGCATCAAACTTCGTGCTGGTTTTACAGTTTTCCAGACCTAGACTACTCACACCCTGCCGAAACCTTGGCTAGGTACGATGTTGAGATCCTAAGGTCTCGAAGGAGTCTCGGGCATCGGTCTCAGGCTCAGCGGGGACACGGTCACACGTCCTACACATGCTTAGCATGTCTCCGGGAAGTTCACGAAACACCACAGGGAGTGCGGCAGGGCGCCAGTGGTGTCACGCGCGGCGACAGTGGATATGGACTGGAGGAAGGTCTGAAGGACCGATCGCACAAGGGGCGATGATAGCACTTGGCTGGGTAACAGGCAAATCAGCCAAGCATAACTCCGCAAACAGGAGTGCAAATCAGAAAACACGGCGGTGCAAATCAGAAAACACCAAGGCACGAATCAGAAACAAAAGTCAGCAAGAGTGGGCACACTGTTTTTTCCCTAGACGCCCTAAGCCCTACACCCTAAGAAACCCTGAACCCTAGGGCTGCGCCCCACGCCCCCCCCTCCCCCAACCCCCCCGCTTTATTCTTTCTCGAACCCATCATGCGAGTGTTGCGTTTGCAAATGTGAAGGTTGGCAAAAACTCCCTGAACCCCAAAAACCCCCCAAAACCTAAAAACCCACAAGCCCTAAAAACCCCTAAACCCTAACAACCCCGAAGCCCTAAACCCCAAAAGCCCAACTCTAAGCCCTAAAACCCCCTAAAGCCTAAAAACCCTGAGGCCTAAACCAAAAAAAAGCCTAAACTCTAAAAACCCCTAAACTCTAAACCCCCAAAAAACCTGCAAAAACCTTACACCCTAACTAAACCCTAAAAAAACCCTGAACCCTAAATCCTAAAAACCCCCTAAAGCCTCAAGCCCTCAACCCAAAACAAAACCTGAGCTCTAAACCGAAGAAAAAACCTAAACCCTAAATTCCCCTAAGCCCTCAACCCTAAACACCCCAAGACCTGCACCCTAAAAAACCCTAAACCCTAAACCCTGAAAACCCCTAAACCCTAAACCCTAAAACCCCTTATTTAATTAAGTCAAACCTTGCTGCTCCAGCGCAAGTGATAAATTTGCTACCATAGGGATCTGTATAGGGGTCTATCGACGCCTATCATAAGGGAGGGGGTACTTTGTAGACCTATCTTCAATAAATGTGTCTTGGGGGAGATCCCTAAACCCAAACCCTAAACGCACACCCTTAAACCTATCATGTTAGCTCAGGTTAGGTTAGGTTAGGTTTGGTTTAGGTGTCCGTGCATGCTGATTCAAACCTCGCTGTTTTCTGATTCGTTCCTTGCTGTTTTCTGAACCATGGGTGCGTGATTCATGATCTTGTTTTCCGATTTAGGTAGCATCCGCCCTTTGCTCCTGGGAGCCAAAAAGACATCCCCCACCCCTACCCCCGACGCGCCCCAGGACTCTTAGACAAGGTTTCTTTCCTCCCATCTTTCCCCTAGTCCATGGTCCAAAGCCATCTGTTCGAAGACATTGATATTCACAGCTCACCAAAAATCAGCGTTCAGCTGATAAAGCCCGTTTGACTAAGATTGCGACGGCTCCGGCGATCAGATCCTGCGCAATGGGAGAGCTTAAAGACATTTGAGGACACAGCTTTCGAGTTTGGCGGCTCAAGGGCTCTAAGCATGTCGCCCTTTCTCGCTCGGGCCGTGTAGCTGCCAGGACTGTTGGTTTGGGTTTGTACGGCCAGGATGCCCAAACACCACTGGAGCACTTCTGTAGAAGTCTCAATGTCGGCAATTGTCACATGAATGTTGCATGATTGTGTCCTTCAGAAGGCAAGGCACGTGCCAGGCTAAGCAAACTCCTGTCCCCACCCCCCACTTCCACACCCCCCAACCCCCACCGATCCCCCCAACCAACACGGCTTAAGCAACACCAAATACCCTCAAAATCGGCTGCTTGCTCCTCCAAAGATAGCTGCACATTTGCGTACATGTGCAACCTACAAAGCACTACCGGCAAAACACCCGCACTAACGAGATTTTTGCATCCCAGCCCACACCTGAACGCGCCAACTGTCCTCGTAAACCTCCTGGTAGAGAGCTTCGAGAAGATCCCGGTCGAGGCCTGCTAGGGGCTTACCGAATCTTACAGGCTAAGAATAGATTTACAAGAGGGGTCGGGTTTAGGGCATAGGGTCAGGTGCCGATGGCAGAATTGTAAGGCTCTGGCTCCACGAGACGTGCTTTCTCTTCAGCTGCGCCTGAAACTCTAGAGGCCTGGGCAATGCACTCTGGGAACTCAAGGTTGCAGCAGCTCTCTGACTTACCAAATCACAAGTGCTGGGCGTCATAGGTGGCGGTCTCTTTGCCTGGCAAGTCTGGAGGACGGAAGGCCTTAAGAACATCCACGCGTACATCCTGGCCATGGGAACGTGGACTAGCTGTGACTGTCTACGACTAAGCGTCGGGCCAATCCAGCACTCGGAGTGTTTCTAAGGACAGTCGGCCTGCGAGCACAGTACATAGCCCCAACACGGCATCAACCTGTACAGTACAGCTCATCAAAGCTCCAGGATTCTATAGGCTGGCACGAGACTGTAAAGCTGCGAGCCGTGTGACTGTTCGTAGTTGCACCCAGCCTATGTCCAGGACGTTCTTGTTGCCAGCTGGCAAGAGGCTGACCGCCTTGGGCACCATCGACTAGAGCCGAAATGGGAAGGGCGACTTTGCAACAGGTCTCCCTTGGAGGCTATGGTCATCGCTCGCTCAAACGTCGGCCAACCGCGCAAACTGTATGGCTCCTTAGTGAGATCTCGCACGAGTCCTGCCGCAGTTGTGCTAAGTGAATTCTGTCTGTTTTGGGCCCTGTGCCGCTCCGATTGGGGAGTTCGTCAGCATCCACACCATCGTGTGTTCGTGCCTTGGCATGTGCAGCGCAAAGCAACGCTGCGTGCCGTGATCGTCAGAATTACCTATATTTACAAGACCACGAAGTGAGCCCCAAACGCGAACCATCGGCCAACCTTCGGCAGGTGCATCAATGCATGTGAACCGAGCCAATGCAGCATGAAGCTGCAATGGAAATTGCGGATTGGAACGGATCGATGGACACCGCAGGATCATCATCCCATGTTCTGCAGAGCACTCTTCAGCATGGCTGCGTATCATCCTAGTGTGCATGCAAGACCCCCCCCCCCCCCCCCCCCCCTCCCCGTTGTTCTGGCATGTGCCCATGCGCAGCCTGCTGCAGGAAACGCTCAGCCGAACGTCTTTCATCCGCAAATCGAGGCTCCTGCCAAGACATTCAAGGACTTTTCTCCACAAAAGTCTGATGGATCTGCCTGGTAGCAGCTGCACCAATCCAGGAGCACAGCGCAGTCTTTCCTGCGCCGGCGCATCACGTCTTCATCTACCACCTCCCATGCTCACAACCTTGTAGTGCTGCTTCTCAATGTGGCCAACCGCCTACCTGTATATCCTCATACACCCCAAGCCATGACTGCACACAGCATCCTCAATAGAATCGCAATACTGGTACATCCCTAAACCAAAGCCACCAACCAAATGCCCAGCCCTCACCATTCTGCAAGACCTTTGGCCTTCAGGTCTTGAAGCAACCCCCTAGCTTACTTGGCGCATTCTGACTACAACAGCGCAGAATGAAAACTTCACATTCGAAGACACCACCCGTAGCAAAATGACAAGTTGAGTCTATTGGACTGCAAATGCATTCCTCTACTTCGTGCTTTGCATGCATTCGTAGGCAATCCGTGCCTTTGCAGGCTGGAAGTCGTCGCTTGCAGTCGTTTGCTCTCCTGACTCCGGGACAACTTAGACTTGCAAGCTGCAGAGGGCTACTAGAAGGCTTCTCGTTGCCCAACCCAATGCCCATGCTGTGACTGCGCCTCGTCTCGAAGAGCTTCGTCCTGCTGTCAGCAAGCTGAAGTAGCTAAGTATCAAGGGCTGCCATATTCATGTTCATGAAGCCGCTCTGCTCGATGCAATTTTGCATTAGAGAGCACTTCCTTGTCGCGACGGAGAGAGAGTGGCTTTGGGAGACACTTGCAGTTGCAACTTCTACCTGACTCTGCCAGTACCGTGAAAGAGAGCTCTCACATAGTTAGCCAGTCCGAACCGGTCCGTTCCTGGCTGCAAGTGGCCGGGCTGTGGAGGCTCTGCGACTGATGCCTCATCGACTCATCATTGCACAGTTGCACCTGTTGCACCTGTTTGCACCTGTTTGCAGCCCTCTCTCCTCTTATAAAGTGCACTTGGAAGGACTCCTGACGTGAGCCCCTCGCGCGCTGTTTGCTGAGAGCCAGAGGTCCAGCAGCTGGCCCAGGATGCGAAGCTGCTGCCCCTGAGTCAAACAGAGTGACTCAACCCATCTCGGATACTGGAACAGTCCGCTTCGACGCCACCCAGAAGACGATGACTACAAGACTCTCTCCCCCGAATTCTTGTGAGAAAAGCACAACCATGAGAAAAAGTGGCAGCGCTCTTTTTGCAGGGGGGCCTCTGGGTCGGCGTGAGCCGCGGTCGCCCAGCAGTAAGACACCTTTCATGCCGCAGTGCCACCCTTGCACCTTGATAAAGAAAGCTTAAGGCCTGGATCCCCCCAAAAGGGGACCCAAAGGAAATAAAATGCCATCATTCACAACAATACACCCAGATCAAACAGGCAGGTCCCACTGCCAAGAGCGGGATTCCTCCACCGACATCGGCTGCGTTGCAGATTGCCTGAATGGACTTTGGACGGCGCGGCTTTGCAAGTCAGAAGAGCTGTACTGGTTCATGATGAAGCTCGAATCAGAGCTCTGGGATGTTTGATGATTAAGCTCGAATCAACCCTTCACGAAGAAGTCTAGGCATCTGCTGAGTAGAGCAGCAAGACAACATATTTGGCAGTGCACAATTACCAAAACTCTCCTTTCTGCAGCTTGTGTTAGTACCAGCAGGAGTTGTCGCGACATCAACTTGAGAAGAGAATGCTCTGACAGTTTTAGCTCTCGCCAGATGCTGCGACATAAGCACTCCTGTTGATGGTGCCGGTCAGGCTACTCTCTGAAGAGTATATTGAAGAACCTTTCTCTTGAGCATATCTGCCAAACAAAGCGTTACAAGTGATAGCTCTTGCGGTTGGCTGAGGGTTGCTTGCTGATGGTACTGTACTTGCATCGCCCGGAATGCGCACAAACGAGTATGTGGGTAGCAAATTCGCGCTGACGCTGCTCCATCAAAAATCTGGCACCCGAGGCATCCAAGCCAACTGCTCCACAGCTCTTGTGTGCGAGTGGCTACAGACGAGGCAAGGGTCTTAGAGAAAGGGGGCCGTAAACACTACAGCCTCCTCAGCCCACAAATCCTGAACCCTCAACCTCAAAACCGTTAACCACCTACAAATAGGCCTATGACCTGGACCCTAACTCAAAACTCTAGGCCTCTATGCATCCTAGACTAGTCGTAGACTGTCGGGGAGGGCGCACCTCCGGAGGTAGCTGCTGCCGCCGGGGTAGGACCGCGCCTCGAAATTCAGTCAAGGGAGCTTCTTTGTCGTAGGCGCGCATGTGTGCGCAGGAATAAGGCCACAGACCGGCCAGCAAGCCATCAAAGACAAGGAGATTTCACATTTAATATGAGGCGCACAGCACTGCTTTCTGGTTTGCTTTGTGGATAGACAGCGAGCAGCTGGAGGGCAAGGCCTCGCTTGCTCCTAGCGAGATCCGCAAGCCAGGAGCCCCAGACCTGTGGTCCAAGACATGACGACAGCTGAATCCATAGCTGCATCAACAGCTGCATCAATAGCTGCGACAGTTGTGTTTCATGAAGTCACGAGCAGTCACACGACGGGGTCCGAGCAAGGACCGCATCCCCCTCACAGAGGGACTTGGCCAAGTCTGCGCAGCCTTCGAGAGCGGAGAACGGCAAAGAGCCCCCGGTTGTGACCAACTTTTTGCCAGGGTCTGGGGCGCGGGCTGGTGTATGACCCGCCTTCTGCATGCCAGCTGCCCCTTCCCGATATTGAAACCTGTGCTGGTTCTCCCGTGGGCTATTGTAGAAGACTTTGAGCAAGCGAACCTTCGTAAACGACTCCTCGGGCGAGCAGTCCTCAGCTGTTTGAGCTGCGAATCGAAAGGATTGCGCAGCTAGGATTGCTCCGCTGTCGCAGATCTCTGAGCTGCCCCGCCGAAAGTGAACTTGAAGACTGGCTCACGGTGTCCTAGCACGGTGCAATCTTAAAACTGATGCCGTCCTCGTGTTCTACTTCGATGTCGCGACAAAACCCTGACTTGTTGCCCGAACATGTGCCCATTTTCAAAGTCCCAGCCTCGAAAGGATGTAGCAAGTTCTCAACGGCCAGCGTCTCTGTGCTCTCGTCCACCTTGCCGAGCTCAGCTTTGATGTCAGACTTTCTGGCTCACGACAGGCCCCCTTTGAATTGACCTCCCTCGAAGAGCAATTCTGTGCTGGCCCCCAAGCGAAAACTTATCGACCGCCAAAAGGCCCAGAATCCCAGACAGAGAAGGGAACCGGGGCCAGGTTCCGGAACTATTTGGGGCTGAGGATGCAAGCCATTGCTGAACCAGACCCAACTTAGAAGCAAATCTGCGCTTGGGCATAGTGAGAAACGCAGTTGACGGACCTAAAGAGGCCAAGCCTGGCGGATGACAGACGCGGTCGTAACATCAGTCTCTCCCAGATCCCCTGCACGGTTCTGCAGAATCTAAAGCAGGCAGCAAGGGCAAACTGACAAGAACACGTTGCCCTTCCTGAGCGGCAGCAGCAGAAACCTTGCGAAACTCGGAACTTCTGCCTAAAATTTACAGGATCCAGTAGCGCAGGGGTGGGCGTATTCTACCATCAACGGCGCCTCTTTCTGGCTTCACTTCAGCATCGATGCCCACACTCCTAGGGCTTGGGTCTTCAAGCACGCAGTAGCAGCCAACCACATCCTCCTCCCTCAAGATCCCTCAAGCGCCCACTACACAGGCGACCGACAGGTGCAGATCAGTTCTGAGTCGCTTGCACATGGTCAAGCGGCCTCTCCGCACAACGCAGTCAATGCAAGCAGCCATCGGCCGCATCAACCACGGACAACTGCAAGAGTCTGCAAGAGAGGGAACAGCTGCCTTTCCACAGAGCTGTTCACCTCAGAAGCGGAGGGTTGCACGCTGCCAGCTGGCTGACATTAATCCAGGCCCCGATCTACAATATGGAATGAACATCTGAGCCGCAGGCCCCCATGAGTTGCACATGGCATGCACATGGGCCACGGGCACAACAGCTTCATGTCAGCCAAGCTTCGGACAGGCGCTTGCAAGGTCAGGCGCTGGTGAGATCATTTTGTTAGTTGACAAACGTGGAGAGACATGAGTAACGCCTGAGTCCTGAGTACCAGCACGGAGTCCTGCACCCTGCCAACCCGAAAGAATGCCCCGTAGCCCCGAAATGCTGCCCTTCATTCTCTGCTCCATGCTCGAGCATGGAGTTTGGGACTTGAGATTATTTGGCTTGCGAAAGCTAGACACACGCCGGAGTCTTCGGAGTAGCGGCAAGCGCAACCAGCTCAGCTGTGTGGGAGCGGGGGGGCGGGAAGCATTCCAGGTCGTCCGACACTGCTGAACCAAACCACACAAACATCCCTGACCCTATTTAACTCTTCAGCTTCTGGACCCAGAGCCACAACCCCCAAAAAGCCCCAAACCCCTAATGACCTCAGTACGAAAAGTCGCCAGAACTCGAGTGGCGAAGAATGTCTGCCGGTTATCAGAATACTATAGGTTTCGGTGGCTTGGCAAGGCATGTTTCGAGCACATGCAAGTGCTCGGTGCCTGTCTATTCATTTTGCTTGGCCGGTGGTTCTCGTCCTTTGCAACTACCCAGACCCCCCGAACACAGGCTTATGTCTGTCTGTTTTGGGACTGTAAATCCTAGATTGATGAGCCTCAGTACGAAACGTCAAGAACTCGAGTGGCTTTTCGAGCATATGCAAATGCTGTTCGATGGTTAATGCACGTTTCGAGCCTGTGCAAAAAAAAGGCTGCTCGATTGTTCGCAGCGTTCCAACCAGCAACGAAAGGCCTTGAAAAGGGGGGCCTCGAGGGGCTGGGGGCCCAAAGACTGGTAGAATCAATTTTTTGCGAGCTTTCCCCCCACCCCCCCCCGGCAGCCCTTTAGCTAATTGGAGAGAAAGGCTTGTACACGACAACTCTCGCAATCTCCAAGGAGCGAGCTTTCGTGATTTACAGTTCAGGATACAGTTTAGTTCATGCAAGGCTGGTTACAAGTCGGGTCCAAAGGGAGCTTCCGAATGTCCTGGAGCTGCCTTCCACCCATCCAAACCCACGTTCCAGCCAGGCGCGTTCCTCTGTTCTTCTGAGGAGAAGACCCCAAACATTGTCGCCTGGGAAGAGAAAGAACTGGTCTAGGCCTAATTTGCGAAGTTGTAATCAACCCGGACGTGCAACACACGGCAGCGTGCGATCATAGCATATCACACAGCACGTACAGCACCTACTACCCCCAATCCAAGCCAGGAGCCCCAAGATGAGTCTCTGTCGTGGTCTTTGTGCTTCGTAGCCATGCTCTAAGAGGTACTGCGCCGAGGATCACAAGTGCTTGGCCCTGCTGGCTGCATCTCATGGTGGACTGCAAACATCATCCCTTCTGACGTCTATAGGAGTCAGAGAGAGAAAGACAGAGGGAGGGGAGGGGAGGGGAGGGGAGGGGAGGGGAGGGGAGGGAGAGAGGAATGTGTGCAAACGCCATCCTTTCCCGCAACGTGGGTGCGAACTGGCAGTTCATGTCAGGTCGGGCATCTCGCCGCCTGCACGTAAGGATGCAGGCTGAGCCCGTGGCTGCCTTCTGCTCCGAGGCCCAGACTCCCAGATCCGCCGGGCACTGGATCCGCGTCGCTGTGCGGCCTGGAGAGGAGGGCAAAGCGAACGTGACCGGCCACTCGGGAGAACCAAGAAGCAGCCTCAAAGTCCGAATAAGCCTCTTTGGGGTCAGCAGCGACGTGCCCCCGATTATCACCTCAAGGACAGGTCTTCGATACCCGGGCCTGCAACAACAACACGGGACCCTGCCAGCCTCCGTGCCCCGAGGCATCTTCTGCTCCACCTGGCACTTGCCAGCTTTGCCAACGAACGGAAAAGGCAGGGAAGGAGGCAAGTTCAGGAGTTTCAGATAGTTTCAGGGTTACTAGGTCGACAGCCGAGCAAGTAAAGCGCTCAAAAAACACGTAAGCCACTGTGCACCAACACGCCTCTGCCGCGGCTCTGAGTTCCGAGAGGGTGAAGCCACCGATCCTCAGAGCAGCGCGTGCCCTCTTATTCCACCACCCTCTTACTACCCAGTCACTACCCCTCATGGTTTGTAGAAGCAGACCATGGAGCCCGGCACGAACACCAGAATCCGATGAGACACTTGCGCATGCTCGCTTTCAAGTGTACCTGTGTCGGATGCAACGTCCAAAACAAAGCAGATGATGGCGACATCAAAGCGAGGCCACCTGAAACTGTAGCAAAGGACCAGTCATCTTTGGCCTGGAAAGAAGCCGCGTGGCCGTGAACATATGTGAACTTCATATTACATCCACATCATTTTCCACATTCGCAGTGCGTCACACCAGGGGCTCCTGGATCACTGGAGCTCCCAAAGGCTCGGCAGTTGCTGTGCCGGCTTCCCGCAGGCCTCACAGAATGATCATAGAACCCGTCACGTGGGCAAGGGCCGCGAATCCTCCAATTTTTGAGGTGAGGCTGCGGCCAAAGTCATCCCTTGGTCAATTCTCTCGACACGCTGGACACATGGCGTATGGGCTCCACTGCAACATACTGAGGGTTCGTCGCCGTGCTTTGGAGCACTGGAAACTCCTCTGCAAATATCGATAGACTTAGATTTGTACCGTACCACGTTCAGCATATGCTCGGAAATATTCAACATGGTCGCCCAGTGCAGCCAGTTGCTCAGCTGGATCCTCCAAGCTGAGCCGATCTTCCACCAGCTGCTCCAGGATGTCCTGGCGACGCACAGCTCCAGCAAAGACTTGTTAACGAAGTCTCTGCAAGGCATGACCTTCAGGCGTGGCTCAAACCGAGAGAGCTCGAAACGCCCCTCAGCCTTAGGTGCGGGGTTCGTCTGCTTGGGCTTTGATGGCTTTGGATATAGGGCGAGTTCTCAAACAAGCCCTGTACCCAACAAGTCATAACAGCCGATGAGTCCCGAGCAAGCGCGTTCTTCTTGAACCTAGCTGCCTGTCGGGCGTACCATGTCGTCCGCAGTACATGAGCTGCCATTTAAAGAGCATGGATCTCTTGCGAAGCCTTGAACTCTCTGTCGAGACAGTCACTGGTCACACTTGAGAGTTGCTTCTGAGCTTTTTCTTGCTCGTTTGTGCTCATTGCGTGGTCATGGCCAGAAACCTGCTGAAAGAGCAGTGTGCCCTGAGAACCCACCCCGAGCCCTAAGCGCTGAGCAATGGTATGATGTCGCTGCTGTACATCAGGACAGGTGGGTCAGGTTTCCCAAAAGAACACTCAAGCATCGAATCCACGATGTGATCATGGTACGCTGCGGATGCCTTTACACCATGTAGCTGCTCCCGGCTGTACCGAAGCATTAAGCGATAAACCTGGATTCATCTGCCTTCCTCACACAGTGTGTCCCTCTCACTCAGGGCAGCCGGACCAGTTTGGGAAAAACCGTCGCAATGAGTCGAGCGAGGAGATCGTAAACTCTGCCTGCGCGCTGGTTGCAAAGAACATGCTTGCAGTCATACATGGCGATACAGCCAAGTGCTTCCCTACTCCAGAACTAGCAGGCTTCTGATCGTGGATGCATAGCCTGCTGGAATGTGCTCTCTTGCAACGCTGAATATTATGTTTGGTTCACCCTGACAGTTTGGATAGACCACATCGCCTGGGCCGACGTGGATGAGTGTCGGTCTTCGGCATCTTTGCCCTGTGCGCTGGGGTATCCGGATCCAACACGGTCACCTCGCGATTCCAGGCACGACTGCTGCGCAAAACACCCAGAGATGGTACGTTGACTGCGACTCCGCAGACATCTACCATGATCTATCAGTGGCAGTTCAGCAGTGCACAGCAGCATGCTTGGCGAATATAAGATACAGTGACGATCTCAAGAACTAGGCATAACAGCGCTCCGGCCTTGTGACTCGTTACCCAGCATGGCAACTGGAGTGCATCCAGCTGCCCCAGCCATAGCCAGATACTCACGTTCAGCTCCAACTGCAAGCACTTCACTAGGCGACAGGCCAGCCGACGAAAGACTGCCCACAAAGGCTTCTGAGTCGCCAGACTTTACGCTGATGACCTTCAGCTTGTCTAAGGTGGAGAAGGTGCTTCGACTGTCGACAGCCTTGTCCGTGACAACACAAACCCGCGCGGTTTCGCTGAGACTCTGCAGGACCTCCTTGCAACTGTCGTCGCAAACGACACTGTACTGAAAAGCCACACAGGAGCAATTCAGTGGCTGTAACGGTTGACAACGAAACCGAATGCTTGGCGACTCAATGGCTAGCTTGGATTCGATGATCCGCAATTCTGGAGGTACTGTTTTCCCGCCAATCACATAGGCACTGGCGGAGGCCACCGTTGTTCTTATGACGCTTTGAAGCACTGCGCCAGCCTTCTCCAGTGCCAAGGGCGCTTCATGCGGCTTCTTCTGCGTCCAAGCCAATATCATTGCAGCGGTCAGGTCGCCAGTGCCCACGAATGGTCCACCTTCTACCCTAGGCAACCGTAGCATCCACTTGCGACCAGCACATGACAACATCATGGCAACGTCCTGCCCTCCTCGCGTTGCTTCCGGTACATCGAGTGTCGTCAGCACTATCATCTTAGGCCCCATGCTATGCAGTTTGTCACATGCTGCAGCCGCTCCGTCGATGCTAGAGATGCTCATTTCCGTAAGCAGCTCTGCCTCAAACTGGTTTGGTGTAAGGACAGAGACATGCTGCAAGACATCAGACCGGTACACTGCAACCAACTCTTCAGGAACGTATAAGTGGCCGTTGTCACCCATGACAGGGTCACAAACATAACAGCAGCTTGAAGGAAGCATTTGGCGCAACTTGACGACTTCCTTCAAGAAGGATGCTGCGCCAATGTATCCTGTCAGTAGAAACGAATGGTTGAGTACCTGATTCTGAGACAAGCCCTGAACCAGCGTCTGAAGATCATCGCCGGAAAGGCGTTGTCCAGCAAAAGATGGATAGGCGGTATGGCAGCAGAACTGCACAGAGTTGATCACGTCAACTTCGAAGCCCGAGATCTGGAGTGGGAAGACTGCGGCACGGTTGCCCGCGTATCCGTGGACAACGTGCGACTGCACGCTGAGCACGCGCGGCAAAGAGGCCATGACTGGAGCAATTTGAGTTTGAGCAGCCCACTTAGTGAACAGATTTGAGCAGCGGATCTTCCACAATGCAATGATGCGACTTGCTGCATCGTTAGCTTCTCTATTTGCGGAGGTGCTCTTCAATGTGTCAACATGTGCTTCAGCTACAGCGGCTGCATCTGCCTAGCTCAAGCTCTTCCTTGTGAGTTCTGTGCAGTTTGCACATCTTTGCTGAAGCCGGTGCTTCGAAGGCAGCGCGGATGAGTCTCCAATCCCTCTAAACGCCCCCTCCCAATTTTTGTCCCACCATGCCATGGCCTGCTGCTTTGTGACTCGGTGTGAGCAACCGCTGGCATGCTTGTGCCGCTGCGACTCTGGTACCTGCCGAAGGGAAGGCAGGCCTTGAAGGGGAGGAGATGGGAGGATCGATGAGGAGTGTTTGGAGCATCAAAGCGGCAACAGCATCTTTCATTGATTCCTGGCATTTCACCCTGCTGTGCCTCCATCAGGCGAGTACGAAGCATGTTCATCAAGGCCTTCATCGATGTCTTCGCGTCTTCAAAAGCTGTGGTAGGCTGTGACTGTGATGTACGGATATGGAAAACTGTTGAGGACTTGTGGCCTGCTGGTCATCCGCTCCAAGCTGCGCGACGTCCAGCAGCTTCGATCGACTGGCCTGATGGAGATACTTCACACGCCTAGCAGGCGCTTTCGCTTGGCATCGTCAAGATCACAACAGTGCCTCAGGCACGTTCGCCACGCAGGCCTTAGAAGCTTACGCAGATGTTTGGAATCTGGATGAAACTGGAGAACAGATGCCGTGCTTCAAGAGTGTCCATGAGTCCTGCACAAAGAAAAGCATCAGCAAGCGAAGCTTCATCTCGCTGGACAACTCCGGTCGGTCAGTGAGAATCCTCACAAACAAATTTAAAACTGGCTACTGAGCACATCAAGATGTCCTTCAATCGTGCCCAATCGGCCTCTGCAAGGTTGTCTGCAGGTTTGTGATCTTCACATCCTTGCCCGAGCGGTCGATTCCACAGGCAATGTCCTGAATCAAGTGGGCCCAATGTTTATGCAGCTGGGATCAGCCGGCTATCTTTCTGATGCTTGCGGATTTCCCTTGATTCATCCCTCTTTGCGCTTGTCAGACACATGGCGCTGGCTTCACTCTGATCACTCATCGGCTCTACCAGGCTCTGCAAGTACCAGATGGCCAGTCACTGCCCTTTCGCGCTTAAGCACCATCGGCCACCATGGTGCGGGGCGAAGTACTATATGTGTCCTGCTCCAGCAGGCCCAGGTGCAGAGGCTCCAGGATCTGCTCTGTGTTGAGGCGGCTGTGGATCTGCCTCCAGGTCTCAGCATCTGCAGCACTGTTGAATGAGAGTGCTACGGCATAGAGGCTTCGACGTAATCATTGCCAAATGGAGTGCCATGCGATCGACCGCATCACGCCTCGGGCGTCAGTACAAAAAGCTCGTCTCCTCTCACGGCCCAGTTTGGACAGCCCCTCGGTCCAATTGGGGCAGCAACATCTCAGGAGCTGCGCGTAGTTGATCCAGCATCGCCTCAGCTCGCAAGGATGGTAAGCCATCTGGCAGTCTGGTACAGGCTGGCAAGGCTGACAAGTGGAGATTGAAACTACAAGTAACCACAGCTCTCGTGGCTTTCAGTCCACTGCGCGTGTACTGATAGCCGTGGCATCCTGCTGCACATTCTGTCCTTGCATCGTTGCTCAATCTCAGATCTTGGAAATTAGTGTAGCAAGGGCACCGCGGCCGGAAGTCACAACAGTGCCAGCTGAGCTAGGAACGCTTCACTTCATCCACCTCAGGGGGGTTCTGGCACTGTCATGACCTCAACTGGCAGGAAAAAACGCTCAGCAGTCTGGCCTTAACCTCCACGAGCTCTCTTGCTGCCTCCAGGTGCATGTACTTAAGCTCCTGAATCGACAGAACACATCTCCGGCTGCATGACGCTGACGATTTCTCGAGTTTTTCGCCTCCCACAAGGGGTCCGCCAACAGCACCTCCTTGCTGTGTCCTGTTGAGAATTGTGGCTGTCGCTCTGACTTACGCAGATACAAGAAACCGTTCATGAGCAATCGGCCCTGTTTTCAAGCGGGCCTTCCCCAGCTCAGTTGATGACGTCCGACCCCACGCCCCCACCCCCGATCAACGCTCTCCCCAGCCTTCCCTCCCCCCCCAACCTCCCGTCCCCATGCCTGCACATTGAAGATTTGTCAAGACAAACCGGTTCCTCCGCTGTTCAGAGTCACAATGTTCCGATCTGCATCCAGCATGTTGCCGTCAAGCAGATCAAAGACGCATGCCTCCAGGCTACCATGCTCCACTGACAAAGCCATTAAAACAAGAAGCACACCGCTTTGGTCGCTTTGTGGTCGCTGTGCACCGGCGAACCTCGTAGGAGTATTCGTGAACTAGCGCCGCTGCCATGTCGATGGAGCGGTCAAGAATGAGCAGCTGGCCTCACAACACTCTCCATTTTCCAGGCGCCAGATGCATGGGACAGAACCGCGACCAGCAGGCCCCAGGCAAGGCTGACTGTGGGACTGCGTAGTCAAGCTCTTCTGCCTCTTACATTCGGCAAAGCCCAATGGCTACTTCCAGCGCTCTAGCCCTGTCTGGGCTGCTCACATGCCCAGTTCGCGCTGAACTCTTTCTGCCACATCCTGGCCTCGAGCAAGACTCGTCTTCTGCTGATTTGAGGGCAAGCAACCCCACCCATTGCTGTCAATGTCGGATGCCCCCGAAACATAGGAACTGGACATAACTCAGATTGAAAACGGATGACTGGCGAGGTGGCCTCCCAAATCTCAGTCGATTGGACATGCAGGCTGCAGCAGGCGAACTGCAACGAAACCCCAGATCAGGACGCCTGCAAGCACCGGCACACGTCCACCAGCTTCTGCACAGTGTCTGACAAAAGCTGCAGATCAGGCCTGGAGCTCTGAAGCTCTGAAGTCACAAAAAAAAAACACTGCTGCATCAAGATGCTTCTGGGCGCTGTACACTGGGAAAAGGCCCGTGATCGCCTCGGGAGTGTCGAAGTGGAAACCTCGATCCTCCGTAGCAGCAATCCGGGAAACGTTGTTTTACGTCTTTCTTGGAACGCATCTCAATCTACACGTGGCGTTGGCAACATGGGCCTGTACAACCACAAAGCTCAGGGGCGCTTCGACAAAAGACTTTACCTCGGTAACCATCCGAGATCTTCAAAGAAACTTGCGAGACAAGGTGGCCCGAGCTGCGGGCGCGCGGTGCCAGAACGGGGGCCTGCGCGGCACTTCCCCGGCACTTCCCCGGCACAGTTGTGCCCTCACAGTTACGCCCTCACAGCGTGAATGCTCCTCAACAAGCTTCGAGAGAAGCGCCGAGTCCAAGGGCTGTGAGAAGCACAGGTGCACCTCTTGGCTTTTAAGGGTATCGCATGGAAAAGGCTAGGGCGGCTGGGATATTACTTTCGGTATTTAATGCAGGCCTTTAGCAGTGGCTGTTATCGGCTGTCCGGCAGGCCAGAATGACTCGCGACTAGAGGCCGGTCTTTTCTCTGCTGCTCTCGCTTGCATATACATATCAACTCACACGTACTCTGTACTTTTGTGCTTTGTACTAGTACAAACCGAACTAGGCATCCTCAATCCTGGAGCACATAGCCTCTCAATCCAAGGTTCCTCGACAGCCTGTTACTTGCACAATCGGGTTGGATCTTTGCCTGACGGTGCTGCGGGGCAGTCTTGAAGTCTGCCAGGACCCGCTCGATGCTTGATGCTTGAGGCCTGGATTTTTCTTTCCGACTCTTCTGCTCGCCGAGCTGACCAGTTGCCAAATTATGGTCCTTTTTGGGGGGCTTACCCTAAGTACAAGGGTGCTCGAAGATCGGGGATCCAAGAAGGGACCATGAGTTGGAGACCTGATTCACAGAACAGGCCCACCGGCCTCAGGAAGTACAGAGCATCCAGTCCAGGCCTCAGAAGACTAAATAAATATATATATATATATATATGATATGTAGTATATACATATACATAATATCTACTATCTAATGTATAATATATAACAAACTATATATCATAAGAATATATGATATACAATAAACAATAAAGAATATATAATATATAATTTTATACTGTCTCAGTGTGTTGAGTCTTAGCCTGATGTCGTATGCTCAGATGCCGGAGGGAACAGGGGTGTTCCGCTCTTATAGGCAACTTTCAAGGTTGAACCCCTCACTTATATCAAGCCCCCCAACTGGCACCTTAATGTGGAACTGCAGCCAAGCGTGTAAACGAACAGTCACTTCCTAGGAGCATGCGCACGGGATCGAGGGGAGATCGCCATGCGCAACGCCAAGAGAACCCATCTAGCAATCCCAAGACGCAGGAAAGTACGTGCACGGCACGATTCGCGACATGGGCAAGCGCAAGCCTCCAAAAACTGCTTGCGACATAGGTGCAAGCATGAAATCCGAGAGGTTTCGGCCAGAGCGATGTTCGTCCAAAACAGCGATCTAAATCCCCGATAGTGCATATGGTGTTGGCACCCTCTTCTGCAAATAAACTAGCGGCCGAAGGAGGATTTCGGAGGGACTGGCTTATTTATAGAACATCCTGAAATAACTGAAGCGTGAACAAGCCCCTCTCAACAAAATCCAAACTGAAGCACACAACGGGCCCGGATGAGGATTTCTTAAGGTGTGGCATGAAACATCCTAATCTTCTTTTCGCGAACGATGTCTAGAGGAGGATTTCTCAGGATGTGGCCGCCGTTTGGCCTCTAGAGGAGAAGGATTTCCCACGGCCAGCAAGATTCTGCTGACTAAATGTTCTCTGCACTTGTCGTGCTTCTTGAATGCAGTCTTGTGATATAGTTGAATACGAAAGACAAACGAGGCCCGATCAGGGAATGCTGTAACAACGTCGACGTCCGGAAATATTGCGAGCAGATCTCCTTTAAAGTGAGGGCTGACCTTTTTGAAGTCATAATTTATACGATTTTAGGTCAGAAAGCCAGCTTGGCACAGAAGCGATATCGACCTCGGATAGCCTGCACTTGGTTTCGCATGTTGATTAAGAAAGGCAGCCTGTAAGGCCACGTTCTCAAAAATGCTATTCTGGGCCTTGTTCTTCGGAATCGCTATTGCGAATTTACGAGAACATGGCCAGCTCCTAAAGTTTAGGCCTTCTGGCTTTTCAGCCGCCTTACTTTATTTTGGAATTATATCGGAACTGGCCGCCCTCGCAAGCAGTATACATAAACATATGTATATATATACATATATATATATATATAATCTGCTGGTTGAACTCAAACACAAACTTGAACATGGTCCAGAACAAGCACTTTGGACACATTCAAGCACCTACAACCTTCAGAGGGCTCATGATTTTCAGGGGGTTGTTTGCACCTGCAAGAGTAAAGAAACGCCTGCAGAGTAAAAATCTGCAAATTGCATGTGTGGGGTCTACACGACAAGGCCCGATGCACTAGCTCGCCTGGCGAGCATATGCATTCACGTATATATTGCAGTAATATCTATATCTATATATACATGTATTAATTTATGTATTTGTTTATTTACACTGACTTGTTTTAATGTATATCTTGCACTTCCATTGTACATATCAATTTACAACATACATATACATGTTCAACTTTCAGCCACATTCGCAATATTTGCATCCTGCAGTGGTTCTTGGAGCCCACTGGGCATCGGGCAGCGGCTCGCGGGACTCCTCGAGCAGCTCGACGCTGGTGACGCCCTGCAGGGCCAAAACGGCTAAGACTCCGCCAAGAGGTTTAGGGAGTTGGGGGTTTAGGGTTTCGGGTCTAGAGTCTGTCGGAAAAGGGTTAAGGGTTTCGGGCTTAGGGCTTAGGGTCTTTAAGGTTCAGAATCTGAAGCCCAAGCAGCCCCACTGGTCTTTAACGTCTTTGACCTGGAAGGTGGACATACTCCCGCCCACCCGAACATCCCCTACCATCTCGGACACAGACTCATCAATCATGAACTCTGGAGCACCTGAGTCCCCACTCCATTCAACGTCTAGAGACCCCAAGGCTAAGCTGGTACAGGCGTCGCCATGCAAAATGTTGCGCAACTTTGCACAACTTGTTTTTAAAAATGGTTTAGTAGACTAAGGCAAAACCACTGTAAGCCCTGAAGCCCTAAAGCCCCGTGAGGGCAAGACGTTGCAGAGGAGGCCTCTGAGTGCAGGTCGGCCATTCGAAGGAAGGAGTTGAGCACCTCGGTGCCGTGCTGCCATGTTTGGGAGACTCGGGGGGAAGGGGGGGGGAGGGGATAGTTTCTTCAAGGAGCCCGAAGTGCTGCAGCATCCACAACCATCTGGAGTCGGTCGAGGCCTGCACCCAAAGCTGGGGGAAAAGCTGAGCTTCAGCAACAAAAGTCCTCTTTCGAGTTGTGAAAATCTTCACACTGAGCAACCAGCCATCTCCTCCAGCCTTCAGAGCTCGGCGAAGAATTACCTTTTAAGAAGGCTCTGTGGCTGCGGCTTCGTGGCTGAGATCGGTTTCAAACCATTTTGTGCGTCGTGGATCCAGAGAAAGACCTGGCCTCGAGCACGAGCTCTCGGCAAGTGCGCCTTTTCAGGCCGGCCCGGCACAAGTGAAGTCTACGCACTGACTCAAATGCTTCGAAACTGCACGTATCAGCATGTCGCGTCTTTGTGATTCTTCATGACGAGCAAGGCTCCGCTCCCCAATCCCACAAGTCCTGACTCTGAGCACAAGCAAAGCTCACGTTCTAAAGAACCTGTGTCGAGCTCTACGGCACTGTAGGGCACCAAACTCCAACCTCAAAATGAGACGAGAGCGCTCTGGGCCTCAAAGACATCGCTCAGGTAGCGATGCTGCGCGGCTCCTCTGAATGAGGCACGGCGCGCATGTTCCACAAACAGTAGCAAAAGCTGCAAAAGATCCTTGGTCCAAGGTGTCGCTGTCAGCTGAAGGCAGCATTATGCCATGCTGTGGCCGATACACTTGCTAAAGTCCGGGCAACTTCCTGGCATCCTGAAGCTGTTGGGATTGCTTGGTGGCTTGGGTGGTGCACCACTCTGATCTGGAAAGCCGATCAGCTTCACACACAATACAGCGCCGCGGTACGAGATCTCAACATGTGCTGCTCGGGTGAACTTGCGTAGCATTCGCAGCTATGGTGAACTGTTGCTTTTTTTGCGCGCGATCCTCCTCAAAAAGGGTCACACAAACATAAGCTAGATGCCTTTGGCACCAGCAGTCGGACTGCCAAAGAAGAACTTGACGAGATGCCGCAACGGCATAAATGAGGATCTCTTCTCGCATTGTCCGGGCTGAGTATCATGGTAAGCCATGTCATAACCATAAATTTGTCCATACAAACCATGTTGTTTAGTGTGAGACTCTTTTTCCGAAGGCTAGTGCAGCTCCGATGTTATCGTGAGCCGCCCGCTTCAAGATTCTCCTGACAACAAGTGTCGGACTGCTGTTTGGCTTTTCACGCAGCTCCATAGATTCTGACTGATATGGGTACTTCCCAAGCCTTTCATACCCCAGATGGAATAGAATCCCCTTGGACCCCAAAAAGGGTACCCCCATTTTCGGAAACCCCCATAATGCTGAGTGCTCCCAAGGTGCCATGGGTCTGGCCCACGAGCAGTAGATGTTTCTCCACCGCATACCGCGGAACAGCTCCAACCTTCCGGGGACGGGGAACCCAAACAAACAAAACCATCTTTGTCAGCATGACTCAGTATGAATTAGTATCAATGAAGGCAAAAGCTATCCAGCTCCATTGTGAAAGTTCTCCAGGTCTTTGAAGTGGCATGTGGAAAAATAGACTCATCTTGCATGTCAATGCCGGGCCTCTTCCCTCACGGTCGGCCTGTATAGGGTGACCTGCAGCTCTTCCCATCTACACATGAGGGCAGTTGTTTTCAACCTGCTGGTAGGACGAGGGTCCCTTTATAAGTACTTCTTATCGTTGGGACGCCCGAAAGCGATACGAATTCGTATAGCTTACTTCGGACAATCCAACATCTGCACTTCGCCGCGTCTGGGACCTCTCTGGGGAATTCTGAGGCTGAAGCCCACCCCGTGGAGTAGAGCGACCACTCTGCTTCCCACTGGCCTTAAGAAGCGCTTAACTTTATAGTGCAACAAAATAAAGAGCCAAAAGCCAGTATGAGCATCTTGAGGAATGGTTTTGTGCAATGATAATGGCGTTTGGATCCACACCGGAGCCGTGTATCTGGAAGACTCCAAGGGAGGCAAGTTCTGCCAGACCACTTTATGGCATTCTCAGTGCTGAAGAGGAACTCAGCAAACAAAAAGACGTCACAAGAAGCAGCCTGCACAGAACCTTCCAGTTCCAGAACCGGCTGGTGAGCCTGGCAGGTGCACCCGCCCAGGACCTCGAGTTTAGCAACTTCGCTTCGCAACTTTGCCTGCCTTGGCCTTTGCCGCCCCTTTGGGCTTGCCCTGGCCGTGATGGCAGGATTCAACTCCCATGGTTTGGAAAGCTGCCCCTGCCTTCGTGTTCTTTTGCAGTTGCCGCACCTTTTGCATGATTATTCGGAGCTGTGCCTGGGCGACAGCATGCGCACGCCCCGTCTTGCCTTGCAAAGGTTGCCTTGCCATACTACATAATCTACATAACTGCGCTTGGAACAGAGCATCTTTCTCCTCATACATTCGGTCTTTCGAAGCGAGCGTTCGCTCCAAGTTGACCTGCAGTGTCAAAAGAGGCAGGCAGGACGGCAGGAAATTGACGTGATCGTCAAGGTGTCAACATCCCAACATTCCAGGGCTCAAGCGTTGTCCTTCCGCATCGTCTCGACGACCTCTGAATTTGAGAGCATGATACGAGCCTGCAGAGGCCCCTTTTTTCACTCTGAGGATGCGGCCATCATGAGCTTCTGCATACGCTCCATGAGCTTGAGGTTTTTCTGCCTGAAAGGCTGAAGAGGGCTTCGGGGGTCGAACTCAACAGTGCCATCGTGGCAGCCTTTTAGCCTGACTTGGCACCGCGCTCTAAGCGATCTCGCATCAGCTTCTCCTGGAAGGGAAAGTGGCATGAAAGAGCAGGCAGAAAAATAGTCGGCAATGCTGATCACCACTGCTTGAACACACCAGCTACTTGACCGAGTGCCGCTTATCCAACTGAGCACGGGTGGTCGTTCATCTGAGTATTGATCACAGATGATAATTATCAACAGAGACACGGCAGGCCACAATGCTCAAACACATGCCAGTGCGGTGGTGCAGCGCCTTGTGAAGCTCGTAGTGAGAGACGATCAGCGCCTCACTTGACTCTGGGACTCTGTTTGGCCCTTTTTCCAGGGAACTTCGGGAACTCACTCGGAAGTCCGGGGCCCCAGGCGCTGTCTTTGGCAGCCGCCTCCGTGCGCAACGCATCCAGCACGCCATCATCGCCTGAAGGCGTAAGGTATGATTGAGGCCCCTCTGCCCTCGAACCAATCCAAGCGCTTCGCCATCTTTACCTCCCCGAGAGCTTTGCCTTGAATGCTCGGGACTCGAGAATAGCTAGTGGCGGGGAATGGCGGGGACTGAGGTACGAGCTGCTCTTGCTGACGATAGTGCATGAGATCCACCTGGCATTCTGTGCGAGTCGCGCCTGCGTATTAAAATGCAACCGTTTGCTCCCTGAGGCCTCCTGATGCTTGAGGACCTGTTCCTTCTCTTCTAACTGCAGGCGGGCCTGAGCTGCTTACGTCCACAGACAGATGTTGAGAAGAGCTTCTCTCCTGGCCGCTGGCCTCGGCCATTTCCTGCTGTAAAGCCTTCATGTCTTTCATCATGACCTGCTTTTCCTGAGGCAGCTGACCATGTTGCCCACAGAGCTCAGGAGGGGCAGACTCAGAGGGCCTCTAAAAGCTGATCGACCTTCTGCTGGTGGTACTCAAGGTCGAGCCTAGGGCTCCGACATGCCATGAATGCCATGACCAAACCCTATAGACCCCTAAACCCCTAAGCCCCCCCGAAATACTGTAAACACATGAACAGTCCTAACAGTGTACTAACAGGACCCCTCGCTAGATGTCACTCTTGAGTCCGCGGCTGAAGGTGCCGAATGTCGCTGACCAGATCAGCAATTTGCTGAGCTTGTCGTTGGTCTAAGTGTGGCTTTAGGGGTTTTAGGGCTTTTGATGGCTTTTGGGTGCCCCCCGAGGCGCACACAAGGCAGATCAAGATGATCGAGGCAGTTGTGCGGCTTTTCTTGCTTGTTTTTGGCAGCCCCAAAGTAGCTTAAGCGATCTTAAGCTCTTAAGGGCTGAGTTTCTGAGATTCCTGAGGAGCCGGCTCTCGGCCTGGGCTGCAGCAGTTGCGGCCTCCGACGCTGCGAGTTTCTCGTTTGCCTCGGCGCCGCACAGCTTTCGGGGAGCCCAGAGCGGCGGCGCTGGCAACGTTTTATGAGATATCTCCCTGCGGACAAGTCTCGCCGCCACCCGCCTGCACCCACGCGCACAGCCGAGCATGCGAGCCGCACTGATCTCTGATGCGGTTGGGAATTGAATTGGGGCGTCCTGGGGGGGCATATGGAACCGTTTCGGCAACTCACCTCTGCCTGCTCTTTGTCGGCTCGAAGGCTGGCAGCCTGAGGGCAAACGAAGCGGCAAGCGGTGGCTGCACAGCATACGACGGGCACGGCGAACGCGCAGCGCACAATCGCAGCGCCGCCTCCGTTCGAGCAAGCGTCAGCTCGGTGTAGAGGTGCGCGAGCCTTCAAGGGATTCAAGGTTGGCGATATTTTGCTTTGACACATGCATTCTACTCGGACATCCTGGGGATATCCTAGGTTCAGGCTGCGTGTTCAGATGCGAGATCTGCTGGTAGGCTGCTCCCAGCAAAGGAGGCTCCTGCGCCCAGATGCCATCCAACTGCTTGCAGCTTAGAGTTACAAATGTCCGTTGAGCGGTCCTCAGATGCTGTAGCTGCAAAGCCTGAGCGTTTCGCACACCAGTCAATGAAACAACCCATTCTAGACTCTAGACTCTCCACAAGAGGTGGCTCAGGTCGCAGCTTAACTGCTCGCCCTCTCCAGGCACAGCCGTGCTTGCCTGGCTTGGCACGAGAACTGAAACCAACTCGGATGTGTTAAGATGCTCGAGCGCCATCAACTTTTTTGCGCATGCGGAGCGCTGCTGGCACTTCTGCTTGAAGCAGAACCATTCAGTGACATTATGTTGCGATGTGATCCTGGACTCATGGTGCAGCTACCACCTTCGTATCACTGCTGTGTGTCTCTGCTCTCCCGAATCGAGGAGAGTCTCTTCATGACAGACATGTGCTTCTTCCGGCATCCAGGTTTCCATGTGGCATGGGGGCGAGTCGAAGCTGTGGCAGCGAAAGATCGTGAAGCAGACATGTCAGAAAGCGCTCGTTCCCGATGATGCTGTCACTGGGACGTGTTCGGACAACCACCATCTCATGACCTGGTTTTGCTCTTGCAGCAAGTATAGACAAAACACTGGCCCTCAGCTAGCTGGACATCACACTGGAAAGCCTTCTGCAGGTGATGCAAGCGCGCTGCTGGAGGCGAGAAGGAGAAGACAACAAAAACACCCGACTCATTCAGAATACGCGCCACTTCAGCCACGTATAGAGCAGCATCTGCATCTCGTTTACAGTCACACACGGAGTCCAGCGTAGACTTGTCAATTGCGCAATCGAAGAATCCATCTTCAAAAACGTCTCTCATGTCACGAACGTCTCCCGTCACCCAGTGCAACCTTGCGCTATGCTTGTGGTCTCGAGATTGCATGGCTTTCACACATGACTCAGACACGTCAACATTCCATATTTCACCACTTACCCCAGCATCAGCCATGTTCTCTGCCAGCAAACTCGTACCACATCCCAAATGTACGATGCGCTTCTTCTCTGCCATCGCGCCGAGCCAAGGCTTCAATGACTCGAAATTTCCTAGCCAATCGTGTGGTTGCCTGTACCATTCCTGTTCATATCTTGCTTGCCAGTAGTGGACATCGCCATAATCAACATCGGCATCAGAGTCCTGAAGATACTGGCAGAGCAGCGCAGTGCAGAAGGTAGAAGACGTGACCAGACCGATGGCCCGCAGCCATTCATGTGATTTTTGCGTTCCGTCTCTGTTTTTTCGCGTCTCTGTGGAGTTCGGTCTGCAAGCTAGGTTCAGCATGTGCAGCTGCAGTCTCCGGCATCTACACCTGTGTGCCCCGACAAGTTGTGTGCGAATCGCGGCCGCGCTGGCCATCATGGCATACCACGGCACACGCGCATCAAGAATACACAAACCCACACCTTTGTCATTAGTTGCCGCGCATAGTGCCATAGTGCGGCACGAAGCATGCAAATACCTAGCAACATGCTCCAGGACCAACGTAGCACGACAAAGATCCGAAACTTTGCGTATACACTACGATTGCCATGACTTGGTGATCTCCATGCCCGGCTAGCCATAGCACAGACAAGGCAGTCCCTCGTGGCCCGAAAGCTGGCCTGGTGGCGTTGAGATAGCTCATGCTGCAAACCTGGGCAAGACTGCCGCGCTGTTCGCGGATACTGGAAGGAGTGTGTGTGTGTGTGTGTGTGCCTGCCTGAGACTTCATTCTCGAGCTCTGACACCTTTTGACACATGCCAGTCACATGCGGTGAACAGGCAATCCAACCCCCTTGTAGCGCCTTCGCTCTAAGCTTCAGCACATCCTGGGACTCTCCTGCCGCCTCGTGTGGGCAGATAGAGAGAACAAGAGAATCAGGGACAGAAACAGACCCGAGCCATTCGCGGACGTATCTCGCAAGATGCTCTCAAAGATGCCATCCGTAACGTCCTTGCTGAAGTCCTGAAGGCATTTATGCAAGCAACAGGGTGTACGCCTTGCTACGGCCTGCTGCTTCGCAAAGGAGTTCCCACACAAGCTGCTTTGTGAATGCAGTGGTCTCCTCTGCTCCGTTTGGATCCCGCTGTTCGGGATGAAATGTTCGGATGCCTGCCGCTGCAAATTTGAGCGTGACACGCGAGCACAAAGAAGCACTACATCTCTCAGCCACGAGCCAAGAGAGTCCCGATCCGAGCCAGGAGTTTGTGTGACTGGCAGAGCACAGCTATAAGACAACAGCGAAGGTCCATTGTCACTGCCGGGCACCGCCTCTCACATTCCCACTTTGGTCGTCTTCAGGTTGTGCCATGCGCGCGTCGCCTTAGTGTGGCAAAGACAAGAACATGAAAGACACACTCTGAGGAAAACACAAACACTTTGAACACACCTGCAGTATGCAAGTATGTTTGTGCCGGGGGCAAAGCTGAGAGCTGCGCAATGGACGACGACCTCTTACCTACGGCGTGTCATTATCCCGCTGCAGTGGAACCGCAATCTTCGGCAAATGCGAGCAAGGATGACTGCAAGATTCTAAAGCACATGCTGCGAACTGTGCAAACAAATTCTGCCATGTAAATGTATCACATCATGATGATCATGATATGCATTCGCATGCACTCACTTTGCACTCTCGTTCTGGGTCCACTTGGCAAGCTCCATCCTCTTGCTGTACTTGCAATGCTCGACTGGCTGACGCAAACTTCGTCCTGGGAATTTTATGCATGCTTCTCCAGGTAAAGGCTACCACTGGATGCGAACTTTGCGCCTTCAAGTCTATCCTACTAATGCATTATTGGTTGAGGACTCTGCCTCAGAAAAACTCACAGCAGCTGGAGTTGAGGACTCTGCCCCAGAAAAACTCACAGCAGCTGGAGACCAGCACCTCACCAGATCATCGACGCACTCATCAAGGGCGCCTTCGACATTGCCTCACGCATGGGGCAGCACGTCGTCTGAGAGTTTCTTGGCCTGAACTCTCTTCGTGCCACGTCTTGCCTTCACGTGAAATCCGCCGACCCCCTTTGTCGGCGTCAAGAAGCTGGACTCGTACCTTTCCCGCTGGACCCGCTAGTGCCCTTCCCCATGGACCCGCGCGGCTTGCTTCCTACCTGGATGGAACCACGCGTGTTGTAACCCACCCTTCCCCCCCTTGTCAGCGGTCAAGCAGATGGAAGCACACGTTTTGTGTTGGCTGAACCCTACCCCGACCCCTACGCAACCCCCCCACCCCCCCCCCCACAACCCCCCAACAACCCCCCACCCCCCGACCTGCCACTGCCCCCCCCCCCCCCCCCCGCCAGAAACCACACGTTTTGACCCCCCCCCCCCCCCCCCCCCCACCCCCCCCCCACACCCCCCCCCACCCCCCCCCCCACCCCCCCCCCCGCCAACCCCCCCCCCAACCCCCCCCACCCCCTACCTGCCTCCCCCCCCTTCCCTCCTCTCATTAGCGGGCCCACCCCTTTTTCGCGCCCCCCCCCACCCACCCCTGCCCCCTTCCCTACCCCCTTCCCTACCCCGCCTGACACCCAACTCCTCCTAAAAGGATCGCCGTGGCGATGCACGTGCCCCCGATTGGTCGGCGGCAGCGGCGTCAGCCTTTAAATAAAGCAGCCAGCGCTTTGTTTTGCACTCTGGACGGGGCTGGTGCCCTTTGCAGCATCTCATACGCTGCCGGAAAAGCGGTGAGGTGAAATGGGACATGCGCGATGCTTGTAAGGCGCTGTTACCTTCTCTGAACGATGCAGCAAGATTCAGTTAGCAACATTCAGCGTCCCCAATCACGAGTCGTAAAGCTGACAAGCTTGTGCCCACTGTCCTGCTGACTCTTTAAAGAGTAGGCTCTGTTCGGGACCAGAGACGGCGAGCAGAGAGCCAGCAGTGGACCAGGTCAATCGAAATGTCTCTTCGCCCACGCTCCACGAACTTTGGACACTCCAGGGTTGCCCCTCCATGTCCTGCCACCAAATTTGAACAAGCCCATCCTCGAAGCACACTGCAATGGAGCTGGAAGGTATGCCCAGATTGGGCCTGATCAGGGAGGCAGCACTCAACCACCCCAACCCACACCCCAAAACCCCAAATTGCTTTGAAAAGCCCAACTGACGGGGTCTTGGCTGGCCTTGGGCTGTCGCAAGCCTTTGACACTGTAACGGAAGCTTGAGAATAACACCCTAAACCCTAAACCCTACACCCGAAACCCTAAACCCCAAGCCCCAAACCCTCAACTTAAACCCCAAGCCCGAAACCCTAAACCCTGGATCTAATTCAAGGTGGGGAGGGGGTCGTATAGAAGTTTAAAGAATTGGAAGCGGGGTTCGACAAGCAGTCGCCGGGCCCTTCATCGGCTCAACGGCCGCGAGCCTGCGGCCCTGAGACCCGCTTGGCACTTCTCCTGGGCCCCTCTTAACACCAAAAGCGAATACTGCGGTGCATCACGGATGACCTCGCCCGGCCCATCAAGAATGACCCCCCCACACATGCAAGCTCAACCATTATTTCCTTTCAAATCCACTCAGATGATTTCTACCATCCATACTGGACTGGGGGCTCCAAGCTCTAGGGTCCACTTGCAGGCACGTTTTACAGCAGGATTCCCTAGCGACAAGGCTCCCCAAAAAGAAGCCCTGCAAATGCAATCGGCTCTGCTGGACCAGGCCTCCAAGCAACGTCGCGGACAGGGGGCCCGGGCCCCCTTTCGACCAACTCATGCTGCAGAGACCAGGTGTCACTCTTCTCATCTCCTCGCCAGATCCGGACAGACCGGTCGCTCGACGCAGACACGAGCCGCAGCGGAGCTCGCGCGGCTGCTCGGGCTGCTGCTGGCCCGGCTGCGAGCGTGGCCGGGCTCGCTGCTGGTGCCCAGCAGAAGCCAACCAACCCTGCACTGTGTGCCTCCATGGGCTTTGACAGCCACTGCTCTCCGGCTGGGAGGACCGCGCTGGCAGAAACCTCCTTGCGTGTTAGGAAACAGATGTCGGGACTCTCGCTGCCCGCGACGGCCAGCATGAGCCCGTACTCAGCAGGTCGAAAACTCGCCGCAACGACGGACCCTCTCACAGTGAGCCGGTGCACTGAACTCCACCTCGGACGATTTGAGAGACTTTCACGGGAATGCACAATCATGTTTTCTTACGCAACCACACCAGTCCGACCGGTCCTCTCCTCTGAGCGCTCGGCTCACCCTGCTCTCGCCAGAGCACGATGCTTCCATCAGCTGCGCCGCTCACCAGTTGAACCTGCGGTACGGTCTTGCCAAAACAGGTCTGAGGTCGCTCATGGTCGCTCCCTACCGGCCCCATGCTGTCAAAGCAGCGGGGAGGGTCTTCTTTGGAGCCCAGCCCACGACCAACGCAGCAGCCTGGTGAGCTGGCAACCTCAGCTGGCTGCAGGTTTTGTCAAATGCCGACACATGCCGAGATGCGCCGAGCACGGCAATGAAGCTCCGGACTGGGCCACCATCTGATGGCTCTCTGTGCACCAAATCCTGACAACCTGCGGCCACTGCAAGCCACTGCAAGCGGGGAAGAGGCAGTTCAATGAATTGAGCAGTGCGTCATAGTGTGTCTGCTTCGAATGGATGAAAGAAGCCGACATCTAAAAAGCCGAGACGCGCCGTCAGATGAAGCTGTCGCCAAGCGACGCCCGACTGAGTCATACCTTTCCAGTGTCCTCCTACTATGCTAAATGGGATTGTTCTCAAGCTCAGCTGGCATGCCTGGCATCGTGCAGGCTGCCGAAAGCCAAGGCGTCATAGCCGGGAGCTGCAACCATGTGGGAAACTAGCGTGCGCAAAAGGAATCTGCCTTGTGGCAGCACTATATTGGGGGCCACTTGCGCAATGGTAAGCAAAAAGAAAAGATGTAGTTCCCGAAACAACTTCCAAGACTTTGCGAAGCAATTGTCTGCGCTGCAGAGCCATGCGGCATCCGGCATTAGCCAAGCAAGAACTTGACAGAGTTTTAGCAGCCTCAAGGTTCAAAAAGTTCAAGACCAGCTGAGGCAGCTCGGGAAGCAAAGGCCTTGCCATCGCTTGAAGTGGATGTTGGCGACAGCGCAGCCGGCTTTGAGGAGGAGCTACTACGGTACTATCAAAGACCTATCGAGTTGACTGAACCTTGATCCGCGGGATTCCGTGACTGGCAGCTGTTGAGATCATGTCCATCTGACTCAAATTCACCCGAATCACCTGCTCAAGGAATCCACACAAGCTGGCTGCAGCCTCAGTCCCATGATCCTTCTCCTTGCAACCCTGCATGCTCCTGTACGGAAGGGCTGAGCGCAGTCAGCCGAGGGCACATCAGGGCAGCGCGGCCACTCTTGCACCGCTCCGCCGACACCAAGGGAAAGCTCATCGTACAGGAGCTGCAAAGGAGCTGGAAATTCGGAAAGGCGCTGCCCTGAAAAACATTCTGAGCTTGTCCTCGACCGTTTGAACTGCTATGCCGGCATTTGCTTGTGTTGCGTACTGTACATGGTTGTGTACATGAAAATGCATGTGTAGCTATATCATACAGGTATACATGTATGTATGCTTATGCTCTCTCTCCCTGCAGGTCCTCGGAAAATCTGCTTTCCCATGGTGAGACGACATGAAACCGCGCCCTTGCGCAGCTTGTGAAAGCAAACCTACGCCGAGTCACAGCTACCGGCTATTACTCTCAAGACTGTGCGCAGCCTCATGGCCATACCCATTTTTCAACACCGTTTAAGGAGCATGCACCACACAACCGGAACAGTGACTGTCATGACTGGCACTAGAACTCGCGGCAAGAGTTATACATGGGGCGCACCTTTGCGGCCAAAGCCCAGTCTCTCGGCATTGAGTCATAGCCTGGCAAATCCAGGGGCCACAGTGAAGTACGGCGAAGTACGGTGAGCAAGAAAGGCAAGTACCATGGATCAGCCATGGATCAAACGAAATCCGAGAGCACCCAATGGATGACAAAATCTCATCAGGCGGCCTCTCGTGTGTGACAGCCCACACGTGGGAGAATGCGATCGCAGCTTCGTAAACAACACTGCCACAAACAGAAAACAGAGCAAGACAATTGAACATAGCCTCGTAGGTTGGTCAAGTGGTTTCGGCAACTTCGCCGGATCAAGAACCTGAAAGGGCAGATGCCACCCAACTAGCGCGCAACCAGTGAGCACCAGCCAGACGCCAACTTAGGCCGGCAAGGTCCCCTTCAAGAATCCTTAAAGCCCTTGCAAGTCAGCAAAGCCTAGACGGCATCGTCATGCAGCCGTGCTGGTGAAGCCGCACGGGCAATGCTGTGACCCTGCTGAGGTTGCCGCACCATCAATGATCTGTGTTGCAGCTTTCAAGTCTCTCTGCTCAATAGCCTCCGAGCATTGCGCCGGCAACGTTTGCCCCTTTGAGCCACCGATGGACTACAGCTTCATGGTTTCCAAGTACCCTTCAAAGCATAAAGATCCACACTGGCTAGAGGAGGGCAAGTCATGCACAGCGCCATTCTGGCATGAAGTATGGGCGAAGCAAGCACAAGAAGCGGCAGTGGATCAGATGCCATCTGTGTATTTATAGGCAGTGCAAGGCTGTTTCTGAAAGTTACCGGCAAACCATGGACTTGCATCTTCGGGCTATCCCACCCTGGCACTAGTCCAGTATCTTGCCATTGTACTACTTCTTATTCCCCAGCTATGTTATTCGCTACATTACCCCTTACTTCCCCAGCCTCCGTTGCCTCGAGAGCGTACTGGCTGTCCATGTTCATGTTTAGCACCGCCTGCCCGAGGTGACAGATTTCTGTCTTCGCGACCTTTCAATTTCTTCATCCACTGGCTAGCAGAAGCCAAGGCCCGGACGCTTTGAAGGAAGTTCCAAGTGTGCGTTGCTTCTGGATTCAGCACCAAAGATGACCTTGCACAAGAAGCACGTAGATCCGGACAACAGTTTTCGGCGGAGTGGAAGCACTGAGGCACATACAGGTACAAACGCGCAGCATCCTTGTGCTTGCCTGTGAGCCGGAGTCGTGCACGTAGCCACGCGAAGCATCAAGCAGGCAGGGAAGGCCCAAATTAGCGTGCGCGATGGCCATGTTCGACCTCAAATCACTCAGATGATCACCATGGAACGAGGCGAAACCCGGCTGCCCCGCGGTCACCAAGCTGAAGGTGCCGGGCCAGCTCCGAGCATAATTGGGCTTCAGCTCCAATCCTTGATGGTAGGCAACCTGGGCATGATTGGGGCTTCACGGATTTAGGCATTGGGAGTTTATTCAAACAGCTTTTGGAAGGAGGCTTACAGGAACGCATTTTGGGGCTTGTGGCGTTCAGGATGCAGGAAGCATGCTCAAGGCCCTGACCACGGCTTGCTCACTCTTTCCCGAATTGGCCAAGGTTGCACCCAGCTTGTTCCAAACCTAAGTATCAAGCGGTGGCATGAAGCCAAGCTAGGCTAGGACTGCCCCACCCCTGCCCCGTTTTGCTAATGTACGTGAACTCACGTCCCCAGGGCAATCGCTGTGGGATCGTTCGGTCGCAGCCGGCAAGCAGTGGCAAGAGCCTGATGAAACTCATGACACGAGCACTGGTGACAGGACCGATTGGTGGTACAAAAAAAAGAAGGCCGTGCCTGAACAGCGGCGGGGAAGTCTCCTCAAGACCAAAGGTCTTTTTTACAGCTGGCTTCTGCACAGCAACTATCGGGAACCATTTTCGATTTTTTCGTTTTAAGGCTGAATGTCGAGTCTTAGGCACTGGGTCGCAATGGCCAAAGTTGAAATACCCTTGTTGACTCCTAGCACATGGCATTACGTGCTGCCTGGAGTCTGTTGATGTTTTCCAAGACACCCAATGCCACAAACACATCGGCATCATGAGGATTGGCCTGAGCTCCCCAGCTGCAAGGAGACGGGTTCGAGCGCAAGTCGTTTAGCTAAGACTTCTCATGGCTACTGATGGCCTGCGCAGCTTGCTGAAAGAGTTCTGTGACCTGTCGGCCTGGGAACAACATTGCAAGTGTTGTTCCATGTCGGCTAGATTTGCTGCGCAGCTGGCTGCTCTCTGAAGTGAAATGCTGAAGATGCAGCGCCACGCGTCGTACTCATAGTCCGGCGGCGCTTCAACACGGTCTGCAATGGCCTGCGTGGCTTCGAAAGGTTTCGCACAACAAGCTGGTAGCAGACGTTTCGGATTGCCTCCCCGTCCTGCCAAAGCGGCAAGATTGCAAACGCGCGCCTGGTGCTCCTCGTGGTTTTCAAGCCAGGTCCGCAAGTAGCGCCTCAATGTCCAAGCGGCTCTCAGAATGACAAGAGCATATTGAAGAGCACGTCGCGGACACTTGCTTCAACTAAATCACGTCTTTGGCCGAGAGATGAGCAGAGCGGGGAGCTGGTCCAGCTCATTTGTACAGCTGACGCCTCCGAGTCTCACGAGATGCGTTCTTTTCATCGCGCGCTGCCCTGAGGTGCCTGCCTAAGGCAAGCAAGCTGTCTAAGTTGTAGGGGTCGACCTGCCAATGCTTGCGCAGACTTGCCAGTGCCGACGCAGAGGATGAAACAGATGCAAGTCAGAAAGTCAGATGAGCATGCCCACACCGTCGCGAAGCGGATACATAAGAGGATTGTGGAAGGATGCGGGGGTGCCTCGTGACCTCTCCTGAGGCATTGGATTGCCTCAGCACGTGCTTGAAGCGGAGAGGATATCTTCATGCCCAAGACCGGCAGCCTCTATGTCTTGGTCAAGCTCGGCATAGAGTTGGCCCAGCCTAGGTCAAGCTGCATGTAGAGATAGATATAGATAGATATATATATATATATATGATGTAGATATATATATATACATACATGTAATTATAAAAAAATTATATATATGTATATATATATATATAAAGAGAAGATCCCATGAGCAGTCAGGTACAGTCCGTTGCTCAACCCAGAGCCAAGGGCATTCTCCAGCCTTCGGAACTTTCCGGATTTCGCTGGACCTGTACACTGTTCACCGCAACCAGCTGAGAATGTACTGAAAAAAAGAAGAAGCTGCTTGCTGTGCATTCAGGCTGCATTGCAACAGTACAGTGTGCTGCATCAGGCACCTCAGACTCCAGGCACAGAAGTGCTTCTCGGTCTCGACCTGGCAACGTATGCGAAAGCTACGGCTGCAAAATGAAACGGGCAGTTGGACAGGCGCTTGCAAGATGTTGGCAAGTTCCGCAAACTGCTCTCTGGCACATGGTGCTGATTAGCCAGAATTGCATTTGTTCTGACAATGTGACGTCATAAAGATGGACGGACGACGCAGTAGCAGCGAAAATCTGTCGTGATTGCTGCACACTGGAAGGCAACTTCAGCCGTTGAATCATTAAGCTTCTAGGATCACTTCTTTAATTGCACGTAAGTAAACTCCATTGGTAGATCATGATGGTGCGCCACCGAAAAACTTAAGTCGTTCCTGACTGTAGCGAACACTGGGTGTTGGGCCCCCTCCCGTTCTGACTTCGGGGTTCGGGGCCGACATGGGCTCTTCCCAAGCTCACACTTCTTACCGTCTCCTTGCTGCAAATGTGCTAGCCCTCTGCTACACCTCTTTAGTTCTTGTGTGTGCATGCTCGCACAGCTGGTGGGCACCTTCTCTGATGAGCCGGATAGCTTCTGCAAGCGGGTCCGAGATTTCACCTTGGCAAGGCGGCAATCCATGCAATCATCTGCAGCCTCTGTTGATCTGTGATCAGTGACTGCATGCGACGGCCTTCCAAATTTAAAGCAATTGAAAAGCCCGGGCGCGGAAAGGATTCTCTTCCGCAAATTTGTACTCCTTCGCCCGGCTCATCGCAGCCTGAAGCAAGCATTGGCCACCAAAGGATCCAAAAGCGCATCGCTTCGCAAGAAGTCTTGTTGGCCCCCAGCCAGGTCCATCGTCGACGCATCGAAGCCGTCCAAGCCTCTCGCTCTGACACGGAACTTCCCGAAAACGAACATCGCACACATCGTACAGCAGCATTTCGAAACACATCGCAACATATCTCAAGATTTCTCAACGACTTCAGTCTCTGCCTTGCATCATCTGCTCCAAGAGATGATCTGCCTGGCAGGCTCTCAGACTTCTTGACTCGTTCAGAAAGAACTCCGGATGCGGTCCCACAGGCTGTTCGAAAAGGATACTAGTAGCTCAAGTGGCATCGCGTGGGTTTGGGACAGGGATGCTCGCCTCCTCCCTGCCGAGGGCCTCCTGAGTGACTGCACCGAGTACGAACCCAAAAAGACATCTTCACTGGAGCCCACGGGTTGAAATCGGTCCTGGAGAGCCTCCCGGTGATTCGCCATTCCGAGGGCGAGGTCACCCTCGAAGTCCTCCATGCCCAACGGGTGGTCCAAGCCCACCCGGTTGAGGACGGCCTCCATGCCTCAACAGATATCATAAGACCACGCAAGGTTGAGGCCTTGGGCAGGGCACCTGCCTGCAGGGCCAGCCGAAGCTTTCCACATCGTATCCTGCATGCTCACAAAGTTCACAGGCGACTGGGCCCCTATTCTTTGCCTGTCTTCATGTAACAAGCGAGGTGCACCAGGTGAGCTCTATCGTTGTCTGTCACCGTGGCCACATCAGTGTCGTACAGAGCTTCCCAGTCCTCGATTCACGTGTCGCACTCACGTTTAGAACGCCTTCAGCTTAGGCTCAGCTTGGATGTTCACTGTGCCAGGTTCTGCCAGCATTCTGCCCGCTTTACCCCATTTTTTACCTCTGCGCCTCTCAGACACACAGATTACGAGCACTGAATGAGTCAAGAATCACTAACACCAACCAACGAATCCATGTGTGAATATCACCTGAGGCACCGACTACCTGGTTTCCATCTCTGTCCACGACGGTGTTCTCTTTAAACTGAAGGTCGCCCTGGCAGAGCCGGCAACTGGCAGACTGAGGGTTTAGGGTTTAGGGTTTAGGGTTTAGGGTTTAGGGTTTAGGGTTTAGGGTTTAGGGCCCCTGTTGCAGGAGCCTTGCTCACCAAGTCAATGAAGTTCACGAACTTCGAGTTGGCGAGCTTGGTGTTCCCACTGTTTCGGAGCCTCCAGACGGCAGCGTAATACACGTGTTGGTAGTAACTCATGAAGATCAGCAACAAAAAGCAGGCAATGCATACACACTTGCGGGTATATATACGCATATAAATATACCTATATATATATGTATGTTATGAAAACATCGTGCTCATGGCAGGGGGCAGGACTCTGAGACGCGCGTGCTGCTGTTGATAGAGATGGCAGCAGCTTACGCCAAGCAACATCTCCACCATTTGCGCAGCTTGCCCCAGGTCTGCTTCTTCAACCTTTTCAGCATAAGCCGCGAGTTTTTCAGGACGACGCGCCAGCTTAGCACTGGCGCTGTTGCACAACTACGGCCCTACAGTCCCATGTGGACTTCTGAAGGGACAAGATGAAAGTTGCCGGCTGGTTGCTGCGTGTATGTGATCGTATGTGTATAAGAATCCTCCACATGTGCCATCAAGCATTCAGCGACGACTCTTCATGGTAGGCTATTCGAGGCACCACGGCTTGCGGCAAGTGCCTGCGGGGCCTCTGCCAGGGTCTCGATGGGCGCAGCCTCTGAACCCGAATGTCCGCAAAATTGTTGAAATCTGCGCAGTGTCTTTCCCGGTTCTCCAGAATTCTCCGGCCTCCTTGGAAGCAACATCTGTGCTCACAGCAGGCGCCGAGGCCATCATTGCCGGCGCCGGCATCAAGGAGGGCCCGGCTTGGTGTGGTGCCTGGGCCGGAGCATCAGGTCGGCTGAGATGCCTGGAACCGATGTGAATATTCTGCTGCGCTAATTTTGCCCGTCTCAGCGCTCTGCCCGGAGCATTGGGCCCATACCCATGCCCATCATGGGGCCCATCATGGGCGCCATCATCGGACCCATCATAGGCCCAACTGGGCCGCTGCTGGACCTCTCGAGTATCAACAATGTTCGCACAAAAGTATCACGTGATAATACGTGATACAGTGATACAAGTGATACAGGGACCCCTGGCATCCCTTTCTGGGGAGTCGGCATCGCCGTGCTGGATGAAGCTGGGCCAGCTCCTATGCTCTTGTGAAAACAACGCGAGGAACGCGAAATTGCAGCCTGACAGAACTTTGAAGAGCCTGCAGGTCCGGCCATCTGCGCCTTGCCAAGAGCAGTGGCAAACAAAGCTGCGAATGCTCTGATGTAGACCACGCCAACAGTGGAACCGGGCACAGACATGCGTGGAGCCTGTTGCCACGCGCTCTCCATGGCAGGAGGCGCCGTACCCTGCCTCAGCCGAGAACACGTCAGGAGCCTCTTGCTGCTTACTGCATGCATGCAGAAGCCGATTGTTAAGCAACGGCGGCAAGTTAAACAGCATTTTGAAAGTTCCGTTCAACAAGGACATAAACATCCCATGGTTGCATCGCCAACTTCGCAAGAACCATGTGCTCTTGGGCCAGACAATGCCTGATCTTCGGATTGGTATTTCATGGTCGGTTGGCAAATGTTTGCTCAGACGTCGATGCAGCAACGTCTGGCTGTACAGGGATGGTTGAGGGTGGGTTTCCAACTTGTTTTAGCTTCAGTCGTCATTCTCGATAGGATTGGCATTGCACAGTACAGTAGTGCTTTGTCATTTCTCGACAGTCTTTGCAGCCATTTCGGCAGTCTATTCCCGTAGAGCTCTATGAACGAAAGCTTGGACTCATTGTGACTGCTTGAAGACTAAAGCTGCGTCCGCTTGCTGTGGTTTGAGCTTCTTCATTACAGTTGTGGCGGCCAGTCAGAGGCCGCAGTTCAACCCGCTTGTGCTCTGCAGGTGCTGCTGGCGATGGTGGAGGGGAGGCGCGGTGGGAAGCCATTAAGGCCAAACATCGCCCGCTGTTGGCGTGGACAAGGAGACAAGGACCGCTGAGGAGAAGGGCGAGGCAAGCGCAGCTGAGGCAAACGGAGTCTCGGATGCTTTGCCCTCAAGCCTCCGCCATCTGCCCTGGGCCCAGGCCGCGCAAGCTCGGCGAAGAGATGGGTTGATGGATGAGTGACCTGTGGCCAGTGACCTTTCATATCTGGACGTTTGGGTTGTCAGAACAGGCACCCCCCTGCCCTGGGACCCCTGGGCCCAGAACTCTCATCGGACTGCCTTGGAGGCGTTTATGGCATCCAAATGCTGAGCCCCCCCCTGCGAGAGCCGCGTTGGGCCAGGCCGAGGCGGGTCGCGTAGCGTTTCAAAATTAGACTTCAAGTTTGTTCCATCCTCTACGCGGCCCCTAACTGTTGATTCTGGGTGAACGTGGGATGAGGCACATTAAGCCGGCAAAACCAGAACGAGCTCCAGCCCTGGTGTCTCGGCAAGGTCTCCATGCTGTTGATGTTCCACGAGATACAGGTACCAAGGCCGCCACACAGCAAACCTTGCGTGATCAGCTGCGACGCACACACACACACACACACTAACTAACTACACACAGCAGACATCAGCGGATGGCAGCTCACTTCGTCGGGTTTCACTTTTCCATATCTTCCATTAATTTTCATATCTTCCACTAATTTTCATCCGAGCCGCTCTGATGCCCAGTCTGGCCCTACGGGCCCTACAGGCCCCATCATTGGTGGCCGGAATGCCTGTGGTCCGTGATGGGCCTTGGGGTGTTGCGATTCGCGCACCTTTACGGCAGTTTACGATGCAAAAAAGGCGGACATGAAAACCTCAGCCTCCCGCAGCAAACTCTTGGGCCCAGTCAGGTCCTGCGACTCTGCGCACCAAGCTACACTTTGATTGCTTGTTGCTCTTAGAGTTCTATAGCAAGTGCTTCTAGACCTACTGTAGACCCCTGTTCATGACGCCCTTACCTGCATGGACAGGCATCGCAGGCCCAACCATAGGCCTGGCTTTAAAGAAAGGTCAGGGCATGAAGCCTTGTTGCCCAATAGCACCGTGTAGTGACGGCGTATGTTCTCAGGCACGTTTCTGAGGTACGTGCCCGTCGAAGAGACCGGGCCTTCACGCTCCAAGACTCCAGGCAATGACCCGTTTAACAATGACGTTTGAACGTAGTACTTGTATTTGATGGAAGTTAACAGGCCCTGAATGTCCCTGACTCGCATCAGCCCCCGACTCTGCACCCAGCCCAGGGCCCTCCATGTGCTGTCTGAGCTGGTCCGACCTTGGGTCGCGAAGTCCGAGGACCGGCAGGACTCGGTGGATTCTCTGTTCTGGACGCCACAGCTGCGCACAGCATCTGGTTTTCTAAGCATCCGGCATCGTCGCACCAGGACCCGGGCCCATCCTTGGCCTGCTTCCAAGGTTCGAGCTCAGAAGGTCGCATGAAAGTTGCCTTAATTACATACACAGACTGTTTTGTACATCGGTCAGTATAAAGCCGAAAACAGAATGTGAACCCGTGCCGGCAGTACCCACGCATGCCCGGGCCGGCTTCTCGCCAGGCGTTCTCCAGCTCCTGAGAGTGGAGCTGATCAGTTTCCAGGGCTTCTGACACAGAGACATATTTACCAACAGGGACTTGTGGCTTGAGGCTGTGCGCGCGGCGCTCGGGCCCATCATCGGATCCATCATCTGGCCTCCGAGGGCACCAAGCCTGACAGCATGACACCGCGTGCAGCTCCCGATGTCGACTGCCCCTCATGCGATTGAAGCTGAGTTCCAAGCGGCGGCCTCGCACATCAAACAAGAAGGCACTTGCCAACAGTTGACAGAAGTTGGGCCCAGCGCCTGATCCCAGACAGGTAGCCTTCTCGCATCTGCTGTGCATGATGCTTGTCCTTAGTCCAATTCTGTCATCTTACTGAATGAGGTTTGGAGACGACAAGCCCTGCAAGGCTGCTTTCATATCCATATCTCAGGCTGCGGAGTGCTGCGAATTTTTGGGGGCCCCGTTGCTAGGCCCAGCTGGGCATACCTTGGCATCCTCGCAGCTGTGAGATGCTGCGAGTCTATATTTGGGCCCACCGGATTTCACCTGGGTTCCTTGATGCTTCGCATGCACCCGAAGCCATGAAGCTTCTGAGAAAATTCTGAGCACGAAGCACCCTAAACCCGAAACCCCAAACCCCGCCAGTGCATCTTCACTGAGCTGGGGGACATATTGGGGCGCTCTTGAGCCCTAAGGTTGCGGCTGCGGTAAGCGAGTCGAAGGCCCGGGACAGCGGGTTTCCCGCAAGGCCATCGACGCTGCAGCCTCAGAAGACAGCAAAAAGGGGAGGGGAAGGTGAGGGTTTAGGGTTTAGAGTTTAGTTTACTAGTTTAGGGTTTAGGGTTTTTGGGGGGGGGGGGGTGGAGGTGAGGGGAGGGGTGTTGCGGCGTTCGGCATTTTAGGACTTGAAATGCCAGCTCCACACTGACCCACTGCTCTAAGGCGAGGCGCTGTCGGGCTTAAAGAAAGGCCTCATGGCACCTCGAGGGAGTGCACAAGAGTCCAGTCACACTCTCCAGTCACACTCTGATCGTTGCGATGTCAGGTTGCTCAAGTGCCAGTTCGCTCCGATTTCTGTGCCCTGGACGTCAATGAGGCACAGAAGTGGTCGGTATGAACTTCCTCCTACGAAGTAGTGGAAGCGAAGAGTAACAATTGTTGAATATGTGTGGTGGTGTGGAAGTTTGGAGTTATCAATGCTTGCTTCACATGGCTGCGCACATGATTTCAAAAGCAGCCTGGAGCCGGCACGATTACAGAGAAACTGCGGCAGTGGCTGACCACATGTACTAGTAGCAGCCTCCTGCCTCCGGGCACATAGACATAGCAAGTACTTGCCGTGCCGCCAGGACTACACTAGGTGAGGGTGGTGCTGATTCAGTCGCTCCAAGATGCTGCAAGCAAAGCTCAGTCTGTGCAAGCCTAGTGCTGCGAGTTCGAAAGCTGCCCTGCGTGTGATTGCTAGGGTCAGAAAATAAATCTGAAAAGGGAGCATCTTCACCGAACATGTTTCTGCGCTTGAGCGCAAACGGGACGCCATCCTTCAATGAAGCAAATGATTTCCACCCCTGCCAGTCGGTTGTGCCCACATCCCAAGGCCTTTAATGGATGGACCCGTGGGTGAAGTCATCGGCTCCACAGCTAACGTAAGAGGTGAAACTGTCACGATCTACAAGAAACAGCATGACTAGGCTGGCATGGTGAGCCTCTGTCTGATTCCTATTGGGCTGCCTACCATCTGCTCAGAAGCACTTGTGGCATGAGCGTGCCCCCTGCGAGTTTCGACTTAAAGATGAAAACATGTGGAAGCACACACAGCTGAAAGAAGTGTGCCTGGTCAGTGCATCATCAAATGGTGGGGTGGATACTGCATTGGAGGAGCGAAGTGCGGATGGGGACCTGAGCTGATTGTCACCAGCGCAGCCTCTGAACAAGTGGCTGAGCTCTCAGGTCATCCAAGTGTTTTGTCAGACTCTCTTGCTGTGCCAACGTCATGGCGTCATGGATGGCATACTGTAGGTCATCGTTGCACGTTGCGCGTTACGCAGTCTGAATTTCCTGGCAAGTGTAAACGGGGCGCTGGCCATAGTAATGCGGTGGGTGAGGGGGGTAGTGCGGCATGTGGACCATCATCTCCGAAGGCCCTCAAGCACAACATAAGCTCCAGTGACCAAATTTGCAAACTGCGGACAACAAGCCTAGGTAAGCTTCCGGAGGTCCGTAGGGCATGGCAGCCCCAGGAATTCCAGGTCCTCACGCCACTGCCCAAACAGCAAAAAAAATCGACGCGAACAACCATGACGGGCAGTCGCACCTGGCGGCATGCTCGGCCTGAAAGCAGAAATACCCTCTCTCCAACAGCAAGGCCACAGTCAGGTGAGTCTTGTTCTGAATATGAGTTTAGTAGAAAGTTACCTTTAAGGGGGCCCTTCCTGGAACAACTTCCATGAACCTCCTTGCTTGGGCATGAGCTGGTGATACATGGAGGCCGACGCCAGGGCTTTGCCAATGCGCTGCAAGATCGCCTGCAATTTTAGAAGGGTTCCTCACAAATCAAACTGGATCAAAACTGCACTTCAGCAGATGCACCTCGCCACGTTCAAGAAGATCGTCGATGTCCTGTGAGGGATGTTGGGCTCGCGCCACGCAGGGTCCGTTCAGGAGGGGGGTAAGAGCGGACAGAGAACCGCCGTCCTGCTCAGCAGACTCCTCCAGTGTCGCAGAAATCTGTGCAAGATGCTCGTAGATCTGCTTCGTGTGCCTCACGAATGAAGGATCGCAAAGGATGAATGGTCTCTTTGTGCCAACAGCATGTTGCCCACATAGGGCTGACTTATGTCACGTGACAGTTACAGTTAAAGCTCATCGCACCATTTTCAATCCAGCTCGGCTCTTGGAACCTCTGAGGCTGCACCTTGAGGCTGCACCTTGAGGAGCTGTGCTGACGCGCAAGAGCCGGATGTGAACTGGGAAGTTCGTCCAAGCCAGCTTGGGGCAGCGATTCAGCGTTGCAGCAACCCGATCCCCTTGGCTGCATCTTCTGTTCGCCATTGTTCCCTGCCTGTCCATCGAGGAATCTTCGTCTGTCCTTCTGGTCCTGGATACGGAGCTGAGCCGAATCGCACTACTCCGTTGGACTCGACTCCGTTGGACTCCGTTGGTTGTTGGACGCCGTTGCACTCCACGGCTCCGTTTCTTGTTCAGAGCTGGGCACTTTTTGTCGCGGGCTCTGTGGGACGATGTGCCCATGACTGCCTACGTATTCTTCTGGACGTCCTTGGCGCGACCGGAATTGCTTTTTGCAAGTGTGAACAGGTAGCCACCCGCCACGGATAGGACCACGCCCAGTGCCTGGCGCGGCTACTCTTGCAACTGTAGTCATGCTGACATGCAAGCTTCAGCTGAGGTATGGATAACGAACGAGGGGATTGTCCAGCACACTGCATGCAGTCATGTGGCACTGAGAGGGCTCATCTCATCCCCATAGTAAAGGGTAAGCCTTCGACTGCTTGCAGGAGTCCAAGAAATTGGAAGTTGGTACATTGCAAGATCAGGATCGAGGCTCAATGGTGTCCACTAAGCCTTCCTGAGCCATTGCATCAAAGTCACACGACAATCATCAGGGCCTGCACTCAAGCGCAGCCAAGCGTATAGTCAAGCCCCACCTTCGTGGTAAATTGAAGTTGAGCCCCAGAGTAGCTTGGAGTGCCTTCACCACCGGCGTCAAAACCGAGAACGCCTCGGCGAGTGACCGATCGCACGTCTCACCCGCCCCTCTGCGAAAAAAGATGCACTGAATTGGGCAAGGCCACCAAAGGGCTGAGCTGGGTCATAACGAGCAACTGCACGAACCTCGATTCGACATTCACTGACACATACAATGACAAATTCAGTAGCAACCCGACATATCCATGTCAGGAGCTTCAAAGAGGCGCGAAGGTTTCTCACGTTATGTTGAGGGCATCGCTGTCAATGCTACCTGAGAGCCTTTGAGCTTTTTCAACATCAGCTTCTTCTCTGCTGCCAAGACTCTGGTAGAGGAAGAAGAATACGCTACTAGCCAACAGGTCCTTAGGTCTGCTTCGAGGCACACCCTGTTCTGCCCTCAAAGTGAACATTGTCGACGCCAGCATGACACAAGGGTCAGCATGTCCTGTGCTTCTTCGAGTATTGGAGCCTCCACCGACAGCAATATCAAGCCAACTTGTTTGGCTGCGGCTAGCAATAACACTATTGCAAAAAAAAGAACTGTTTATCTCGAAGAGGTGCTTACTCGCAGTCTCTGTTGATTTGTGCACAGCTTATTGCCGAGGCTTTGAGCCCTAGTATTTGGCTACTTTCCCTTACTTTATGGCCAAGCTTGCCCTAACGTCTTTACATCCGACAGTTCCGCGCAAACCAGGGGCTTGTTTTTAAGTTCGGGCTCCCCCTTATGGTCCAGCGTTGAAAACCGCATGCGTCGGAGCACGTGGAAGGCAGCAATCATCAGAAACCTCCTCAGTGCAAGACAAGGCTCCATTGCAAAGATCCATCGCCGGTCACCTAGAGCCTGCAATGATGGAAGCACCTGCGCCACTGAAGGGGAAGGAGGGCAGAGGGTGCCTACGTGGCAGGAAACAGCCGGCAACATGTTTGCACCTGCGCGCCCTCCAGCGGAACCTGGAGAAACGGCAACGCAACTGTGGCAGTCCAGCTGACATTGAAGAAGACAGCCAAGTCATCGAGCCTGGCTGCATTGCCGGTTTTAGCACATCTCATGTGAATTCACTGTGAGCAGCCTCCAGCTGCAGTACTAGAGTCCAAACTCCTGAGTCCTCACAAATCTCCTTCCAACCCCCGAGAAGACTCCAAGCCCTAAACGCCACATCCTGGATCCCGAATGGGGTCTGCTCTACATTTCTAGAAGATTCGGTTTGGAGTTTACAACAAGATGCAAGGGGACCAAAAGACGAGGAATCCTCCTCACGAGTCAAAGTATCAGAAAGGTTTCAAAAGCTGAGCTCTAAAGTACTCTAAAGACGCCTAGAGTGCCTAGAGTAGCCATCCTGAACCCCTCTTTCTTAACCCTTCCCCGTGGGTTGAGGAACCCGCAGCGTCTCCCAAGATACAACTAAGAAAGGAGGAAGGAGACTCGTCCTGTTTGTTCTAGGTGACTTAGAAGAATTGCAGAACCTAAACCAAAAACACACACAGACAACTCATCGATTTTGCGAGTCTTTCGGTCACGGAGCTTGTTGTGCGGATTGCGGCGAAGCCGCTGCAGGGAGAAGGACCGGCCTCGAATCCCTTAAATCCCTTAAGCACTTCAACCTCTGCATCCGTACTCCGGGGCTTTGTGACTCCTGCTTCTGTGACTTGGGGCCGGGGGTTTTGTCATTTCTGGTACGTTCATTTTTCATTTTCTTGCTGTTCTGCTGAGGGAAGAAGGGTGATATCACATTAAACAGGTTCAACGTGGATTCCAAAGTGTGTTGTCAAGCAAGGGTGGTCAAGAAGGTTCATCTGCCGCCTAGGCCCTTGGCACGTAAGTCCCAGCAGGCGAGCATCATGAGCATCAGCCGCCCAGGCCTTTGCCCTTTGGCACGTAAAGCCCGTGTGCTTGCCCAGGGGGCGAGCATCATGAGCATCAGCCGCCAAGGCTCTTTGGGACGTAAAGCCCAGAGCCCACTATAGCCCTTTGGCACGTAAAGCCCAGCAGGCTTGGCACATAGAGCCCAGAAGGCCAGAAGGCAAGCATCATGAGTATCAGCCGCCCAGGCTCTTTGGGACGTAAAGCCCAGCAGGAGAGAATCATGAGCATCAGCTGCCCATGCCGTTCGGGACATAAAGCCCTTTTGGCATGTAAAGCCCAGCAGGCGAGCACCAGGCGAGCATCATGAGCATCAGCCGCTTAGGCTTTTGCCACAAAAGCCCAGCAGGCGAGCATTATGACACATCAGCCGCCCAGGCCCTTGGCACTTATGTGCTTGGCACATAGAGCCCAGGGGGCGAGCATCATGAGCATCAGCCGCTCAGGCCCTTGGCACGTAAAGCCCAGAAGCCGAGCATCATGGGCATCAGCCGCCAGGGTCTCGGCACTTGGAGCCCAGGAGGCGAGCATCATGAGCATCAGCCGCCCTGGCCCTTCGGACGTAAAGCCCAGGGGGCGAGCATCATCAGCATCAGCCGCCCAGGCCCTTAGCACTTCGAGCCCAGGAGGCGAGCATCATGAGCATCAGCCGCTTAGGCCCTTGGCACGGAAAGCCCACAGGCGAGCATCATGACCATCAGGCGCCCAGGCCTCTGCCCTTTGGTAAAGCCCAGCAGGCTTGGCACGAGCCCAGCAGGCGAGCATCATGAGCATCAGCCGCCCTGGCCCTTAGGCCCTTCGCCCTTTGGCACGTAAAGCCCATGTGCTTGGCACATAGAGCCCAGGGGGCGAGCATCATGAGCATCAGCCGCTTAGGCCCTTGCCATGTAAAGCCGAGCAGGCAAGCATCATGAGCATCGCCGCCCAGGCCCTTGGCACTTAGAGCCTAGCAGGCGAGCATCATGAGCATCAGACGCCCAGGCCCTTGGAACATAAAGCCCAGCAGGCGAGCATTATGACACATCAGCCGCCCAGGCCCGTGGCACGTGAAGCCAGGAGGCGAGCATCATGAGCATCAGCCGCCCAGGCCCTTGGCACTTAGAGCCCATCATGAGCATCAGCCGCTTAGGCCCAGCAGGCGGGCATCATGAGCATCAGCCGCCCAGGCCCTTAGCACTTCGAGGCAAGCAGGCGAGCATCATGAGCATCAGCCGCCCAGGCCCTTGGCACGTGAAGCCCAGCAGGCGAGCATCATGAGCATCAGCCGCTTAGGCCCTTTGCCCTTTGGTAAAGCCCAGCAGGCGAGCATCATGAACATCAGCCGCCCAGGCCCTTTGCCCTTTGGTAAAGCCCAGCAGGCTTGGCACATAGAGCCCAGCAGGCGAGCATCATGAGCATCAGCCGCCCTGGCCCTTCGGACGTAAAGCCCAGGGGGCGAGCATCATGAGCATCAGCCGCGTAGGCCCTTGGCACGTGAAGCCCAGCAGGCGAGCATCATGAGCATCAGCCGCCCAGGCCCTTGGCACTTAGAGCCCAGGCGGGCATCATGAGCATCAGCCGCCCAGGCCCTTAGCACTTCGAGGCAAGCAGGCGAGCATCATGAGCATCAGCCGCCCCAGCAGGCGAGCATCATGAGCATCAGCCGCTTAGGCCCTTTGCCCTTTGGTAAAGCCCAGCAGGCGAGCATCATGAACATCAGCCGCCCAGGCCCTTTGCCCTTTGGTAAAGCCCAGCAGGCTTGGCACATAGAGCCCAGCAGGCGAGCATCATGAGCATCAGCCGCCCTGGCCCTTCGGACGTAAAGCCCAGGGGGCGAGCATCATGAGCATCAGCCGCCCAGGCCCTTAGCACTTCGAGGCCAGCAGGCGAGCATCATGAGCATTAGCCGCGTAGGCCCTTGGCACGTGAAGCCCAGCAGGCGAGCATCGTGAGCATCAGCCGCTTAGGTCCTTGTCATGTGAAGCCCAGCTGGCGAGCATCATGAGCATCAGCCGCTTAGGCCCTTGGCACGTCATGAACATCAGCCGCCCAGGCCCTTTGCCCTTTGGTAAAGCCCAGAAGGCTTTGGCACATAAAGCCCAGCAGGCGAGCATCATGAGCATCAGCCGCCCTGGCCCTTCGGCCCTTCGCCCTTGGCACGTAAAGCCCATGTGCTTGGCACATAGAGCCCAGCAGGGGAGCATCATGAGCATCAGCCGCTTAGACCCTTGCCACGTAAAGCCGAGCAGGAGAGCATCATGAGCATCAGCCGCCCGGGCCCTTGGCACTTAGAGCCCAGCAGGCGAGCATCATGAGCATCAGCCGCCCTGCCCCTTCGGCCCTTCGCCCTTTGGCACGCAAAGCCCATGTGCTTGGCACATAGAGCACAGGGGGCGAGCATCATGAGCATCAGCCGCCCTGGCCCTTCGGACGTTAAAGCCCAGGGGGCGAGCATCATGAGCATCAGCCGCCCAGGCCCTTAGCACTTCGAGGCCAGCAGGCGAGCATCATGAGCATCAGCCGCGTAGGCCCTTGGCACGTGAAGCCCAGCAGGCGAGCATCATGACCATCAGCCGCCCAGGCCTCTGCCCTTTGGTAAAGCCCAGCAGGCCTGGCACACAGAGCCCAGCAGGCGAGCATCATGAGCATCAGCCGCTTAGGCCCTTGACACGTAAGCATCATGAGCATCAGCCGCCCAGGCCCTTGGCACATAGAGCCCAGCAGGCGAGCATCATGAGCATCAGCCGCCCTTTGGCACGCCCATGTGCTTGGCACATAGAGCCCAGGGGGCGAGCATCATGAGCATCAGCCGCCCAGGCCCTTAGCACTTCGAGGCCAGCAGGGGGGCATCATGAGCATCACCGCCCAGGCCCTCAGCACTTCGAGGCCAGCAGGCGAGCATCGTGAGGGCCCTTAGCACTTCGAGGCCAGCAGGCGAGCATCATGAGCATCACCGCCCAGGCCCTTAGAGGCCAGCAGGCGAGCATCGTGAGCATCAGCCGCCCTGGCCCTTCGGACGTAAAGCCCAGGGGGCGAGCATCATGAGCATCAGCCGCGTAGGCCCTTGGCACGTGAAGCCCAGCAGGCGAGCATCATGAGCATCAGCCGCTTATAGGTCCTTGGCACGTGAAGCCCAGCTGGCGAGCATCATGAGCATCAGCCGCTTAGGCCCTTGGCACGTCATGAACATCAGCCGCCCAGGCCCTTAGCCCTTTGGTAGCCCAGAAGGCTTGGCACATAAAGCCCAGCAGGCGAGCATCATGAGCATCAGCCGCCCTGGCCCTTCGGCCCTTCGCCCTTTGGCACGTAAAGCCCATGTGCTTGGCACTTCGAGGCCAGCAGGCGAGCATCATGAGCATCAGCCGCTTAGGCCCTTGCCACGTCAAGCCGAGCAGGCGAGCATCATGAGCATCAGCCGCCCGGGCCCTTGGCACTTAGAGCCCAGCAGGCGAGCATCATGAGCATCAGCCGCCCTGGCTCTTCGGCCCTTCGCCCTTTGGCACGCAAAGCCCATGTGCTTGAGCACATATATCGAACCCAGCAGGCTCAGCTGCCCAGGCCCATGCCACGCCACGTGAGCCCACAGGCGAGCATCATGAGCATCAGCCACCCAGGCCCTTGGCACAGAAAGCCCCAGGCACGCAAAGCCCAGCAGACGAAAATCAGGCGAGCATCATGTTACGTGTTGGCCTGGGGTTTATAGTGACTCACCGGCATTGCTCGTGCTGCTATTGATTGACCCGTATTTTGTCATGACATCGGTGTGGGCTTGATTTGTTTAGGGTTTGTGGGTTTAGGCTCTAGGGGCTTCAGGATTTAGGTTTTACAGTAGCGATGGCTGAAAAATGCGTTCTTGGGCGCCTGAAAAACGCATTTTGAGCACAGGGCAACTCCTGGTGGGCTTGCAGGGAGGATGTCTATCAATCAGGCGACCACAATGACAATCTCAGGACTGGATAGTTCCGAGACAATATTTCGGAATGTGCGCCTTCAGCACCTGAACAACTCCGACATCTCCGACCCTGCTCTCTGCTTTCGATTTTCGGGTACTGACTGACTTGTCATTGAGGAGCCTTTGACAGGTTGAGCCAAGCAGCAGCAGAATGCCACATTCGAAACCATGGCAAAGCAGATGCCTGTCGCGGAAAAACTTCCTGTTGTCAGCGAAGCCATAGCAACCTGGTCTTAACATTTTGAGAGGCGGCTTTGCGAGTGTGAATTATGTCGGCTTGCTCGACATAATCTTTTCATTGTTTCAGATAAGCGACTCCGCCACAGATGGGCACAAGCGTGGCAAGCACTTGCCACGAAAACTGCTGCCCCAAGCCAGCTCCCACACAGACAGTAGCCAAAGGTTCCATGCAGCCTTGGCGTTGCCAAGACTTGCCACATGTGCAGAAAACTTGTGAAGGTTTCCGGACATGAAGAATTGATTGAGTTCCACTTGCATCCATGAGTCGGATGACATTCACCATGCCCGGGCTCATGTGAAGCGCCGCCGCGTTGAACATCACGAACCCACCCGTCCACCTAAGCTGTGTCAATCGTCTGCAGGGGCTTGTGCCGCTTTCCGACTGCGTGATGGCAACGACGGCTCAAGCCATGCAACGTTGGAGCCTCAGAGCATCGACAAAGTCGAGCGACACAGCACTCAGGGGCAAAATGTCCGCCAGCACGGTCCAGGGTGCCAACAACTGCGCGGGCGTGCCCGGTGCAGCGTTACCCGCCTTACTCTTTCGACTCCGGCTCAAAGCGTGCGAGGCCTCGGCCAGCGAACACGGAACACTCCACGAGAACGGGAGGACTGCGCAACCTTTGGTGCTGAAGGGAAAAGCACGTGAGATGTTTCAGGTGTTGGAGTGCTTCGCGGCTGAAGGATGGTAAAGTCCGCGCTTACGATTTCAACACTTTCCGAAGCCAGGCTCTCCTTCGCGCAGTATGCGGGAAGCCCATGAGTTCAGCTGCTACTTCAACCCCATCGCACAGCACTCTCGTCTACAATGGCTGCCTAGGCTCCGTTGCAATATTACAAGTCTTCCCGTCACCCCGGCAAGCTCATGAATGTCCGGACGTCTGCTGGCAAGCCCCCGGCAGAGGAAGACAGCACCGCCGAGATGGTGAACTGCGCCAAGCACAGAAGCAGCGGAAGGGGCGCTTGACCTGTGCACCTCCAAATGGCAAGGAGGACGGCTGCAGGCACTGGAACAGCTGGCACAACTGCTTTCTTTAGACTTGCGCCTGCCTTTTTGCAAAGACAATCATAAGTAGCTGAGTGATCACCAGGAGTGCAATCCTGAGTCAAGCCAGCGTGGGCGGTGGGGCGGGGTTTCAGATGTCAACACATCTCAAGGAGCTTAAACCTCATCCAAGCTTACAGAAACTCTTGACCAGGATTCCACCCAAGCATGGCAAGCCATTCTTGCGCAGCCTGGGCCTCATAGACATGAAAGTAGGTGGGACTGCTCTGCTCAGGATGTAGTTTTTCGTGGCTCCATCCTGAAATCTCAGAACTTATCACCCAGCCTCGACAGGTTTGCTTGCAGCTGCTTTGCCGGAAGGCTTCACCTTCGGCGCGGGGCTGGTTGCGCGATGGCGCGCCTGGCAGCAAAGCATTCTCAAAGGGTCAGGGCATTGCAGAGTCTAGAGTCTGGAGTTTAGTTCAGGGTTTCTGGTTGAAGGGCTTGCAACTGGCCTTGGGTCCGTGTGGTTCGATGGCAGGATTATCTTCCATGGTGCTGCGAATTCTGTACACCGTTCTTGCAGGCACAGGTGATCAAAGTAAAGCAGCAACGCTTCTGTAGGTTGGGGATGGCTAGGGTGGCTAAGCTAAGCAGTGACTGGCGATGATATTTGGACGCGATGGCACGCGAGATCGCATCAGCATGACTGCTTGAAGCTGCAACTTGAGCCAACGCAGCAGTTGCAGCACCACTTGGCTCCCAGTGTCGGCGGATTGCTTCCGCAAGCCCAAAAAATGCAGTCCAAATATCCCACAGTCTGAGCTCTCGGCACTTGTGCCGGTGTAGGCTTGTCCTGCAGGGAAAGAGGCTTGGTGCTCAGAACATCGCTTACTTGCGGGCAACAGCTCCATCGGTCGGCGGTTTTTAGAAGCAGAGAAGCGGGAGCCACGGCACCGGCACACTCCATGTCAAACGTGTGTTGTTCCGCGTCTGTCCTCTTGCGGCTCCTGACGATGCCAGGCGTGCAGCGGGTCTTTTGCTTGCTACTGGTTCTTCATACATGATATGTGTGGCAGCTCTTGCAGGGCCTCGATGGCTGCGTGAATCGCCTCTATGGCAGCCTCTGCACCATTGACACGGCAACGCAACCAAGCACACGAATCCTACGGCGGGCGGACTTGCTTCTTAGTGCAGCTTGTGGAAAAGGATTTACGCATATTTGCGCTTTATGCTTGTTACCTGACTTGATCCTAATGAAGGAAGCAGCAATTGCGTTGTGTCCAAACACACAAAGTGACTCAAAACGACTGCAAGCCGCCCAGGACAACAGACCTTGTGGTCGGCCATAAGATCGGCGTTGTGGTTGTGGACTATGATGGTGTGGTGCAGGTCCCGCTGGCAAGACCAGGAGCAATGAGACACTTGTATCCACAAACTGAAATTTTTAACAACCTTAAGTGATTAGCTACAATTAGCTACACATCTTGCCTTGATGGTCTGCAACTCCTGATTTGGCAACAACAAGGTGCAAGTGATGCAGTTGACTCGAGGTGCCCTCCTGCTCCCTCTTTTGCTCCACCTTCACAAGAAGCTTCTCCAGTTTGTCCTCGTGAGCGTGCAGTGAATGTCGATCCGATGTAAATGAATTTGCAAGAGCAATGGTCCTGCAGGACTGCTTCACCTCCTTTCGCCTGCCAAACTGCATGCACAGCACTGTTTCAGCGGCACTGTCCACACTTCTCGAGTGTGCCTTGTCCTTCTGGCTTAAAAGCACCTCTACTCTTCGCACCTGAAGGTCGAAGAAGCTTCGAAAAGCTCAGACACGCCGGTGCGTGGTGGCTCTTGAACATCACACGCGCACCGTACACGGTGCGCCTTGTCTGCAAGGGCATTCATGGACGATTCCATGCGCCGCAGCTCTGCGACCACCTCTAACGATTGAAGATTATGATCAAGAACCAAAGAACCAAGTGCATGTCTGAGAATGTCGATGGCAATCGTGCGGCTGCCTGAAATTCGGCGTGGCTGGTGGCATGTTTGACTCTTTGGCTGATGTGGCTCAGCATGTCCTCTCGCTTCAGTCAGTGCTTGGCAGGCTTTCGCACCACTATTTTGTACAACGTTTTGGCTGTGTTGGTTTCCCTGTACCACAACAGCTGAATTGCACAACCGAGCTAAGCTTAAGACGATGTCAATGCAACGATGTAGAACTTAAGATATTGATCTTCATAGCGCCGCACGAGAATGAACGACAACGTTGAAGTGACTTGAAAAGACAAACAAGCCCAGAACAACGTTTAGCTTCCTTCTGCTTCAATCCCACGAGAACTCTACCGAAGCTTCATTTCGCAACAGACAGCAGGTGCACCGAAGGATTTGCATAGCCTGCTGACACAGCAAGCCTTTTCTGCTAATCAAGGCAAACAGGGCTTCAGGTTGAGTCAAGGTCCCTCAAATCTTCAAGGTGTACTGGTCGGCTGCTCTCCGGCATCTTTTCCTCGGGCCGCGGTCACTTTCCGCATCTGCGGCGGACTGGAAACTCCGAGGGGCACCGCTTGGACTGCCGTGGTTTGGGCCGGCCCGGCTGCCGAGGCGTGCAAATAGGGCATGGCATTTAGGGTACGAGTTTCAAAGCTCGGAGAAGCCTTGGTCGGGGTCCACGTTTCCGATCTTGGAGCTTTTTGCACGCAAACTCAAAGAACGGACCCGATCGCAGCGAAAGTCATGTTGAAATTCTGGAGCCCAGCGGTCGCATTGACCCGTTCCTAGGACCGTCTACGTGGACTCCAAATGCCATCTGATGAGCGTGCGGCTTCATGGCGTGCTGCTTACTGGCAAATGCTGTGGTCGTGGACGTATTCATCATGCAGGCATGGATGCTGTGCCCATTCTAACCTGGACGTACTCGCGCGCAGGAAAGCGAAGATGTGCACCTGAGCGAGCAAGGGTGGATTTTTTTCCCGCCGCAAGCCTCATTCTTGGGCGCCATCAAGTTCCAAACAAACTGAAGGTTCGGACTCCAAGCTTTGAACAAGATTCATGTTCGGATCCTAGTTGCGTGATTAGTCAAAAGCTACGCCTTCGCTGCACCGGCCACACTTTCCCACATGCCCCTGACCCCGTTCTCTAACACGTTTTGTTTTGGGGGGTTGTCGTTGTCTCTTGCGCCGCTCGGCAAAGAATAAGGAGAGGCCAGCCAGAACTTGCAAGCTTGGTTTGGCTGGATCCCAAACACTCTCTCAGAGACTCGTTCAGTAGAGGAGGGATCAACCCGCAACATTGCTTCCGCGCTGGGCCTGCGCATGCTTGACCCCTGAACTCTCCCATTTCGGGTTGAACCCCTTACCCTTCCTGGATCATGAGCCTTAGTTGAGCTTCATCTCCAAACCTTCAACCCGGGCTTGGTCTGACCCCCCCCTAACTCCCCATCTTAAGAGGGAGGGGATTCGGGAAACAATGTTAGCTGCGCCGAACACAGAAGCCCACAGCTGCAATTAAAGCCTAGTCTAGACCGATGCAAGTTGACTTGAAAGTCAGCCCATGACCGGAACCTTTCGAAGCTGATCTCAGCACACTGAACCGTCGAATCTTCCAGAATTGTTTGAGGTATTCGGCATTAGAACGACCCGAAGTGAAGTCGGAAGTGCACTCTGTCTCGCTGGTCCTGCGGCACCCATAATCTCGCATCATCCAGGCCTGCCATCCCAGAGCAGTCTTTGCTGCAAACCGATGTAGGCACAAAGTCTTATTGCAACATGCCCAACCTGGAGGCCCGAAAGGGATAGATTGCTCATAGCCAGGCGGTCCAGGCGGGTACATGGGAGGTGGAACGTGCGGTAGGTGCGCCTGCGTCCGACCCGCTTCATTCAACTCATGGGCGAGGTGCTCATATCGGACGCAGATTTGACACACGGCAGCCCTGGCACGGCCTGCGGCAGCGCCATTCTGTACCACTAAGACCTTGGATGCCCCGGTTTGCCTCCCAATGACTTGCGAGTGCGAGTTACACCGCAGAGTAACGACCAGCCGAGCAGCTTCATCTTGTCACCCCTGGGTCTGTTTTAAGCATTCTGAAACTGCGCGTCGCCATTGAGCAAAGTGAGCCACGCCGGCAACAAGATGTCAGATTATCCTAAGCCCTGGGAAAGCACAACTGACTCACGCGAACTCGGGGCGGCTTCCTTGGCAATCTTTTCAAGCAAGGCCGAAAAATGGATTGAGCGGGATTGGCTGTAAAGCAGCCGGCCTGCGCCATTAACACGGAATTTGGGGAACAGGAGATCTTCTCCCGCTCACCACAACGGATCAACCAACAGAACCATGAAAATATGGCCCCTGGCTCACTCAGTTGACTGCTGCACCTTTGCCTTGGTCACCGCCACGCTACCTACTACCACAAATACCACACATGCTCCTTTGCGATGTGAGGAGGCTCAGGTGGGTACCATTTTGGCTGCAGATGTTATTCCCATCTCACTCTCGTACTTGCTGATTTCCTGCAGAAGGAGAAGCTGAGCTGGGCAACTTGAGAAGGTCGCGTCAGCTATGGCGTGAAAGCGGTTTGAGGAGGTATGGTCAAGAAAAGGGCTAAAGAGAGTCAGTCAGACTAGTTCATGATCAGCCAAGAGCTAGAAGCCTGCACGATCGGCAACCCAGCCACAAATGTTGGTGAACCGAAAGTGCCGCTGCTTTGGTAGCTGGGTCTCTCTGCCAGTGCGCCTCAAGGATTTCTTCTGCTTGCGGCTTGTGCGACCCCTCGATGAGCCTGAAGCACGCAACCCAGCAGTCATTGCCCCATCGCCCTAGCAGAGCTCATACGCAGCCGGACTTCTTTCACCTTTCCGACTGTTGACATGCGCTAGTCATGCACTTCTGGCTTGCACCGCCACCTCACCACATCGCCGTCGAGGCTTTCCAGATAAACCACCCACGGTTGAGGGTAGGCACCTGCAGAGCCATCCGTGCATCCATCATCCATCCATCGGAGTCGCATCATTCTTCTTCACACCACAAGTGACGGCTGCTCAGTACCGCGAGCTGTCCGCAAAAAACTGGATTTACTCTAGCATGGTACCCACCGACCAGCTGCCAGCCCGACCTACTTCAGCCCAAAAAAACCTAACCTGCAAGCAACTCAAGCTGGTACAAAGTGTACAAAGCCAAGACTCGAAAGATGAGTACTGGCCAGTCACTCAAGAGCCTGGATCCATTCTTGGGCTTCAATTTATACGGTTCGGAAGCTTAGCAGTTAAACCATTAAGGTTTTCAGCATCCTCTTCAAAATCGTAGTGGAGAGAGACATTGGGGTATGTTGTGTCCTAGGCTCTGATTGTAGGCAAGAGACAGGAGACGGATGTAGTACGTCTCTTCTTGGAACTCTTCACAGAACCTGACTGAGCGAAACGCTGACGAGGCCTCAAGCAAGCCGGGACTTCAACCTGGCAGCTTTCCAAGAATCTCCACGTCCTTGCCGAAATTTCCCCCAACGCTGACTTCTTCACCTCTGTTTTCGATCCTCAGGGTCGCATGCTTCTGCTCTTGCAGTGGAATCAATTTTTGTGCTTCTTTGGGATGTAAAATGTAAAAGAGCACCTACACGATGGCCCTTTCCACAACAGCCACAGTTGGAATTCTCCCACTTTGCCTGAAGCTGGTTGCCGCGTCTTCTGCATTCAGCATGACAACCAGACGATCCTTCATTCCACCGATGAACTCGCTGGAGGGATCTTGCAGAACGAACTTGCGGCCACCCAGGAAAATGACCGCAGCATCCTGTCCACAGAATGACAGCACATACTTGAAGCCCCGCAGGGTGAATAAGGTCAAGGTTCTCAGAGACTGGACTCATGAGTTTCTGTGGGTTCATGACCTAGCGTATCCTGCAGCGTGCACCTGTTTGGCATCATCCGTGACTCGATACAGGAGCGTGCCCACATCGCCAGAGGTCGTTCCCACTCCATCAAACCTAGAGACGCGCCTCAGAAAACCGGCAAAAAGTGCATATCAAGGATAGAAGAGGCTTTGAGATCCCCCGACTCGGATTATGAGCATCCAAAGCACACATCCTGCAGCGCCGCCCCTTCTGGAGCCTGCAGGCTCTTTGTAAAGGCCTGGCGCCAGACTTGAAAGTGAAACACTCTTTGGCACAAGATGCTCGATGCAACAGGAGCTTCTGAAGACATTCAAGATGCACCTGTGCCATTGGCAGCGCAGCGTTGAGGAGTGCTTCCATGCCAGCTTCCACCACACGATTCGGCGGGCAGACCATGTCCAATCTCCTGAATACGACCGCCGCAGTTTCAACCAAGTGCCCCGAGCAGCATGAGCAGCTTCCTAGCGTCTGAGCTGCTGGCAAGCGCACTGACTGTCGCGAGATCCCATCTCTGAAGGCTGCCATCACTGATTCTGCAGCTTGATCGACCATGAGCCGAGCCTGACAACCGAGCTTAGGGAGTCACTCATGCTGCTGTAGATGGGTTTTCCGAAGCCTGGAAACACAGAAACGGTGCCTGAACTCCTGTCTTCCGAGCATACTGCGAGATTTTATTGAGTTGGCCAGGGCACTGAGTTGGGTGGCGAAACTTCCTCAACAGCTTTGCGCGAGCATCTCGACACGCAGCGAGATGTGTTGACCTCGATCCAACTAAACCATTTCAGCCAATTTCATGCAGCCGCGGGCGAGGATTGCACACGTGCACACCTGCTGCATGGCGACTTCATAGCCAAACGAATCCCAGCAGAGATGAACTCTGCTCGGCAATGCGTGCGGTACGGTAACCAGCAAATAAGGTCAGGGCGGGTCTCAGACCACTCGATGTTAGATGAGGCAGCACAAAGCTACAAAGGCTGCCTCGGGTGGAACAGATGCTGTAGTTGCGTATAGTTGCGTAATGTTGGCTAACTCGTGCTCGCGTTCTGGCATGGGTGAACTTACTCGCACTGGCTTAGGCTTGACTGGATGGTGGCGAGTGTCCAGTGGCAACTGCAGCTGCCAAAACCAGCACATGATGTCCCGGTCTTCGATGCGACGGCCATACAGCCATCGCAACAATGTGGCAGCGCTGGACTAGTATCAAAGATATCAAAGTAGCCAAAGACCGTAATGTGTTTTTGTGTGCTTTCTATTCTCTGCGTGAATGGGCCGTTGAGTAGTCCGTCGGACGTGCTGCCTCTAGAAGCATTAAAAAGCCATGACAAGCCATATCAAGCAATCTCGTACCGAAGCAATGTCAGCCTCACGAGAGACATTAGCCCTGCAAAGCATCTGCACCTACCGCCTTTGTCCGGATTCTGAAAGACATGATGATTGTGATAGGCTGCGTAGGGAAACTATGTCCCTGTGTCTTGTGCGACGAAGCTGGGCCACAAAGGCCACAGCAGATTGGGGCCACAATCAATCGATCGAAGCCCTTCATGCCCTTCAATCACTTAAGATGAAGCTGCGCTGCGAGAAGAAGCCAAAGGAGCATGAGCAAAGAGCCCTTTCTTTGCATGAAGCAATGTGGAGCACGTCATTGCATGCTAGGCATTATCCAGCGGTGACCAGTGGCTCCGAGTCCATGACACACCAAGGTCGGCACCGCACTTTCCTAGAAGTACGCGTCGGTGGCCAGTTTCGAAACTCTTCACATCATTTGGCAAGACTCCGTCATGTGAGCGTATTTAGCTGGTCCTGCACTGTTCACAGGTGCACGCGGCGTACCGCCCTGTGCCAAAAACATCCCAAAACGCATACAAAGGCTGCGCTACTCTGAAGCATCCTGAGCAGGCTCCTGAACGTCAGGTCGGCGGCGATGGAAAGATGATCACTTGGATGCAGCTCCTTGGCGAAGTCGGGGATCAAACCATCGTTGCATCAGATCCCAGCGTCTAGCTTTTACAAGAGGGTGGCTTCTGATTGAAGAGGATTCTCAGAAAGAGTTCCCGATTAGAAAAGTACCTGAAGAGTCCCCAAGTACGATTGCCGGCCACATTTGGGACTCAGATCTGGGCACTGGGAAGGCCACCGTGGACCTCCACATCCTGCGATCAGGCCAAGCCTTTGAAAGCAGCGCCATCCGCCTATGGATCCATGCGAATCTATGTCCGGTGTCCTTTTCGGCAGGTGCCAGCCTGGATGTGATCAGGATGAAATCACGACAAATGTCGATGAGCCGCTCACCGAGCTGTGTGCAAACACTTCGTCGACAGCAAGTGGTCATCGGTGAGGATGTAGTCCTGGAGCTCTGGCAGGCAGGTCATGCGTGGATGGCTTACTACAACGAGGAAGCAAAGAAAAATCTATTCGCGAGCAGCAAGCCAACCCACAAAGGTGAAGCATGGCGCAGTCCAGAATGCCGCTGAAGTCGTGCACATAGTTCGTGAACTTCTGCGGAGAATTTGCGTACCTCTCCGGCAGATGCAAGTCGACAGGTGCCAGGGCAGTCCAATGCAGCACAGCCGGCGGACACATCCACCAGCGCGCCAAGTGGATTGCGCAGAGCAATTCCGCTGCCTCGGCATTCGCGGAATCTGTGAGTTCTGCCAAGAAAGCTGATGAAATGACTGAAGATCAGCCCAAGGATGCCCTTTGTCGGAGTCACGATGACACATGTGCAATTCACCTTGCCTGGGGCCTAGCACTGACAATCGGGCTTTAAACAGTGTTGAGATGTTGTGAGGCCCTCTGCTTCTTCGTGGCCCTGATGAAAGGGAGCTTTCCAGCTGTTTCCAAGACATCGACCACTGCTTTGGTGGCGTTCAACACACGAACACCTCTCCAATCTTAACTTTAGGTGGAGCCGATGGCACGGTTTAAGGTTTCAAGTGCGAAGCGCAGCTGCTGCTGAGTTGGCCTTGCCACCCCCCTGCGAACGCTCAGGATGTACCAGTTCTCTACAAGCCAAAAACCTCAACGGAATGAGGTCGGCTGGTGAACAACTGAAACCGTCTGCCAATTGTCTACAGGCCCGTACCCATGGTTGGAGCATGGACCGGTGAAAAATTGGCGGATGGGACTCAAGTGGTGAAAGTCCGCAGGTGGCATCATCCAGCTCTCGTCTTCGCGGGCTTAAGGCGTTTTGTTCATGAAATCCAAACCGGAGATTCCTCGTGGGTTTATTGAGTACCTTGGCCTTGACCTCCTTTTCACCCCTGCCCACACCTTCTCACACAGAAACCCTTGGAATGTCAAAAGACTCAAAAGACAGTGGGTTCATGAGCAGGTGAACGACCTTGCCATAGCTTCTAGACAGAGAAGCTTCACCGTCAACAGCCTAAAGAACAGGCCGAGAGCCTTGGCTCTGCTAGGTTCTGCTTCGAGGCTGTGGCCCTTCTGCCAAGCTTCCCTCCCCAAGGGCTCCACAACATCGGACTCGTCAGCCTGGCTTCCCGGCCCCCTTGAACGCGCGACCCGTATGACTAAAAAAGGCTGCGTCGCCTCCATGGAGGGCACCGATGTTCTTGGAACCTCCTCAGCCTGCAACCGAAATGAAGGCACCGGGGTTTGAAAGGTGGGCATACAGTGACAGTCAGTGACAGGCGAGGTTCATGTGGCGCCTCAGGTGAGCCCAAGTCAGTGCTTACCTCCAGAAAAGGTTCCCTGGCCTCTCCAGCGTCAGCTGAAACCTCTTCATCTCGCCAGGCGAACTTAGCCACGGAGCCAGGGTACAGCCACGAATTTATCACCGAAGCCCAACTGCCGAGCTTCGTGCCTGGGAAGATGTTTCCCAGTCCTCGTGGTCACTAGCAACCTGCAACAGCGGATAGCTCACGAGGCAAACCTAAGCAAATCATGCTAGTAGGCATCTTTTTGGAGCTTCAGCGCCAGAATCAAGAGGCCCTGAGACCCTGGGCAAGCTGTACGTCTAGACTTCGGAAACTCAACGCCAAAGATAAGGGCTCTAGCACTCATGTCACGTCTCAGAGCCGCTCTCCACAGCTGTTGTCGCAGAGCTTGAACTGAAGGACAGGACCCCGTCCCTCAACTTTGACATGCCTCGCCGTTGAGCAGCAGCTGCACCTGAACTGCTGGTCATGGTTGAATCTTCGTGTAAAATAAAACAACACCCCTCAGTCCCTGTCAGTTCCCCAGTCAACATTCACCTGCAGTGCATCACCTTACTGAGCCTGGTACTGCGCCAGTCTCCGGCAAGCAGTTCAAGTCACCAGCAAAGATCACGTGGGGAAGTCGACCTGAGGGCTGCGTAGCCATGAGAACTCCAGTCCCCCACCCCTGGCAGGTCTGCATGGCCTTCTGCATCTTTGTGCTGCTCGCGCAACGCCTGTACCTGATTCGATCTGTTAAGGCCCCCTAAGGCTGCACTCCAAGGCTTCGGGAGCAGTGTCGCAGCACGCAAGCGCTCGAAATACATCTCAGGAAGTCCGCGTCTAGAAGAGCACGCAGCGGTCCTCTGGCCAACAGCCATCCCTCGACGCCAGCTTCTGTGACACGTGTTTCAGGTGCCTTTAGGATCCAGAAGCCTGGGGGCAAGGAAGAGCCCCAGAATGTTGTTGGCCCTTCTCTTCCAATGCCGCTCCAGTCCCGTGAGCCCCGCCTTGGAAACACCCGAGCACCCCAAACTGCTAATATTGGGTTATAGGGTTTAGGGTTCAGGGTTTAGGGCAATATATGCATGTCACTTCATCTCCGACTTGCGAGGCCGAGCTGCCATGTGCAAAACCCCTCCCCGCCATCGGCCCTTAAGAGACCAATTCCACGTGTGTTCTGCGCGGGGCCCAACTTTGGTCCCATCGACAACTACGGGCTTTCAGCGCTGTGTTTGGGCTTGGGGCGACGTATTTCTACAAGGGGGGGTCCATGATTGCGGCAGGACAAAGTCTCTACAAGCAACAATAGATTCTTCGGCTCATCCCGGAAATTGGGCATCTCCGAAAGTGCTTTTGTGTATGAAGGCCCCATGTACATGTAGTCGCGTGCAGGCATTTGAAGCCATAATGCTCCTGGTCCTGGATTCCCGAAGCAGGAGCCGCCAAAAACCCAGCGCTGTACCTTTAGAAATTGTGCAGAGGTCTGCGATCTTGTGCTGCGACCTCTTGCTTGGCTTTCTTTTGGCCCATTGGTGCGGGTGTGTTGCTGCCATTGCTCTGCTCTTGGCCTGTAGAGCTACGGCTGAACGGCCGAACGCTGTAGTTAGTGGATGCTGGTGAAGGCTTGCCATCGTGGCGAGTGTCCAGCACCTTCAATGCGGGAACGCACGGAGTCCGGTTTTTGCAGATCCCACTTGGCTCAGAGGGGGTCAATGCTGAGTCCTGCCATATGCTGCAACTTGCACCTTTGAGCCCAGTTGGGCCAAGCCCGGCCATATGGAATTCACAACAACTTCAGTAGCAGTTCATTCCACGGAGCACTTCATGTAGCAGGCACATGATCTGCAGAAGACGAATATGCCTCAGGCAGCATCTGTTTGGTACAATCCTAAACCGAAGACGCAGAAGGTCCAGAAACTAACTTGCCTGGCATTGGGGTGGTAGAACAAGTGCCTTGGATCCGTGCTGCGTCGTGAGGGACGGCAACATGAGCCTTCTGCCCCACTTGGGCTGGGACGTGTTGGAGAGCACCAGTACTCTGCCAGTTGCCTTGTGCCTGCAGGACCGAAAGCACATGAGCTCGTGCAAATCAAGGCCTGAACCTTCGCGAGCAATAAAAACCTGACATATCACCTGATGGCGGAGCCTCACGACTGTCAGCTGGAAGACCGTTGACATCCTTGGCCTGAGTTCTCCCACGTCTAGTCAGTCCAGTGCTCCCCTGTCACAGCAGTGAGCATAGTCATGAGGCTTCCACAGAATGCCTGCCAAGAAATCCGGCCACTTGGCAGCCACCTGGTCCAGGTCACACAGGGAAGCCCAGTGCTTTTTGTCTTGCTACTTACCAGCTTTACTAGTCACGACTTCTCCCGGGCTGCAGTGCATTGTAAGGCAGGAGCTTCACGGAGCTGCGGGCGAAAAGCTTGGCTGGTTCGCAACAGGTTCCTGCAAGCCCATGAGGCGATGATGCTTTTAGCAAGCAATCCTCAAGCCCAAGAAGAGCAGCACGTGACAGACGAGAACTACGAGAATCTGTCCTGAACAAACAGTCCTTCTCTTGGAGCACCTACAGGGGCTCTTGCGTGCAAGTTGTTCATTTCCACGCATTCCATGCACTCGATAGCACATAGCTCGCTGCAACTGTCTGCTCCCTTTTTTACTTCCACACCTCTCGTGTGAGACAAAGTCCTTCATGCCCCTTGTCGAGCGTCCGTTCACTGGCTTGCCACGGAATCGAGGCCACTTTCGGCACGGATATTACAGACGTCCTTGCACATCCTGACAGTGCTTTCTCCCGATCATCCAGAAGATCCGTCTCAGGGCCGGGGTCCACTATGTTCCACTGTGTTCCGCTGCTCCCGGCACGGCTGGTTGATGCTCACAGATGCTCACAAGCAGGGATATTCTTGAAGCCAGAAATTGCCAGACCACTGGGCCTAGGGCAAAAGCTACTGAAGGGCCGGGCGCGATCCAGGCCTAAGACAAAGCACCCATCAGCACTCTGCACATTTCCGCACTGGGATTCAATACTGTTCTGAGATGTTCTGAGGCTTTGAGGGTCGGACTTTCTTAGCAGGGCGAAAACATTCAGCGGATACCTGAGGCGGTCGACATTCCCCGGCCCCACGAGTCTGCAGTGCTGTTGCGGGTCGCCTGGGGGCATCCTCCTTTTCGTGGAGCCCCTCTTCACGCAGAATCTGCTCCGGTGTCCAATATGGCAACACCATGCCCATCAAGACCTCCCGTCAGCCAAGGTGAAGCACCGTGACTGCGTCAGCAATAATCAAGAATAATAATTGTTATTATTACAACTAAGCCAGTCAGTTCATTTAACTCAGGGCGCTGCTCCATTGACCAAGGATAGGTCGCCCGGTGCAAAGAGCCGCTTGACCTGCTCACGAGCCATACGCGCCGACGGCATCTCCCTAAGTGTCCAGCAACAGCTCACGCAGCACACCACAGCAGACCTCAAGCCCGGCATGTTTCGCCAGTGCCGCCACTCCCTTCGGCGTGTACCGGTAGTAGTCATGCGGCGACCTTGCCATGATGGGGGCCAATATCACGACCATATACTGACCTAGTAGCACTACCGGTACTAGCAGACTTGGGCCAGCTGCCCGTGGTACCTCTGGTACATTGGGGCCTCATGTCACACTCGCCATCAGAGCCCTCTCAAGCACGAAGTACAACAGGACAGGACCACCGAGGGTGTACAGACATGAATTGGAGCAGGCTGTCATTGACGGCAAGGGGCAGCCCAAACGATGAAGCCACCCGGCTTCAGAGTCTTGGCCAGCGTCCTCACAAGGTCAAGATGCGTCCAAGCTCATTCTTACAGCCTGACATAGCTTGATGGGGGACATGTCAAAACATGTCGCGGTCCGGATGGCGACCCAGGGCTGTGAGACATGCTCGAAGATGAAGGGGCACAGAATGAGGTCAACGGACTCAGGATCCACGCCTGGGCTAAAGAAAGCAAGACAAGCCCGAAGCACCAGCCAACGCAAGAGGCGCTGAGGCATGCGCCAAATCTGTCCTCCGTCTCCATATCTCCCCAATAGTGAAGGGTACCCCCTGGAAAGCGGTGACGTCCGGGCCTGGGCACCGCGAAGGCCGACAGAGGCCATGCTAGGCCAGGACAGTCAGTTCATGGTTCATGCAGGACCCTGCAAGGCTCGGGCAGACCCATGTTGGGGTTCGCCGGTGTGGGCCTTGCACGAACATACCCCTCCCCACAACCCCTTCTCCTTATTCCAAGAGGTCCCGGCTCCGAGTAGGAGTACACATCCATCCATCGGCAAGCGGTCTCACGGCGATGTTTCAAAAGACAGGAGCAGCGAAAGATCCTTCTGGCTGCCACGGTGTTGCAAAATGTACAAACTCAAAATTCCAGGTGTAAGATCGGCACTGCGAACGTGCTCGCTAGCAGAAACGGCTGATCCCACTCCTTTCTTGCTGCTCGGTGATCAGAATGCCAGCGGTCCGAATCCCACGAATGCTGCAGCTATGCTCCGAGGTTCGGTCCAGACACCGCTCCATTCGGCCCTCTGAAACAACTTCGTCCTTGACCTCCCCACATCATTCGCCACACGCGAGGCTGGAAAGGCTTAAGGCCATGGAGACTCATGTCGAGGTTGATTGCTTCAATGCCTCCAAGATGAAGTGGGCAAGCTGCATGCGATCCACCTCTCCGGTCCCGTGTCACAAGCAAGCGCATGTTGCATGCAAGTGGAAGGCAAAGCTTGCAATGATGCTCGCAAGCGTATGGCAGTGTTCGCAGACAAAGCATGCATCAAACAGCAGCACTCCTGTGCATTAGTCCTTCGTGATGCGTCGAAAGGCTGTATCGAAAAGATACTAGCTCTTTGGCGCCGCTCAAATTACACTAGGAAGCGCATGCCCATTCATGCCTCGACTGCGCACAATGCGGTTGCCCACACTAAAGAATGCACAGGAGGCCTGCTCTGATTTATTCGAGCCCTGTGATGAATGTCAATGTACCTGAATCAAAGGATACCCGACATTAGAATCACGGCCACAGGCATCCCAACAAAGGAAACTCCAGAAGAAAACAACCTCCAACTCCCAAAGGCCCGATACCTTGAACTATTCTGCTCTTGGTCGGGTGCGACAACCCTTCAAAATCCTGCAAGGGGCAGCTTCGCCTGTAAGGGATGGTCCATGGGCATCATCGAGCGGAGGTGCTCTTCGCGGCTGGTGCCTGCACTGCACGGCTTCCAGACATGTCCAGACTAGGGTGCTCGAGTTTTGGGCTAAGTAAGGGGCTTTGAGGCAGTTCGATGCTTGAGGAGTTTTTGGTCGTTGGGCTTTGTTAGCCGATCTTTCGGAGGCCGACGTTGTGAGGTGCACGCAACGCCCCGACTTTTCCGGCGGGCGGCTACGGCGCCAACCCGATCACGCACAGCTCTCGGTCTCGACCGACAGTTTCGAGACCCGCTTAAGCCGACACAAGTTCTACAGGGGGTGCGTTTGGATTGGGGCGCTGGACGAAGTCCCTTTTCGGAATATTTTCAAGGGCTCGTCCTGCGGTGACGTTTTCTTTGGGGTGAGTAATGGGCTCTCGCGGTCTTCCGGGGTGATTGAGCACACTGTGCCGGGCCCCTAGTGTACTTCACGCTCTTCCCAAACGCTCATCTTCACTAATCCTTTTCCTCAGTTATCCTGCCCCCTGCCTTCAGCTTGTCGGGCAAGGTCCTTGCAGCGCACTCCAGGAGTCTCATGATCGCCTGGGCCTACCGGGACATCTCTCCTCGACGACAATCTTCATCCAGTCATACTCCGGGGTTTCTGCGCCATCTGCACCTCACACGCACGTCACGCACAATGGATGATTGGGCAACATGTGAACCGAGCAGTGACATGCAAATCAGGCTGGCAAGCTTCCGGCCCTTGCCGTGAGCGTGACTCTGCAGCATCTGTTGAGATAAGATGTGATCCTGGCCCCGCTGAGAAACAGTTTGCTGCTGGCAGGGATAACTAAGATTGTGGTAGTGGAAGTGGGTAAAACTCTCCAAGGTCACAAATGGCCGCGAGGTGCCTCGTTGTCAAAGAAGATCTGGTCACGAAGAGGCAGATCGCTATTGGCGTAAAGCAACAATTGGAGCCTCCAGAGGCATCAATAAGGCATCCGCAGGCCAAATCTGAAAGCATCGACTTGCGCGTCGCACTGATGATCGTGTGCTCCCCCCGGTGCACAGGCTGCGCGGGCGCGTGCGCCTCGCAAAGAACTCCGCAGCGCAGCTGCGCCTGGGCCCGATCTCTCGGCCACCAAAGCGCAACACTGCAGCAGCCGGTGATGGTCGAGAGTGCCCTTGACCCCGTACCGAACTTAGGACACGTACACTGCGGACTCACTCCCCTCCCCACTGCCCCCTCTGCAAGCCTTCCAGGCTCACTTCGTTCGCAGTGTAAGACGAAGCTCCCGCCGGGCAGCTTTCGCGACCGATGTTTCGAAAGAAGCTCTGGCAATGACGAGGCGTAGCAACGGGAAGAGGAGCAGGACTTTCCAGCCCTGAAATCTCCAACCCCCGGCCCTCTTCCCACGTCCTGGTTTGCACCACATAAGACATGAGGCAAACCATGATACCATGACGAAAACATTCATGAGCCCACCCACCCCACCTGGACCTCCCTCCCCGTATACCGTCTACCCTTGCCTGCACCTCTTCTCTCGCCCTTCTTTGCCCGCTAACACTGTCTTCGAATGTTTATACCGCCAGGCCTTTACAAAAAGCCAATGGAGGAACTGTCGGCCAGCCCCACATATCGCCGAGGGGCCTCTTACAGGGTATTAGGCCCATGAGGCCCAACACCTTTGTGTTTCACATTTGTTTCACACTTGTGAGTCCGGGGGTGCCTTTTGCCGGGGCTCCCGTGAGAGATGAGGAGCAGGCCCTGAGATGCAGAGCACCCTCTCGCGCAATGGTTGCGGCATCTTTGCCTCAACGCACCGCGAACTGTGGCTTGGGTCGCTGTCTGATCTGCTGCCTTTCACAGAGCGCTTGGAATGTAGCAGACTGGGCGGCGGAGTGCAGCTCGAGCAGCACTAAACGCCAAGCCTCCCAGAGGAGGGGATGTGTGAGGATGTGTGCTGACGGGAGACTCGTAGCATCTCGTGGCCTCGTCATCGAAACCCATGGCCCTCTGCAAGGAAGGCAGCGCCGTTCGAGCTGGCCAGGGGCTCAACATGGTTTCATGCTGCGAGACTTGCAGAGCTCAGGCCAGAGTCTTTGGGGTGGCTTTTTGACTTCGAGCAGCTGTGACTCTTCCCATTCCGGCCTGGCAACCCTGCGATGGGATCGGCCAGCAGGTCCTCGCTTGTCAGAGCGGCAGCCGTGACCCACGACGCAAGCTACCCTGGCAGTCCATGCGTTGCTGTAGCTTTGCCAGCACCTTGCCACTGGTCGGCAAACAGCTGGGGGGGTGGTCATGCGCGTGCTGTTAAAGATCTTTGAATGAAGCCCACCTGAAGAAGAGGCCATTGGGAGCGCCAGGCCTGGTGCAGGCAGCATGATCAATGCTTTTGGCATGTTTGGGGAAGGCTCCTCCATGCCCATGACGACATCGCCAATCTGCTTGGCGGCGGCCAGAACCTCTCTTGCGGCTGCCCCCCCTGTTCCACAGTCTCCTTAATCCGCCCAGGTGTCGGGCTGTAGGTGTCTGAAAGCATAAAGCAGGTACCCCACCTCTAGTCCCCTCCCCAACACATCTTGACCAGGGTCCCCCCGCCTAGCCGTCAGGTGTGCAGGAGCCGACCGTGCATCCTGTCATTGCTGCCGTTTTTATACGGCAGGTGCTCGCGTCTCCTTTCCCAGCGAGACTGGTTTTCATTGCTTCACGCCCCGCGTGAAAATTGGCAGGGCGCTCTGCCATTGCCGAGTTGGGGCATCTACATCCTGATTGTGCATCAGGACCAGGAGCCTGGTCTGCACATTGGCCTCAATGTCCTCTCGACAGCAACCTTGGGCTGCGCAGGCCCCGGCCGAGGCGGGTCGCGTAGCGTTAACAGTATCCTTATCTCCTCCCGTTCCCGGAAACCAGAGCATTAACATCGCATTCCATGCATATTCAGGCGCTCCGCCTGGGCCTGTGCTTCTGCGACGAGTTCCGGAATGAAGCTCTCGCGGGTCTCGCCTGAGAGCTCAGAAGCAAAAGGTCAAAGGTCAAACAAGAAGAGAGTGGACAACGGTGGGGAGGGTGAAAAGAAAAGGTGGCGGTTGACAGCGAGCAACTTCGACCACTCAAGACAAAGCCGGGCCACCGAAACGCCTGTATGCTGTGGTCAGCAAGCCTGCCGCTCTTGCCAGCGGACATGGCAAAGGGCTCTCTCCAGCTCTCACGAGCGGGGAGCACCAGAGCAGGAAGGTGTTGGGAGTGTCGGATGCCAGTAGCGGCAGTTCAGCCAGGAGCTTCGGAGCACCATCTGTCATTGCACCGACGCACTGTGGCAACTCAGCACAGGCGGCCAGCACCTGAGCAGTTGCCGATGCATCCGAAGTTTCCCCACTTGGATGGCGAGTCCAGTAGCAACTTTGGCCAGGAACATCGACCGAACTTGAATGATATGTGGAGAGGCCGGCCAAGGCCTCTTCCACAGGCTTGGCTTGCACGCTCTCGTTACCCCTCCAGACATCTGGGTCCAGATGTCGCCAAAGCCCTCCAATCAGTTCTCGGGCCTGTCTGGTGGCGCCCACCTCTCCGTCGTCGCAGTGGGATCGTAAAGAAATCGCCCTCTGCTGGGCTGATCTGCCATGCGACGTCAAGTCCGCTCCTGGACGGTCCAAGAAAGGCGAGGCCCATCTGGACAGCATTGCCAGGAGTTTGAAGATCGGCCAACCGCTCTGCAGAATGTTGATCCATGGTGCTGCAAGAGTCGAGGCAACAAGCCGGGTCGCCAAGTCAGGCACCTCCAGTGGCCGACCTGTCTGCTTTGTGGCAACGAGGAGTATTCTCACTGCAAGGAGGCCCGAGTGGCAGCTTGTCCACTCGAGCCGCTCCCTCCACGGGAGCTCCATCTCTGGGTCAAACACTTCCCCTGGGAGCTCCAGCTCGTTTACCAGGCTGCTCACTGAATCAAGGAAGGGCACATCGCCCTGCACGTTAACAAAGTTTAAGCGCCCCGAATACCGAGGGATCAGCTTTTGCATCGCATCCCGGATGCTGCCCCAAACTTTCACGTCCCGCTCGCCGCAGGGAAAGTCTTCCGGGGAAAGGGGATCGGCACTCGGGCTGCTCGGATCCCGGGGCACCCCGCTCGCATGCCCAAGAAGCGCCAGCCAAAGCAAGCCCGAGAGCACCGAGGTCCAGAGCCGCAAATTGGCCGACAACATCGCTGACGTCGCTTGGGTCGGGAGGGGGAAGCCGGACATCCGAAGCCATGATCGAGACATGGGGACGAGCAAGTGCCCGCACCATGTCGCAGATGTCGCAAGCTAATAGCCGCAAAGGATCAGTACAACTCACTCCCAGCTTGAGCGTCTCGACCTACTCGACATTGGTAAAGGTGCAACACAGGCATGGTACACATGTCTGCTGAGAAGCCATCCAAGGCTGGAGCACACGTGAAAGCCCCGATCCCACAGAGCACAGCTGCACAGCTTGCAAGTCGGCTTCGCCTTACAACTCCGGCCTCAAACGACTCCTTGCGGACCATCACCAAGCAACCCTCAGAGACGTGGCTTGCTTTGAGGGAACAGCGTAGGTGATACCTGGAGTGAGTCAAGCAGAATCAGGACCCACAACTTCTGCATGCACCCTCATGCGCCTGTCGCCAAATAACGGCTGAAAGAACTTCAGGTAAGTGAAATATGTGCATTCCTGGTGCGTCTTCTGCACTTGGCAACATTTCCCGGAGCTGCGTGCAAATTTACATGTCTGTGATCCGAAGTCACGCTCCTGCAGGAAGACGATATCTCCGTCCAACCGCTGAATTTCTCTGCCTAGACATCACTGAGCTGCTGTGCTTCTCTAGAGGGCAAGGCTTCCCGGCCTAGCAGAGGCTGTCGATACGCATAGTCCAAGATTTGAGATGGGCAATAAGGGTACCTCCCCGGTCATTTTCACTGATGCATGTCGCTTGGCAAAACTTGTGCCGCATCTCAACACGACCCCAGGATGCATGATTTGTGTTGCCAACTGTGTTCTGGCATAGGGAACCGCGAGGATGTTGAAACTGACCTGACAAGGTCTGACAAAGGATGCGGCTCTCCAGACGCGACATGTCTTAAGACCTTTGCTGAGCCGTCAGCCACTCGAATGGTGGATGTATTTGCAGATCTCTTGCCAAAGGCCTGAACTCTTTGTTCAGGCCATCCTCGAGGGACCTGCAGCCAAACCGTTCCAACTTAACAGTTTAACATGTCATGTCGGCGACGGACCCCAGAAGGCCTCCTCCACAATTCCAACGCGCACAGAACCTTTGGAGCGCCTTAGGCGCAAACTAGTGTTCTCTTCCAAGAAAGTAGCTCTGGAAAGTCTTCGGGCAGTTACACCAACCCTGAAGCTACAAGAAGCGACAGGCGAATGCATGTAATCTGAGGGCCATCACGATGTGCTTGGAACGCTCGGATGAGGCTCAGCCTCCACATGCAGAGTTCGACCTTTCGCGGCCTCGGGCGTTGGCCGTCGAACGGATCAGAACTGACAACTGGGTTTAGGGTTTAGGGTTTAGGGTTTAGGGTTTAGGGTTTAGGGTTTAGGGTTTAAAGTTTGCTTAACCGCTTGCTGACATTGGGCCTCAGGTACCCAAAAGATGTTGCCGAGGCCAACTTGAACATTCCCAGATGCACCGGCCGCAACCTGCGGGTTGCCAAAGCATGTCCCAACAGCACATGTGAACAAACAGATGGTTGCGCGTTTTGGGTTTTGGGCTCCAATGGAGCTCTCTGCAACTGGTTTTTAGAACTTCCGGTAGTCTAAGCATGTTAGACTGCTAGATACCCGTGCAAGGCAAGAATGCTGAATCCATCCCCTGGCGCAGGCCTGGGTGAGCCAACGCAGCCTCAATCGCAAACTGAAAGTCTCACAAGAGCAAACCCTCCAAAACCAACCACGTGCAACGTTGCCACATAGTCGTCCTAGACTCCTAGACCTGTCTGCTGCATCAGAGGTCAGCACGTGAACGCTGATGCGTCACAAAACTCACAGCGAAGTATTGCCTCAGTTTCCGGTTCGCTGTCGTTCAACCAACCAGCATGGGATCTTGCCGCATGGCCCTTGCTACACGAGACAGGTGTCTACGCCGACTAGCCAATGGACACGACACGAGGGAGCATTGGCGCACACGCATACACACTGACGGGGGAGTGGCATGCATAACAACCTCTGTCCGAAGATTGTGAGGCCGATCACATTGATCCAACATATGTACTTGTCACCAGCTCTGTATGAACTTGAATATGAACTCGGCAGTGTAGCGCGACATGACTGGCCTGATACCTCAAAACCCATTGCAACATGGTCACCAGTTGCATACTAGACTCTAGACTGAAGTGCGTCTTCGTTGGGAAGGACTTTTCAAGAGTCCTGTTCCCCGTAGAGAAATGATACTGTAAATTAGTTGGCGAAAACTCCTTGGCTCAGAATCAGGGTTCGACATCCTCCGAAAAGGGCAAGCGAACGAAACTTAGCACTATCAACATGTGAAATGTCCTGTGACGGGCGAAGACCCACTAAAACTGTGCCAGAGAGGAGGAAAAAGTGAGAGCGAGAAAACAAGAAGGACATAGGGAAAGAAAGCTACGAGGGAGACAAGAGGGAGTGAGAGAGAGAGAGAGAGAGCGAGAAAAATGAAGAGAATGAGAGAAACAGAGACAGATAAAACGAATTCAAGAGAGAAAGACAGAAAAGCCGAGGAAAAGAGTGGCAAAGACACAATGCATTCAAAGCAATGGCATTGGAATATGCTGGAACGTAAGGCTAAATAACCACCACCTCCTGCCAAGTGATCCATGCTGCTTGTTGCGATCTCCCATTGTAACCGTAACCAATACCTGTGAATCTCGCCGCGATGATCGCGATTTCTCGCATCTCACTTGCAAACTTAAATCGCGGAAGACCTTTTCAGACAGACACACACACACACACGCACGCACGCACGCACGCACGCACGCACGCACGCACGCACGCACGCACGCATGCACGCACATCTCCAACGGGCAACGAGGTAAGAGGGCGGCAGACAACGGACAACCCGCCAGGGCGCGGCCAAACACCTTTCCATAGTCCGAAAGGCATGGCGATCGTAAGAACACGCAGCAAACATAAAGAATGAAAACGTGCCAACTTTCTTGTTTGGCCACCACTCAGAGCGGCTGCTGTTAAGCAATAGCAATGCGCTTCGAGGCGAATTCAAGTCAATTGAGTGCCTGCGCTGTGGGCATTCGCTCCTTCATGCACATATTATACCCAACAATGGCGTCGCGGGTTCACGTCTTGCTGGCAGCGCGTGTGCACGAATTCAGCTGCTACAGGCCTAATCCAGAAACATCTGAAGCTGCCAAAAGCGGCTGCAGTTCAGGACTTTGGCTCATCGTGGCGCACACGCACAGGTGTTGAAGGCCACCATGTACCGTGCTTCTTTCGGTTGCTGCCTGTCGATTGGCCACACTTCTTAGCTTGGCATCTGTTACGTCCCGACATGTAGAGCGCTATTGTGGTAGCAAAGTTCTTGGCTGAGATGACGCGGCCATGAGTCAGGGCCATCACGTGCTCTGCAAATGCACGGGTGCCCCGATCCCTCTGCAAGGAACGCAATCTGATCCATCAACGCTGGGCAATGTCGGTTTAGACCTATTCGATGATTTGATTGAGTTCCTGCAAAGAGAAGGCCGGCCAGGGTCGAAATTGATTTTGGCAGGAGTTTTTGCACGGGTGGCCATCTCCAGCCACAATCTGGGCCTAACTCTCCAGGCATTGGCAGACATTTGCTCTCTAGGTTGCTATACACTGGGGTAGAGGCTGCATATTTGATGGATGCCTCTCCCTTTGACTCACAAGGCATGAGATGCTAAATCTGGCATCCTCTGGCGCAAAGCTCATTGCGAAGGCCCTCTCAAGATCAAGTCAAATGCTTGTGACGGTGGCCTCGGACTTTGAACAGACCCACATGTCACATCGCTCCTCCTTCAGATTTGACGTCATTGAGGTCCAGGCCGCTTCCTGCGGCCTCCATGAAACATGTTTTCACTACCACGGGGTCTCTCATCTCTCGTATGTGACGTTGCTGCACAGCACGCCGAGCTTGTCAATCCCAAAGCGGCAACTCGCCTAAAGATGCCTGATAAATTCAGGTATCGACTATTAAGAACAGTCTTGATTTCAATCTTAGGGTAAAAGTGCTTCCCTTCGATTCTTCCTGTCCTCGGAGCACGCGAAGGTGGAGGACCCACTGGAGCGGCACCTGGCAGGGATGTCCCTAAGAACTGAGAAAGAAATTGGGGTTCCGAAAATAGGGGTACCTGGTTGGGGTCTTCACTATATCGGGAATCCTACTAGTTGGAGTCTATATTCGGGGTCCCTGATTTTCGTGAAGCCCCAAATGACTGCACGTGTCTCCAGGCTTCTGCTCCCTAGATGAAAGGGCAACGCAAATGCGAATGAACAGGCCCACCCTGTGGTAGGAAACCGCGGGCAGAGAGCCACTCCTTGTCCCTCACAACCTAAGTGCAACTGGGAGCTTGGGTACAGCTTGTAGGAGCTGAGGGCAGCCAAGGTAGGATCGAACAGACATGGGTGCATGGTGCTCTGGTCCGCACAATTTTGGGATGTAGTCTGGCGCACTCAGCGTAGACTCGGTCCTGGCCACAGGGTCCCGAGCAAGGCATTGCAAGACACGCATGCTTCAAGAGCTGCATTCAGGATGAGGATACGCGTTAAGAAGAATGTCAAGCTTTGCACACCTCTACCTGCCGGTCCTTCAGAGCACGAGCTGAGGGCTCGAAGTGATCAAAGTCTGCAATAGGCTCAAGCTTTCAAGCTGAACAAGGCTTCACGATGTGCATCTCACGGAGGGCCAACTCAACCCAGAGCGGTGGGTCAGGAAAAAAGGTTTCTGACCGAGTGCAGCTCTTGCCACTTGCTGACTTTGCAGCTCCAGACTTGGTGCCGTGCCCCATGCAAAAGGCCGCGGGGCAACGGTTTCTCCTGCTGGGTCATGTAAGTGCGCCAGGTACCTGCACGACAGGCATGGCACTGGAAGAATCGAACAGGCCAATGGGATGAACACGCATGAAAGGCGTACTAATGACATTGCGAGCATCCCGGCATTAGTGAAAACAGTTTGGATTTTCATATCTTACGTCTTACGACGGCTTAGAGAGTCTTAGGGGTTTAAAAATTTCAGTTAAGACAGCTTGTAGAAATAGGCATGGACGAACCAGCATCACCTTCACCCGAAGAAGGGGGACTTTCATGTATCGAACCATTCATGAAGATACGTTAATCATTTCTTTGAATACATGTTCAGCTTTCCTTCTTACTATGTTCATCACAATAGCTACGTCCTGATAATTACATATAACTAGACATTAACGCATAAAGAGCCTCCATCAACATGACTCTAAAACGTGAGAGGCCTGGCGCTATGGAGCCAGCAAAGCTAGATCTTAATTCTCTCTATGTTGATGTTCATATCAAATTTCAGACATCCTTGAGAGTTCATACGAAACGATGTACATGGGATCTGTGTTCGCGAATTCACCTAGCTTTCGTCGTTTGTTTGCTCTGGAAATTTCTTAGAAGATATGTACGAACTGATTAGGGAACATCCAATGGGCCGCTGACGCAGCTGGAAACGACACGATTTACGATGGGTCTAGGTGCTACGCTTGGGGCGCAGCGCGGTTGTATGGTCAGGCAAGCTTTGGGGGTAGCTGTGCCCGATAAGAAAGACCCACAACGGCTTTGATTGAAGATGGGGCGTAAAGTCAGGAGGGCGCAGGAGAGGGAGCCAGGTGCAACCAAGAGGTGTCCACCACGTTTTCTGTTTGGCCAGGGGGGCAGGGACATGCGCAGGCCTGTAGGCTAAGGCCAAGCTTGTCGTATCGTTTCGAGTGGGAAGCGTAAGCCGCATCAGTGGCTGAGTTGTGAGTCTGCCCGCCGCTATAGACTGTAGGAAGAATATGCATGTGCAAGCACACACGCAAAGGCACTCGTCAGGTCTCTAATATAGACTCTGCAAAGCTACCCACCAGGCTATCGCTTGAGCGCTGCAGCGCACGCGTGGTCGAGCGCGTCCGACCTCTGCAACCGGGTAGTCAGTGTAGAATTAGCTGCGACCGAATTCTCTCTTAGCAGCGGGCGCAGAGATCCGTCGCGTTGGGATCTTGTCCAGGAATTTGTGCAAAAGATCTAAACAAACCTTCCAAGACGTCAACGTCTGGGCGCTGAACATTTTGCACAAGCTCAAGCACCCTCACCAATATGTGCACGGGTCACGACTATGCAGAACAGCCTCGGAAGCCTGCGGCAGCCGCTCCTGCAGAGGGCAGGACCCTTCTGAATCCTTTATTTCTCCTTCTGCTCCTTCGCCGAACTTCTGAAATTGCTAAGATATGCGAAGAAGATAAGACCTGCTACATTGCTGCATCAATTTTTCATCTGTTCCCAAGTTCCTGGTATGACTATCCCACCGAGCAGAACCTCCTGCGTTTAGAGCGTGAGACATCGACAGCCGCGCTCAGGAAATATCTTTAATAAACATGGAACGCCGATCGGATTCCGGCGATCGAAGCCCGATCCTACTAGGGATACTTGTGACTGTGATGAGCGAGACGCCCCTAGTTCACTCCGGCCATCTCCGCTTCGCACTAAAGACCCAGCATAGTCGACTCCAAAAGGCCGCGTCAAAGAGGGGTGACTAGAAAGCTTGCGACTTCTAAGCCGCCTTGGACCCCAAAGAGCTCTCTACACACTGTTAGAAATGATGCAGGTGCACCCAAGCGACTTAGAAAGAAGAGATACACTCACCCGCCATAGCCCCCACGGTTGGGTTCGGCAACGGTCCTCCAGGGAAGTGGATGCCTTTGGCTCCTCGGGCAGCTTGAGAGTCTTGACCATGCCGTGGACCTCAGCACAGTCTCATAGAAGACATGTGAGGTAATGAAGACAAGAGTATCTGAGGGTTCAAGCCTGTGCCATGTCTTTCTCTGGCACCCAGTGTAGGTCATGCTCAATGGAGAACCTGGCAGGGATGACTCTAAAGACCGGCGTAGGCTGTGAGGCGGACATAGAAGCAATGCACGCAGGGAGCCACCCCAGGGTGGCCGCTATTCGGCGCAGCATGTCCAGGTGGTCTTTTCCAGGGAAAAGCACCTTTGGCAACATCTGAGCAGGACCATCCAAGAGGTCCCAGAGGTCCAGCTTCCAGAATTCAGAAATTCTCACGCGACTCGTGGGTGCTCTCTGAATGCAGGAAACATCCTTCTGTTTCAGAAACCATACCTCGCGCGCCATGAGCTCAAAGTGGATGCAGCCCACGGACCACAGGTCGACAGCCTGCACTACACTTATTTTCTGGCACTATTGCCATGACTGAGCAGTCACACGCTCACAGAACAGCAGTGTGAACATAGTAAACAATCACGTAAAAAGGCGGCACCCACACACACACACACACGTCAGCAGTTCAGCATACAAAACCTAGGCACAGATAAAACACATGAATCGAGGCGCAGATGAAGCTGGACACCTGCCAAACATTCAAGCTCCTGCCGCTACACTCTTCGGGGTATGTGCGCTTGTTTGCCGGCAGCTACTTGGTCTCTAGGTCTACGTTATTCATCGTTTTTCCAAAAACCATTAACCAAAGTCTCCAGCGTCACCCCGATGGCCACTTCTGGTGCCTCTGCCTCTGCCTGGGCCTAGGAATCCAGGAAGCCTCTTTGAACTGCTAGATTCCACACCGCCTCGAAGTAGCCGGAGGGCAATAACCTTTTTGCAGGCAGAGGGTCACAAGCTGTCACTGTTTCCACACTTCAGATAGCCTCGTTTTGGGAACTGAGGCTCCGAGCATTAACTCCGGAGCTCTGTACCAGCGTGTTACTACGTAGTCGGTGAGCTCTTCCTGCACGCAGAACCCAAAGCGCGAGTGCTGTAATTTGTCAGAGTCAAAACTATTTGTTCAAGAGGGCGCCTCCGCATTGGAGCGGCCTCTAGCAAGACCAAAGTCTGCTATTCTCAGGGCACAGTCCTGCCATGAAAATCAGAACCACCTCGCTCCAAGCTTGGGCAGTAGGCTCCTTGTTCACAAGGATGTTGCTCGGCTTTAAGTCACGGTGAGCGACTCCAGCAGAATGTAAGTACTGCAGCCAGGAACGGATAAGAAGTTGACACTAGAAATGTCTGAAGAGGTTTTCAGGCGGCTCAAGAGCACCTTCAGCCCTCGGAGGATCTGGCAGATGAACGCCTGAGGCACTCAGGGCAGATCAGCCCCCGGATATTGAAGCACGCCACGTCGCCTGCGTGTGAGACTCCGAGAGCTTCATCTTGGAGTAGATGACCTTCGCAGCTATCTGCAGCCAGACCAAAAAGCGATATTGCTGCATAGAATTTTGAGTTGAGCTTGGGAAGTCTGGACAGACTGTTTCACAAAGAGAAGAAAAAACAGCAAGACAGGGAGTCTGAAAACCTTCGAATGGATGGAAGCCACCGGAGAAGAGACATTTGGAGACTTCAGTTTTCAGAAAGCCCCGATGTGGATAAACCCCCCGTGCATGGGCTGCTGCTTCTGGTAGCAATGGATGCGCTCGGAGCATGTCGAGGCACGTCCCTTTGTTTGGACCCCGGCACGATGTAAATCAAGGTGCAGGTAAGGCCTCAAGCAGAATGGTGCAGCCATCCATGATCAACGAAACAGGCCTCTGAAATTGAAACGCCTGAGGGGCGGGCATAACGATATACACATCTTCAAAATCAGGATGTGGCACAGGTAGCAGGTCCACCAACTGCGAGGTCTTGTAGGAGCTGAGGATTGAAGACACCCACGACTCGCACGACTGATTAAGCCCTCCTTCAAGAGGTTCTCGTGCCGCAGGGCAGCAAGCAGCCGTATCCTGAGAGGGCAAATCGCTTTGATACGAAGGGGCTCCTGCTCTCAACACGGCGACTCTCTGAAGGAAGGCGCTGTTACAGGTTGCTACTTTTGCTTCGGCTCCCGGCTCCCGCAGAATCCTTTTGCCGCAAAGTGGGTCCTTCAGAGTTGCTCTCCGAGCCACGGAGTGCTACGCGTGTGCTCCGGCTCTGCATCCCACAGCTCGCACCCCCACACAATGGGGATATGCGCAGTGATGGATCCTTCGTGAAGTTCCGGATCAGCTTAACCGCAACCTGTCTCGTGCCGGACGATCATCATCATCATCATCCGGAGAAAACGCTGTGCAACGAAAGGGCCTGTGATCCATTGGTTGTATCCTCACAAAGGTACACCTGACACAACTGTCTCATGCTGGCTCCCACGCTCTTGAAACCGTGCTGCAATTTAAGACCAGCAGAACTGGCGCCTCGCCATAGGCGCCGCTTCCTAGTCTCTGGCCCGCCGTCCTCAAACGGCAAAAGTGCAAAGCTGAAAGGATCTGAACTCCAGGCTTACGAATCAATTTTCAATCATTTTCAGGAAGTGGCAGGTGCGGAGGGAGCTCGAAGCCGCTGCTGTGAGGCTGCTCCTGTGCTTCGCTCCCTTAGGCGGTTGACTCCGGTTGACTCTAAGCACCAGTGACTTGAAATCTTTGGGAGTTCCTTTTGTAATCCCTAGGCCGGACTCCAGGACTTTCCCAAAACCCCCAAGCCTCGGAGGTGACCTCGGCGCTGGCCCTGCAGCGAATGCGACGAGATGCGAAGCTTATGCGAGGAGATGCGAAGGCCGTCTCTCTCTCGAGTGGTAAGCGCAAGGCACGTCACCTGCCATGCGGAGATCTTCCGGGCCTGAGCTTGGCTGTGCTTGCCTGACACATGACCCCACATGCTGCAAACCTCCATTCAGCAGCTGATGGCCGAGCCTGCTGCTTGTTGGCCGCAGGCGTCAGGAGGCGTTAGGATAAGCGAGGTTCGCGGGATGCGCCGGGGGGCACGTGCGCTCTTTTGAGTTGAAACCCCCAGAGTTGCGACTAAGCCACTATGCTTGCGGATGGCCGGCGGCGTCCAAAAGCGCGGCTTCAAGTCACAAGTTGACAAGTGCATGCATGTCATCGCATGTCCATGCAATGCAGTCCATGTCTGTTCATACAGCAATGTCGACTCTACACACATGTAACATTGGCAGTGGTGTGCTGCATTGGTCGAGGTGTGGGGATGTCGAGGGGCAATGGGGTCTGCCTAGACTTGCCGAACTTCAGGCGCATTTAGCATCAGCTGCGGCATCAGATTGCATGACCACCCTGTAATGTAAAACCTTCAATGACTCAATGCCTTTGCTTTCGCGCGCCTCGAGCTTCGACACGGCGGGCGGGTTCACACTGATCGGCAACCGCTCGCCCTGCAAGCTTGAGGCTTTCGTGCCCTCTCAGCTCTCTCAGCTCTCTCAGCTCTCCCACTGCTGTCTGCTCAATGGTTGGCCCAATCTGGTGTCTTTGCGTCTTTGGATGGCTTCGGGCCAAAGATGCCTCGATCAGCACGTGCGAAGCACGGCGAAGAGCCTGGGCATGTGCGCAGTGCCGTTGGCTGATGTTTCTCGGAGCTAACCCCCTTTGGCGATGGCCTCGGAAACCGGTGTGCCCACGGCCACCTTCTCTTCGTTCGCATCGTAGAGGGCAACCTGGCACAGAACTGTCGTCGCAGCTTTTCCAGGGAGTCAGCAGTCCCTGAGAGTCCCTGAGAACCGTGCAGACACAGAACTGGCAGACTGCGTGCCAGCGCCAGCCTGACGAATCTCAGATTCTTACGATACATGTAGTGCAACTGAAGCAACTACTGGCACCACAACTAGCCCCCTTATTGTTAGACCATCCCATCTCAAAAAGATATGATGAGATGGATGGCACTTGGGATTGAGCATTTGGGACGTACTTAAAACCCTTCTGAAGCTGCAGCCTCAGCTGATGCCGCTTGCTGAGTCTTCTTCTGCTTCTGCTGGCTCTCCTGGTTGGCTTCATTGTCTGCCCCGCAATTTGCAGGCGGTTCGACAAGATCGCTCGTGCCCCCAGACCTTCTTGGCCTTCTTCTTGTCCTCACACACGGGGGGGGGGGAGTGGGGAAGGATAAGCCGAGACTTGAAGGAAGTGCAGTACAGCGCAAGCGCATCTTGTGCGCACACTTCTTGGCCCGCTGCCGGGCCGCCAAGAAGACGATTCGCTTGCTTGCTGCAGCCTTTTGGAGCAGCAGCGTAGGGGTGGAGAGTAGCAGATGATTTCCGAGTCATCCAAGGGCGACAAGGCTACAGCAGCAATGACGAACCCCTCTGTCTCATACAATCTCAGGCGAGACAGCCCCTATTAGCCCTACTACTTGTAGGTCATGGAACATGAAAGAAGCCAGTCTTTGGAGTCTGAGGCATATGCTCAAGGCTAATCGCTGCAGAAAGCGTTCGACAGGTTCCTGCGCCCACTGAGTCACCGAGCTCAAGAAAAGCGTACTCCGAGAAGAAATGGAGGAATCAGGGTCTGCTTTGTCTTGTGCTCAGAGATACAGTATTCTAAGGCTTCTAAGGCTTCCATCGGACCACAGCACAACACAGTTCCACCTCGCGCGAGCGCAGTAAGTTGAGCTCGGCGCCTCTCCACAGGACCTGGCAGCACCTACTGATTCGTGAATGAACACCCTATGGAGTGGATGCAAAACGCATCAACACGCCTTCAGAGGGGACAACAAGGAGTAGAATTTTGACTCTCACTGCTAGCCATCGGAACAATCCATCCTTTCGGGATCTGCACGTGTTCCCTCGATTGTGCTCGCAATGATCCACTAAAGAACATGACAATTGAAATTGTGACACCTGTATGCAGCTAGTCGTATCAGTAGCCGCAGCCCACTGGCCACTTCCACGAGAGCACCCCTTCCAAACATACTTGCTAAGGCGCGCAGCTCTTGCAATTCGCGACCCAGAAATCTGCTGGAAAGCAATGACACTGTCAACATGCTGTCTGCACTGCTTGCACCATCAACCATGAGATGTCCTGCTCAAGTCACACTCTTACTTCCCTGCCTGAACGGCGACGTTCGGCTCATTGTCCAAGAGCCGAACAGTGGCCTCCGCTGGGCTGTTTTAACGGCTGGAGAATGCTTGGAGATTTGCTGGAGACCTGGAGGAAACGGGGGAGAAATGGGGAGAAGGGGCCTGTTAAACTCATCGCGGAGAGTAGAGTGGATCGTCCTTTTGCTCACCTTGTACAGCACGCTGTCAGCCTTTCTCACTATCTCGCGCAAGACTGCTGTCACCACCACGGCCAGGATGGCCGCAGGTGACAAGAAAGGGCGCTCAAACTCGCAACCTCTTTATTTGCTTTTGCTGAGATACTCTGATCAGAAGCAAATTGAACGCCTCTCATTTGCATGGTCAGAGTTTCGCCATCGTGAAGCCTAGATGGGCCGACTTGCCTGCACTGCAAGATGTTTATCATGAGTCATATACTTCTGTTCTGTGTGAGAGGTGAGCCGGCAAACGGCAAAGGCGAAACGTACAGGGAACAGCAACAACACTCTTGAGCAAGTTCAAACATGGTGGCGGGCGCCTGCTGTGGGGAAACATGGCTTTAATAAGAACAGCTGTGGGGATGTTGTGGGGTATGGAGGGTACCGATGCCCTGGACCCGCAGGACCCTCAAGCACTGGCGGAGAGGCGGCCTCCATCAGTGCTGCGCGATGCAGCAAGCAGCGTCGCACGCCTCGAAAAATGTCCAGTAAGTCCAGTGTAACGACTGACTTACACCCGAAGGAATGCACCTTAGAATTCTGTTGACGCGCGCACCTTGGCGCGGGACGCGCGCCACCCGTCCGAAAGTTGACAAGGTCGAATGGCAAAGTGGAAGACAGAGAGAATTTGACTGCAGAGTCCGGATGCTGCCGTGCACTGCGAGGCTGGTTAGTAACTAGTACGTATCCTGGCTTGTGGATATAGACATTTGACAATTCGCGTGTGTTGAGGGGGGGTACAGGGGAAACGAAGGTTGGGTGGACATGGATCACGTGTGTCGGCTGCGGCGCACTCAGCTCATGGCATCTGCTGCCTGCTTTGGCCCCACAAGAAGGGAAGCAACTGCACAGCAACATCTCCTTTTTGCTTGTGATACAAGGCCACCAGAGCTTGTTCGCACAGTTCGGCGAACGGACAAGCACTCGGTGGGGGACATATCTTGAATGACTTTGGGGCTGAGCTGCTTAACGATCTGAGGGTTACGTATCCTTCGCAGAAGTAAAGTTTCAAGCCCCAAGTGAAACCGCGCAGACGCTCCATCGAGCACAAAGCAGAAACACACCACCTTCAAGCACACCAATTTTTTGCCCTAGATTCCCCAGCTTCTAACACCTGATGGCACAAGTCACACGCCCTCTCCAAGGAGAAAACTAGGGACTCTGGCCAACTGGTGCTTAATTACTTATGGCGCGTGCAGCTGTTCTTTGAAAGAACAGTGAAATGTCACCACTGCCAGGCCTCAAGCGACAGCGACCCTTTGCTGTCACCAGTGCAGGTCAGCATGCTGAGCCCAGCGACGCTTCGCGCGCAGCGGCTAGCCTTCGCCATGAGTCCTCCAAGCAGGGGCCAGGTGGCCAGGTGCAATCCGTGAAAACGCGGAAGCTGCTTGCTGCTTGCCGCATGCCGTTTCGCTGAATGTGCGCAGGCGGGCTTCTGCCCGCTGAAGTGAACAGCACACAGCTCAAACCTGCAGCCCAGGTCCTGGCACTGGTACTCATATGGCTGGTGAACGGTACAGATAAGGAAGCATTGACGGATCAACCTGAGGACGATGGCAAGCGGCGACGCAAGCAGGCTTTGGACGTTTTTTGAGAGCTCCGCCGGCTTGTGGAGCCGATTTTGCGTGTCAGAGGAGGCCGTGATAACAGGAACCGGGCATGGGCCTCGGATAGATGCTGAAGTTGAGTGCGGCTGACATAACCACAGCGTCCAGCCTTCCAGCCGCATGTGGTCCACCTTCGGGATGTTGGGCTTTGATCCACCAGTTGCAGCTTTTTAGGCATTCTGAAAGATTGCGGAATCACATCGCTTCTCTGATGTCGCATCATCTGAGCGCGGGTCTAAAGGTACGTCCACCGCCTGAGTTGAACGTACCTGTCAAGGTGTCGTTTACGCTGAAGCTGAAGATGCATTCTTTCACGAAGCAGAGCGAGCAGGAACGAGCAGGCCTTTTCTATGATCTTCTGGACAGAGTCCTTGGAGTGAATGGCCCGGAACTTGGGGTTCTGTTCCATCACCACCTCATCCAAAAAAGACCCTCCAACAAGACTGCTACATGAATGCCACCCTTGCTCTCTCTCTCTCTTTCTCTCTGTCGCGCCTCTGCCAGGTCCTTGACGTCTGGGTCCACGGCGGGCCGGTCCTGGCAGAGGCTTTGCGCTGCTTGCGAAGGCGTCACGTCGCGTTTTCTTGGCGATCTTCTGTTGGCAAAGCGCGCCTCCCCAGCTACAGTCGAGCTGTCCTCAGCACTCAGCACTCTGTTCCCCAAAGGAGGTCAGTCTCTTGCACTGTCCAAGAGAGCCACCCATTCCTTTTGGGCATTCTCCCGGGCTTCTTTATTCCTCCAGCTAAAAGGCGGGCCCTCAAGTGACTCGGTGCCCCTTCCTGTCTCAATTCTGTGCCTCGACCGTCTGCTGGATGCCACGCTGTACTCACTGCGAAGGTCCCCCAACAGGCTCTGCCCATCGACACCGTCCTCCAATGCTAGAATGATTGCAGAGGACCTTACGAGAACAGATGTATGGGTTCAAAGATTGGGCGACGGTTCTGCATTCTGCGAAAGCGAGCACAAAACCAAACAGGACACAGGGACAGGCAGTTGTCTCAAGGCACTTAAGTACACGTTAACTTCAAGTGCCCAGGCTTCCGATATCCGGTCGGAAGGACACCTCGACCATTCAGACATCCGTACACGCAGGTTAGCATCAAACAGTGCTCTAGAAATTTCGCTCTGGGCCCGAAAGGCCCCTGAATCGATCCTGAACCCTAAACTTCCGGGACCAGGGTTCTATTTCTTCTGGAACTTGTGGCCGCGTTGTCCCCAAACCCCAGCCCGAGCCGTCGGCTGCTGTATGCTTGACCTATCTAACCTTCACAGCCAATGCCTGCTGCAAAACCATGCCCCTAGGCCAAGGACCACATGGGATGCAGGCTCAAGGCTCACCATGCCTCCAACTTTGAGCTTCCAGCTGCTGTGCTTTCCTGGCAACGCGAAGGTTGAGGGTTGCTGCTGCTGATGTCGTCGTTGTTGGCACTGTTGCTGTTGTTGATGCGGCTGCTGCTATTCTTATTATTTCTCCGGTCGTTGCGGGTCTTCTTGCTGCCGCCGCCGACGCCGCCGCTGCTGCTGCTTGTCTTATTCTTTTTGGTACGGATGCTGCTGTTGATGCTTTGGTTGTTGCTAGTATGGCTGTTGTGAGTGTTGTTTATGTTCGTGTTGTAACAACACGAACATAAACAACACTAAGTTGTTGTTGGTGGTGATACGTGGTGGTCTTGTTGCTCGTGCTGGTGCTCTTGTCGTTCTTCTTGTTGTTCTTATCGTTGTACTTGTTGTTTGTTTGTTGTTCTTGTTGTTGCGCTCCTGTTCTTGTCCGTGTCCTTGTTGAGCCTTGTTGTTGACTTCCAGAACCTTTCCTCAGAAAAAGAACAACGAACCCTACACCCTACACCCTACACCCATACTTAAGTCCCTGTTTGCCTTGGGCACGGCTTGATGTGGGCGAGTTTCGGTTTCGGCTTCGGGCTTTAGGATTTCAGGTTTTTGGGGTTTAGGGCGTCGAAAAAGCAGATGAAGCTCGAGGCCGAAGACTGACAGCACCACACCGCGCCTCGTACTCATCGTCCACGTCTAGGCTCGCATTGAAGCTTGCAAGGAGCTCATCCTTGAACCTGATCATGGAAACTTACCAAGCGTCGCAGCGCGGACATTCAAGATTACTTGGCCGGAGGACGCTTCTTGCTCTTTCTTCAACTTTCCGGTGCGATCTTTGAGCGCCTTGGCATGGGTCAAGCGTGGTGGTTCCGGCAAGTGCTGATTTTCAAATAACGGAGCACCGCAAGTGGCACGTGAGACCCTTGGCATTGACACAGGGCTCCGGCACCCAAGGCTTGCCGAAACTCCAGATCTCCAACCTTGGCACAGCTGACGCGTGACATGCACGAGCCTGACCAGTTCTCAATAAACGGACCTGCAGTGTCACTCCAAGCTCGTTTCATGCTGTGCAAGGATCTTCAAGATTGCTCTTGAATTTGATCCGGTCGGACAGCTACGTGGCAAGTGCTATCGACATTCCACTGCAGGGCGCCAGCATATTTGTCGAAGTTTAACCCCTCCACGAAGTTAATGAGGTCGTCGGCTTCCTCTTCCTCAAATTTGTCTTTTTCCTGAAGAGCGCTAGGGCCAGGGAAGCTCAGGAAGCTCTGCAGGGGCCACGCATCGACAGCACCTGCGCAGTCATGGCCCAAAGCGGCTTCGCGGCCTGCGCCTGACAAGTGGCCGAGTGAGTCTCTATGACGTTTGCATCGCAGGTGCTTTGAATGAGCTCCACCACATGTGCTCCGCCTTGACGGGAACCTGGCCCGTGTTGCCCTCGACGGCAGCCACAGCGGCATGCGCAATCTGTGAGATTGTGGGCCTGGGGCTGCCAGCGCGTCTCCCTGTCTAGAGTCATTTCAGAGGATCTGTTCGCTCTGCCGAATCCATACAGCACAGGGCCGCGCTGTGCAGCTGCTGCCGCCTTGGCCTGCGCTGGGGACTGAGAAAAAGGGTAGAAAAAAGTGGGGCTTGGTCTTCTTGTTTGACATTCTCGGGTGTTATTTTATGGGTCTCGCCCCCCCCCGAAGGCTTGAGGTTTTCACATTGCCAGGTTCCTCGTCTCGGGGACCCCCTTCTTGATTTCAGGGCTGTTAACTTCATTCTACTTAGCCCGGGCAGCCTCGGCCTTCGGGGGGAGGGGTAGGGTGAGAGTGGTGGGATGCTGGGAACCGCGGGTTATGACGGGACTATAGGTACTGGCGGGAATGGTTGGTAATTGTGGGTAATGGTGGGTATGAGGTAGTGGTGGGGAAGTGGCAGGCGGCGGGAGTGGTATTGTTGGGAATGGTGGGTCGCTGAAGAATCCCGCAGAATCAACATCGAAATCCCGCGCGAGTCCCTCGTCCGGACAGTGGAGAAGAACGAAAATCATCGCCACAATAAGAATTAGTATTATGAGTTGATTTGGCATGCAGACTCTGGAAAAGTCTTTATTATTATTTCTGTGATTTAGGCCGTGATTGGGGCTGTGAGGTGGTGTGTGAATGTTCTGCGATGGATTGCACAAGCTGTGATTTTCCTGTGATGTTCCTGCGATTTTCCTGTGAGTTGCTTGTCGTTGTCCTGTGATTTTCTTGTGATCTCCGTGCGACTTTCCTGTGATTTTCCTGTGAATGTTCTGTCACTGTGATGTTCCTGCGATTGCCCTGTGATTGCTCTGTGATCTTCCTGTGATTTTCATGTGTTTCTTCTGCGTGTTCTATGATTTTTCCTTTGGTTGCGAAAGAGAAGGTGCAACTCCTGTATCACAGCCCGACTCACGGCCCGCCTGGGTCACAGCCCAAATCGCAGCCCAAATCGCAGCGCGAATCACAGCCCAAATCACAGCCCGAATCACAGCCCAAATCACAGCCCGAATCACAGCCCAAATCACAACCGGAAATCACAGGATTTACAAGGGGGAGGGTGCGATTTGGGCTGTGATTCGGGCTGTGATTTGGGCTGTGATTCGGGGCTGTGGTTTGGGCTGCGGTTCGGGCTGTGATTCGGGCTGTGATTCGGGGTTGTGATTCCGAGGCCGCAGCCCAAATCACAGCCCGAATCACAGCCCAAATCACAGCCCGAGTCACAGCCCAAATCACAACCGGAAATCACAGGATTTACAAGGTGGAGGCTGCAATTTGGGCTGTGATTCGGGCTGTGATTTGGGCTGTGATTTGGGGCTGTGGTTGGGGCTGTGGTTTGGGCTGTGATTCGGGCTGTGATTCGGGGTTGTGATTCCGAGGCCGCAGCCCAAATCACAGCCCGAATCACAGCCCAAATCACAGCCCGAGTCACAGCCCAAATCACAACCGGAAATCACAGGATTTACAAGGTGGAGGCTGCAATTTGGGCTGTGATTCGGGCTGTGATTTGGGCTGTGATTTGGGGCTGTGGTTGGGGCTGTGGTTTGGGCTGTGATTCGCGCTGTGATTCGGGGTTGTGATTCCGAGGCCGCAGCCCAAATCACAGCCCGAATCACAGCCCAAATCACAGCCCGAATCACAGCACAACCGGAAATCACAGGATGTACAAGGGGGAGGCTGCGATTTGGGCTGTGATTCGGGCTGTGATTTGGGCTGTGATTTGGGGCTGTGGTTTGGGCTGTGGTTCGGGCTGTGATTCGCGCTGTGATTCGGGCTGTGATTCGGGGCTGCGATTCTCAGGCCGCAGCCTAAATCACAGCCCGAATCACAGCCCAAATCACAACCGGAAATCACAGGATTTACAAGGGGGAGGCTGCGATTTGGGCTGTGATTCGGGCTGTGATTTGGGCTGTGATTCGGGCTGTGATTTGGTCTGTGGTTTGGGCTGTGGTTCGGGCTGTGATTCGGGCTGTGATTCGGGGCTGTGATTCTCAGGCCGCAGCCTAAATCACAGCCCGAATCACAGCCCAAATCACAGCCGGAAATCACAGGACTTGATTTGGGCTGTGACTCGGGCTGTGACGGCTGTGATCCAGGCTATGTACAGTCACAGAAATGGTCTACACAAAACGATCTACAACGTGAAGTCTAGAGTCTAGAGTTTCTGCTGCAGAGAATCACAGGATAATCACAGAATAATCACAGGAGAATCACATGAGAATCACAGGAACATCGCAAGAACGTCACATACAAATTACAGAACAATCACAGCGTAATCACAGAGGGGTCAGCCGCTCACAGAAAAATCGCAAAAGACTTCACAGACTGAATCACACCAAGAATCACTGAAATAAATATTTTATCGTTTCCCAGGATTTGTATGGATCTCAACTCATAAAATTAGTATGCAGCCCAGAGAAGTGGGGCATGTGTCGGGGGGCCAGTCGATGCTGGTCACCAATGCTCTTCTGGTATTCACGTGTTGTGCTCATCAGGCCTCTGCAACCTTGGCCGCTTTTTCAGCTCTGGCCGCAGATTCGTCCTCAAGCCACCGGGATGCTCTCAGTTGCAAAAAAAGAAGGCAACTACCAACCTCCGTGAAGCAGTCAGAAGAGCCTGGGGCCTAGAGAAGCCGACCCCGAGCCGTCCTCTCTTCGTTTGTCGTCGCGCTCTTTCATCATCCCACGCACCGCTTCTCTGTGCCTTGCTTTGAAAGCGCAGGTTGCAAAAAAATTAGGGCCTCTCCTTTTTGAGCAACAAGAGTTCGATTGAGGTATCCATGAGCGCACCTTGATACACAACAACCACCCAAGCGCTGCTGTGGCGAATCCCTTTGTAAGGCATGCCGGCGGTTCTTGTCAAAGGCTGCTTTGAGCTTTATCCTCTTGGTTTCTTCGTCCTGCTCCTCCTGCTCAACCTCCAAGCGCATGAGGAGAAAAAGTCTGCACTCAAGCTCTAACCGCAAACCTCCCCAAACCTCCCCAAACCTCCCCAAACCTCCCCAAACATCCCCAAACATCCCCAAACAGCCCCAAACAGCCCCAAACAGCCCCAAACAGCCCCACCGATCCTGGTGCCGGTCTTCCCTCATCTGTTCTTGCAGCTCTCGGAGCCATCGCCTCGGGAAAACATGCAAATTGGTCGCCCCGTGGGAGTATCTTAAGAAAAGCAGAGCTGAACGCAGTTGAGGTTGAAATTATAGCTTCGGCATCGAGATTTTGTCTCGCTGTATCTGATGCCTGTCCTCTCTGAAGAACGCCCCTGTTGCCACCTTTGGAGACTGCTTGCTAAGCCGGCTTTCTTTTCTATCTGGAGCCGTTGACGTACAAACACACCATGTCTGCATGCTGATTGCTGTGCGGGGGTTGCTGTGGGGGGGGGGGGGGGGGGGAGAGGGGAGGAAACACGCTTGGGGACCCTGTTCAGTGACCGCATCGAGTCACCGACTTGCATCTCAGTTGCAGCAGCAACAGCAGGCTGTTGTCCGATGGCCGTGTGAGAGCCAAACATGCCAAAGCAGCACAAAACTGGCGAGAAGTTACAACAAGGCAAGAGTCCTACCACATGTACTTGCAGTCATTTCCACATGAAAAGTCCCCAACCTTAAAATAATCAAATCATGAAGGGACGGTGCTTGGGCCCCTGAAGACCTCCCACATTCTGTCGCTGACATTCGCTGACCGTACTTGGAAGATCTTGGAAGGCCCCCAGCCCCTGCTCGGCTCACCCTAGATCTTTCTTGGCGCTTGTCTATTGCTTATCGACCCGAATTTGTTTCTTGAGCCCTATGCCGAAAGAACCCGTCTTGGAACTTGCCTCGTTGGTAGTTCGGGCGAAACTGCAATGAGCGAATTCATTTGCGATGGACGATGTACCCTTCGTCAAAAGCTCGATGTCCTTCCGGGTATTTCTTAAATCGCAAACTCAGTGACTTGCTTCTTGGCAGGCACAAAAACCTCAAATTGTGAGTTTAGGTCGTGCCCATGATGCCCACCAATGCTCCTCAGCAGCAAGGTCAGATTTTGGCTTTGCATGAAAGAAGGGGAGGGGGGCAGGGCGGGAGGAAGAGCCGCCCATTAAAGTCTCAGATACTACTCAGTGTGCCGAAGTACCCGACCTTTGCAGTCACTGCATCCCTATAAGTACCAACACGCACGCTAAGCCGGAGAACCCAAACCATAAACTGGGCCCTATACCCCAAACCGGCCTAGGAACCTTCCTTCCTTCATTCATAACCCTCTTGGAAAATCAACCAAATAAGGGCTTGCCAAAGGATTCTCGCAACTTCCGTCCTTCTTTCTGTTTCCTTTCCTTCATCCTTCCTTTGATTCCATTCTTTTCCTGCCTTCCTTTCCTTCCAATAACTATGCCTTCCTTCCGTCCTTTCTTTCCTTCTTCCTTCCACTCCCACTTTTCCTTCCATTCCTTCCATTCCCTTCTCTGGTTTCCTCTCCTTCCTCTGTTCTCGGTGTCCTTCCTTTCCCTCCCCTTGACCTTCACTCCGTCCCTCCCCGCCTTTTTCTGGAAATCTGCACGACTTTCCTTTCTATTTTCCATCCGATATGCAGGAACATCTAGAGGGAATCGATGATTTGGCCTCCTGTACTGGACCGTTGCGGACAGATCACAGTTCAGTAGCTCAGGCCCGCGGCACATGTCTACGGAGAGCAGCACTGGGACCCCGCTTCTTCACGGTCGGCTCGAAGTTCCTCAGATGTCATGGACCAATTTGCCGTTTGTACTACACGAGGAGCTCTTGAACTTTGGTCCAAGCCCTGAGGAGCCTGCCGCAGAGGCGTCAGACCCACCTCCTGATTCGGCGCGACCATGGACCTGACAACCGGTCGTCACCCAAGGAAGGGTTGTCAACTTATATGAAGCCCGAAAAGGTGGAGAAAGGTGGAGAGCATGTGCCGGCCTAAATGGCATGGGATCCTCACCGGCACCAGCCTTCACTTCATCGCTGGGACGATTGCCTCGAAGCCCGTGACAGTGCTTCACAGAAGAGTGCACTCAAGTGCACTCAAGTGCGCTGAGAGCCTCACACAACATCACTCCCTTAAAGTTGCCCAGACCAGAGGGTGGCGGCGGGGCATCCATTGAGGCGCCTTCCAAGTTTCTGCTGGGGGATCAATATCTGCATGGCATTCTCACAGGGCCTGGGCCTGGGCCCTCCATGGCCTCTTGCACAGGGGGCCTGCAATCAGCAAGGGGAATGCACGCAAGAGGGTTCATCCATGCTCGACTATTCGGTGAGCACCAAAACTACGCGAGACGCACACTGTGTCCTATCTCTAACATCACGTCGGTGATGCTAGATCAGCAGGGACGAACAGATACAGTTGCCAGCGTTCCAACTACGCTTGCCTGCTGCCGTCCTGCCGTCTCTCTGAATTCGAACAGGCCAGCAAAGTTCTGCGTCGAGCCGAGCACGCGAACGAAACTGAGCATAACGTGTCGTGGGTGCAGATGTCTGGCCATGCAACCAAAACAAAGCAAGTGCTGCACAACGCTCTTTTGCGAGTGAGACCAAAGCAAAATTCTTGTTACACTGAGGCCGAAATACTTTCAGGCACAGGACGTAGTGCCCAAATTGAGACATGAAATTGTTGTGTTGCAGGACTGTGGAGAACGGCAGAGCCTTCACAACTTAGACCTTGAAGACAATACTAGTATCTATGAAGTCTGCACTAGTATACCATGGATGTGGTGAATGAAACGTCATGCAGATACACCATGATTGTAAGTCTACTTCGAGCCCATCCAGCAGCAGATGCTGGTCAGGCGCAGACTGCACCGGAAGCGGCGCAGCTAACCTACGGAACTTGGCCGAAAAGGCCGGCTCAACATGCATCCGAGCACGTCATGTAACATGTATGTGATACATACATAACCTAAACGCTGCATGTACGTATACGTTTTTGTACATAGACGCCTCTAAATGTACCATGGCTACGTGAAATTCGCTGACACCGCTCGAACGTTGCTCTTTGGGCTTCTTGGGCTCGTTGGGCTCATGGCTCTGGGATGCAGTAGAGGAAAGGCTCAGATGCGCTCACCGCGGGCATAGGCAGCTGCCCCATAGTTGAAGGCGGCTTGGCCTGGATACCTGCAGACCCGAAGACGCAGTTGAAAAAACAAATCATGAACAAGGGTGACTGCAGGGCAGGCAACGTACTAGGACTGCCACCCGCCCTGGACACCTGGCTGCGAGGCTTGTGCCTGAGTTGTACACATTCTTACAAAACAACCACGGCGGCTGTTTTTCTGAGATGAAAATGAACAAGGCCCCTGCATAAGCATTCTGGCCTCGCTGCTGGTCCATGTACCTGTGAAAGCCGAAAACCAACTTAAGGTTGCTCCTTCTTCCTCTTATTATTCTTCTTCTGCTTCTTCTTCTTCTTCTCCTCCTTCTTCTTCTTCTTCTCAGCGCTCTCTTTCTTTGATTCTTTTCTTTCTTTCTTAGAACATCGAAAAAACCCCTGCGCACTCAGCAAAGCGCCCACTGCACCAAGCAATCCCTTCAGGTTTGGTTCCCCCAATGCTGCGCTCGCTCCCTCCTCCCTCCCTCCCTCCCTCCCTCCCTCCCTCAGGACCTAGAACAACATTTGACCCAAAAGTCCTCAAGGTTTGAACCGAGGCAGTCGGCTGGGAACATGTTTGCGCGCATCCTGTATCCTGACTCTCGCCAAGCAGGCTCCATATGGCTCGCAGTCTTCTCTTTGCACGTTCACACTGCGCAGCGCGCACTAACTTCTGGATCTTGAAGCGAGAGCAAAGTGAAGAAGGGAGTAAGTGCTCTCACAGCCAGGATCTGGTTTAGCTCTCCGACAACTCCTTTCAGCATCTGCGCTGTCATGTTTCGAAAGTCGGTCACCCTGAGTCGCTCCTGACTTTGAAAGAGACGTCTGAGACACGGTATGAACAATGAACGAAGCGGCTCCGTGACGGCTCATACGAGCAGGCCAACGAAGGATCGAGGACAGGTCCTTCTTTGTGTCGTGGGTAAGTGATGTTGCGCGTGAGAAACAAGAAGAGGGCAAGCGAAACCCATAGGCCTGCTGCGCACGCAAATCGCCCATGCAAAAAAAACACAGCACGCAGCGAGCTCACTGCGCCCAGTACTGGCGCATGTCCACGCCTTCCTGGAGCAAGGCCGAGCTTCAGAAAAAGAAAGACTCGTTTTTACCTGCCCATGATGACTTGTGACTGTCACTGTTCTTACTGCAGGTGCACTCGTAACCTACGTCAGTGTCCCCAGATGCCCAGTGCTAACTGCAAAGAACTCTCGCATCCCCTTGCTCCTGGCCAGTCATCCCTTGCATCTGCATGCTTCGCTGCTGCTGCTGCTGTTGTTGCTGCTGATGCTGCATCTGCTGCGTCCAGTTCTGGCAGGTGCGACGTGCAAAGCTGATGCAAAGTGTATACCAACTGCCAAATGCCAGCGTAGCACATATCCCACGGTCGCTCAAGGAACAATCTTGCCGGCAGCACTGCGTACATCGCCTGCATCCATTGGCTGTTGCCAGCCGCTGCCCATTGCATCGCTTGCGCCGCTTGCGCTTGCCTCAAGGTATTGTTTGACATGACTTAGCAGAACAAGGCAAGACAAGACAAAGCCTGCAGAGTGCAATGACGGAAAGGCTGATACTGGCGTTGCGGCTGTTGACCCTGAGCGTACCTTACAGCCAGTTTGCAGCATTTCCTCTTTTCCCTGCCATCTCACATGAGGGTGAAGAGTTTGCCATTGGCATTTCAACAGCCTCCTTTTCTAAATTTCAGAAGCCGAAACGCAAGGCATCCGAGATGTCTATTGCAATCGACACGGATTCAGCAACACCCCACGAACAGCATCCCATAGTAGAGTTGGGCGGTGGCCCACATGGTTTCCTTTAAAGCAGAGCTCTTGCACTGAGCATGGTCTTTAGGTTTCCTCTCAGGAGCACCGATGTCCCGTGGAACGTCTCGAGAAATGTCGGTAGCTACACTTGGAACTATGTCTGGGGCGGAGGGGGCTCTGTGACCTCTTCTCGGCAGATCATCCAAACGGGTGCCGCCAGCACACTCAAAGAGAAAGACCACGGTCCGGCATTAGGTTCTTCGCTGGTTCTCTTGTTGATGAGAGTCGCAGGGGATACAATGCGATACGGTGATTGAACAAAAATGAGCAACAACTCCTTCATCCAGATTAGGGTTCTTCGTGGATTTTTCCGCAGGTTTAGATTCTTCGTTTTCCTTTCGTGCAAAGGACTTAGAGTTTGCAGGCGGAGATGCACTTAGCCTTTTTTTATCTGACTCATTCTGACTCCACAACTGTTTCCACAGGGTTTCGCATGGAAATGAACCCCAAAAGCAAACAAATCCTCAGCTGAATCCTGCCTCTGAAGATGCAAATGTCCTATTCAAGGGGGCGGCTCTTTGATCTTAGCTTGTAGTCTCATCTTTAGTCTCATCTTCCCAGTGTGATAAAGCACGTCCGGTCCAGGGGCCGGTAACTGGCAGCACCAGTGCGCACCCTTCTCGGAGGTTCGGGGGGGGGGGGGGGGGCGGGGAGGGTGCCCCTGTGTGAAAAAGTGTTCCGAATGTTCGGAGATACTTTGCGCACTTTCCTTCAAAAGCGTCTCGCATGTGGCGGTCTTCCTTCTGCTAGCCGCTGCTAGCCCGGGTCTTATCACGACTTAGCAAAGCCTTCCGCAAACAAACGAGGCAAATGTTGAGAGTGGTTTGCATTGAATCGCAGCTTCACTGAACACTTTACACACACACACACCCACACACCACCATCATGAGTTTCCGGCGCATCGGCTCCCATGGTCAGGCCAGCTTGCTGCGTCTGCAGAAAGGGCAGCACACCATGAAACATGGCATGACAGTGCTGAGAATACTCGGTGGCACGAGCCCGTCAACACACCTTCTTACCTTACAAAAAAAATGGCACTGCAAAGGCAGCCTGTCGCACTTAGACAGCGGGCTTGACTCTGCACATTGAGAAAGGTCTCTGGCACCTGGGCCCTCGTCCATTGTTCCCGCAACCTCCTCTGCTGCTCTTCAACCTGAGGGGCTTAGAGCTTACGATTTCCGAAGAGGGCTCAGGTTTAAGGCTTTGCAGTCGGGGATTTAGCTCATGCTGCTGGCAGTGCTGGGCCAACTGGCCTGTTCTTTGTACTTGTTCTGGCTCTCTGCCTGACAGGATTTGTAACGTGGCAGTTGCATCCACATCACAAGGCAAATTAGAAGTTCGGGAAACAAAACGGAAATTAACGATATGATCCCCACTTGTCTTGGACAAGAAGGGAAGCCTGAAAGCAAACACATGACCGATGCCACAGAACTGCCAGCTCCGGCACGCACAACATTGAATGATTTCTCATGATGAAGGCTTCAATCGTGCTGCGTTACAAGGAGGGCACAGCCTACAAGAAGGCTTCTCCGGATAAGCAACAATTGCACAAGTACATACACCCGCCTCTTGTTGCCGGCGGAGTTGCCTGTCGCGAGAAGGCCGTGAAGTCGGGAGGGCACACAGGTCGCAAAGCAACTCACTAATGCTGCCGAACCGAAGAACATCGACTTTCCGCAATTCCAGCTACACGGAAACGCAAGCCTCAATTCCGGCTATACTGAATGTACGGAACCGCAAATGTGCCGGGAAGGCTCTTGCTGCTCTTCGTAGCGCCTTCGCCTTAGGATCATCAAAAGGTGGCAAGAACAGCGCGGCACAGGACGGATGAGCTAAGTCATCAACTGTTCCGTCCTCTCTCTGAGCACTTGCTCCTGCTGCCGACGCTCTTGCTCTTCAGCACGAAGCTTCTCCTGAGCTGAGGAGATTCAAACTGCCGTGCAAAGACCGTGCCAAGATTGCACATCGGTTGCCATTGGGTCCTCTTCGGCAGCTTTCCATGAGCCGGTGAGTTCCTTGTGCTTAGTGTCGAAGTACCTCGTGCAGTCGCAGCTTGCTCGAGCAACCCTCCAAACTTCAAGTTCTTGTCAGCAACTAAGAACCACAAAATTGCTTCGAAGCTAAGATCCTTGCTTGGCTATTGTCTGCTCCGACAGCGGGTTCTGCTTCTCGGCCTGTGACTTAAACGTTGAACAATGACGTACTGACATGCTCAAAACCTCTCAAGACATGGCTTTATGGGCGGTGCGCTTGCCATCTCTGGCTTTCCTTGCCTCCCTTGCTGAGCCCGGCCTGTCTACCCCAGGCAACGAACAAGTCGGTCAAGACCTCTTCTTTCGTTTCCTGACAGATTCATCTGTGAATTGCTTATGCTTCATCTCAATCAGCAGTGGGTTCACTTGCCCAAGTCTGAAAGGCCAAACACAACCAACCACATGCTTGTCAACCGGGACAACAGAACGGCTGCATGCCATCATGTTCTCAAACTCCCCCACATTCCTACACAGCGATCGTCCTTGTTCGTGTGAGGCTTGATCTGGACTTTGATGCCATTGATGACGCACTCGTTGCCCTCTTCCACGATCGCCTGCACATGGCATCCACGCGCTCAGTGACACGATCCCTTCATGAGGCTCTGATCTGCTCTGCCTGTCTCACTCTGACGTCTGACATAGAGACCACGGCACAGCCCATCGAACTGTGCTTGCGGACGGTGACAACTTCACCAACCTGCGACAGGAATGCCCAAGATGGCTAAGAAGAACTACCAACGCACCCGAGCTTACTTTCAGGACCTCTCTGGGCACCTGCCTGTTCGACAGCCTGGCGCCGAGGATCATCTGAGCGATCAATCCGCTCTAGGCGCTCCTGGCCACAAGAAACACGATCTTGTCATCACCACTCCGAAACCAAAGCGAAAGGCAGCTGCCTTCTCGCCCTCTGCTCGGTCTCGCTCGCCTGGCAGTGCTGCGATCTGTTGAAAACAAAGCGCATCTTTGCCCTCCTGCCCTCTCTCTCTCTCATGAGTGTGCGCCTTTGCCGCCCTTTTTGCCCCCTTTGCCGCGGCCTGCAGTGATCGTGAAGAACAGCCCCATTCATGGGTTTGATCTTCCTGCGGATCCCTGCTGCCTTTGTCGCCGCGGTCCTGTCTGTCTCCTCTGTCGTCTGCCACGGGCACGGAGCTAGGCGAGGCCTCCAGTCGACGCTGTGAGAGTGATCCATTCTGCTGCAAAGCTCGCACCCTCCCTCAGCATTGGACCGCAACCGGCTGGCTGCCTAAGGCTGCCAGGAGGTCCTGCGCATGCTGAGCTTGCGGCGTGCTGCTGCTGGCGCTGGAGGTTAGGCTTAGGTTGGAGCTCGGGATTCTTGTGGGGTGTAAGGATACCAAGTTGGAGTAGGGCCTGGGTTCTGAGTTCAGGTATCTGGGAAAGATCCCCTGCCATCACACCATCACATGTGGCCAAGTCAAATCAAGCTCTGACCAACTAGTGAACCAATAGCAGGATGCAGTATGATTAACCCATGATCAACCCATGTCGTTTGCTGCGAAATGGAGGAACAGGCACGCTGTTTGGGAATTGGTTGTGCTTGGGGCACCGTACTGCTGTGCTGAGTTCCGCATTCAGGATGAGAAGTTGGATGGGATTGCATGTGTGCACTCCTTGATTCGCTGCAAGCCCCAAAGCCCCCTGAACATTCTCAAACATCCCAAAGCTCATTGAAAACCACTTCATTCCCAACACTCCGGGAGTCTCCTGCTGTGGCGGCAGGGCGTCGATCAGCGGCTTCGTGCTGGGTGGCGCTATGTTTGGCATGGGAGCCTCGCGCATGGTTGCTTTAGGGACGCCATTTAGAGGAAAACCGGGTAGGAAACTGGGTGTCAAGCCGACACTTGTGGAGCTGCCTGAGGCATCGGAGGTGCCTCTGCACGTCTAAGATCACGTTTCCGATGCGCTGACCGTGGAGTGCGGCCGCAACAGCAGAGAGCGCTCGTCACTGGCAGGCCGGTCGAGCTCCCGGCAGGCACCACGGGCGGCGCTGCCGGTGCTGCCAAATGATCGCGCCTCATGTTTACTCCAGAATGTTGCTGCTGGACAAGCGCATGCTCTGGCGTATCTTACATGCGCTGCCAAGTAGGCCAAGGACTCCAGCTCCTCCAATGTCAGTGCGTTCTCTGGCAAGGCCTTCACAGACATCAAATCCATTGAACGGCATGCCGTAACAACTCACGGTACTCGGAAAATCTTGTGCGTCACTTTGTTTCTGGCTTCGACTTGCTTGGCTTCATGTGCGGCTGTCAGCTCCTAGACTTGCAAAAGTGCTGGCTGCTGTTCAGCACTTTGGCGGAGTCGCCTTTTCCGTTGGCGTTGGCGAGAGAAGATGTCAATACTTTAGCTTGGTCAAAAGGGAATCCTTGATGCAAAGGATTTCCTGTACAGAGCGTGGTCTTAAGCACACCGTGTCCAACGGGTTGCTTCGTTGCTTAGTTTGCAGTTGTTTCGTCTTATCCGCTTCAAAATTATGCTTGCTGCACGTCACATATCCGCGCTGTTGCCGCAAGGAGTCCTTGTGCATGTTCAGCTGTTCATGGACGCCTCCCCCTTCCGAATTCCGCCAAAGCAGCAACACCTCCACCCCATAGCCCAAAGCATCCCAAGCCCACACCACTCCAAACCTCAATGCTCCAAACCCTTAAGCCCCAGATCCTTGAACCCATCAAACCCGAGCCTTCGGCATGCCCAACGTCTGTTCGCTCTCCATCAGCCGCTCGTGCACGGGAAGATGGCCCAGGGTCCACTGATCCAGGCCACCCTGAGGGAAGAGCAAGAGTCTGATTCATTGGATCATTGGGTATCATGAGGGGGGCTTCTATGCGAGGCTGCTAGGCCGTGCTAGGCCGTGCTCAAAGGATTTGGGGCGCAGGGCTGAAAAACTCGAGATCTCGAAGGAAGAAGAGCACGGATGGCAATCTCCGCCTGTTCATCCGGCTGCGCGGAAGTGTCCGGCCTCGTGGTCTCGACAGTTTAGGGATGTTTAGGGTGAAGGCATCTTGGGGGCTTTAGCCATCAAGGATGCCCACATGCAGGAGGCGCTACGATGATGCAGACCATACCGGAAGCTGAGACAAGCGCATGTCCCAAAGCACGCCTTCTGCGTCGTCGTCCTGGAGATCAATCAGCCCGCAGGCTGCAGTCTGCATAGTCTGACAAGGGTCTTACTTAAAGAGCGCAACACCAGGCCTCCTCAGCTGGTGAGTCTTTCTTGTCCTTCCACCGACGTAGGATTTCGTGCGAGGCAAAACAACACGCAGCTTTCTTGGCTTTCCATGCGTCATGCCTTGTAGCCCTTCCTGCGGCTGCCAGCCTCATCCAGTGAAGCATCATGCAAGCTTGCTCGTATCAACGTGGCGGCACAGCCTTCTCCCACTGGCCGCCCCACCAGCCATCTTCCTGCGCAACTCCCACACGCGACTGACTTAGACGCACGTGGACTAGTGGACGAGAGACTCTTCCCCCAGTAGCTTGCGGCCTGCCCTTTCGAGTTGCTCCAGTCGTCTTCTCGCCAGGACTCCCACTCCCAGCTCTTGCTATTCTGCGCAGGGCCAGCAACTATACATATATACATATATACATATATACATATATACATATATACATATATACATATATACATATATACATATATACATATATACATATATACATATATGCATAGAAACATATATACATATATACATATATACATATATACATATATACATATATACATATATACATATATACATATATACATATATGCATATATACATATATACATATATACATATATACATATATACATATATACATATATACATATATACATATATACATATATACATATATACATATATACATATATACATATATACATATATACATATATACATATATATATACATATATACATATATACATATATACATATATACATATATACATATATACATATATACATATATACATATATACATATATACATATATACATATATACATATATACATATATACATATATACATATATACATATATATATGCTACCCCCCGCATGTACCCGCGCTTTGTGCTTGAAATTCCGGAAAGATTCCGGAAACCGGGCAGGATTACTTTTAGGATTTAGGGGATCTCCTCTATAGGAATTGAGGAACCCCCCCCTTTAGGGATGAGGGAACACAATTTGGGGACTGAAATTAAGGAAATAAGGTTTAGGGAGTCAGATTTGCGGATCCGGCTCTTCAGGATTTAGCACAGAGAACTTGGGGAAATATAAATGGGTTTGTAAAATGCAAGGGCTTTCCTCTTTTAGGATATGAGGATGCCCCTCCTTAGGGCGTAGGGAATAACATTAAGGGAATATATCTAGGAACAAGATGCCGTGACCCCGCTCTTTTAAATCCGAAAGCAAAAATGACTTTGATTGCCTCATTCTTTTCTCTAATTCTTAAAGAGCGGGACCCCTTAATCTTATTCCCTTATACTTTCTTTCAACTCCTATTCCCGAACCTGAAGAGGGGTCCTTACATCTTAAAAACAGATCCTGTTCCCTCATTCCTTTCCGCTAAGCCCTAAAGGGTGGGATCCCGAAATCTTCTTCCCCACCTTACTCCATGAATATTGTTCCCTAAGTCCTTTCCCCTAAGCCCCAAAGAGGGGTCCGTAAATCTTGAAGAGGAGAGCCCCTGGGAGTGCCCAAATCCTAAAAATGCACGTCTGCAAGCCTAAACCCTAAACCGTTTGCCTAAACCCCTCTAAACCCTAAACTTCAGCCTAAATCCGAAAGCAAGAATGACTTTGATTGCCTCATTCTTTTCTCTAATTCTTAAAATGCGGGACCCCTTAATCTTGTTCCCGTACATTTTCTCTCAAATCCCCTATTCCCCCCTAAAGAGGGGGCTCTTACATCTTAACGACATGTCCTATTGCCCAAGTCCTTTTCGCTAAGATTCAAAACAAGATGAAAAGCATTCAAATGCATTCAAAAAGGGTTCAACTTGAATGGTGCCCGGGAGAACTTGCCCGGGCATCTTGAATCTTAAATCTTGAGTCCAAGAAGCGCATTCTAGTTGAATGCGCTTTGAATGCATTTGAATGCGTTTCACTTGTTTCATCTTGTTTCAGAGCGAAACTTACGTGCTTATGTATACTAAATAAAGTATATTTCGGGCTTGTCTGCTTGTATACGTATTACAGAGTTTGAGGCACTCACCCGATCCCAATAACCCACGCCTTTCTGCAGAAGCTGAGATTCTGGAAAAAGGCGTGGGTACAGGGGGGGTATATGACCCCCTTTCCATGTACCCACGCCCTTCTCCAGAATCTCAGCTTCCGCAGAAAGGCGTGGGTTGTCGGGATCGGAGATTCAAGATTCAAAATGCCCGGGCAAGTTTTCCTGGGCACCTTGAATCTTGAATTTTGAATCCAAAAGCGTATTCAAGTTGAATAGGTTTTGAATCGATTTGAATCGGTTTCATCTTTTCTTCCAAACCGTGCTTGTTCAACATTTCTTACGCATCAGGCCGCTGCATTACATTCAGGTTGAGTCGTTACATCTTGCTACGCTTGAGCGTCTAGCGATTAAGGGAATACGTTAGGTAACCGGGTTCACATTTAAGGATTGGCTCTCCTCTTTAGGGACTAAGGACCACCCGCCGTATGGGTTCTACTTTTGCAAAAGGTTCGGGGGAAGAAGATTAAGGAAATAAGCTTTCGGGAACAGGATCCCACCCCAGCGCTTTTGGATTTGAAGGACATTCAGGCAAGAAGATTTTCAGGATCTAGCGGACTAGTCCCAACATGTAGGGTTTAGGGTTTAGGATTTAGGATTTAGGCTTAAGTTTAGGGTTTAGAGGGTTTAGGCTTGCAGACGTACATCTTTAGGATTTGGGGCTCTCCTCTTTAAGTTTTACGGACCTCTCTTTAGGCCTTAGGGAACAGGACTTAGGGAATAATATTCGGGGAATGAGATGGGGAAGAAGATTTCGGGATCCCACCCGTTAGGACTTAGCGAAAAGGATTTAGGGAATGGGATCTGTTTTTTTAGATGTAAGGGCCCCCTCTTTTGGGTTGGGGAATAGGTTTTGAGAGTAAGTATAAGGGAATAAGATTAAGGGATCTCGCTTCAGGATTTAGAGACCAGAATTAGGCAACAGGGTTCGTTTTTGCTTTCAGATTGAGGGCTCTCCTAGGGGCTCTCCTCATGGTGATTTGAATGATATGAAGGCAAGAAGATGTAGGGAGTAAGATTTAGGGATCCCACTCTTTAGGGCTTTGCCAAAAGAGCTTGGGGAATAGCATTTGTTGAAAACGCTCCTCTTTAAGATTTGAGGACGCCCCTCTGTAGGGAATAGGACTAACCAAGCGAATCACATTAAGGGAATAAGATTTGGGTCCCACCCTTTAGGGTTTCGCGAAAAGGATTTATGGAAAAGGATTTGAAACTAGGATTCCAGATTCCTGAGAACTTAACCATCCTATTACCCAAATTCTCATCACTAAATCCTAAATAGCGGGATCCCTAGATCTTGCTCCCTAGAGCTTATTCCTTTAATGTTATTCCCTAAGCCCTAAGGAAGGGCATCCTTAAATTCTCCCAAAAAGGAGAGCCCTTACATTTTACAAACCATCTTGTTCACCAAGTCCTTTGCGCGAAAACCTAAAGAGCCGGATCCCTTAATAATATTCCCTAAACCGTATTTCCTTAATTTCATTCCCCAAATTGTATTCCCAAACCCCTGAAGTGGGGGGTTTCCTGTAATTAATTCCTATAGAGGAGGGCCCCAAAATCCTTAAAAACCATCCTATTCCCGCAGTCCTTTACGCCAAGCCCTAAAGACCCAGAATTTCCGGTAAAATTTCCGGCAGCTTTGGATTGAAGATTTTCCCTGGCATCTTCAGTCTTCAATCTTCAATCCAAGGCCTTGATGTACGAAGATTTAAAAGTTTTGAAGACGGCGTATACTGTATATGTATGTATACAACGCCAACCCCTTCCGAGTGTGAGGGTTTTTTAAGGGTTCTAAGGCACGATATGCGAGAAATCGCTGCCTAGACGTGGGTTCCTTAGAAAAAGGCGTGGGCACATGGGGGGGAGGGGGGGGGGGGGGGGCAGCATATATATATATATATATATACATATATGTATATATCTATGTAAATGTACATGTCTACGTGTATATACATATATATATATGTATATAGATATGCATATACACACCTTATACATGATTACATATTTCTATCCATATATATTTTTGCGTGTAAGTCGCATACATCAACAGCAAATGGCATTGCGCGACATGCCACACGAGGAGCAGAGAGCTTGGGCGCACCCACGACGTATTGCCGCCGCTCTCCCACCTGAACAATCCGGGTGTTGACCCTGCGTTAATAGGAACAAGCTACGGTCCTCTGAGTCGCTCATGCATGCGCACATCGTAAGCATATATATATATATATATATATGTACGTATGCCACATATGTATATATGCATGTACATATACATATACATATACTACACATACACATACATAAACATATCCGTATACATACACGTTTGTATAATTTGTTCATTGTGTCTTATTTTGCTATCTGCTTACTCTTGTGGCTATATTTTCTATACTTATACTTCTAATACTTATACTTATACTTATACTTATACTTATACTTATACTTATACTTATACTTATACTTATACTTCTGTTTCTACTTATACATGTACTTATACTTATACTTATACCTAAACCTATATCCACACGTATACTTATATAGCTGTACTTATACTAAAAATTCTTCTTTTACAAATATTTGTGGTTACTTTGTCTACACGCATGTTATACATACGCATGGTATATGAGGTGCGCATACCGAAGACGTAAGACAGCTGAGGCAAGCCACCATTGTCCTCCGCCGCCTCCGCCCTTCCAATGCTCCTGATCCTCGCTGCTCTGCCTTCCACGACGGGCGTTACAAGACCGTTTAATTCGAATGTGGCTTTGGGAGTATAATTATCAAGGGACCATGAGGGAGCTTATTAGAAGCTGTCTCGCCCAGGAAAGGGCTGCATATTCGAAGGTTCTCATTGTCGACAATGATCTTACATAACCCCTACTCTCAAGCACGTGAATGCTGACTGGCAGGCTAAGAATCCTCAGAATCCTCACAAACGGCCATGCTGCCTATGCCCAGTTTTCCGCTTGGCTCAGGCGCAGACTTCGTCCCAGCGAAAAGGATAGCCGGATCGGGCGGCAGGGAAGCTGGCGCAGGCTTTAGTGCCAAACACTTGTGGCAAGTTCATTCTGTCAAAATGCGACTCGGCGGCTGCTGAGACTTGCGATGACATCAGCCAGGCCTGGTGGCATTTCGGCTTCGGCACCATTTTTGCCGCCACCTTTGCCTGAATGCTCGAATGTGTAGAGAACTTAGGTCAAAGTCTTGCAACGACAGCCGAGTGCACCGCCACGCTTGGCACCTCGAGTATTATGTGAGGCTGTTCGGGCCAGATTGGTATCAACATGGTTCTGGGACAGGAACGCTCCGCTTCTCGAGCTTCTTTGGCTGCCTTCCTGTCGAAAGCACGGAGGAGTTGCTCACAAGCAATATTGCTCCGATGTTTTCCGGCTTCGTTTGAGCCCCCCTCACCCCCTCCCCCCTCCCCCGTTTTGGCCCTATTTTTGGGCTGCAGCGGCCTCTCAGCTTCGCGGCGCTGCTTCTCCTGCTCTTTCTCGAGGCGCTCCTCGCACAGGTGGCTTCAAGAACAGTCCTGTCACATGCTCACTTTGCACACATTGTTTTGCGGTCTCCTGCTCTTTCTTCTCCTCTTCTTCCTTGAGCTTTCGCTCTTCCTTGACTCCAAGGGGCTGTCTGCAAAACAATCACCGACGCTGCAGGTGCAATCCGTGCCTTCGCTTGCTTCTTATTTTTCACTGTCCCCCACTCTTCTTGCTCGTGATTTGCACGATCCTGCATGACCAGCATCCGATAACGCTGGCTCCCAGGTTGCAGATTCAATCGACGGCCAAGGACAAGGACGACAGACCAAAGCTGCCTATATCGCTCCACACAGTTCTACACAGCCGGCTTAACGACCACGCCTAAATGGAGCTGCCAGTCTATTCATGGCCGGTGTACGGTATACTGCTAGGCGATCCCAAAGCACGAGGAGCTGTTCTCTTCCATGTCTACACAAAGCTTGTCGGTAGCACCTCAACGATGTTGGCCACTGCCATCTGAATTTGATTCCTTAGCGCTTGCTTTTGGAAGAACACTCAAACTTAGCTTGGGTGCAGAGTCTGGCACGCCATTTGCAGCTTGCCTAAGGCAAACACTCGTCGAAATGACACCGCCGAACCAAAGCAGCAATGTCGCTTCGAGAGTACTCGAAAAAGTCGAGCACATCTGTCCTGAGCCCAGGCAGCAAAGCCCTCAGCCAGAGCACTAAAGGGATCGTATGTCAAGATCGAGAAGAAGAGAACCACTACGCCACTATGACAATGACAAATGCACAAATGCAGCACCAGCACTATGGGGGAGTGCAGGCTCATGGACTCCCTTGAGTACGTGGCAGCTGCTGGATATACCTCTCCGTGCGAGGCGAGTACCTAGGACGTAGTGCGCTTCGACATTGCTCGCATGTTCCACAGCCAAAAAGCTGGCACCAACAAAGGCAACTAGGGTGGCAGCGTCTTCTCATCGGCGTCACCCTTTGCAGCGACCTAACTCGATGCCCATTTCGAACATCGCTTCAAGTCACGTCTGAGCCCAACACGGTTTCGAGGACTCGCAGCTGCTGCGCGACACGGACATCGCTGCTTGCAGGCGCCTTGTAACAAAACATACCGCTTAGTAGGGCTGCAACTGCGAGGCTCAAACAGATATGATTGCAAGGTGTGGCCCATCAGATCATCACTAGTACAAGCACGGCCCCGACGGCGGGAGGTGCCCCATTTTCTGCTGGCGGCATCGCCTGAGAGTCACCCGATGTGACACAGCACACCAATGCCAGCAACTGCCCCATCCTACAATCTGGCTGTCAATCTCTTGTAATGGGTACGGGCCTTCTTTTTGGTCACGACCTTTTTAGACATGGCCAGACCTGCGGGTATCATGACAGCTCGGAAGCATTGCAAGCATTGCAAGCTTATCCACATACAGGCGGTGCCTGGGGACAAAGCGCCCCAGGCTTGTGCCCTAGGGGCAAGCCCAAACCTACCAGTTGGGCAACCTTCGAGCCAACTCTTTCGGGTCTTCAAGTTCCCCGGTGCTCCGGTGCTCTCAGTGTGATTCCGGAATGGGAAGCGGGGGAGGGGGGGGAATGAAGGGTACGGACACAGGGACGCAGGGCGCTCTGTTTTGAGGGCGCTGATTCGCTCAGTCGTGCGCTAACGGTTCCTGGACAAGCCTCCAGCCTTTCAAGCTCTATCTGTGAAGGCATCCATTGCGATCGCAGCTATTACAGCTCTCGCGGGGGAGGTGTGGTGCTGCAAGCACCAGTCATTTCTCAGACTTTTCGGCCTGATCAGATTTATCAGACCTTTCTGTCGTCTCGGCTCTGTCGCTTCTTGCACCTGCTCGGCTGCACAGCGCAACCACAACGAGCAACAGCGACACTCGGCGACACTCGTGCCTTGGGCATTTTTTCTTTGCCAACCTGCAGGGCGCCATTGCATCTCACACCGCACTGCTGTACGACGAGATCTCATGCACACCTCGAGTGTCATCCTTGTCCTTCCGTTGCCAGGACCAACCTTTTCACACTGTTAAACAGACTTTTGCAAACATTCATTGACGATCATTCACTGGACACTTGTCCGGTCTGAGTGCAGCGGCTTCGTCCCCGTTTCCAATCATTCCCCCACCAGCCATCACGGCCGCCATCACGGCCGCCGCCATCACCATCGGCCTGCAAGGGGAAGAAAGGGAAGAAAGGGAAGAAAGGGAAGAAAGGGAAGAAAGGGAAGAAAGGGAAGAAAGGGAAGAAAGGGAAGAAAGGGAAGAAAGGGAAGAAAGGGAAGAAAGGGAAGAAAGGGAAGAAAGGTGCCGAGTGCTCTGAGTGCTCTGAGTGCTCTGGTGCAAAGTTGAGATGATACTTGGCCTGGGATTTGTCCCAGTCGCTCCACTTCTTGTTCCAGTCCCAGCGGCCGTTCTGACGGCAGCAGTGGGCTATGCTTACTCTGTTTCAACTGCAGAAGTCAAGACATCAATTGGGAAGCTGGAGATCCTTGCCTGCGGTTTGGCTCCATCATCGCGCCAGGACTGCCAGTCCCAGTTCTTCTGCAACACGGTTGGCATGTGCAGTCTGTGTAGTGCACAGGCATATGAGGAGTAACATGAACTCAGAGAAGTGTATCCAAGGGCGCACCCATCTCTCGCCGGAGCCTTCCCACCTCAGTCACATGCTGCGTTGCACAGAGGAAAACTCGAGACCCCTGCTGCGTTCTTGGAACCGAACCACTGGCCACCTTGCCAGGGCTCTTTTTCCGTCTCTTTCTCCTCTACCTTCTCCGGCTCCGTTTCTTTCTCTTGCTCCTTTTCCGAATCCTTCTCCTTGTCCTTGTCCTTCTCCTGCTCCTTTTCCGGCTCCTTCTCCTTTGGCTTCTCCTCCGTCTTCTCCACCTCCTTCTCCTTGGGCTTTCCCTCCTCCTTGTGGTCACCGTTTTGCCTCGGCCGCAGTGAAACTTGAGTTGCTGGCACAGCCTAGACCTTTTCAGACACTCCAAACGGGTTCAGCTCCACACTCCTCCGGCTTGGCACCCGCAAAGAGGATGGCAGGGTCCGGCGGGAGGGCCGAAGCTGACAAGGACACAGAGGCGAGTGTCTGAGGATCTTCGGGGTGAACATGTGCGAACTGGGCAGACAGGTGCGAGAAGGGCATGAGTAGGAGAAGTCACATTGCTCAAGTAAAGTCCCTGCATCAGCGAAGTCTGCTATACATGCTTTATGCCAACTTGTGGACTCTTGGGCGTGTGCGCGCAGGGAGACAGAACACTCCCCCAGCCTGAAGAGGTATCGTGATGGAAGCCATTCTTGCCAGCCTTGCCTCCTGAGGCAACACTTTCGCTTCGGCAAAATGCTGAACAATCTGAACAGCAGCCTGTCGTTAAGTAGTGCAGCGTGCCTTTACCTCCTGCCTTTGGAGGCGGCTTTGGGGCGGCGGCCGCATTTGCAGCTTCTCGAGCTTTTGCAAGCTCCGCTTCGCGAGCATCAGCAGCAGCTTTCCTGCTTCGTCATTCTTGGACAGCAGCTGCTCAGCTAAACAGCTCGGTAACAGCTCTAATCGGCTAACTGGGATTCTTGATTGGACCTCTCGGCTTCTCGGCGTTTGTTCTCCTCCTCCTTCTGCAGACGCTCCTTGGCATGCCGCGGCTACTACTGCTTTGACCGTCAGCTATGTAAACCGGACATTTGCAAAGAAGACAACAAAGCAGTCCTGCTCTTTCTTCTCCTGCTCTTTCTTCTCCTGCTCTTTTTTCTCCTGCTCCTTTTTCTCTTCCTCCTCCTTGATCTTCCGCTGCTCCTGTGACTCCGCAATGCCTATGACTCCAACTCCCCGCAACATGCCTAGACCTAAACCCTAGCGGCGTAAACCCTTTAGAAAGAGAAGCGGAAAAACGACAGCGTCACAACCGTAAATCCGAAAGAATTCAGGGTCCTGCCCTTCAGGCCCAAAACAAAGTACCAATTATGTCAAAGGTAACTCAGGTACTTACTGGTGCATTTTCTATGAGGGTACCCCCGCAGCCGACCGCCATCGACAACGAGTGCTGACCCAAACTCCACAAGGCTGGGTCTGAGAAATTCCCTTAGACAACCCGGAATAAAGGCCATATCATCGCCGACACCCGACCACTTCAGCCCCCGGATCGAGCGAAACTTTGGGGGCACCAGGCGTGCTCAGGGGCTTTGGTGGCCGAACAGCGTTTTGGGGCCTCTTGGAGGGTTTTGGAAGCAGGGGCCGCGAACCCCCTGGCCCACAAGATAGCTGCAACAAGAAGGATAATTATCTGTGACTCCCCCCCCCCCATACCTCCTTATCAGTCTTCAGGCAGAACAATTTCTGGGTGTTGACATGAACGGGCGAGGCTTTGTGACTTGCAACACACTGATCGCACGATGGGTTTCTTAACGGATTCACATGGCTTTCATGTGGAGCGAAAAAGGCCAAGGCCCTCAAGCTACTGACTGCGATCATTGCTTCCTGAAGCAAGCGAGCACGGCATCGAAAGGATTCACATAGGCTTGTCAGGGGTTTTAGATTGGTGGCATAAGCTGAAGCGTGGCCGAAAGCGGGCAAAACAAGCAGCGCGATGTTCTTGGCAAGCATCAGTATGCCCTGCTCAATGGAAGCACAAAGTGCAAAAGCAAGAAACCCACGACAGAAAAGCAGAAGCAAAAAAGCAAAGTACAAACTGGCAGTGGCAAGCAAAAAGCAGAGAGCAACAAAGAATTCACCAGAAAAGGGGAAAGCAACGCTCGTAAAGCAGCAGTCTTCAGAAGGCAAAGCAAAAAGAAGGAGAAAACGCAAAGAAAAAAACAACACACAAGCAGCCATAGCCCAAAAAAGCAGAACGTAGAGGCCTTCACTTGCTTCTTGTTCTTCACGGTGGACCACTCGTCAGGTTCGAGAGGTGCTCGGTCCTCAGACATACGGCCCTGCAACACGAAGACTTGCCGGCGCATGCAACTTATGACGTTTATCTCGTCCTTGGTCAGGGAGATGAACTGCTCTCTCTTCTCATGCTCCTTCTTCTCCTCCTCCTCCTTGAGTTTTCTCTCCTCCTGCGGACACGACACTCACCCGATTACCGGTCCCTGTTGCTGAGACGCATCACTCTTGTCCCTCACTCACATAGCACAAAACCAAAAACATAACACCGGGGAACAAAGTTAGCAAAGGTCTAGGCTGAGCTGTCGTCCGGCAGGCTATTGCACAGTCTGTTGCCACGTCGCAGCCCACTCTTTAAGTGCAAGTCGGGTTGCCGCGCTTCTGAAGGCTGTGGCATGCTGTGTAGCAACTCTATATCTTGGTATGTGTACAAGTTTGTGCATCTCCAAAATATCTGGCGTGGCCCAGATTGCGAAAGCGCATCATCGCACTATCTGTTTTTTTTAGGAAACCCGGTCATGGAACTCTCATGTGAAGAACCCTGTCAGCAAGCAACAAGCAGCAAGAAGAGGCTCGAGCTCACACGGCATTCATTCCAGACCACAATTCGTCCAGCTGATGGAAAGGCAGCACGCATGGAAAGCCTCAAAGACACCTCAATCAATGACTCGATCAGTTACGAAAAAGATCTTGCATGCCTTTACAAGCAGATGACTACAGCACACTTCAGCACATGTGGATAATTGTTACTATCTTGTAAACGGAAAGGTTTCGTTCTCGACCGCTTTAACTTGGTTGGGTGTTTATGTCCAAACAGCTGAGGCCACATCAACCGAATAAACTCAATGCTGGGCAAATGAGGAAGCTCACAAGGATTCTTGGGATGCGGCGCTCGCAACTTCCACAGCTGTGTAGATTATGGAGGACTCGTACTGATTCGAACTTGCGGTGTAATGCATGCGTGCATGTTAGGACAAGTCGTAGTGGAAGCGCACGTGTGATACCTACCCTGCAGCGTTGAACAGTCGCAGTGTAGGCCCTGGGGTGAGTTGTAAAGAGGGTTTGCGAAAGCACCCGCCTCTCCCACCCGGCGTAATCGCGCTGTTCGGAGGGGGGTCCAGAGGCCCCGTGCGGACATCCAATGCACTCCAGCCAGTGGGACGAGGAAAACGAGAGTCTGCTGTGCCAGTTGCATGTTGTGTTCGGTAGGAGCGAATACTTTCGCATTGATGTGTGTGCGCCTGGCGAGACTTGTTGGGCGACTTCTTCGTAAAGGCCTTAGGGCCATGAAGTTAACTGTTGTGGAGGAATAAGCGACGCCTGCCTGACTGCCCTTTCAGCATTGAAGCTGCCAGGGACAGGTTAGGATCCTTAGCTACGTGGTTCCGAATTTGCTGCTGTTGCTTGAGCAGTCCCTGTCGACTGACCGACGTAGGGTGGGGGGGGGAGGGCTTCTTCGTAGAGGTTGTTGTGACCTTTCGGGCTGCGCAGCGTGTCGCAGCTGAAGGGTCGTGCCCGGTTGTTGTGTTCCACTGCTTGCTCCATTCTTGGCTCCCTTGCTTTAGCGCTGTGCTTGTGTCTGCTGAAACGAGAGGTCTATCACCGGACCACAGCCTTGTCTCAAAAGGCCAGGTTTGGCCGATGAGACTTCACACAGTTTCCTGTGCTCATGTCACTTGTGAAAGCGGCTGATGGTGGGAAACTTGCATCTCTCTGAGCTAAGAACTCGGGTTTAGGGTTGAGGGTCTTGCGGGTGACGTGGAGCGGCGTGGAAAGAGGCCATGCAGCGAAGCTTCCCCCCAAAATGTGGGCCCTTCTCTGGAACCTCCCTGTGTAGCCCCTTGTAACCCAACCCCATTCTCCCAATCGATCTGCGGGGCCCCTGATCGCCTTTAAGAAAACCTGGGCAACAGAGTGTATGCGATACACGGGACCCCTGTGAATCCTTGGCTTGCTTCTTGTTCTTCACAGTGGACCACTCGTCCTGCTCTTGACGTAGGGGCTCCTGGCAGCAAGGCACAGCAGGCATAGCAGGCACGGCAAGGCCGTGCACGGGCTCCGTGGAGTCAGGGCTGTGCTGCGGTCCTGTCTGTGGCCAGGAGCCTCCTCTTTCTTGTCCTCCGCCTCTGCCTCGTCATCTTTTGCTTTCTTCTTCTCCTGAGTCACTTGGCAGCTTGGCAGGCTTCCGAAAGCTTTACAGACAGCTTGATGTGACGCTGTGCTCCATTGTGCTCTCCTTCGTCTGCTTCTTGCGTCCCACGGTCTCCCACTCATCTTGCCCGTGATTGGAACGGTCCTGTACGGCACGCAGGCATGCAACACGTTGCAACGACGCAAGCAACGCTTGACTGCGATTGATCATCTGCCATGAGCTGACACTCTACATCACAACATTCCATGATGCACGTCCAGGCCTCGATAATGTTGGCCACTGCTATCTGGATCTGGTTCCTGAACAACTGGAAGCTCACAAAAGCAAAGCTCTCCAAAGCGCCACGCATTCCCCGCAAACACCACAGACGGGACAAGGCAGGCGCTCGTCGTAGTGACACTTCCGGACCAAAACAGCAATGTCACTGCGGGAGTACTCAAAAAAGTCGAGCACTCCATGCCTGGGCAAATGTTGAAGACGCGGAACGAACCCTATATGCCTTCTGCTTGCAAAACTCTACGCTTCGAAGAGACTTCCCTTCTAGGCTGGGTCTGTCCGAGCAAGGAGGGCATACATGCCATGCTGCATGGTAGCTTTGACTTCTTCTGAACTTTGAACGTTAAGTGCTTCAATTGACCTGAAGTTAGTCGACACCCTGTCTGTCCGGAGCAACAGCTGGGCTTCGGGGATTGATATGCAGTTGGCATGCTTGGCTAGATGTTTTGTGGTCCCTCGATTCGCTAGCTTCTGAACGGGCTTCTCGCTCCCGTCATGGCCAGCAAGAATGAAATCACAGCACGACCAGACTCAGCTTGCGACAGCTGCTGGATGTACCTTTCTGCTCGAGGCGAAAACCTGCATAGTGGGAACAAACGCACCACTGGCACCAGCCTCTTCATGACAGCGGACGAATGAATATACAAGAACCGCCAACAAAGCCCAAGGCTTTTTGTCGTCCACATCGCCTTTTCCAGCTACCTTTGCTGCACGAACTCTGCAGTTGTTTAAAGAGGCACATGGATGTTTACACCTCCAGAATCACTGAAGCAAAGTCAAGCAAAAGGAGTTTCAAGCTCCGGGCGGTCTCAAGCACACGCCTGGGCGCTAAGTTGTGTATTGAACGGACGCCCCGCACAATCTGATGTGTCGGACATCTTTTGCAGGAGGTTGGCAGATAACAGAACTTCTTTAGGCTTGGGCAACTGTTGGGCGACGCGGACATCTTTCGGTGCCTGAGAAAACGCACCGCGAAGAGTGCCGTGCACGCAACTGCCTGCAACTCTCACAAATTTGTTCGGGGGATCAGGGATGCCAGGGGGTCGCTGCTGAGGTCCGAGCAACAGTCGTAGCCCCGTTCTCTGCGGCCGCTCGTGGAGGCTGTGCCTGCAGGTTTTCCTAATTTTCTGTACGCTCCCCATGTGACACAATGCGACACCATCATGTGACACCACCCGAATACACCAGAACGTCAGCAAAGCCTTCTTCTTTGTCACGACCTTCTTCGACATGGTCGGACCTGAACTTGGGAGCGCGCGACGGCGGCTACGCATCTTTCCGCACATCAAGGCACATCGAAGCCAGCAAAACACCCCCCCCCCCTCCAACACCCTCTCAGTCCGAACCTCCTTGGTGGGCAATGCCCCAGGCCTGTGCCCAGGGTCAAGCCCAACCGGCTCGAGCCGCAACTAATTGCATGTCTGGGCCATGTTCGGATGGTTTGGGGAGGGCCATGCCACGGATTCGCAGCTTCGACATATCAATACTCATCAGAGACTCAAAGTAACCATGAGACACCATGGCGTGCACGACCACGGACGCTTTTTTCCACGCTTCAAGCTTGCTCCTGCGAGGAGCTGACGCGGTCTTCGTGCAGAGCCGCACATAGTGCGCTGCAATGGGCTCACTTCAACTGCCCTGCATTAACATGTGTTTACAGCATCAATTGAGCATCGCAGCGTAGTCCACATACTCTTGAAGAGAGACGTCTCCGGACTGATCCTGGGCTCGTGCATACTTTAGAAGGAAAGCGGCACAGAACAATGCAGCTGGAGATATGCAGATTGCATTCTTTGTGCAGATGGTGCGCTTTGTCAGAATCTAGAAAGAACTGGTAAAGCTCCACGTCAGAGATGCCACCCTTGAAGTGTGCACGAACCTGCCGAAGGTGCACTTCCACCTCTGCAGGGTGCAAGGCAACACATTCTGCCTCCTGGGCATCCATCTGGTCGTCCTGTGCCATGCAGTTCTTCACCAACAAGGTCAGCTCAAGGCAAACTCGAGGCACCCCCCCAGATCCTTGTTGAAATCCACATCGACAAAGTCCTGCTTAAACTCTTGCATCTGTGCAGCAGTGACCTCAGTTTGCACATTTCATTGAAGCACAGCACGCTTCGTCGTCTTTGCTGTGGGTGAGCTCAAGACCGGCTTTGGCGTGCTCAGCTCCAGATTTTGTATGTGTGGTGGAATTTGGATCCTTGGCGAATCGACCCAATCACGCGCCTTTCCGTGAGAATCCATAGCAACACGAGGCAACGCGCGCGAACGCCACGACACCGGGATCACGGCAAAGGTTCCGCCTTGACGGAGAGCGAAGCCAAGCTCGCCAGGAGCTTGAGGCCTGAAACACAATCAGCAAGCCGTTGAATATTTGGATATGAAGGATCGATAGAGCTAAGGATGATAGAAAGAGGCAAGGATGCTTAAGGCTTTAGAAGGGTTTCGGACTCTGGGGCTGGAGGATTTCAGTTGCCATGAATGCCAGGCACCTCGTGATAGCATGCCTCCAGCAGGTGTGAGAACCAGTCTCTAGCTGACTCTAGCTAATGTGGTGAATGGCTACATGGGCTGCATCTGTACTACATCTATTCTCGGACTTTTGTTCAGGGCAAGAAGTGGCTGATGCTGTTGCGGCGCTTTTGTTGTGCTTCAGGCTGAGGCATGAGCGCGTTCTCCTCTTGAGGTTAGGAACGCCGAAGGAGGAAGCAGAACAGCGTTCACAACATTTCACAACAATCAATGCCCTTTCCTCTTGCAGGGCCCATTTCTTTTTGGCAGCACCACACACTGGCACAATTGCCTCATGTCACACGAAGGCTCTCATCTACAGCTGCTGGAATCACGACAAACCGTGGGCAGCAGTGAGCTGCAGCTGGCAGTGAGCGCTGCCGGCCTCAACAAATGGCATCTCACTGAGCGACTGAGCGCTGAGACTCTGAGCCGGCCTTGGCCTTGGGCCTTAAAAAGAGGTGAACCCTCTGCAGCCAGCATCCACGATACTGTTCCCGTATGAGCTGGGCAGAGATGGGTCACGCTTGTGCAATGCGCCCCATCACCATGGGGAAGCACAGTAGCTGAAGGAGGTGCTAGGATTTCGAACCTTTCTTTGCCCGGAGCGAAGTCGAGGTTTGCTTCGAATGTCTAACCGGTACTAATCGGTGTTTACTGACCCTGCAAGAAGTAGCATCGCAGAGAACCAACTATTCTCCAAGCTTGCGCCCTCACGGGCACTCAGAATGGTCTGGAATCTAAACTTAAACGATATTTTGGATGAATTGGTAGAAACAGCTGTGAAACTCAAGCGCTAGGGACGCCTTTCCTCCCGACCTCGGAAACTCACGCACGCGACGCTCTGTCATGTCACTCTCTCGCTCGCTCGCTCGCGCCCTTTTTAGGTGGATGTCCGTGGGGTTTACTGCCTAGGCAGCCAAGGGCCGGATCCCCACCGGAGGTCCGAGAAGCAGGCTTATCTTGAAGATGGTCTCCCAGGCCTACAAACGGACAGAGTGAAGCTGCAAAGCGGAAAAGCGGGGGCAAGACGTCTTCTTTGGCCCCTGGCCCACTGGCCATCAGGGCATCCTCAGCATCCTCGTTCCCATCAGTGAGTGGGTTGAGGAGTTCCTGCACCACAATCAGGTAAAGCATAGTACAGCAAATGGGATCGAGGTGTGAAGCAGCGTCCTTCATCTTCTCCTCGATGCTCTGCAAGGGGGACCTGATCTTCAGGCTGCTCAGCATTGCCTCTTTTGCATTGCTTCACCCCTTGCAGACCTCTGTAGATATAGCATCAGTTATCCTACGTCTGAACTAGGTTTTCTTGGCGCTTCGGGGTGAAGTCTGAAGAATGTGCTATGTGAACTTCAGTGTGAACCATGGGAGCCGGGGGCCCGTCTCCGGAGGCCGCGCATCAGCGGCAGCTCGTGCCAAAGCATCGGTGCAGTCCTGCGTTGACCTCTCGTAGAGCACGGTTCCGCGCGAAATGGTGCAAGACAAGTGCAAGGCAGACTCTCTCAGTCTCAAGGCGCAGGAAGGGAAAGGCCCTGACTGTGTGCCGTAGCTCTTCACGAAATATTCCATGATATTCGTGAGCCCGGGCACCTGCTACGCGGTGATGACACTGAAGTTAAAACCAGTCTGCCATCGGGCCTTTGGCAACTTGATGCCAACTTCTACATAATTTGACGAGAGGATCTTGTCGCCATCCCAACCTCAGAGATGCGCAATGCACGCCCTGCACACCGCATAACTCCACCTGGAAAATCAGGCCGCCGCCCACTGTGGCCCTTGTCCAACCAGCGGCGGAGATGGTGAGCCTGAGGCAATGCGAGTTGAAAACAACGAGCATGTGGAGAGGTTGCTGAGGCGGGGGCGTGGATCGAAATGGAAATCCCAACTGCAGTGTGAAAATGTTTTCACCGTTCTGGAGCACCAGGTCTCCTTCTATCCGATCCTGTGACAGACTGCCCGCAAACAACGAGCTAAGCGAAGCAGTTGCAAAGGGCTGCAGCAGTCCTTGTACGAGCCTTTGCCCCCATCTCTCCCGGACGTATTTCGGAGGGTCGTCAGAAATCTTGGGGCCTTGGACGATTCACTCAGCGCGGCTTAACTGTCCTCTGCGTGGCCTGCTGGGGTCTTGGCAGGGATGGAGATGGTGCTCCCCATGACCTCGTAGAGCACTGGCCTGGAACGGAGCCGGCGCATGGGGCTCATGTCCGCAGGTCTCTGCGCAGAGGTCCGGGCGGCAACGAGAGCATGTACAGATTTCTCGACCTAAGTGCCGCTTTCCCCAGCGGCGCGCGCGCATGCGCGTGAGTGTGCGTGAGTGCGCACGAGTGTCAAGTCGCCCTTAGGCCCTTGGGGGCGGCGCTCATCGACCACCTCCACCTACACGTCAAACGATGTCAAATTTCACAAGCGGCGCTGACAGCCGGAGACTCAGAAACTCAGAAACGCAGAGACTCAGAGGCTCAGAGGCTCAGAAACTCAGAGGCTCAGAGGCTCAGAGACTCAGAGACACAGAGACACAGAGGTACAGAAACTGCGACTGGCCTCCCATCCTTCTTGGGCCATTGCCTCGCAAGGAAGGCCATGGGCCGTGCGAACTTGAACGTCGCCATACCGCTCTGCACACGTCCGCACGCGTCTGCACCCCTCTGCACAGACGGCTCTCCTCTAGGATTTGGCGGTCGGAGCCGGCCATCAGGTTCGCGGCGCCCTGCAAAGGAACAGAACATTCATCCGCGCAGTTTCTCGTTGATCCGGCCTCTGCTCCAAGGCCCTCCACGCGTCTTTTCTTGGGATCGATCTTGACAGTGACTACGAGGTTGGCCTCCTCCATTCCGGGCCTGAGCTTGGACGGGCGATGGGGGCATGGACTCTGGCTAAAACATTCATCAGGGACGGCAAATCTCTAGTTAGAAAGCCCGAGGGAGGCGAACACCCAGCTTGTAGTCATGGCGCACCCTTCCTTCTTCTGCGGGGCACGAGGACCGGGGCACTCTTTCTGTATTTCTTGTTTCTTTCATTTGTATTTCTGTCTTTCTTGGAGCCCTCTCTTCTGTTGGGCTTCATGGGAAACCCCTTCGCGCACATAGGAGCGCGTCTCGCGGTCGGTGTGAGATTTGCTCATCCAAAACTCGGTTGCCTTGGGTCAGGATCAGAGCCTAGATCTCCCAAGCAAATAACCACGCACTACTTGTTCCACACCCTCGCTCTGTGTGCACGCGTTGGCGTATGCAGGTTGAGTTTCGCACTTGTTTGTTCTTCTTCCCGTCCACTCCCAGGAAATGTAGGTAGTCGCGGAGAAAACGTGCAACCGAAGGCATTCCTACTTCGGCGCTGTGCATAATTTCAGACCCGCCCGTGAGGGGCCCACCACTACTGCATTTTCGTTCACAAATCGGCAACCCAAAATTACAACATCTCTTTGGTCTGAGAAACACTGGGGCCGGGGGGAGGGACGATGGGAGAGGGTGGGTAGGGGTGGTTGGGGGGAATCACCCCCCCCTGCAAGTAGAAAAGTCTTGGCGGGTTGGCACAGAGACCTCATCAAGGATAAAATCACATGCCCCTTTTTCAAATTCGTCACAGATGCTGTACATTCTCTCAAAAAAAATAGCTGGCAGGTACGTCGACGCGCGTCCACATCGATTTCAGGACTACACTCTGACCCTCGTCACTAACAGTCAGAGTGAATGGCTGGCCCTCACTGCACGCTGCCACATTCTGAAGCTTGAAACTTTTAACGTGCAAGCCGGTCAGACTTCACATGAAGCAGGGCTTATATGGGTTTATATCTCTGTTATTGGTGGGTGTATATAAGGTTCCTTTTAATATTGGTGAGTGTATATACCTGGTGTCCTTTTGGGGGCACAAGAAATATATACCCTACTTCACATCTTTTTCATCGCCGCAGTCTAACCCGCCTATTGTGCAAAATTTGGCGTAACAAGCTGGCGTTGCTTTCTCATGGATACACTCAGCTGCCAATCTCACCGAGGCATCATGGCGTAACAAGCTGGCGTTGCTTTCTCATGGATACACTCAGCTGCCAATCTCACCGAAGCATCACAAAACAAGCGTAACAAGACGGCATACTTTTTAATCATGAAAAAAATAACAATCCTGCAAAAAGCTATAGCCTAAACACGCTCTACTCAAAAACCTGTCAAGCGCCAAAGCCTTGGGCCCTAACACTTGATGGCTCACACCCCAGACTTTCAAATCCCCATCCCTAATGGCTAAAACCGTACGAAAACCCCTAATCCCTAAGCGTACACCCCAATCTGAATTCCTAAGCCCATTCAATCAGCCCGGGCTCCTGCCACTAAACTCGAGTGCCAAGATCGTTCACCCTGCTAAGCCTACACCATACTGTTTCATGTCTCAAAGCACATGAGACGTCGATGTTGGGCAAACATGACAGAAAGCACGGGACAATATAGAAAGGCAAGGCCAGCGCCACGGAGGGGTGTAGGCACGGGCGCGCGCGCGCGTTTTGATTTTCTCCAAAATCAGAGGGCCCAGATAGATGGCAAAAATTCCAAGCCCGGCCACCGGACTGAGCTTAGAGCCTTCCAGAAAAAGGCACGGGAGGTCTGAGTTGTTTGTGTCTTTCTTTACCTTTTTGTTGACGTGTTTGTGTTGTTTTGCTTCTCTGGTGTGTTTTAAGGCGAGTGTGTTTCTATGTTTGTGTTTTTTGTGGTGGTCTGTTGTTTTTTTTGTGCCTTTTTTGTGATGTGTCTTCTCCAGGACAAACTTAGCTGCTCATCTCACCCAGGCCACAAAATAGGCGTACCGAAATGGAGCTGTTTTATCATGGAAAAAACTTTAACACTGCCGCTTCTCATCTCACTCAAGAGCCCATGCTGGACAAACCACAAACAAGCCACGGCAACTGACACCCACTACGACGACGACGACGACGACGACGACGACGACGACGACGACGACGACGACGACGACGACGACGACGACGACGACGACGGCTACTTCTGCTTCGAAGGCCGGGGGGTGTGGGGGGTGGACACCACCATTGACCTCGGGGGCGGGGTAAAAGAAAGAAGGGGAGTGCCTGACCATTACTTTCTCAAGTGCATCCTGCAACACCCCCCCCCCCCCCTCAACCTGAACGACCGCATGTAAAGTACATCCGAAAGCTCATGGGCACTCTCTCTGTCTCTCTCGAAATCTTGAGCACGAGGTTCATGCACCTCATCGTCATCTGGGTTGCAGGCGCAACCGGAGGAGGCAACTCCTCGTACGAAGGAGGCTGCCTCTGTCAGGGCCCGGTGGAACATGGGAATAAAGGGTTCCCGAGCCATCCAAAGAACCGGCCGAGCTGAGACCGCCACTCCTCAGGGGGCGCCGGCTCAGCTTCAGTCTGCAACGGCTGAGCTAACTCAGCCTGCACAGATCACGGTTTGTGTCCTGTCCATGTCTTCCCAGCTCTTTCGTCCCCCCAAATCTTTTCCGAAGCCTCGACTGGAATGTCATCCTCGTCCGTCTGCGGCCTGAGTTACCGGATTCTCCATGCTTCTCCACTCTTCCAGGAGTGTGGCAGTCAGTAGGAGCAGACGAGTCAAGCTCCCAGCTCACGCTCGGCCGCCTCAGTCTCTTCTGCTTCTGGCTCCGTCAGAGGGGTGAAGAACTCCTGTCACTGGGCCACTGGAACTTGGAGCACTCGGCTGATGGGTCTGATCGAAAACATCAACTTGCTTTGGTTGAGTTGAAGCGCATGGTGCAACCTGCAGAAACAGCAAAGGTCCTTCACCTTCTCTTCGACGATTTGCAAGGGTGTCCTGAAAAAAGTGCGTCTAATGCGATCCGAGCTGGAACTGAGAGGTCGCGCTGAGGCGCCGTCTCTGGAGGCCTCGCAACCTCTGCAGCTCGTGCGAGCGCATCTGTGCAGTCCTGCGTGGACCTCATCTGAAGCTGAACCAAGCAAAGCCGGACTAAGCTTGGCTTAGCTGGCTCAGGATACCTCAGGATCATGCTGCGTCCCGTAACTCTTTACAAAGAATTCCATGATGTTCGAGAGGCCAGGCACCTGACAAAGACCGAATGTTCACAGAGTAAGTCATGCAAGGACACAACCAGCGCCTTCGGTAGCTTGATGCCAACCTCGACATAGTTGGTAGCGACGATTTCGTCGCCCTTCCAGCCTTGGACGTGATGCACCGAAAGCAGATGATTCCGAGCTGGCTTCATGCCCTCATGTAGTACATGGGTGATTGGATTGTATCCCGATGCAAGTCGAGATCACTGCTGATTTGGGCCCTCGTCCAACCAGCTGCTGAAATCGTGAGCCTTGGGGAGCTGCGCATGTTCCCTTCTGCACACCAGTGCGTGACACCAGCAGAAGCTCAGCTCCGTTCGTGCTTCGGAAAGGGAAACCTAGCTGAAGGGTGAAGATGCCCTCGCCGTTCTGCAAAACAAGGTCTCCCTCCAATCTGCCCTGCTCGCGGGGGCATCTTTGGAAAAAATAGCCATGGCAAAACATGCAAAGAGCGCGATTTGCCAAGCGAGTGGGCTTAAGGCCCTGTGGCCTCGTAGGCGCCGGAGGTCACTTGGCCGCGCAGGTTGCGCAGCTGCGTTAAAAACTTGGGGGCCTCAGCATGGTCCAAAATGGAGACGATGTGGGAGATGGAGAACGAAAAGGGAGCAACAACCTTTAGGAGAGACGCAAAGAAAAAAGAGAGCGGGACGGAAGCAAGAAGACAAGGAGGGCGAGAGATAGTGAGTAGTGAGCCGAGAGCGAGGTTTTAAGCGACAGAACGAGCGAGAGAGAGAGAGAGAAAGAGAGCTGGAGAGAGAGAGAGAGAGAAAGAAAGAGAGAGATAGAGAGAGTTAAAATGGAGAGTGAAATAGACCACCCAACAGCACAAATGAGAGTTGGGGTCACCCAGCGGACACTCGTGAGCGGCTTGTGCTTCGTGTCTGGTTGGAACAATGTCTCACGTGATCCTCCCACTTTGTGCGACGTCGACACCCCAGATGAACGACATTCTGTAAATCTTAAAATGCAAACCCCTGGTGCACACGCTTTGCCGGCTTGGGTAGCACACCTGCCGAGCGTTGCCGAGAGCTGTTCTGTGGATTTGCTTCACGAGGTGTTGTTACAGTTGGGAGTGACAAGCTTTTGCGATAGCCCCGTCTGCTCTTAGCTTACCTTGACGATCCATGCTTGAGTACCGCAGCAGGCCACGACCACTGAAGTTTAGTGGCTTAGTGCTTTACTCCACTTCGGGTTCAGGCAACCCTGTTGTGCACTGCGTCCTTGTACGACTCGAGTTTTGGGCTTTCGGGCTGTTCGACTTCAGACAATGAAACTGGGCACCCCCAATCACTCTACAAATCCCACACAACAGACCCATCAAGTGAGTCTTTGGAACGTGGGCCTGGGTCTGTCTGCGTAGACGCTCATTACTAGATCTTCGCCTTGCTTTGGGAGCCGAAATTTCAGAGAGCTGCCGCATGAACGGATTCCCCTGGCGACGCATATTGCAACGGTTGCTGCCTTGCGACACCGACTTTCTGTACCAATCTTCTTGCTCCTGTATTGTGAAGCTCTTCTCTATGCCAGTTTTCGGTCGCCAATGCTTCACATGAAACCCCAGGCCGGGGAGGTCACTGGGAACATTCGCGATAGGGAGTCGTTCGGCCGCGGAGGCTCCGGCCACGGTACTTGTGATGCCGAAGGTTCGGGGCCCCATGGCGATGCAGGCTTTGCAACACGGCGCTTGGTCTCGCCACGAATGCCTCGGTCCGTGACTTTGGTACAATACGATAAGACGTATCGGCAAGTTGCCCGACAGGAGCCGGGAACACGGAGAGCTTATTCTGACCGAGCGAGAGAGTGACAGCGAGAGCGCGAGGGAGACCCACAGAGACGGAGAGTGAGAGCGAATATGAAGGTGAGAAATGGAAAGAATGGAGAGCAGGTTAAATAAGTAGAGGCAGGGCAATGTCGAGAGCTTCCCGAGCTTCCAGTGCTTCAAGCAGCTTCGGGCACCACACCTCGCATTGCTCGCATGTGACATCCTTCTCTGGGGTCTTGGCGGGGATGGAGATGGTGCTCCCCATGACCTCGTAGAGCACCGGCCTGGAACGGAGCCGGCGCATGGGGCTCATGTCCGCAGATCTCTCCGCAGAGGTCCGGGCGGCAACGAGAGCATGTACAGATTTCTCGACCTAAGTGCCGCATTCCCCGGGGGGACGTGCGGCAGTGCGCTCGAGTGCGCGCGAGTCTCAAGTCGCCCTTAGGCCCTTGGGGGCGGCGCTCATCCACCACCTCCACCTACGCGTTAAACGACGTCAACTTTCACAGGCGGACTCAGAGACACAGAGGCACAGAAACTGCGACTGGCCTCCCATCCTTCTTGGGCCATTGCCTCGCAAGGAAGGCCATGGGCCATGCGAACTTGAACGTCGCCATACCGCTCTGCACACGTCCGCAAGCGTCTGCACCCCTCTGCACAGACGGCTCTCCTCTAGGATTTGGCGGTCGGAGCCGGCCATCAGGTTCGCGGCGCCCTGCAGAGGGGGGGATGAAGAAAGCTCGGGAACGTCACGCGGAGACTGTTCGCGGCAAGTGACTTGTGGCTTCTCGCCTCTGCTCCTGCTTTCTGGACTTTCTGCTTCTTTGGCTCGATGTCCACGGAGACGACGAGGTTCGCCTCCTCCATTCCAGGCCTTGGACTCCAGTCCAGGTGATGATTGGCGAGGCGACATGTCACTCAAGGACGTGCCACTGAGGTGACTGACACTTCGGGCGGTGGCTGCACAGCAACCTCTGCAACAGACCTCGATTTTGTGGTCATGAGGGCAGTACGGACAACCCAGCCGAAAGTCCGAAAATCAGATGAAACAAATTAGTCTCAAGCTCTTGCTCTGAGTTGTCCTGCTCCACATCCACAGCCTGTCATGCGCGCTGAGCCTTTCTTCTCCAACCAGCTTGATGCGTATCACAGCGATGCAGCGTGGATGCAAAAGCACACAGCGAGCACAGCAGCCGTTTGTCAGCTCTGGCTTACGATGCGCTACAGCTGCAGCAGCAGCAGCAGCAGCAGCAGCAGCAGCAGCAGCAGCAGCAGCAGCAGCAGCAGCAGCAGCAGCAGCGGCTCCAAGCTTCAATCAATCGGGGCATTGCACTCAGAGGCATTCAACGCATCAATTCTTAGAGAAGCTGTCAAGCGTATTTCGCTATCCGAAAAGGGGTCCAACACATCTTTAAAACTTTGATCAAACCCGACATATGAACGCTTGCCTCCAGCACCTCGAAGGCCTGCAAGCCCCAAAAGGGCCCACCGCACACGTCGCACTGCTTTCAGAGCCAAAAGCCCGGGCACCCCGCCTCCTGGGTGGGTTCTTCCTCTGCCGGCTCCTCTCTGGGCTCAACTGTTTCCTCCTCTTGCCTCGAGGCATCTTTAACATCTTAAAGATTCATAAGTCATGAGGGTCAAAGGCTTTGGATGATTTCGCAGTGGCCTTCAGAGTCCCTATGCGCTTAAGAGGCTCTCGCCTGGGCCTCGCTTCTTGCACATCCTGCTCCGGCTCTGGAGCCTCCTTTTCCGCTTTCTCCGCGTCTGCCTGAGCAACACTCGCCCCCCCAAGTAAATCCGAAATAATTCCCCTCATTTCCCCTCCCTACACCGAGGCTTCTGCCATGCCCAAGGCCGCTTGCGCCGACTGCCACCAGTCTTCGGAGTCCTTGCCGTGCAGCAAGATGCACGGCCCGCACGGCCCCCAAGCACACTAGAACACCCCAAAGCTCAACTGTTCATGAACCCACTCAAATGTGAAGGAGTTGGCAACTTCCCGTGATCTCACTTCTGATTCCCCCCGAAAACAACAGAAGCGAAATTCAAAAACAACGGCCACTTGAAGTCCAGGCAAGTAAGCCTTGCCAACACCAACGCGTGTTCGCGCCTCCTCCTCCTCCTTCTCCGGAGACTCCGCATCCTCGGAACCTGGGAAAAAAAGCGGGTCATCAGCCCGGTGATTCTCTTGGGGTTTCGGTTTCCCTTGAGGTGGGATGTCACTGGGGCTTAGCTAGCCTAGGGCAAAGGCGGCTTCCGGTGCCAAGGACCGCTGCAACCACCGAAGTCTTGACGGACGCGAGGACGTTGAGGAGACCTACTGAGAAAAAAACAGGAGATATAGAATTAATTGCATTCATATGTAGATATATATATATATATATGCTACCCCCCCTCAGCGACCTACCCTTTTTAGGCCTTTTTTACAAAAAAAGAATAACGAAGGCACAAAAGTGGCGTAGTTAATCACCGGGTAATGAAGGACATCTATTCGGACACCCACCTCGCAGTCCCCGATAAGCCAGCATTGGATTAATCTATATTTTGAATCTGAAGCGGACAATGCTGTTTTTAGGTTTTTAGATCTTTGGTTTTTTCTAGGCAAATTGTGCGTTTAACGGGCAAATAATGTTTTGTTGAGCAACTGATATATATATATATATATATATACAGTTGTGTTTGTACTAGGCAAAGAATTAATCAAATACTATCTGACAAGTCCACTGAAATACCTTATGTTTACATATTCATGAAACATTGTGCTTATTATTGTATGCGAATTTAACTCCTGGAGTATCAAGTACATAGCCCAATCTGACTCAAGCGAATACTATTCAAAATACCATACTCAACTAATATATGAAATAAACACGAACGGCAACGGAAGCGATTCTACTTAAATAACAATGTAAAAGACTTCTCAGGTACTAAATAAGACCACTTATATACCTTCCTAGAAAAGTAGTTAGTAAAGGCCATAGCACAAGAATACTGCTTTGTGCATAAGAATTTTGTTCTAGGCAAAGTATAAACCAAATACTATCTGAATACACTGTAGTAACTTATGTTTACATATTCATGAAATATTTGTTGTTTTGAAATCATCATTCTATGCGATTTTTCTACTAGAGTAAGTATTGAGTAAATAGCCCAATCTGACTCAAATGAACACTATTTAAAATACCATACCCAACCAACATGTGAAACAAAAACTAATGGAAATAGAACACTATTCAAAATACCATACCCAACTGAAATATGCAATAAACACGAATGGAAATAGAAGCGGTTCTACTTACATAACAATGTAAAAGACTTCTCAAGTACTAAATAAAAACCACTTATATGCCTTCCTAGAAATATAGTTAGTAAAGGCCAATGCTGCTTTGTACATAAATAGAATGTGTGCTAGGCAAAGTATTAATCAAATACTATTTGAAAAGTTCACTGAAATATCTTATGTTTACATATTCATGAAATAGCGCCCAACTTGACTCAAGTGACTACTATTTAAAGGACCGTACTCAACCAAAATACGAAATAAACACTAACAGCAATAGAAGCTATTCTACTTGCATAACAATGAAATCTTTGTTTCTGAAGCATTTCATTAAGACCACTTATATACTATGTCCGAAAGGCGCAACTTGCAGAAATAAGCTTGAAAATGCACAATCTTCCTAGAAAAGTACTTAGTGAAGGCCATGCACAAGCAAAATCGCAAGTACAAAAACACACTTAAAAATGCGTAGTTATTGCCACGTAAAGGCGAACCAAAAAACCAAAATACCAAAACCAAAAAACCAAAAAAAACAAAAATAACACAACCAAAAAAAAACAAAAAAAAACCAAACGAACCAAATAAAACAATTTTCCGGAACTCTTGGAGAAGCCTCGTAGGGATTCCTGAGAGTTCCGGAAAATTGGTTTTTTTTTGTTTTTTTTGGTGTTTTTTTGTTTTTTTTGGTTTTTTGGTTTTTTTGGTTTTTTTGGTTTTGGTTTTTTTGGTTTTTTGGTTTTGGTTTTTTTGGTTTTTCTGGTTTGGTGCTTTTGGTTTTTAATTGCCTGTGTATTCGGATTTTAGTTTCAGTTTACTCTACGCCCTAAGAAACACGCTATATTGCACACCGAGTTTGCTTGCAGTGCAGCTGGATGACTTAAGACAAGGCGAAAAAGGGTAGGTCACTGGGGGGGGTACCATATATATATATATATATATATACATGTATACATGTGTACATGGTTCGGGCTCTCGGTTCGCCAGGCCCCCCCAACCCCCATGGTATTCCCCCCCTCCCCTAAACCCGAAAACACCCTCCCCTAACCCTAAACCTTCAACCGTACACCCTAAACCCTAGACATCACCACCGGGGTGGTGCAGGGGCCGGGGGGGGAGGGGAGGCCTAAACCCTAAAACTGAAACCATTGAAACACCCTCCCCTAAACCTTAAACATCCAACCGTACACCCTAAACCCTAGACATCAAATCTTCCGACCACACCACCGGGGTGGTGCAGGGGCGGGAGGCCTAAACCCTAAACCTGAAGCCATAAACCCGAAACCTTCGACACTGGGTGGGGAAGGGGGGGTGGGAAAGGGGAAGGGCGGGCAAGGGGAGGCAAGGGGAGGCAAGGGGGGGGGGGGGGGGGGGTGGGACGGGTGGGGGCGGTGGAAGGGGGGCGGGGGAGGGAAGGGAGGGGGGCGGGCCGCACCCAGCAAAATAAAAACAATAACAATAATACTACTAAGAATAATGATGATGATGATGGTGATGATGACAACAATATTAATAACAAGAACAAGGACGAGAACAAGAACAAGAACAAGAACAATAGCAATAGCAATAGCAATAGCAATAGCAATAGCAATAGCAATAGCAATAATACTAATAGTTATGATTATTATGCCTTATAATATATATATATATATATATATATATATACATACATATATGTATACACACACAGACAAACATTCGGTATCCAAAAAACTCGCATTCGCCCGTTTGCTATGAGTTGTCCATGAACATCTGTGCCTGATGTCGCATCCTCCTCGGGCTTGGGTTCCTGGAGCTGCTCCTGCAAAAAGAGGACAAAGGAGGAGGCTCTGTTCATGGGTTTAGATAGCCAGATGGCACAGCTCAGATCGGCCTCCTTCGGCTTCCTCTGCCTGCAAAGCAAAAAGTCTAACCCTACTGCTGCATGAAATTGCAGAGAATTTGCACGTGCGCACGGAAAAGGCGTAGCCTTATGAGCTCCACATGGGATGACGGTCCATTGATGAGGCCATCCCACCACTCCGACGTTGTCCTTTCTGACATCTGCTTTGGGACTGCATAATTGCACAGGTGGCTGTCATCTCCTTCGCCATGAAGCTTCGTGTTGCGTCGTTTCCTTGGCATAAACCCAAGAACTGCTGTCACCACCACATGCCTCGGCGCCGACCTTCAACAACCACTGCTTCAAATCATCATGGTCTGTCCGCCGCCCTCTCGCCTCCGGAACGAGAAGCTACAGTGCATCAGTCAAATGCTACACCAATGCACGTATCGGTTGCATTGGCATATCCAGGCTCACCAGTGCCTTCTTCGCCTTGGCCTTCTTGCTGGATTGCCTACACAACATACTGCAGGTCTACAGATCCGAGGCGTTGCGGCGTTGCAATGTCTGGTCCCTGATGACAAGGAAGACACATCAGGCCTTCGCTCGTCGACGTCGCCCCTGCAGAAGGAGGTTCTGTCTTCCATAGCATGACGGGCATTGGGCAACCATGCTGAAGGATGCCCCCACCCTTCAAAGAGGCCGAAGACGGCAAGGGCGACCAAGCCGGTCCGGCTCCAGAGTCCTGTCAGACTGTCAGTGCTCATCATGGCTGTACTTCCGCTTCGCATTCAGTGTGTGACTCGTGTTGCGTCTCCTGTTCTCTCTGGGACCGTGCTGGCAGCTGCTGGACCTACTGAAGCGGCATGGCACTGGCATGTGAACATGCGAACTGATGTACAGCCAATGTATCACTGGAGCCTTGAAACCCCGAACCACCAGCAAGTGGAGTCCATCTGGCAGCTTGATTTCTCACAGATTGCAAAAAATTTGCAGGAACGGGGGCATACGGGGGCTTTCGAGACTGCGGCGCCTCCTCCCTGAACTCCTCTGTCCACTACGAGCTGTGACCTTCCGGATGGGGGGCGGGGCACATGCTTCTACTTCGAGTGGTTTGAGCGGCCATGTGGAGAGTTAGGGGCCGCGCAACGCTGAATCCTCCAGAGGGTGCGGCGCGAACCCACAGGCAGCTGCCGACAGCGGCGATGGCTACACCTCCCTGAGAGAGCAGAAAACAGAGATGAGAGGAAAAAATGTGCAGACAGATCAGAAATGAGAAGGGAGGACGGTGTGAATATTGCTATTTCTGCAGTTCGTCCCCAACAGCTTGTGGGTCGGATGAGCTTCCAGCCCATCGGCTGCCTCTTCTGCGTTCCCTTCGCCTGTGCACAACTTCACATGCACAGGCCACATACAAAAGTTGATGTTTTGGACTGATTTGGAGGAAGGTGTTTGCCCCGGCCTGCGACCCCCAAGGATCATCACCTGCCGCCTGGCCTCTGCGTTAGAGGCCTCAGCAACTCCGTACGGCAGCCTAGCGACTATGTGGGTCCCATGTGCATGTCACAAAGAAGGCACCTCCATGGGCTTCATGGCCTGACCAGCGGAGTGCTCAAGTGCGAGAGCACAATCTTTTGCAACGTCGCAGCACGTGTTCAAGCAAAACTCTTGGCAGTAATTAGGGGCGGGACGAGCGCCTGCACAAGCGGGCCCGGCTATGAAAAGCTTAAGGGCAGAGGCCAGAGCAGCAGATCAGATCATCATGTCACGCTTTCTCTGCTTTTCTACAGGCCGTGCAGACATGTGCAGACTACCTCAGCGGAGCGCTTGCCCTCAGGATTTTTGTCTTTCAAGCGCAGTTCACGTCAATGCCACCTACACCAGGCAGTGTAGCAACGCTGGAGAAGCTTGGAAAGTCTCCTGCCTACACTGGCTAGCGGACTGTTGAAAGAATTTGGTGAGGCGTTGTTGAGGCCATCATACCCTACACAATCGCATGAGGAATGTGTCTACATTGCATCCTGGTGTTGGTTCAGCAACTGCCTCTGGGGGGGAGCGCGCTTTCTTTTCAAAGTCTGTGCACTCACCTATGCACTATCCGTCCGGATACTGCACATCCTGGGGGGAGATCGCACAGCGGTGCCCACGTTTGTGCGCATCAAGGCCGCTGTGCCGGATCATGGACTCTAAAGTGGTGCTGTTTTTGTTCGGCCATCTGCTGCCCAGTCTTAATACTGCCAGCAGATCGGGGTAACTGTCCCCACGACCTTCGCTCAAAGGTTTTGAGCCGCAAAATAGGCAGCTTCGAGCATTTGACTGTCGCTGCCTAATTGCAGCCACGTCCGTCTCACTTGAGAAATCTCTCATCTTTCAAAACAAGTGGAGATCCATGTGAATTGCAAAGAGACCGAGGTGGCCACTTTGGGGCGAAGCTTGGCGCTTGCATTTTGATATTGGAGGCACCGAGCCCCAAGTACTCTGAGTAGGACACCGCACTCTGACAAGATCTGACAAGTTCCTGACGTGGCTGTGCGGTACACTTCGTGCCTGAGAGCTCCTTGCCACACGCAAAGATGAAAAACAGGCTGTACAAGCGACGCGGCTCCCTCATGTCCATTGACAGAGGACCCGGAGACGCCAGATACCTCGTGAAGTGACGATACCCCTCTCCCTCCCAATGACGCGACAGGTCTCCGTCTCCAGTCTCCGAGTCTCCTGCCTGTGTTAACACCTGTTCGACAGGCCTGGGACCTGAGATAAGGCAAGGTTGAAGACCCCAAGCCCAAACTGTATGCAGAATGCAGCCATCTGCGATCTGGGATCCGGGGCATCGCCAGGGGCACTCTTGCCCGAGGCTCTTGAGTCTACAGCGCTGTTCGGACCTGGCCACAATCCCCCGCAGAAGCTCAGGACCCTCTCTAGGCCCCCAACCAAAACCTCCAAGCTGCTACCCCCCGCTTCAGCTGCACACACCGCTGCATTCTGGGGCCACCCACTCATGTCAAACTTCAAGCTGCCAGACTGGTCTATGACTCCAGAGTGAGTGGAGTGCTTCACATCACCTCGACTGGACACCGTAAGACTTGTAAGACACCACACCGTCACACTGTGACACGCAGCTACTCCTTGCTGCGCTGAGACCGCTTGGCCCTTTTAACCCTCCGGTAGCAGCGCTGCATTTAAAAAAAACAGCTTGCCAGGAGACGTCTGGAGCTTCTCCTCTTCATACGTGGCTCCATGCTTCTGGGTTCCTGGACAAGGACCGTGAATAACCCACACTTCGAAATGGAGGTGGGGGAGAGAGGGGCTTCTCTGCGCACCTGCTGACAGTGCGCATGAAGACAAGGAGCCAGATGAGACGCCCAGACCAGCAACGCAGCAACATCGAAAACTCTGCCCGCCACCGCCCGCTGCCTCATCTTCCTGGTCGAGCTTTTCGTCGCCCTCAGAGAAGAAGATATTGGAGTTGCTGATGTCTCCTCAAAATGTTTCGCCGATCTGCGTCAACTTTGGGGCAGATGTCGGTCAGCATCATGCTTGCCAATAGCTAGTATTCGTATACAACAGCTCGAGCCTCCATTTTTAATGATGAGCTTCTTCAAGAGATCGTCGATGCCGTGCTGTACCTGGCAAAGTGTCCAACGAAGCTTCCATCTTGCCCATACGTGACGAACATCCAAAGAAGCACAAATGCGCCACCGAGACCGTAGAGTCGCGCTTTTGCCGCATCTGCTGCGTGAGTGATCTGGCTTTGTGCGCGTTCTTGCCTGAGACGCCGGAGATGAAGAACACGAGAGTGCGAGACCGCGAAAGGGCGAGAGGGCCAGAAAGCGGCGGAGCAAGAACAAGAAAGCACCAGGGAGAGCAAGTGGGAGGGGGAGGGGCGAGGGAGAGGCGATGGCTCGAGTGAGAAGCAGATAGAGATAGACTGACATGTAAGCAGATGCAACGACGTCGGCACTCGTCCGGCTTCCAAGCTCTTGGCGCAACAACGGGTCAAAGTCATTGGCGTCGGGAATAATGGCAACCTTCTCCGCTACGAATTCATGCCGTAGGGCCTTGCAACGCGAGCTGCAACTGGTCAACGCGGGGAATTGCATTGGGACTCTCAAGCCAAGAGGCTCGAAATCGAAGCTTGGGACGCTTGGGATGGGCAATACTTGGAGGAGAGTTGGGGGAAATTGATGGACTTTGATTGGGACTGCTCCAAACTTGCGGAACTTACCTGCGACCCTACTGAGACAAACAAACGACCATCGTGGCCTCTGCGGCAGTTGGCCGCTGCTTGGCCGAGCGCTTTAGTAGCATCTGGCATGGCAACACGCCAACAACGCGCAAGAAGCTTCCAAAGGTAAACATCAACAATATCAAGCCTTCGTGAAGTCCAGAGCCCCCACTAGAGAGCCAGAGACCTGGCAGGACTGTTGTGAGATGTCGGACACTCGGCATATACTCACGAGATTGTCTGTGGGCTTGAGATCCAGTACTTGCTCCACATCCAGCGCATGCTGCGCATCCAAGACAACACTTCCGATCCACTTGGGTCATGACGACACCTTGGGCGTCACCTGTAGGGCAGTTTACGACCGCAGGCCCACTGCGAACTGCAAACGACATCCAAGGCAGGCACTGAGAGAAGGAAAATGCAGGGGCGGATGGTCCTCCAAGAAGCCCCACATGGGCACTCGATCTGGAACAGCTGCACGCCACAGCGAACCTCAATGATGGCCTTCTTCATGGCTGGCGCACTTGCCTGGCTCTTGCATCATGAGCAGATTGTGCGGCAAGCAAGCTCTTGACCCAAAACGCAGTGAAGCAATGCATCTTTGTGAGAGAGACAGAGAGACGTAAGGCTTCCCGTTGCTTTATTGGGGCGTCTTGCTGTTTGGAACTGCTTTCTTGCCACTTTGTCATGGTCTAGAGCTTTAGCTTTCAAGCTTCGCACCTGCCACGCCGTACAGGCGGTGGTGCAATGGCACCAGTAGCAGCAGTGGGAGTAGCAGTGTCAGTAGTAGCACTAGAAGCACAAGACTAGATACGGCACCCCATCAGCTCCTCCTGTCAAAAGCTTTCACTTGGAGCTCCACGGTTTGGGTTACCAACCTCCCTAGCTGGCGCTCAGCAGCACGACAGATGCCACATACGTCCACCAGCTAGAGTCTGTTTGAAGGTCGCTCTTCTCAGCCTGTATTTTCGTGAGTCAGCATCGCCACTAGCTACCTTCAAAGCCCAGCCCTTCGGGGACAGCTGCCACGGGTAAAGCCTCGGAAGGCGAGTACGGAAAGCTGCCGAAGACCAGCAGGTAGGCTACGGAGCCTGGGAAATGGGTTGCATTCTCCAAGGGTCCAGGAGTCCAGTGCAACTGGGGATCATGGGGCCGCGCCTATGGACCAGACGTCTGCCAAGAAGTCATAGCCTTCGCTCCGCAGCATTTCCGGAGCCATGTACGGCGCGGTACCTTGCACCACACATTACCACACATCTGAGTCCTCCCTCGACATCAACTGCACGCAACTCGAGCAGCGGGCCAAACACTCCGCTGAGCTTTCCAGTCTTGGGCATCATAACCGCAAGGCCTGTCAGATCTACGCATCTCTGCACATGGATTTCGGTTCTGAACCTTCGAGTGAGGCCCCGACCGTAGTCGCAAAGCTTGAGAACGCTGTTGTCTGGACCGCCCCATAGAAAGTTATCAGGCCTCGGGAATGTCGACACGTGCCGACATGCAGCGGCGTTTGGTCTGCATTGCTTGCTTCAACGAACTGCGCCCCTCGATATCGTGCAATTCCTCCCGGGCCCCGCGCTTTATATCTCTGTGCACAATGCCGACCCCCTTAGAGTGCACACGTCAGCTGCTGGCCCAAGCTCAACATCAGCAATCTCCCAGGACTTTGACGATGGTCTCATGAGGTCTCATGACTCATAACACAAGCCCAAGCACAAGCCAATGAGAAGCAATGAGGGGACTGAGAATGGATGGGTCTAGATGACATAACTTGCAAGCTCAAAGAGTCTATCATGCTCCTGCTTGGTAGCTGGGCAAAGACGCAGGTCATGGCAGGTGTGCGGTGAACATGGTTGAATCCTTGTCTCTGTTCTCATAGATTCCAGATGTCCGGTGTGCAACCCTTCGTCATCCTCATCCCTGAGCGGGTTGGACTTGAGCTGATGGGGTTCCGCATGAGCACAAATACCGCTGAAAGTTGACTTCAGGATCGGGAAACAAGAACTGCCCGAACTTGTCTTGAAAGGTGTGGCAAAACTTGCAGTCTTTTTTTTAAGTATACATTTTTGTATACCGTTCTTCTGCCTACCGTTCTTTTTATGTACGTATTTGCTTTGCTCGCTCGTTGTTTCGTTATTTCGACATGTCTTGATGTCTTTTGCTATGCCGTTCTTCATTTCGGAATGTATTTCTTCGATATTTCTGTGTTTAGTAGTTAGGGTTGGTTTCTTAAATTTCGTTGGGCATTTATGTATGCAAGTCGCTTGTTGAATTCTGCATTACTCTGCATACTTCCTTGTTTCGCTTTCTTTCGGGTGGTTTAGGGTCCTTTCGACTTAAGGTCGCGATTGCGTGGCGCGAAACAGGGGCTTCCCCAGGCAGGTCGTCCTCTGTTTAACCTCCCCCTGTTGGATGTGTTGTAAGTTGTAAGGTGTCCCCCTCCCCCGACCCCCGCAAGTGTACCGTACCCCCCGCATCACAGGACATCCCCCCCCTGGTGTGGCCTTGTTCATGGACCGAAGACAAACTGGTTGATGAAAATGTCGTTCGACCCGCACTCCTGCGGCACCCCTTTGGCCTGGCTATGGTGACCGGGAAAACAAAACTGCAGACCTCCCCAGAGTAAAAGCATGCACGACCTTCAGACGGCTCGTATCCCTTCGGCGTCTGGACTACTTTGTGATTGGTAAACGTGCGGTCACCCACATTAGTGATGCCAGGTTTGGAAGCTATGCACATGGTGGCACCCCCCAGCTTCGCGGGTGCTACGGATTGTGAATGGGTGTTGCACCTTGAGATTGTTGCCGAAGTCAACCTCCCAACTCCTCCGTGGCCTCCTCCTCCTTGAAGTCCCCGGACCTCCCTCAACTCCCCCACTCTTCCACGGTGCTACCCCTCCAACCCCTCGCCAAGGCCCGGAGCCCGAACCCCCAAATCAGACTATTCAGCGTCTTCTTTGAGACTGAGCACAACATTACAGCACCTGACCTAAATGAGCGAAATCCTCTTTCACCTTCGGGCTTGAAAGGCTGAAGGGCGCTGAAAGGAACTGAGCTCTAAGTCGCCCACATGGGTGTGGGATACCCCCAGCAGCATGTGTCGAAAGATCTTTGCCAGGTCAGTTTCTGTCATGGACTCCGCCTCGACCTGTCATTCCACCAAGGCATGGCATCAGCATGGCATCAGCATGGCATCGGCATGGCATGCTGCAACCATCTGCCGCCGGCTGAGCACTGGGCGAGTCTGTCCATGAAGGAGCACTGGCCTGTTTGCAAGACCGGAGGGGAAACAAGGCTAGAAAGCGTGCGAAAAAATGAGGATGCGACACTTCTCGCAGACCATGTAGTACAAGGACTTCCTTGGAGGACGATGTGTGAGCACAACAGCAGACAGCTCCATGGAACCGCTCCACATGTCTCCAAGGGCCGTGCTCTGCAAAGCTCTTGTAAAGCTTCACCTCAATATCTCATTCCGCTAGCCGCTAGTCCCACGTTCACACGAAATTCATCTCCCGCGTTCTGGATCTGACATAACTGTGCATGGACCAACTGGGCCGTCTGCAATGTATTCACAGTCAGTGTTGCTTGCCTGGCTGAGCGACCAAGCACGGTCTTTACTCCGAGGTGTCTGAACAACGAGTTTCGTTGCTTACTACTTATCACACCACTCCAGTGTCAACCGGCGGAGATCCCAGGTTTGTAAACTTGCCGAGACATGTGACGGATCAAAACTTCAAGACGGGGCGTCCTTCGTCCAAAGGTCCACCTCTGTTCGGGTGACCCGGTCCCGGCTCTTGCTGACCGCGCCGCTGCCTTTGAAACGGGCAGAAGGTTACAAACGAGTCTACGAAGAGTAAGTGGTTGATAACACAGCTCTCCCAAGAGCAGCACAAGCACCATGCTCATCACGCTCACGAACATCCACAATCTTCACAGCAAGCTCCTACAGAAGGGGCCGGAATTTCGGAACGCACTCGGACCAAAGCCGCCCTTCCGAATCTCCTGCTGTGTGGACCTGTCAACTACGACACGGACCTGTCCGAAGGCACCTCGTGGGGTACAAACGAGACAAGGGTGCTCGGAGCGCCGGGAGCTAGGAACCACCGGAGCCTTCTCCAAGCTTCTTTCCCAGCTTATATTGCGTGAAGAAGTGCCTGAGATGCTCTCACATGAAACCAAGTCTTAATGCACTGATTGCTTCTTTTGAGACAGCATATGACTGCAAGAACACTGTAAGAGCCCTGCTCTTGCGGCGCCGGAGTCGCCGCAGTGCTTCCACAGCATCCTGGCATGAGTGGAAAAACAACGGCGGCCTGGGCCTGGGCTTCGGGATGCAAAGCGGAATTAGAGGGGCCCCTCAAAAGGGAGCAACGGGGGGCACCCCTCTCCGTTTAGAGTTGCACACTTGCCGGCAGCACCCATCAGACGTCAGCTTCAGGCCTCCGCCCAAAGCGAACACAGATCTGCACAAAAACAAAGGGTTTTTACGCAGATTTTTATAGTATACCGATAAACAAGGCAAACAATCAAAATCATGCGAAAGTAACATTCGAAAACAGGTCTCTGCCCTTCGATCCCACTGTTGCCCCAAGAACCCTCGCGGCCCCAAGAACCCTCGCGGCTCTAAAGAAATAAAATGGCTCGGCCAAGCAGGCACGAAAATTCGAGTTCCCCTAAGTATTTGCCTAAACCCGCTTGGACCTTGGACCTCGGAGTCGGTGGGCATCTCTCAAAATATGAGGTACACCAAAAGTCGATTCTCCATATCATGGGAACCCCCAACAAGAGTACCCCTGTCTTCGGAACCCTCCGTCTTATGCACATGAACTTCACCCGGGCCTAAAGATTCTTAAGTGGAGATTAAGAACTCAAGGGCTGGGTTGCTTAAGTGTAAGTAATTCTTGCTTTTGATTTGCCGTTTGGGCGATCAGGGCCTAGAAAGCATCGACTTTGTGATTTCGATTTGGGCGAGTTGGACCCCCAAACCCTGGATTGCTGAAGTTTGACCTGAAATTCCAAAAATGAGACATGCTGCCTCTTCAGACGGTTTCCGGTGGCAACCCAACTGAGTTCCTCTTTTGGGGGTTGTGGAGAGGGGTTTGGAGCCTGGGGCGGCCTGGGATGGTTTGGAAGGCTTGGAGAATCTGAGAAGCTCTTGGGTAGAGTCAAATTACAACGACTACGGAAAAACGGAGCGGGTGACAAGCATGCTATGAGAAGCTCTTTCAGCAGCTATTCAACGTTGCATGCGCGGCTACGCAATTTATTTGACCCTGATTTTGACTCCTTTCCCTTCAAAAACTCCGGGAGCAATTGCCAGAGCAAGCTCATGTACAGTATAATTGGACAAGCGATTATCGGACACGTGTCAAACATGAGCCTTTTTTTCATACCAGAGGTATGACGACAGCGTTAGCTAAAGCTGGGTGGCTTGGCAATATGTTGTAGATTCTACATCATTCGACAAAGAAGCGGCACAGAATGTTCACCATTCGTTGGCCTTTTCCACTTTTTTCGTCCGGCTCGTTGGTCCGGTACGCTGCAGCTGTTGTAGCTGCCCCGCCTGCCCTTTTTACTTGAGCCTGCAGACCCATAGCCAAAAGCACGGCAGTTCCGGTCAAGGACAATTTGCGATCCAGCGGAAGGCCTCCTGCACTCATGCATTCATGCACACAAACCTTTTCCTCTGCTTGCCACATATGCCGTAACAAACAGATGGGATGGGACCCTCGCCGCTTACTATGCAGATTGCTGCTGGCAGCCTTATCTGACATCTTCTGCATACTGCATATCACTACAGCAGTCCAGGCACACCTGCTGCACAGCTGGCAGTGGCTGGAAAAGAATCCTGCGCTCTGAAGCCTAACTCGCCATGCTACTGCCAGCTATCCACAGCGCGGCTGTCCTATGTACATGAAGACTCTTTCTGCTCGCAAACAGCCAAGGATATCCTTATGAGAGCTGATGGCAAGCACGTCCTCAAGTAGCAGCCGTTTTGGCTTTGCCAAAGGCTCTGCTTCCATGCTGCTTTTGCTGGGCTAAGACTGCCTATCCGGGCCTATCCTCCTATGAGAGGACACTGCAGGATCCACCATCATCGATCGCGCCCTTTTCGTGGCCTCTGAAGCTGTGACCCGTACAAGATGACATGCACTTGGAGATTTCATGAGATTTCGTCTCTCATTGCGCTCCACGCTTCGAACAAGCTTGGCCTGCTGTCCACTGTAGACGGGCGTAGGGCACCACCCCGAGCACTAAGGGGGAGTGCCTAGGAGTTGCAGTGATGAATGACGTGGTTTCCTCGCTTTTCGGACAAGCTGCAACTGCAGGAATTGGTCGTGTCCCACTGGCCGGAGCTGTTCCAAGCCGGTCGGGGGCCTGATCTCACCCCAAATATTCTTTGAAAACCGCCAGCTCTGAGCTCCACCTGCCTCTGCATGGATGGCAGCAGTTGCCTGCAAACTTTTTGCAGCTGTCGGCCCTAGCCTAGATAAAGCAATTGGGCAATACACTGGTGCTAAACACTCCCGAGGCCTCATTGGGCATGTGCTGCAGCATCCTGCCACAACCAGTCACGCGCGCTGTTGGTGAATGTGTGATCGGTGTGTCGTCGGCCTCTACGGCTGTGGCTGCGCATGCGCAGACCACGGGCCGGTTGCATGTCAAACTACAAAAGCAAACGTTTCGGTGGGCTGTCTGAGGTCAAACCCGACTGAACCGTGTTGCATTAGGCGATTTTACCGCAATCACTCGTGTGCGACGCACATACCCTTGCAGACACTGAGAAGAAGAGTCGAACACGGGAAGGCTAAACAAAGAGGTTGACCTGCAGTAGTTCCTGTTCGCACTCCGACACTCGTGTTAGTGCCCAAGACTGTAGCGTAGCAATATAGCGGAAAGGAGTCCTGAATGTCTGAACACTGAATCTGAACATACTGGCTCCTGGCCAGGTACCCTTATAACAAGGGACCACCACGGAGCCGTGACCGAAGGCCGCTGTTTCACACTTTTTGAAGGGATACAATCCGTAAGGTGGATTTCAGCTAGGGAAATTGGGGTGAGAGGGTTCGGGAAAATTAGGGAGGGATATTTGATCCAGAGTGAGCACAGGCACTCTCATCCTTAGCAAACAAGAACACACACAGATCTTTCGTGGAACAAACTTCAGGTCTGCAGTTCAGCCTCAGCCTCACATTCACCTTTAACCTTTCCAGACCTCGACCTTCCAGCCAACCCCACAGCCACGAGGCCTGCCTGACCTTCTTGGCATACAGACCTTGACCCTCCGGAAAATACTTGCACAAGAAGTTAATCTAGTGAACAAGACCTAAATAGGGTGTTCATTGTTGCAAGTCAGCACAAGTCAAGTTCCGGCAGGTCAGATCAACAAGATCAATTTTCATCACCAGTTTTAATCAGTTGCGAGGAGAAGACACAAAACAATCGGCGGCCAGAAAAGAAGCTAGGGCCTGAAAAGGGGACTAGATCATAAGAGAGATCATAGCAATGCAACTGGTCACAGTCAGGATAACTCAACCAGTGCGTCTGATCATTGATGGAACCAGTTTCGGTCAGGGCTACCCTGCCTGACACGGCGCTCAGAGGGAATGTCGTCGTTTTGAACACACTTGAATGTCGGTTGTCAGCTGGAACTTTCTGCAATCGTCCACTAACCCAATATCCCAGTAACACACAACAGCTTTGGGTATTCTGGGCGGCCAAGCGGGTACGTGGTCAAGGGGTCCCTCGACCATATCCTTGTCCATGACTGGAGCTTCGTTGCACCAGCCAAGTCATGCACTCCTGATGCCGTTGCTGGAATCTCTGACTTCCGTCGGAAAATGATAGAGGTGACTTCTCTCACAGCCCTACTCCCTTACATGCAGGGTTTGCGCACACGCGCGCACACATAGGAGCAAGCAATAAGATTAACCTGCTCGAAGTATCAATAGTACCAACAATTCCAACAATTCCCACAATTCCCACAATTCCCACAATTCCAGCGGATCCAACACTAGAGAATCAGACACGCAACCCTTCATGAAGGCGCTCTAGATAGATACAACCAAGGATGCACGCGCGCGCACACACACACACACCCTCGCGTGCCCGCGCACAGACACAGACGCCCGCCGAAGACTTTACTCAGTGAAGGGCCACTTTCCTCTTGCGGACATGCACGCCCAAACACATCCACATTTTCAAAATCTACTGGAGATCTTCTTTCTCTCTCTGATGTTGTTTTCTGCTTCGCTTTCTCAACGAGCAGTCCGGGCGGATGCAAATCCAAACATGCCGGATTGACATCTTGGGCAGCTTGGAAGAAACTGTCACCACGGGAGTCACGCCGAGGGCCTCAACAAACAGCCCGTGGCACATGTCCTCTGAGGCTCTTAAAACGGCTCAAAGCTTGCACCTTCGAACTCGACTGGTCCTCGAGCCTTGCCTCTCAGCATTGCAGATTCTTGACACAACTTCCCCTGTAAGCGGACCTTTTCGACAGAGCTGCCGATCCGAACACAAGGAGGCTCAAGGCAAGGCCTGGATCTGCCGTAGCTCTTTGAGGTATTCGCTGCGTATCTGATCCAGTCGGCCATCGAAGACCTGACATGTCGAACGCGACGTTCATTCCTTACAAGCTACTCCACACTCCGTCTCGCCATGTTCGGCCTCTTTCGTGATCCACTTATTGCCAGCGACAAGCTGCCGTGCAGCTGCCGCAATCATCACCTGAAGCTGCCACCCACTGCATTCCACGAGGGCAAGCAGAGGGCTTCAGTGTGACATTGCATGGCCTACTCAGCTTGTGCCTTTTTTTACATCGGCTTCACGAGTGCAGTCTTTGGATGTCTTTGGATGTGCTTCGAGCATCATCGAATTACACGAGATACATTGAGCATCTCCAGGGTTGGTCCCGAGAAGATCCCGGCCAGTTTCCATTGAACTTCACTGAACTGGAGTGCCTCGCCTCCAAACCTAAGCCTGCTTGGTCCAGACGACTCCATTGTTCCAGGTTATCTTGTTGCCATCCAGCTTGCCCTTGAACCCGAAATAGTCCAAGCCGTCTCCTTGACAAAACTTCCTGACTTCGATCGTTTGCTTCCCGACGGTGGGGTGACTGATCACTACCGACTGTCCCGTTCCATCGACGCTGATGTTGATCTCGCCACCAGAACTGTGCGTCCACTTGCCTTGGGTCTGATAGGGCGAGATGACCGACATGTCCAGCTCAACGCAGGGGCTGGCTGTGCAAACATCCTTGGGCCAAAGGTGCCACTGCCATCCTCTCTTGAAGCGGTGTCGGTTGCAGGCACCAACCGCACAACGTTGGGTTCTTATGTCCCTACTTTGCTCTATTCCCAGTAGAGGTTGTCAGCACTGCGTCCGAAGCAATCAGCTCCACAAAACGAGAATTGAACAAGCATCAAAGCGCATTGCCTGCACTCGATTCAGAGACAATGCAGTGCCCTGACAGGTCATCAGTAAATTCTGCGAAGACAGTGCCAACAATTGTACACTTGCCACATAACGGCCTCGTCGTCCATACCTTCTATGGAGCTGCTCTGCACGTAGACATGCAGCCGACTGGCCAGCTCGAGGTTCTGCTGCCCCTGACAGTCTGGAACAGTGTCACAACACCAAAAACTCAGAACATCGTTACGGCATGTCGTTGGATTACCTGCTAGTTTGCCTTAGCCCGCCTAGTGCTCAAGAGCACCGAAGCAAACCTTTCCGGGAGCCGAGTGCTTTGCATGGCAGCTCCGTGAAACAGGCCCTGCGGCACACGTCATGATCGTCATGCCGCTTCCAAAGCTAAAATACAGTCGGCCAGTCAGCTACGCCTCTTTGGGATCACCTGACACGGCCATCTAAACCTTGCACGATCTGGCACGGCTACCCGACAAGGCAGGCTCTCGCCCATGGTGCCGGCTCCTACCCCAGGCTCAGATTTGCGACAATGCACGCCGCTGAAGGGGAGCCTCAAATAACAAATCTGTGTCACACACTGCTTCATGACCCGAACCTGTACAAGCCCACCTGTGTAACTGTCACAGGGTAGGGGGCCATTTTCGCCTCGCCTGACCCTGACCCCACCACCCCTAAACTAAACACCTCTGCACTCCAACCGAACCAAAACGGGTGAGGCGTCGCATGTTTTAGGCGATTTATTTGGCATCACCGCACCCTAACCTAACCCAAGCAACTTGATGAACTAAGGGCCAGAGGGGGCGGCATTGAGCATGGAGAGACACTGGATTTTTGATGGCAAGCATGCACTCAGAACTCGTGGTGTTTCACTATTGCGTCATGCGAATGCTATCCTGAATCAGATCGCTGCCTGACGAAAACAAAAAGAACACGGACGACCGGAACGTCCAGGTGACACTTACATGTCGCAAAGCCACACCTTCTTGTAGAAGAGAAAAAAGTAGCAGAAGAGGGCCAAGCAGAGACACAAGCTTGGAGCACGGTGCCTCAAAAATCAATACCAACCTTCTTGACCCAAACCCGACTCCACGAAATTCTCTGACGCTGGGCAGTTCAAGGATACATTGTGGACTTTCCTTGGTGGGCACTCCAGGAACACTCTGTGGATCTCTTTGGGGTGACTACAAAATGCTCTTCGGGATTCTCTGAATTCTCTTCGGGATTCTCTGGATTCGTCAGGGGGTTGGTACTCCGGAAGCGGAGGCCCAGGGGAGAAGACCTGAATTAACAGCAAACCCGTGGGAGACAAAACCACAGCGCCTCCCGCGCACATGACACTAGGTTCAGAAACTTGACATGCGAAGTATACGGTGTCGGAAGTTTTGCCGGATTTGCAAAAGAAGGCGTATGACCTCTGATCTTCCTTCCATGCCCCCCAACCACCTACTCAAACATAACTTCAACCTGCATCCTTTCCCTATGTCTGGAAAGCAAGAGCCCGCAGCCATCCTTGCTGAAACGTCGTGTAGGGTGGCATGGGCCCTGAACCCCAAAACGTGTAACGGGTGGCAAGTCAATGCGCAGGTGCACACGGCCTTACGGCAAAATATAATGACAGCAGGGGTAAAGGCACTAAGTTTTCAATCCTACGAAGCGCAAGGAGTGGCCAACACAAAACACCACGCGCGGAGTGGCAAGGGCCCCAAACCCGAAAATGTGCACAGGGTGGCAAACCCTATACGCAATACGCAAAGAAGACTCTAAACTCTAGACCCCAAAATTCAGCCTAAGATGCGCACAGAGCGGCAGACCTAAAGCTGAAATACCAAAACCCACAAAAGGTGCAGTGGTGGCAAAGTTTGAACCCAACGTGCGGGTCGCAAGCGCCCTGAACCCCAAATTGTGCATGGATTGCCAACCCCAAACACAACATGTGGGGTGTGGCAACCGGCCCACCCAAAAATGTGCACAGGGTGGCAAACCCTACACCCGATGTGAAACCCTGAAATTGTCAAGTCGAGCTCTACTTGTTGGGAAGATAGCCGAGCCCACCATGTCACGATTGATATTCGGAGATGTTCGCTCTAACTTTGAACTGCAAAGCTGCTTTTCACACACACACACACACACACACACACCCACAAAAAAACAAAAAAAAAAAAAAACCTTTCAAAAACACCACCCCCTGAAAGCGCGCTGCTGAATTATTGAAATCCGCGCAACGACTCGAGCTCGGACATGCTGGATCAGCTCTTCCTGACACGCAAAGGAATGTGTGAAATTCTTGTTCAACTTGCGGATTTTACGTCACCACTTGCCGGTCAGCTGGCTGAACAAGAAACATCCACATGTTGGTGCCTGATCCTGGATCAGCAGAGCCTCGCATGATGTGTTGCGAGTTTCTGGGGCTGCTTAGTACGGGGGTGCTGCTTCTGCTTCCCGCCTTGTCCTTTTCCAAGGCAGCAATGGTGGCCTGTAGCTCCTTAGCCCCGAGACTGGCTTTGGAAGAGTGGCGCAGTGGCGCCACTTCTGCTTTGTCCCAGGCCTTGTTCTCCCTCTCGGCAGCTCGCAGGGCCTCCCGGGCGGTCCCAGACTTCAAAGACTTCAAGACTCGGTACACAATCAGCGTCAGTCAGAGCACAAAAGTCCTGTCCTGAGCTGGTCCCATGCCTGTCACAGCACCATGCCAAGCCAAATGAGTTTTCACCATCCTCTCTGTGGAGGGACCACAAAACGAGAGCCGGGGCCTTCACGCGGCGAAGCACTTCGCCCTTCCTGCATTGGCTTGGAAGCCCCTCCACCTGAGCTCAGGTGGAGGTCCACACTACGCGGTGCTCTCAAGCTCGATCTCCGTGCCTACCTGGAACTTGACGGCCACTTTCAAGCAAGTTCAGCAGCTTTGGCCTCTACGACTTGAGAACGATATCGGCAGAATTGGGGAAACCTATCTAGCAACACGAGGGCAACTGCAAAGCTGCGGTTCAGCTAGCGAGGCCGCAATCCAGCGCCTCGTCTGCAGCCAAACCGACCTCTCCTGACATTCGGATCCCTTTCGACTCTACGCCTTCCCAGCCTCCACGTGGACTGAGCATTTGAAGCCGCCCCCATGTTCCATCGGTTTGTATGCGGCATGTCTTAGTGGTGCTTTTCACAGCATAAGAAGTGCAACTCCGAAACCTCAGGGACAGTCTAGGGTGGCACCACACAGCCACACTGGGAAAGCAAGAACAGTTGCCCAAGTGGTAACATGACATGGCGCACCTCTGAGAGCAGGGAGTTCGTGGCACGAGCCACCGCGTATTCTTCTTTGACGACACCTTTGCACTAACGTGTCATCTTCAGAACGCTCAAGATGCCTTTCTGGCAAATGCAACCAATCACGCATTCTGCGGTCCGCACGCTCTCTGGCTCTTTGATCTGCGACGAGTCGTTGCAGCTCCTGTGGCACGAGATGGCCAAAGCTCTATGAATCTCTATGCATTTCTCCGATTTCTCCTCTTCTGCTCTTACGAGGCGCTGTGTCTCCAGCTCCATGTCTGCCTGACCCGCGGAGTACGTGGCATACATGGCAGAGCCCTTGGCACAAGTTCAGCCGTCGCCTTTGCGGTGAACAGGAGGCTCTCGAGTTTGCTGCGGTGCCCCTGGGTAAAGAGAACACTTCTTTTGTTGCCTTTCTTGCCCCTTGTTGTTGAATGCACATCTGTCCACGAGTGGCTGCCTGCAGCTTCTCCTTCTCTGCTCGGCGAGCGGCGCCTACCATTAGTGCGTGCATCCCAAGGCATCCCCATGCATCCATATCAAGGTGCGATGCTCCAACAAATGTGCCTGCCCTCCACGCTTCTGCCAAGCACTGACCTGCCCAAGAATGCCCACTGATCACCACTGGCCTGGTTACCCCAGGCCACGAAAGGTTTGAGGCAGACAAAAGCGCCCCGCCCACGTGCTTGGCAATCTTCAGTGTGCTGTCCTCCTGCTCAGCAGACTCTGGATCAACACTCTCGAGACTCTCGAGGCGTCAATGATTCATCAGTTCATCAATTCACAATAGCGGTGGTCCTCGCCAACTGGCACAGGCTGGACTGCCAAACCACTCAGCCGAGACTTCAGCTTGCTGTCGGCCTGCTTGTGATGACCGTCACGTATCTTATGATATCTTTTGTGCTGTGGAATCTCCAGCTCGAGTTAGGCTCCCTGTTTTTGGGACACCGTTTGTGAGTAGGGCTCCTGATAAGAAGGGACCCGAATTCAGAAGAGCCTCTACTTCCTGCAGGACAAGCCTTTTGATCAATAAGGAAAAGAGAAGCCATGTTTTTTCTAAAGTTTCGTCCACATGCCTGCTCCTAATCCATAGTCTTCAAGCACTAGTGAATAGTTCATTTAGGTTTAAGGATAGAAGGGTCAAGAAAATTGATCATGTAGTGCCTTCGTAGCGGGGGTGTGAGCACATGAACAAAATTCCAGTGCAATGATTTAGACTAAGGCACGAAACCTTTAAAAAGTTTTCGATGTGATGCAGGTGTGGCAGTGAATAACGGGAAGTCAATGAGTCCACGTCGTAACTGGTACAAGTATGTGTTGGTCAACCGGACGCTGCACTGGCCTGGCGCCGTTCTCGCTCTTGATCCTGTTGTGATTGAAGAATCCCGCGCCAGCGCACACCCTGGCATATGCCAGCACACATGCTGAGCCCCGGTCACTAGCTGGAATGGTGAGATTTTCAAACGAGCGATACCAGCACCGAATCTATCAGGCATGCCCCCCAAAAGAGAGATTGCCTCCGCCCTATAGCGCTCAATGGCATTGCGGCTGCCAGCCACCTGAGAAACACGTGGTGTCACACTTGTTGTCCTGGATCCCAGCTGGGTCCATCCAGTTAGAATTAACAAGCACAAGGGCTTCAAGCTACGAGCACGGGCTTCAATAGGAGCCATGTTGTCTGTAGGTGCTGAGGCACAAATATCAAGACTCGCAAATCGTGACTTGTCAGGCCTCGGAGATACAGTTCTGATATTCCTTCAGAAGCTGCGTCGATCATCGATATACCGGAACTTTCCCACTGCAACACCATGTAGAATCACGCAAATGCGGTGTCTCAAGATTTGGCAGTCCTGGCGCATGCGTGCGATTCGAGCCCTCAGCCTGCGCCAAGACCAAGCGCGCAGGCAGCGCAAAAACTGCAAAAATCTCCGCTCAAGCGTTGTGAATGTAAGCTAAAGCGGCATCCAGAGTCAGCAGAGCCTTGTGGACTTCCTCCTCTCATCTGCTGCCTGCACAGCATGTTTACTTCTTGTGAACTGCCCAACGGACCCGTGCACGCGAAGAAGCGAATTCAACAGACACACCGGGCTTGCCCTCAGACATAAACAATTATGAAGCACCAGATTTGTCAGAGACCATGAGAGCGGAGCCTTCGCATCTGCTTCTCTGAGACCATGGTCAAGGTGGACCTCTGATGCCACGTGGCTGCAGTGTCTGCAAAGAGGCCTCAGCCGTACCCTAAGGTTGAAGCAATCCGCTCTGCGAGCTCTTGCTCCTCCTACACATCATGCATTGCGTCATGCATCTCCAGCATGGCACGCTTACAGTCCTAGACGCCTTTGAAAGTCGCTGCGTTACTACACCCTTGTATGATCATGTATGCCCATGTCCTGCCATGTTCGCGCTTCTGGCTGCCGATGGGAAGCCTGACATGAGTCCAATGATCTGCTGACCACACAAATCTCTCAAACACTTCTCAAACCAGGTGCTGGACGTGGGCGATCCGAAGGCTTGCTTCCTCTGGCCCGGACCTTAGCCGTCACCAGCAGGGAAACCGCTTTTCGCACGTCCAACAGCTTCAAAGCAGCGCTTGATGAAACTGGGAAGTAGCACGTCTGCACGACTGGAGCTGCGGAGGAGCTTGATGCTGACCTGATCCAGCATAGCAGAGGCCGCCTACATGTCCTGCAACAGCCTGGCAACTTCCAGACTCAGCCAGAACTCAAAATTTCCTTGCGAACCCTGAGCCTCCCGCTTCTCTAGCCGAGCCTTGGAATCTTCGAGCTGCAACATGCAATGCCAAAGGTCCCATGCCAGCGCATTGGGCCTCAAGATCCCGCACCATGACCTCCCCGGACTCCACCGCCTTCCAAAGGCGACGAGCTCGGCCTCACATTTCACATCGCTTGGGGCGTCTTGATCGTCTTGGTACACACGACTTGCAGCTGAGGAGACCTGTGACTTGAACCAGATCGGTCTCAAGCTCTTCAACAGAAGCCTCACTGAAAAAGACAGGAACCCTCGTCCGCGCACTGCATCTCCACATGTGCCCGCACATGCCCGCACATGCCCGCACATGCCCGCACATGCTCGGCGTCCTGTGGTATCCGCGCGCTGCTCCGCGATGTGCCAGCAAGTTCCAAGAGGACCTTTTCAGATGGCCAGGGTCTTGCTATGTCTTGCACTGCATCATACTGGAAATCCGCCAGGCCTCATGCCTAACGAGTGAGCATTATAAGTGTCACCACAAAACTCCTTTTTGTTCGTCCTGAATTGAGTATGCCTGCTTCGGGTTTGAGATTTTCTTTGCTGACTTGAGATGTTTGAGCCTCTTGGGGGTTTGGGGTTGTTAGATTTTAAGTCAACCATGCCTCCCTGCCTGGCGCCCGCCCGGTATACTAGCGAGAAGCCCGCAGAGAATCCCGCCTATCCGCAGACAAGCCTGCAGAGAGTCCCGTCGGTGGCTGCAGAGTCCCGCCGAGTATCCCGAGAATGCCCCGCCTGAAAGCCCGCGGAGAGTCCTGCCGAGAATCGCTGGAGCACTGTCGAGGAGACCCGTCGAATATCCTCGCGCACCCATGAAGCCCGCAACGAGTCTTCCGAGAATCCCTCACCCTCAGAGAATTCCGCAGAAAATCCCGTGTAGGGTTCCCCCCCCCCCACAGAAACCTCTAAGACGATGACCCTTCACAAACTCAAAGATTTCGGGACTCTCAAGGGAATTCTTGGGATGATCTATGGACGCAGGCAAATGAGAATGTGGAAGGGTGCCCTTGCGCCGCCGTAGATTTCAAGGTATGGCTTGCGCAGCACGGAGCTTTCAGGCTTCCGTAAACCCACATAGCACGGAGCTCTGAAAGCCTGAGCCATGAACCCGGAATCCCCAAGCCGATTCCTTTTCTTTGCCTGGAATGGGTACCCCCCGTAGGCGACCACGATCTGAAAGCGGGCGGTTCGCCAGGACCAGGGGCAGTTGAAGCCCCGCCCCGCAGGCCCCCCCCCCTCCTGCGGCCCTGCTGCCCTGCCCCCCCGTCGCTGCCCCCCTTGCCTTTTGCAACTGGTGTGAGCAGGCTACGAATCCTGTCCAAGCCGAACCGTCTAACCCTGAACCTTGAACCTTGAACTCCACGCGGATGCACTGGGCCGGGCCGAGGCGGGTCGCGTAGCGATAAAATTACGAATCGCGCTGTATTATCGGTCACTGCACGATCACTGCGATGTCGTCTGAGCGCCCTGCATTCAGGCGCTCCTGCAGCCCCGCCACTGTCTCGTCAGCATTGTCCTGCTCAGCTGTTCCTGGGAAACAAGGAACACGGCAAGAAATGTGTGACCGTAGGTAAGAAGCACTGTATCACATCTCATGAGCAGCACATGGCACATGGCACACGGGAGTCAATCCGAGGGCGGATCGTGCAGGAACAGGGGCTGGCAGAGAGTGCTTCCGGACCTTCGTCTTTGATGCTTTCGTCTTTCACATTCGGAGCTTCGAAGCTCAGAGCTCGGCTGGGCAGCTTTCATCTCTCAGACTTGACCACCGACTTTCAGCAAGAATGCGACCTGGCATGTGCACGGCAGGTGCACCGCAGGTGCACCGCATGTGCACCTAGACTTTGTTTGTAACACTACAGCCCGTGCGACTGCCCCTGCCCTTGCCTGCACTGTCAGCATCAAACTCTGCTGAAACCAGCGCAACGCTTCCTGTCACGGGTGGCAAAACTTGCGCCGGCACGCACAAACGTACGATGGGTCTTCCTTCCCTGGGCCTACAGGCGAGCTGATCTGGCACCCTGCCATGGCTCCTGTGTAGGCCACTCTCTCAGCGCAGATGTTGCAGGAATCCAAGCCTGTACAGTATGTCACTGAGAAACTCCTACAGTACTCTTGAAAGAAGGTCCTGGATCAACAGGGTCATGCGCAGCAGCATCCTGGAATACGACATCCAAAGCTGATTGGGAAACTATTCTCAAGCCCGGGCGACCACTACTCCAGGACTCAGCCTCATGAGCTGTAGGAGCCGTGGACAGCTCGCTTGGCGATCCCTGCACCTGCAGCACGCAGCACCCCTGGAAGCACCCCCTGCGGAAGCACCATTTGGTAGCAATCAGGCTGCGCTCGACAGCCCTTGTGGAAACACGACTGTGTGTGGAATTTCGTCCTGGCCTTGTGACCCATGCGGATGGGCCCTTCTGAGATTTCCTGGGAAAAGAATCAGCAAGGAAAACAGAGCGCTCCAAAAAAGACACTCTAAGCGCTCTGGCCAGAGGCTCAGGACGACGAGAGGGTGGCAGACAAGGCTCGGGATCTGCCCAGGGAATGACATGCCCATGCCGGCTCTACGGGCAAGTTTCGGACTTTCCCAGGCTTCATATGGGACGGGACCTCCAAAGGCTCCTGAGGTAGAACGGTGCCGCGCGAGCCTGGGCGTCAAGCCGGTCCAAGACCATAGTTCGACCCCACGGATCCGGCTCCGGTTCAAAAGTGCGGTCATGTCACGGGGCCTGGCATCCTACAAGCTGAACTGCAAAACTACGGCCATCGGTCGGTGCACCAGCTGTTCTAAAGGGAGAGTCTGGTTTCAAAATGAGACGGGAAGACAGGAGGCAGACGAGAGAGGAGACAAGAGGGGAGACAGGAAGGAGTCAAATGGAGACACGAAGGGAGACAGCACGAGCCATTCTCCCGGCAAGCGCCTTCAAAAGATGCCGGGTGTCCAGTGATCTGGTTCGTCGTCCAGAAGGAGACAATAAGCGAGGTAAGAAGGAAAACAAAGGGAGGCAGAAGAGGAGGCGCGTCAGGTGATCTGATCTGATTCTAGATCTGGAGTGAGACAAGAAAAGAGAGATAGAGAGCGAGAGAGAGAGAGAGAGAGAGAGAGAAAGAGAGAGAGACAAAAGGATACAAGAGAGGGGGTCGCGTCCGGTGATCTGGTTGCGAGTCTTGAGGGAGACAAGAAGGGAGACACCGGGGTGGGGGATAGGTGCATCAGCAATCTGGCTCTGCAACAGGGAGGGAGTCAAGAAAGATACCAGGTGAATGCATCCCGTTGCGTCTACGAGAGAGACAGGAAGGGAGACAAGAGATGTGGGTGTGTCCAGTGATCTGGTTCTTAGTCGAGACGGAGGGATTTTGCCTCCAGAGACGGACCAAAAGACAAGAGATGGGGTGTGCCCAGTGATTCGGTTCTGCCTCTCAAACAAGATGGGAGAGCAGTGATCTGCCGCCGCATCCAGAGAAAAGCAGGGAGAGGCGTGTGAGAAATGGAAGCAAGACAAGAGTCACAATCCCGAGGTGGGCATGCCCGAACACTTTCTCATGGCAAATTGAGAACCCCGGCAGACTGCTTCATGAGTTGCACGGAAAATGTGTAAAATCTTCTGACAACACCCTGACCTCACTCTCCTTTCACCGCGTAGCCACGGGACCGCATCCCTTCCCGGGTGCATGCAGAAGCTGTGTTGTTAAATGCACCTTCCAGCGGCTGCTGCAAGGGCGGAACTTGCGAAGGCATGAGAACATTGAGCTAGGCTACTAGGTAGGTGAAGACAACTTTCCACATAACGTCGAAGCGCTGCGAGGCTGGCTTCTCGACGAGGGTCATGCGAACTCACCGTGCACTTTGCAGCGAGCTCTAATTCACTAACGAAAGCCACAAAAAGCCTTGTAACAGCCTTAAGCTGAAGCAAAGTAGTACTTTCGCGCCAAGCGCTGATTCTGAGGCAGCTTTGGATTCAGCACCATCAGATCGAGCAAGTAGTTCTTTCTTCGCTCCGTGTGATGTAGCACACCATTGCTGTCGGGTTCCAAATCGTAGAACACGAAGTGAGGTGGCCAGTGATCCAGGAACGTACTGAAGGGAAGCGATGCTGGGACGAGCGGAATAAGGTCTGTCAAGGCCCCCTTAGCTCACGAGATCAGAAGATGGGCAGAGAACACATAAATCAAATAAGATTGAAATGTTTCAACTCTCCCTCCTGCAGCCGAAGTGCACCAATGAGATCAATGAACCTGGCGGCACTCCAGAAGCAGAAGGTGTAGGTGCAGTCCAGATCGATGTTTGCCTCAATGTCCTGCACGAGATGAGTCCGAAACGAGCATGCAGTTTATCGGGGTCATGAGTTCGTCTTGTCTCCTGTGCGGCCGCAGCCCATGTGGATGTGCTGCTGACACCATTCCTGACAACAAAAGTGGCAGAAGCTGGGAAAAACACACACAAACATGTACTCTTTCCGTCAAACGCTGCGCCCCCCTGTGTCTTTTCAACGCGCCTTCGGATGCCAAGGCCATCCAAGTTCCCATCGATCGCAGGTGGCGCATTGGCTGCCTCCGTCACAATGATCTGATCGAAGGCCTGCCGTCTGCGCAGGTGGGGGGGGGGCGGTCTTTGGCTTAAGAGATTCACGATTCGCCCATGAGCGTGGGGAAAAGAGTGCAGAACCCACAGCACATAGCCCGAGCTGAACTGATCACTTCATGTCACTTCATGTCACTTCATGCCACTTCATGCCTGCAGCCCCGCCACCACATGGCTCAGCACCGCATCCTCTTTCAGCGATGCCTGCCACATATTGCTTCAAGGCAGTGCACACGTAGTCTGCAGAGACTCTTCTGCACTGCCACAAACCACACCTTCCCCCTGTCGCCAAAGGTCAGCACAACTTTTGTTCCTATGGCATATTCCTGCAGGCGCGTGTTTGCATGTGACCTGATGACACTTTCTGCAGCCAGCAGACTAGTGCAATGCTTCTGGTCTCCCACAGTCCAGAGGGGTAATGGACAGAGTGCTCAACCAAGCTGAAAAACCTCAGTTGTTTCGCAGAAGCGTCTCAATTAAGTTGGAGCCGAAGTGCGCAGGTTCTCGATGAGGAGCGACTCAGCGGTTCGTTGTAGTCGAAATCTCTCAAGACAACCTGAAAAAGCTCTCATCTGCTACCATCTGCTATCTGCTCAGCTTTATGATTCACGTGCGCCGCGTGCTCAACTTGAGGTTCGCACTCCTGCGAACAGCTTACCCGTCGGCTTGCGCACAAACCTGCCCTGCAACCGCAGCTCCCAACGACGTGTCTTTCTCGCGAAGTAGTCGTCGTAGGCAGTTGGGGCAGAAGGAGCACCCTTTGTTGGCCGATGCATCATGACCAGCTTGCCAATAAAGTTGCTGTTGACCTTCAAGAGACTGCAGACATCCCAAAGTGTGGCAAAGAATCCCAGCAGCACCCCCGGCAGCATGCCCCAACTCTGGATGCATCCTGGCTACGATATCTGTACCATGGGCATTCAATGGAATCGGCTTCGCTGGCTGCATCGTAGCTCGCCTGCAAGCCTGCATCCCTTTCTCATTCGAGAAGCTTGTTGCTTCATAGAGGATCAACGGGTTCTGCCCGTCAGTTACCTGCTGCCTCGGCTCATGTGCTGGTCTGATTTGTGACAGGCCAGCTTAGCTCAAAGTGCTCCTGCGCTGTGTCCATCCTGCAAATGAGGCCTACAGTAATGTCACGTTGCCCAGCTTGCAGGACAGGCTGAGTTTCTACGACAACATTCAAGCTGCCGAAGGCTTCGGCGACTCTGCAAAATCATGCGCCGCTTCTCCACATCAAGGGCTTGAAGTGGGAGCTCCCTTTCATTGTCTGCGTGATTTCCCGTGCCGGGGAAGCACCCTGAAGGAACAGGCAGAGTTGCAATCTCGGCTTCGCCGTATGGAAAGACACACGGATGACACATGCGCAGTGGTCCCCCGAAAGCCCGAAAGCCGTGAGGTGCCTGCGCAGCTAAATAGCCCAGCAAAGCATGAAGATTGCTTGTTCTTGATGTGGTTTGCCTCAAGAAGGAATCTCGGAGAACCTAGGACTTAGTAGAACCCACTGAGACTGGTAGCGGTTGTGGCAAGTCGAACAAAGAAACACAGCAGCTCTGGTTAGCTCTTGCAAGAGCAGAACCATGCCTCTGCTTCTGCCTCCTCGGCCTCCGCCTCTGCGAGCTCCTCTCTTCAGATTCAAGTGATTCAAGTCGTCTTTACTTTACAGGGCTGCTCACTGCTCAGCAGCTCAGCTCCAGGCCTGCTCTTCCAGGAGTATCTCTCCAGGAGTTTGGTGCTCGCCTAAAATACCAGAACATGTCACACGGCCAAGATCGTCGGAGCAACGCAGCAGCAACAGAAACTACCCGCTCAGAGTCCACACCTCCGCTCTCCACTGACGGTGCCTCTCGGGACTGTTTTCATGTACTGCTTTTTGACGCAAGCAAGATTCTGAAGCAAGCAAGATGCACAAAAGGCCTGCGAAGAGGTGAGTGCACTCTGCACTAAAGTCATGCCCACCCCAGCGACGCCAGAGGCCGCCAGGAGGACGTGGCCACCAGCGAAGCAAATGGCTACGCCTGTGACCTTAGCTCTGAGCGCACAACAGAATGAGCGAGTGCATAATAGCTCTGCTGACTAACCCTCTGAAGTTGCAAGGGGGTCACAGCAACGACGCTGCTCGCTGCAGCATCAGAGGAAGATAAGACCCACGAAGATATTCCAAAAGCACCTCGAAGCATCTGATCGCATGTCTACGGATTTCATCAGACTTAAGGAATGCCAAGGACCAAGGACCACTAAACGCAAATCTAAATTTCCGTGGACCAAGGATGCATCGAAGCTGCTTCCGACTGGGCCGGCAAGCGCAAGACCCGCCAGGCCAGCAGAAAGCGAGCTGAAGGAGGCCCAGCCCACCCGAGCGGTGTCCTCATCAAGAGCCAGGCTGAGACTTGAGCTCTGCGATGGAGACGCGCCCACCATCGCCATGGCTTCCGGAGGTTCTGGAATTCGCGGTTCGGGACAGTACCCTTGGACTGCATTGTGTGTGTCAATGGCCTATGAGTGTTCCAATCTATTTGTTTCCTGCACAGCAATTCATGGAACAAGCGCTGCCTATCCACATATGTCCACAGCTGCAAAAAGAAGCCAATTCCTTCTGCACTGTCGGCGGCGGCATCCATTCCACTCTATGCCCACTTACAAAAACCACTGGCCCCGCACCATTGCACACCTCAGGTCTGCACTCTCGACGTGGCTCAACAGCAGCCGTCGCAAGGAGAGGCGCCCGTCGGACTGTAGAGAACCTATCGAAGCAGAAAGAAGGTAAAGTGAAACTCGAGGGAAGACTCTCAGGAACTTGAGTCTGCCTGGACATGTGCTGCGTCGTGTCGCCTGGAAGGAGGACAACTCGAGAACATCTTCACATTTGCTAATGTCCCTCCTTCAACATTTTAAGCTTAAGAACCGTCTCGCATCTTGAAGCATTGAAACGCACTGAAACATCAAAATGACGAAGCTTTGCCGGCCTTCGGAAGCTTCTCTTGCATCGCTGTCAGTGTCAACCTTGGTCCAAAGATCACATGTTTCGTACCGATGATGGTACATGAAAGCACACGAAAGCACAGGAAAGCACATGCCCGCAATTTAAGTGCTCAACGATGTCTCGTAAAGATCTTCGGTGACAGGCGTCAAGACAGGGCCTTCATTGTGGCATCCTACCCTCACCCCCCCTTTCCCCCCCCCCCCTTTCCATCCCACTGCAACCCAACACTGTCAATTCCAATGCCCAGAAAAGTCCCACACCTTCTCGCGGGGAGATGGGGAGATTCTGAGAGGTTCTGTGAATGGGGGTCTATATGGCGCCATACTGAAAATCACCTTGCAACAAAAAAAGCCTGGAAACTTGGATCCTGGAACTTAAGTTTTCCACCGCCCAGCCGGCTGTCGTTCAAGCTCAAACTTCGGATTATGTTTAGCTCCACCAGTGCCGAGCTGAGAACGAGCAGCTTGCAGCCGCACGTCGTCCACTGAGGTACGGACGAGGATGACAGAGACATCGCCTGCAAACTGTCTGCACTCAACATGACCTCTAATTTCCATCTCAAAACCCAACCCCAAAACCCCTCAACTCTACCTCCCCAAAAACTCCGAACGAACCCCAGTGCCAAACACAACACAGATCTCAATCGCCACGGCCCCGTTGCGTGGGGCAGGGCTGAAAGTGCTGTTTGCACACTTGGCTGGGGACATGCGGCCAGATAATTTGGCGCAATGTCTTCCATCGGTCAGCATGCCAACCCATCCAACATCACTGGCACAACGCCACGGGGTGGGTACAGTCGAGCAAGTACTCCGAGCATCCATCATTTCGAGCAGACATGATCTACCCTGTGAGCCCTAGAGCCTACCATGCAAAATCCACAACCTTGAAACGATTCACCCTAGAATCCCGAATCCCCAAAGCTGTACGACCTTGAAGCTCTGTGACACCCACACCTTGTTGTAAAGCCCTGAAGCCCTGAAGAATGTGTGTGTAAACCTGCAGAGCTGAACCGTGAACGGTAAGATAATGTTGTTGTTTGCGTGTGTTGTTTTGTTACGGGTGCCGGGGTGTTTTACTTGCTGCGGCTGTGGGGGCGTGGTTTTGCTTTTGCTAGGGAAGTGGCGGGCCCTTTCTTTGCTGTAGGTGCCTAGGGCGCGTGTTTATGCTGCTCCCACAATGTCGCTCACTTCCTGTGTTGCAGGTCACTTTTTTTGCTGCAAGTGCAGGGCAAGCCTGTTTCCCGCGTACTGGAGCCTAATCAGGCCTAATCAGCTACAGCTATCATTCCATGAAACACCCACACATGGACTCTTCAGCGTAAGCTTGTGAGGATGGGATATCTTCTGCTTAATTTCGTGCAGCCTCTTGCATATATACATCTATATATGGCCACCGATCAAGATGAAACTAACAAAAGATGGGTGACAAACGACAATGGCCAAGGCCAAGCCGCGCTCGAGCTGCTTCCTTCATACAAAACTCGATTTCCTCTACATTTCCATCACCTAGGTTCCTTCTTATCTCCCCACGGAAAACGTTCTGCTTTCTACTTTCTGCTCTGCAAGTATTTCAAAACTCTTCGTTTTCAAGGAAGGTCCACTAATGGCGTAATACTACTCGAGGCAAGGCTGCAGGGTTTACAAAGCGGGGTGTAGCGGAGGCTCGCAGCACCCTCATTTGCGACAAGCAGCTTTCGTGATGGGTTTGGCAAGGTATTCCAGTGCTGATGAAGGCAGGTCTATTGAGGGCGTCATATTCTTTGAGGCAAGCCCTTTGCTTAAAAGAGCGGGGGGGTTGGGGTGGGAAGGAGCCGTCTTGTGCAAGTTTCGAAAGGCTGCATGTGGGTCTAAGGAATGTCTATTGATGGCGTGATTGATTGGTTTGGACAAGTTCAGAGGGTTTCGAAAGAATGTCGATTGATGTGGTGACGCTCTTTGAAGGCTTGCACGGCCGAGCATGGGGGACGGGGGGTTACGGAGAACCCCTCCCGCCCCCCCTCACATTGAGTTTGCTTGCATACTGAATATTGATCGGGTTCATATCTTCTTGAAGAAATGTCTATTGATGGCGTGATAGTGTTTGAAGCAAGCTTGCGCTGCTTGAAAAGGAGTCGGAGTGGTTGCGGGGGCGCAGGCAGCCTGTCGTAGTAGGAGGAGGAATAGCAGGACTGGTAGGAGTCGCGAGGTACCACTGGACCAGTGGGCTGCCTTGCCCGCGCCCCATGTGGAAACATGCGCAGTTTCCGTGAACACCGTTGTCGACTTTTTTTCTCGCAAACGACCACCCTCTGCGCAATGTTTTCTTGGCAAAAATGTTGTTTTGGAAGAAAACGTGCGCTGGGCCGGGTTTCCTAAAACCCTGAACCCTATAACCCCGAAAAGTCTGAACTCTAAACACCCTAAACCCTGAAAGCCCTAAACCCTAGTACCTACAACCTCAAGCAACCTAATTAAACACCCAGGAGACCCAAATAAACACTAAAACCCTAAGCCCTGAACCTAAAAATCCTTAACTCTGAAAACATAAAAGCAAGAACTCTCTATTCTGACGCATCCGGTCACTTCAGCAACTACGCAATGGTTGCATCAGCCAGGGTTGTGTGTTGCATGGTGCTGCTGAGTCACCGTGTTGGCTGACATCGCAGTTTGTTTGTTAGCTGTTTCAAGTCTGCAGTGATTGTTGTAAAAAAACCATGTTCTTCCAGTGAGATAGATTGCGGTATTCTCCGGTGATAGCCGTCGAAAGACTCCAGCGCGAAAAGTTGCCCTTTCATTGTGTGTCTGATTTGCAGATTGCAATCCTTCCATCTAGGTTTGTAGCATCGCTGCGTGTGACTTTCTCTTTTGCCTTCTCGGAAAAGCAACCTATCGTAGCACGGCTTTAGCAAACGAAACGGTCAGATCTTTGGATGCTGCTATGTAAGTCGTCAACTTTTGGGCAGGTTTCTGGCTGGAACTGAGAACTCCTTTAACCTGGGTCATGCAACAACACTAAAAGCAACGAACAGCTCTCTTTTACACTTACTCACCCGCCCGCCCCACCAGTAAAGCACCGGCACCCACATGGGACCAAAAAACAAAAAGTAAAAGCACGGGTTCCAACCCTGAATTCAAGGTTTAAAGCCCCACTTCCCAAAACATCCTCCATCCTCAATACCCCCAAACCTGAAACCCCAACAGTCCATACTCTTCAAAGTGCCAAACCTAGGCCTTAAACCTGGAAACCTACCCGGCTAAAATCGACCAAAGCCCCAAAGACTCACCTAAAAGCCCACCAAAGCCCGACACCCCCAGAATCCCAAAGTCAGACCATGGACCATGAACTTTTGAAATCCTGAAGCCCTACAGCTCTGAAACCGGTTGCCTGGCCTCCAGCCTCTGCACAAAGGAGCTCCGCATATGTTGGGCTTGGGACATCTTCTCTCCCGTCCTGTGCCGCAGGCTGGTTTGGACAGTCTTGGGAGCAAGCGCAGGACGTTAGGATTTTGGTGCCTTGGGGATCAGAGCGGGTGAAGCTGCTTCCGGGCGGGTTTTTCAGGGCTTTGCGGCTTTGGGGCTTTGAGGCTTTCACGGCACCTCGCCGCATCTAGCCGTTCTGGCTTTGGGGCTTTCGGGCGCGAGTTGTGTACAGCGCACAACACAGCAGCCGGCAGTCTGGAATCAGTGGCACCAATGGCCTTCCCGATTCGGGTGTAGATATGCTCGGACTCATAACCATGGCGGTCTCGGTCCATCAGGCTCTAAGTTATAGCAAAGACAGATGCCGAGGAATTCTTTCATCGGACGAAGCCGAGGTCATTGTCTCTCACAGGGGCACCTCCCAGTATCGAAAACTTTCACCCAGGCATGCGTACAGATGCGCGCCCTGAAGAGAAGCCTACAACCGTCAACCAACGGACCTTTCGCCCCATGTCAAAGTGAAACTTCGAACTGCCACCGTGAAACAAGCTACGGAAGTTACAAAAAAGACGTTAACGTCACGTGGAGATGCGTGCCTAGGCTGCTCGCCTGGTTCTGAAAGGCTGCAGAACTACAAGATGGGAGAAAAGCCGAGAACACATGCTGCACACAGAAGAGCCAAGCACGGCCTTCATGGCCTTCACAAAACGCAGCTGACAATTCTCACGCCTGCTCTGCCATTTCGTCTATGTGCACCTGAACAGACATTCTTCTGATTGTGACGAAACCTAGAATGTCATTGCACAGTGAGCTTCATCAGTAGTTGTTTCTCAGATAGGCGGCAGCTTTCACATGCACAGCGCGCATCGCCTTTCACTCGTCCCTTGAAAAACAGCAGCAACAGCAGCAGCATTTTTTCAGTGCATCGAACACATGCTGGAGGACTTGCCAGGAATGATGCCACTATACATGCACACAGCTGTTCTCTCGCACATCACGCAACACTTCGCAACAGAGTAGAGCACAACCCCTGACTGAAAGTTCCGGACATTCAACCCAAGTGCCCTCAAGCAACCCCTTAAAAGCCGAAAACGAAGCTCTTTGGCGGCTTACATAAACAGTACACAAAGGACACGGGAAACCAAAACACGTCATTTGAGACAAGCGACATCATGAAAGTTCGTCAAAAAAGAGAGAGAGAGAGAGAGAGAGAAAAAAACACAAGCTGGAACTTCATGTGCTTTCGTGTTTGTTTCTTGGCTTTCCTTCGCAAGGTGTGCAAGTCTCGCATGTCTTGCATGTTCTCGCAATGTTCGCAACTTGCCTTTAGTTGTCTGGCGGTCATAAGTGCTTTGGCCTGATTAGAAACCCCTTCTCGTTCGGACTTTGAGGTTGACCTTCAGATGCAGGTGAACGGAATAAGGGCTGAAGATTTCGGATTGCCTACACTGTTTCCTCAAAGGAGGGTTCAGCCGTCGGCCTTTAAAATCCGGAGCTCAACCTCAAATTCTCGAATCAAAGCAAAGGGTTTCAGCTACCTTGGGCGTTTCAGGCGGCACCTCCTCGGCACCAACAAGAGCAACACAGATGCAACAACTGCAACAAGAATCCACAATGCCAGAAAGAAAGACCCAAACCCCTTCAAGAACCCAAGTCGTATTGCATGGCGACCAGGCCAACGGGCACCAAACGGCATGGGGTGCAACCTGGGAAAGCTGGCCTTGCTGACGCAGATGTCCTGCTTCAGTCTGGCCACAGCCTCGGTAGGCCGTGCCGGTGCTGGCGCAATCTGGCCTTGAGACGGAAAACTCCGCAAGAAGTTGCATCCCAGGTGCATCTGTCATCGCAGTCAACTCCTCACTGACAGATTGCAGAGCTGCCTCGTGCGGACGATGCAAGGACTGCAAGGTTTCTTGGCCACTTGGCTGGGATTCTCTGGCCTCCTGCACCTCTGATGAATGAGAGACTGCATGCTTGTGAGCTGGCGATTCGTTTCGAGGCATGATGTCCTGCATCGCATGGCATGCCACCCCCCCCGCCACCATAGGCTTGGACAGGTGCTCTCAGTGCCAAGTTTTCCCGGCCTTCGGGGGACGTCCATCTGCCAGGGCATCGATTTTCTTCTCTAGCACCATGATTTTGTCCTTTTAGGTGCACCATCTTGGCCGTTGCCGCCATACAAAAACAAGCAGCGTTGCAGACCCTTGCATGCCTCCAGATTTAGGATGATGCGTCTGACAACCGCATTGATCTCCTCAAAACTGATTTTTCGCTCTTTGTGTTGCTATGCACCTTCACAACGACTACTGAAAGAGCAAAACTCTAGAATGTCCTGGCCACCACCATCTCCGAGAATTCGGCGATTGTCCTTGATCGACTGCTCCAGCTTCAAGACCTGCGCTTTCTCCAATCACGCACTCTCTCGGAGGATGCTGCCGGATCGGACACTGCAAGCTGCACTGCGATGGGCCTTGTCCGTAATGGCAGCCAGGTCCGGGCTGTCCACCTGTTCTCAAGCAACCCAAGGAATCAAAAGCAGGAAGGCATCCGTCCCCTTGCATCCCCTTGTCCTTCTGCTCCCGCCTTCTGCTTGTGGAGGACGGTGATAGAGTTTTGTGTCCAAGATTTCACCTTCGCAACTTCACGGGTATCATGCAGAAATCTCTTTGACATGAACAACCTGATGCCGAATTCGTCATCTTTAGCAAGAACCCCTTTCACCCACGATAGCCACATGTTGCATATGTTGCGAAGGCATCAGTGACAACTACATTGACTACCTTTGCATTGCAGAGGCTCCGACAAGGGAAGCAACAGGATGAAGCGTGAAAAAAAAACAGGATACCTAAACAATCGTTGTACGGTACAGGAGACTCGCCAGGTCGCCCTTCCCGTTCCCAGCTTCGCTGCGGGTCAGGATATGGATGCCACACGCCCCTGCTAATCTAAGGTGCATGCAAAGTAGAGCGATTGCCCCACACACACATAGAGTAGCCCCGAAAAGGTTAACAGGTTTCTTCTCAACACACACTCTCTGACATTGATTCCACCACATCTTACTGCACAGACCTTGCAATCAGCGAGTGAGACTCCAAATCTGTCGGCATACCAACTCTGCTTAATGGCATCCAGGCACTGCCTGCGGGTACATTTTGTGCCCTGCTGAAACTGAACACAGGAATCGTTGTCATCAGAGCGGTCACAAACACACAGAGACACAGACACACTGACAGACACACAGCCGTGTGCACACATAACTTTCAGGGTGACAGCTTGCCCTGCCGATATGTAACAGTACGCCGACATACAGATACACATGCACACACGTGCACATACACGTGCATTTTAGCGTCTACATAAACGCATGGCATATAGCTTAGTTATGTAGCTGAAGCCCTGAAAGCTTCCGACGTGTCAGCCGACACTCAAGTGCAGAACGAGTCAAGACAAGGCTCCCTGCCTCTTGAAGTTCGTGGATGAACTTGCGGTTGGCATTGTACATGGATGCCTCTTGGTTACAAAAGCACAGGATCGTGCACCTTGGAACTTCGCCATAAGAGGTTCATAGCATGAACAGTCTAAGCTGCCGGCAGAGGCTTCTTTCAGCTCGACCTATCAACTCGTTCACAAGAGAGCAGCTTGCAACATCGCAAGCTCCGCTTTCAGTTGTTGCAGATTGCCGGGTACCTTCATGGCTTGATGGTCGGACCTCAACTCCTCGAACCCATTCTGCACCTGAGATGATAAACTGCTTGCAGAAAGTCCCAAAGGCCCTCGCCAGCGGAAGCACGCAAGCACAGTGTTGCGCCTTTGCCAGCTCAGAACGTGGTGCTGCCACTGCTTCTACCTTCGCAGCGTTACTTGCGCCACTCTGCACGGCCGCCTGGAACGCAAGAAGCCATCTTGCCTTGAAGACCTTCTCCCTGAGTTCCACCAAGTTCTGTGCGCTGAACTTGGTGTCACCCTGAGGACCACATTTGCCGCCACACTTCCACCAGAATTAGTACCAAGTAAAAAACAAAATAGTAGTAATACTACTACTACTATTACTACTACTACTACTACTACTACTACTACTACTACTACTACTACTACTACTACTACTACTACTACTACTACTACTACTACTATACTACTACTACTACTATACTACTACTACTACATACTACTACTACTACTACTACTACTACTGCTACTACTACTACTACTACTACTACTACTACTACTACTACTACTACTACTACTACTACTACTACTACTACTACTACTACTACTACTACTACTACTACTACTACTACTACTACTACTACTACTACTACTACTACTACTACTACTACTACTACTACTACTACTACTACTACTACTACTACTACTACTACTACTACTACTACTACTACTACTACTACTACTACTACTACTACTACTACTACTACTACTACTACTACTACTACTACTAAATACTAACTTTTGTTATTAGTCTAATTTTTCGTCTGATACCACTTACCTCAACTTGGCATCGCACCTCGAGAGCCTCGATGCGGATCTTCAGATCTGCACGAGGAGCGCTTCTTCAAAGTGACAAGAACAGGTCGCCGCCGGCTCTAAACAGTAACACTACGGTAACACTTCTTAGATGAAGCGCTGTTTGTTGGGCAGCACAATCTCAGCACTACAACTAGAATTCTGCATTCTGCTGCTCTGCGGGTCCAAAACTCAGGCGTCGCCACAGCGCGAGTGAGGAAGAACAGCCGGATAAGCATAGGGTTTAGCTTTAGCTCCTGTGTTGCTTCAGCCACACATGTGAGCCTGCACTGGCGCCGGCTCAGCAAAGAGGGACTAGGGAAGCGCTGTTCTCGTTGCGTTTACGCCAGAGACGCCGTCAGTGATGCACAACGACATGCAAAGACGCATGCCGGAGTGAAGAGAAGTATCAAGGGCCAGATGAAGCGAACTCGGAAGGGTACTGCGGTTCGTGACACGTCGTGGCCCCCCAGCCTGGAATGTTGAACTTCTCAAGTGCGCCAAGACGCCTCACAAAGAAGCTGGAAGGCATAGCAAACCCCTACATCCACAGCCATGCCCAGGAATGAACAGCGAAGACAATGAGCAGCCCACGCGACCACAAGCTGAAGGTCTTCCTTGTCCACCTTGCGCACATGGTCCACGTCCTTGCAACGCAGCTCAAGCCAGGGAGATGTCCCTTGCACGGTTCTTGTCAAGTTCTTTCCTGGGCTCTCTTCATGTTGAAGACCTCGGTACCAAGCCTCAGCATCGACTTGACGGGTACGCAATGCACACACCCAGTGGCACAGTGACATCTGTGCGCCTTTCCAGGCGCTCTTCTAAATGCATCAGCTGCGGAGGCGCGACCTCCGAACTGCCGCAGAATGTCAGAAAGTACCCCATGCAAACCCCCCGATGCAGAAACCGGCTCTGACAGCTCAGCAACGGAAAGCTGAGTTCCCAGCTCCCTCTTCTATACTGCCCATGCCCATGCTCATGCTCATGAGGCCATCAAGCGAAAGGGAATCCCGAAAGCTTCCCAGGGCCTGGCACTGCACTCCTCTATGTGACTTCTGCGCACATGGTTCAATGGCCATTCGTCATTCCATGTCCAGTCTTCTCTCCACGCTGCCGAGCGGCCATGGAACTTCGCACCGGCATGCTGCTAACTGGGACACCTCCCCCTTGCAGCCACCTGAGACAAGCCTTCAGCTAACATTTCTACATGCTTGGCCTTTCTGGGGCACTCACTGCACCACTTTCGCTTCAAACTCTTCGCGATCATTGTCGAACCTGGCCGGCAAATACACTTTAGACATGAGCTCTTCCCCTCCCGGTGCACTAGCGACAAACAGCCGTGGGAGCTGTTGAAGGCACATGGCGAGATCCTTGCCCATCTCGTCTCTGGGCTTGAAACACCAACTCCACCTGAATCGATACTTTGACCTCTTGTTTAACGACTCGCGCAGCTTAAGCATACCCAACTCAATCTCCCACCTGATGTCTGCCTCGCCAACCATCTGCCACGGAAGCCTGCTGTCATCTTCAACCAGGAAGGTGCGAGTCCTGAGGACTGAGGATGCTGTGTCCCCAGACTCCGGTGTATCTGCAAACGAGGGCCGAGCTCCACATGATCTGAAAAGTTAACATGCTTTCTGCTTTCGTTGGGCCTGGCTTCCTCGGTGAACTGCACATCCGCAGTCGGAGAACTGTTGCAGGTAGCATTTGGGCCGGTGCTGCCCTTGTGCTTTCCGCTTCTTCCTCCGGGCTGCAAAGCAGAATGCAGCTACAGCCTACAGCTTTACATGACGAACTGTTAAAACAATGTGGTTCGGCCGCTCCTCCGGATCTGGAAAGAGCTGCTTTTGAAGCATCCTGGATGCCACACCCACATAAAGTCTTGGGAACTCCACGACATGATACGTGGACATCGCAAACGTGCCTCCGCAGTCGTCGCGGCAGGAACTCCAGAAATGAAAGCAACGTCTGGTTGACGGACTGCCCAGCACATGTGACTATGCACCGGGACGCACCGTGACACGAGGATGAGTACCATGAGCACTTCAGTCCCAGTCAAAGTAAGCGCAAGCAAGTAGTAAAGTACGCATGGCTTTCTGCTCACTCTGAACATCAGACAGCGCCTCAATGTCGGCTTTGACCTCCGCAATTCCCCGATTGACCTGCAACATAGTACAGAACCATGCCATCCGCAGAAATTCAAAAAGAGCCGGTTGGCCTGCCCATCGAGATCCAAGAGCTTCTTGCCCAAACGAGCAATGCGCGAGGAGTTGACTTCGTCCTCAACAAAGACGGTCGATCTACCGCTTTGCCGCAAAGTCAGTCAACAGTCTGAGGTCACTGCAGATGAGTCAGGCATGTGCCCAGCAGCCGATTCTGCACCTCTTCTTGAGTTCTCCGCAGCGAAAGCATCGATACGAGATGGTACAACTGAGCTGAGATGATGTGAGATCTCTGTGTCTGTCAAGCTTTGACGAAATGCCCTCAACGGTGCTGGTTACCGTGAACATGCCTTGAGTCGATGCCTCGTTCTAACCACGAGAAAATCATGAGAATGCACAATGAAGGCCAGCGGCCCTACCATGCCATTCCTACATCGCGAAACGCTTTCCTGAGGCTCCCACTGGCATCGGTTGGCACTGCAGTCCGCTCCGCCATCTGCCTAAAAGCGCGCCCCGGAAGAGACATACTGCAGATTGCGAGTGCAAAGTCTGAAAGACAACAACAACTCGAGTGTACTTGCATTATCTTGCAATCATGCAGTATAAACTGGCGTTCTTTGCGCGCCCTGAACCGTTGCCATCTGCTGCATCTCAGGTGGCCTCGATGGCAAGGTCGCTCCAGCCTGAACACCCGTTCTCACAGCCAGCACCATATTACAACATACTTCAACTCACACATATTGTTCGCATGTTTGAAATGGCACGCTTACTTCCATATCCTTGCTTCCATCACTCCATCAGTCCGGCCTTCAGCTTGGGCTTCTTGTTGTCTTTTTCTCCCACCGAGACGATGGCTTGGAATGAGCCTCTCGAGAGTTCACACCATGTAGTGCCACGCCGAGCCACTGAGTTCGCTTTTTGCTGACAACAAAGAACACAGCTCAAGGCTGTGAATATGTAGCTTCGAAGCAATGATCTGGGGGCTGACCAGAATCAACTTTCTGGTGATCCATGGCGGCTCCATGCCTTGGGAATGTGAAGGGGCCGTGATCGGCTCTTGCATGGTTCAACCCGGTGCTCCGGAATGTTCAATCTGAGATCAGACACACCAACAGGTAGTCCAGCCGAGACTGTTGATACACAACCTGGGGCAGCGGTTTGCCGTGGGGCCAGGACTGGTGAAGACCGGTGCCCTTTTGCATCCTTTGGCCCTTCTGGGCCTGGTCCACGATGTTGCTCACCTGGTGAGCAGATATGAGCAGAGCGACACCAAGCAACGCATCGTTCAAGACCTGTGCACGTCTCTAGGCTGGCCACATGCCCGAGGCTCACATGAACATGGAACATGGCTATACAAGATTGTATGTCAGGGAACCACCTCCCCTCTCCCCTCTCCCCTCCCCCGAGGACCACAGCAGGGACACGGCTTCTCTTGGGACACTCCAGGGATACTCGGCTCTCTGCGGGCTCCTCTCAAGACTAGGAGGGACCTACGAGAGCTTGTGAGAGCTTGTGGTGCGTGGCGGTGTTTTCTGTGCGTGGTCTGTGCCTGGCGGTTGTCTTGCTAACACTCTATATCACGGGCTGGCAGGCCATTCTAAACATCAGCGAAAGGGGGGTGGGTGATCTTGCGAAAACCCCATAAGCCCCAAACCCCTAAAATCCTTTCCTAGACCATGAGCCCTAACACCCTAAACCCCCAAAACCCTAAGCGCATAAAACCTTGAGCCCTAAAACTCCAAACCCTAAACATCCCTAAACCAAACACCACGGGGGGGAGGGGGTCAGGATGTAGGGTCTTAGGGTTTAGGGGCTTTCGGGTTATAGGGTTTTAGGGTTGGTCAGGTTTTGTGGATTTTGCGCTTGTTTTGAATCGAAGGGTTCTCAGGGTTTTCAACGCTTGGCTTAAGTTTAGGCTTTGTGTGAGGGTTTTGAGTTTCGGTGGGGGGGGGGGGGGGGGGGGGGGGGGGGGGGGCGAGTAGGGAACCGAGAACGTGGGGGACGGAAGCATATATGTGGAGGAGAACAACAACATATATCCATATATATATATATATATACATACACACACTAGTCTGTAGATATTGATGCGTCAATGTTTACTGGTGTGTACTCGTGTGCCATCCCTGACCTCGGCTTGGAGCCGCTTCAGCTTCTCCACTGCGAAGTTGGCCTCAGTTTAAAAGGGCAACTCTAAGACTCTATGAGGCCTAGCCCGAAAGCTCACTTAGAACTCTGTTTTGTTGAAGGCTGCTTCTTTGATGTGAAAGGGATCGTGCCTGGCCCTCAGCATGCTTGTGGGCAGATCGGAGGCCCGCAATCTTCAGCATGCCTCGGAGGAGTCGCAAAGTCTTCTGAGGTTTCTGGGACATGTCGGGCTGCTTGGGTTCCGGGCTTTGCTGCTGGCTGTCCTGCAACCTCTTCACTTTGTCCTCGACGTCCTGTGAATTCGCATAACGTTTGACGACACAGTAACTGATAAACGGGGCCGAGGTCTCTCCACTGAATTCGGGCGATACATCTAAATGTGCACCACGACTCTGGATCTGCGGCACAGGCATCCTGCATGTCCCTTGCACTCGGCCCTTCGCCACTCCTTAGAGATGGAATGAGATGCGGACGGTACTGGCACAGCACATGCGACTGCCATTGCCAACAGCCCAGGGTGTCTGACAGAGCACGAGCTCTCTCCTGCACCAGAAGGGGCAAGATGACAGTGCATGTGCAAGCGTGTGCAGCCTGCGCACCTGATCGTCTGTCTCAATGTTGTGGAGCAGCGCGGCGTTCAACTTCTTGTCGAACTCACTCCGCACTGACCTATATATGCCCTGTAACATGATTCGACAATGCTTCCAACCGAACTCGTGCAAAGAGACACAGAAGCGTGGGCCCGTGGGCCTCATTTCGTTGCTGACAACACTGAGGATGACGTCGACCTGCAACCCACCCTTCTGCCAAAACAATCTTGTGTGAGCTTTGAGCATCTGTGAGCATGCATTGGCCCATTCCCAGCGCTTTTCTAACACCTCAAGGTCGCCAGACTGCGCCCGAAAGGTAAACTACAGAGCTGAATGCAGTCTCTCACTTGCTTCTCCTCGCCGATTCAGCCTGCTGCCAATAAGTCACGGGATTTCAAGCACACAGCACAAGGAGCTCAGAAAGTGAGGACGTCAGGACCCACAGCGCCAGCAGCTGAAATCGCATGCGGCAACTGTAGCCACTCCAGCAACCTGCTCCTCCTCCGCCTCCCTGGCCAACACCTCCAAACTATCGCTGCCCACTCATGCAAGGAGTTCAGTTGCGTGTCCCATCTAGGAGGAGGACATTTTCGCCGAGCATAATGCTCATCACCACAGCATCGTGCTCTGCCTGGAAGGTCCATTCTCTTCTCTGAGCATTTCAAGCTGCACGGGCCGTGGAGCTACACCTCATCCACTTGATGCTGCAGGAACTCTATGCTGTCCACAAGCCCATCCACACGCCTGCAAGTCTGAAGAGCTGAAGGCAATCCAAGCAAGGCAAGTGCAAGGACAGGGAGAACATGTGAGAAGTAAGCCTCATGTCTTTCGCCATTAGTCTGGAAAGCACAGAGTTGAACTCGCTGTCCTCCGGCCTGTCAAGCACTCGGCGGCTTGATCGCGAAAGGCTCTGCTGGGGGGGCACTGAGGGCTCAACATTGCATCGGCAGTTTCTCCGACTCTACTGGAGATACACGACCTTGCCAACTGGCATGCTGTCGACTTCTGTTCGTCACATGCCCATTTAGCTGGGGAGGAGACTCCAGCTTTTGCAGCTCAACCGACCACATGACCAGTTGCGTAAACAGCTGGAACCGTCTCCTGTGAACGTGGTGAATGCTTCCAATGTCTGCAAAACGCCTCCAGTGAGGACAGTGCGGGACCATTGCTTGCAACTCATCCATTTTCTGAAAGGCCTGGCAATCTGGCAGCGTATATCTCCGTGGCCGGCTTACCCAGGCTGCAATGCTTATGTAAGGCAGCGGCGCTGTCGGACAGTGCCGGAAAAACCTTCGGTTTTGAAAGAAAGAGACATCGGAATTGCCAAAAAAACACATCGCGAAGATGCATGGCCACCTTCGTAATCTTTTCACAGAGGTCCTTGGGCTTGAACTCCTGGTGTGAGATGGGCATGACAACAAGCGCGTTCAACTCCAAACAACTTCCGCATTGGCCCTCGACCATCCTCCCACTTCTCACCAGGAGCATCCCCACCGCGAAACAAGGCAAATGTGGGAGTGCCTCCGAAGCTCCCAAGGCGAGATGCCAGCGCGCAGACAACTCAGCAGCCACGCCTCTTGCAACTGGACAACCGTCCGGAAAGTCGTTCTTCTCAATGTTTAACCTCAATCACACTTCTGGCATGCTACATGACTCTGTAAAGAGGTTCTGAAGCGTAGGACCTCTTCAGGCGAAAAGGTGCCTGGCACGGTGTGAAAGAACTGCCTTCCAGCTTCACTGTCTTAATGTTGGTGCCTTGTTCTCAAGCAGGAGCTCACCCTTAGCCGTGTGTAAACGAGATGGCACCACTCCAAGCAAAGCATAACGGGCACCAAGGTCCCAACCAAGGAGTTGATGAAAGGTCTCATCAAGAAGCAAAGGAAGCAGGTGTCCTGCGGCTGCAAAGAAACAACATGCAAGCAGCAACAACAACAATGCACAGACGTCTGATGTCCTCATACATTTGCAGTAACACCATCGGTTTTCCTGGCTGGCTGTCGGCCAGAACATCCTGCACGAGTTGCCATCAAGAGGACTGCAATAAAGCCGCTTGCAAGATATCAGATCATGCACTCCTTCTGAAAAGATGCGTTTGAGACAAGGGGAACCGCCTTCGGTGCCTGCCAACACCATGGTGACACCGCTGCTGCGCTGCACATTCTTAGGTAGGTGCCTTGACCCTTGTGAGATCCTGGGAAACTGGCTTGAAAAAGTCCAAGACCTGGTCTCTCGGCAACAGGCCATGCTGTCATGATGTCTGCAAGCCTCCATTTGTGCACGTGGCGCGCCTCCTGCTTTGGGATCTCACCCCCAATGTGCAAAACCGATCTTGGCATGTGCACGGCTGACTCACGCTGACGGCGGCATTGTTTCGAAGTCATGACATGAGGCAACGGCTTTCGCTGTCCCTTGTACATAACCTGGAAGTTCACGGGCATCAAAGCCAAAGGCTTCTCAGACTCAGCGTACCCTGTCAAAGCGTGAAAGTAAGCTCTGGACCACTCTGAGTGGTGACTGCGCGCCTTCTTCGGCGTCATCGTCACCTTCCCGAAGTGAAGGACCCTTACGTCCGTCCGTGACAACACCCTTGCACACTGCTGGGCCAAACCTGGGTGCGGAAGAGGTGGGTCACCTCACCAAATGCTACCACATGATTCTTTGCCAGATCAATCCATGATCAGTCCATGTGCAGCGCTGGCCTTCCTTTCGAACATTCTGATAGTACCTGTAGCCAACAACAATCATCGGGCCAAACGCTACACCTCGCATGCCGGTTGCAGATGAAAGTATGCGCGTACACGGCGGAAAGATACTCCTCCAAAATGACCCTAAAGCCATAGCACCTCCCTTTACAGAAAAATGTCTGGTCATGTCTTATCAAATAGGGTCGCCAGGGAACCGAAGAGCACCCTGCACATTTGAGATCCAGGGTTAACATTGTCACTGACACGCACCAGCGACGTTGTGAGTGTTAGCGCAGGTATTCTTCTCGTCCGGCTCTCTTGTTCTCCTGCTTTGGATGTAAATGTAAATAGGAAAACCGAATTTATCCATGTTGTAACCGGAAATCCAGATTTGCTTGGGTTTATTCGGGAACCTTTGATGTATTGATACTTTGTATAGGAAAACCTTTATTGGGGTCGCACGTATAAACCCGAAACTCTCCCCAGGGAGTTGTTCTGGCGCCGGGTCTGAACCAAAGTTTTGCAGGACCGGGGGTCATCATAACGAAGGTGGGGGGGACGGCGGGCCTCTTCTGGCTTCTTCTCGGCCTCTTCTTGGATTCTTTGGGGGTTTCTTCTGGGCTTCTTCTTGAACCTGAATCAAAACAAACTTCCGCCCCGGACCCGGACCCGCACCTGGACCCAGACTCGGACCCCCCCCCCACCCACACAAGAAAACGATATCCCCAACACCACCGGAATCTATGCAAGCATCGCAGGCGAAAGGCCCTTTCCCGGCACGATAGATGAGCAATCCCGGGGCCAGACTTTATGAACATGCACTGTAGCTCCCTCCTGCAAGAAAAGACACTTTTCGCACTGCTTCGCATGAAGTAGGTGTAGGTCGGGGCAACGGAGTCAGCTCGACGCTTTCCCCTGGAAAACAAGCTGGAACTTCAAAAGCTGCGAGGCCAAAAGCGGCCGCCCAGCTGTAACTCCAAACTTTCACGCTTTCGTTTTAGCCCCTACGGGGTAGCCTTGCCGAAGGAATCGATGCTTCCGGTCGGCTCTGCAGATCAGGATTTCTGAATCTCGGGTCTGGACTGCTTTAAGGAATGAGTCAAAGAGTCAAGTAGCTGCACCACCTCTGCTCGATTGAAAGAAGCTGGCAAGAAGATCTCTTCCCGGAAAGAATTGTCTCCATCAACCCCTTTTTGTGTTTTTACGACCCCTGCTCAAGATGGGATATCGGGCTCGAGACAACCTAGCATAATGGAAACCGTTCATGAAACGAACTTTTTGGCACAAATGCCGGCCCCGAAATCCCACCGTTAACACCCCACGTTGCAATATGACCCATACATTAATCCTCCACAGGCTTCTGGGAGATAGTCCGTTTCTCCTGTATTTCATTCCACTACCCTTCCATGATGCAATCGGAAAACTTCTACAAACATGTTGCTCGTACACGTCTCGGTTTGGGTTTAGGGTTTAGGGTTTAGGGTTGAGGGTTTATGTGTGGAGTTTAGGGCTTAGGGTTTGAGGTTCTGGCTTGGGTCATGCACGGCTTAAGACAAGCGGAGCTTGGGGGGAGGGGCCACAGTCCCCCCATTTGCGAACACAACGCAGGGGCCGCGTTTGTTGAAATGTGATTCATATAAGTCGCGCAGGAATGTTCATTGACGGTACGACGTTCTTCTAAGCAAGGTTGCGCGGCTGAAAAGAGCGAGGTGGTTGGCCCCAATTTTCTAACATGATGTTCATCGCATGTTTATTGACGTGAAGGCTGCACGGTTTAAAAGCTGGTCTGGTGAAATGCCACCGTATGCAGCCTGGATCGGTTGCCCATCACTGCCCTCTTGCCCCTTGGGCATGAACTCTTCACCTGCCCTGACTGCCTCCTCAAGTTGGGCCTTTTGATTCCTTCGATGTCTAGGTCTGTCATCCATCAGGACATCTCCGCTTGAGCTACACCAGACGCCAAGACAAAGGGGCAGCATGTCCGTCACTGCCTTGCACCCTTGCACTTTGTCAGCCGCCCAGAGGGCAACAAACTCAGGCTCCGGTGCCACGGTTTCACAGGGACTCATGCCGCGACCACGAAAGGACCGCACATGCAACCCTTTCCACACGGTGGCTCAAGGCCAAGCGGCAAGTTACATGGTGTCGGGACTAGTTCTACACTCTAAGAAACCCTGCAAGTATTCGCTGAGAATTCATAAGATGACCAAAGACGCACCACTGCCACATCTGCAATGTGCAGGCACGGCGCACTTGATCTGCTTTAACGAAGCTTCCGCAATTAGGGTTCGAATGATGCGCTGGATGTCCTCACCTTGCTTAGCATTTGGTACAATTTGTGTGCTGTCAGGCACACCCTGCATGCACAACAAATGAGGGCATTACGACGAGCTGTCAAATCCTCCACCTCGCTGGCTTGGACCAAAGAACTGTCAACATGGTCAGGGCTGCAGATGGGCCTTGTCCAAGTAAAACACAAACAGGTTGTCGTTCTCATCAAAAACCTACCAGCAACGTTTCCTCTCAAAAGTCTTGGCGAAACAAAAGAGCACGCAAAGGCCGTGGGGGGCCACAACACAGAGAAAGGTGTCACAAGTCCAAAGGTAACATGCACCGCAACAGTCTCTCTGGGCTCTGTGGCATTCCCGAACTCAGCGCAGCCTCATCTGTGATGGGCTTT